TATATATATATCAAGTTTATATTTTAATCAATTTCTATCTGGAAATAGACACAAGATAATGGCAATGCATGCAAGGTTGAACATCTTGTCATATGGTAGATGTTAGTAGGAGAGAAAAAATACAACAATTGATATGCGATCCATCCTTTTTAAAAAACCTAAAAATGAAGATGCTGCAAAAATAGATGTCTGCATGATCAAATCCATCTTAAATGACCTATAGGCTAAATGAAGATATTGCAAAAATGTGTGCAATCCCATTTGTCTAAAATGAACTAAAAATGAAGATGTTGCAAAAAATAGATGTCTGATCCAATCCATCTTGAATGACCTAAAATGAATAAACACAAGGTTATGACGTCATCGCCTAGCTGAGTTCGTTCTGGCGCCCTAGACCGTTCGTATAGAAAGACCTAATAAAAAATATATTAAAATTCTAGCTACAGCTGGATATCAAGTACTTGTCACTAGTACCTCATATAGCATGTAGCATGGCTGCCTTAACACTTACCAAGAATGCCCAAAACCTAATTGTTCTAAACTCTCATCCAAAATAGTTGCCTTAATACATATCCAGAATGGCCAAAAACTAATCAGTTCTTCTAAACTTTCATAATGTATAAACATCCCTGAAAATATAAGAATCCCTCATACGGTTTGGCTGGAAACCTGTAGACAAGCCTCAACAGACAAGATTTAAGGATGGAAAATCCAAAATGGCCACCTTAACATTTACCAGACAAGATTTTAGGACGGAAAATCCAAAATGGCCACCTTAACATTTACCCAAAATGCAAATAGTCTCAAGCATTTGTCAGTTGCTATTTTCTAGTACTAGTATTCATAATGTTACTCTTGCTCTCTCTTATTATGTTGTTATTCTTATTTCAGGTCATTGGACTCATTCTCACCTATTTCATTGTGTTGATCCAGTTTGAGCCGATCCAGTTTGAGCCGATCCAGTTTGAGCCGATCCAGTTTGAGCCGATCCAGTTTGAGCCGATCCAGTTTGAGCCGATCCAGTTTGAGCCGATCCAGTTTGAGCCGATCCAGTTTGAGCCGATCCAGTTTGAGCCGATCCAGTTTGAGCCGATCCAGTTTGAGCCGATCCAGTTTGAGCCGATCCAGTTTGAGCCGATCCAGTTTGAGCCGATCCAGTTTGAGCCGATCCAGTTTGAGCCGATCCAGTTTGAGCCGATCCAGTTTGAGCCGATCCAGTTTGAGCCGATCCAGTTTGAGCCGATCCAGTTTGAGCCGATCCAGTTTGAGCCGATCCAGTTTGAGCCGATCCAGTTTGAGCCGATCCAGTTTGAGCCGATCCAGTTTGAGCCGATCCAGTTTGAGCCGATCCAGTTTGAGCCGATCCAGTCTGAGCCGATCCAGTTTGAGCTGATTGATAATACTGCACCATCAGTTATATGTAACTGCAGAGAAGTTCTCACAAACAGCTAAATACAATGAGTAAGTTCAGCACAATCAATGGAATATGAACGCAAGATTGACAGAGCAGCTGTGTGTGGTTGATTATTGAGAACATATACTTTGTATCTAATCAGAGCAGACTACATCTACATCTTGATTCATAAGGCATGACGGTGAAGAAACTTTGCTAAGTTCATTATTCCCTGAAGAAATTTTTATTGATTGTATAGTGCAGCTGTCCATTCATCAGTCTGACTATCATGGAATAACTGGAAGAGAATTCAACTGATTTTCTTAATACAGTTCTTCTTGGATTATATATACAGGGTGTTCAAAAAAACGCAACCCAAAGAAATCGCTATATCTTGAAAAATACTAGTTCAATTATGTTCATATTTTCAGGAAATAAAGAAGAGACTGTGTATGAATAGCTCCTGTAAATGGTTAGTTGTAAAACATGATGCCTTAGACACCTTCTCAAAAGACAGTTGTACTAAGAAAATACTAAAAACGCAGTCAGGGGTGACTGCAACCAGAAAAAAATTAAATAACTCCCTAACCATAGTGTTTTGGCTCTTCAAATTTGTCACAAATCATCTTCATTTACTGTATGGTAAATCTATAGAGAGAAATCAAAATCACTTCAGGGACTTTACAGTAATGGTCGAAATGCTTTCAAATTGCAGTCAAATGCCCTGGTTCAGGGAGACTTAAGAAGGCATTTTGACCATGACTGTAAAGTCCCTGGGGTAATTTTGATGAAATTCCACAAATTTACCACACATTGAATGAGGATAATTTGTGCCAAATCTGAGGTGCCAAAACACTAGGGTTAGGGAGTTATTTAATTTTTTTCTGGTTGCAGTCACCCCTGACCCCTTCATTGCTGTGGCAGTCACCTCTGACTGCGTTTTATATTTTCCTAGAACAACTGTCATTTGAGCAGGTATCCAAGGCATCATGTTTTACAACTTACTGACAACAGGAGCTATACATACACAGTCTCTTCTTTCTTTTCCTGAAAAAAATGAACATAATTGAATTAGTATTTTCCAAGATAGTGATTTTCCAAGATAAAGTGATTTTCCATTCACATTTTTCGTATTTTGCTAGTACAACTGTCTTGTGAGCTAGTGTCCAAGACATCATGTTTTACAACTAACAGCAGGGGCTATACATACACAGTCTCTTCTTTCTTTCCCGAAAATATGAACATAATTGGATTAGTATTTTCCAAGATATTGCGATTTCTTTGGGTTGCGTTTTTTTAACACCCTGTATATGGTAAAGTAAAAGGTATACTAAATGGTAAGGATTTTGCGCAAAAAGAAACAAAGATACTAAGACAGGCCTCCTAGACTTCCAACAACGCGAACATCAGTTCTGATACCGCGAACTACGTTCCTTGCACTCGAACCACGAATCTCATATCGCGAACGTGAAATCTTATGTCGCGCACCACCATTTCCTTGTTTCCGAACATATTTCTTGTAACTCGCACAGAGATCCGTTACCGCGAACAATTTGTACATAATACATCCGGGTGTTTGGGATTCCAAGTTACATGTCTATTATATACCAATATGCAACTGAGTGAAACAAGGAAACGAAATTCAGTTTCTCCTCCGCTTTCGCCGGACTTTCGTTCCTTTGAAAAGCATGCAAGATTAACGTCCACGCCCCGAGTTGGCAGGGCTTTAAATGATGTGTCAAAGGACAGCACTGCGTCCCACAGTCATTCATTTTTGGGATCAGAGAGTATCTGCGCACGGTGTGGTGTAATAGGAGATGTAAGAACCACAACGAAAGTGTAGACGTGTGTGATAGCTGTGGTTGGACTTTTTTAAGCTGTTTCATCCAGAATAAGCTGAGTCAAGCTGAAAATAGACATTTAGACAGTTCTTACGTATGCTTTCTTCAACTCCATTTACTAAGTATTGGGCCATATTTCATATCTCACACGTTAATTTTTAAAGTGTAGGGTGAGAATCATAAAAATAAGAAATATAAATTTGACCTCGATTTTGCCCTAGGCCTTTTAATGTCTAAATTTCAAAACAAAGTAGATTTTAGTAGATTTTTAGTAGATTTAGTAGATTTTTAGATTATAGTTCTAGTAGTAATTTCTATTGCAGGCTTTCATTAAGTTGGCTTCATCCAGGCTGTATCTCGTATTTGTACAACTCTTGACTCAACATTGGAAACAAAATTCGCGATTTTTAATTCAAAACGCCATAACTTCTGAACTGGAACTCAAATGTATAAAACATTAAACGAAACATAGAGCATTTGGAGCCGGACAAAGTTAATACATTCAAGAAGCGTGGACTTGTATGGTTCTAGTAGGCCTACCTTCTTTCAACAAATAAATTTATAAATTATTATTTCCACGATTGTAATGTTATTATTCCAGGGGCTATTTAAACTACTGCCAAAAGAAGAAACAAAGTGATAACAAATGTGTGTTTTAAATCTTTATCTAAAATCGTATACTAAATATACAAAAAACTTGCTGGTGTTATTCAATAGAAACTTTTTTATTTGTGAATGTTTTGAGTGAGAAAATAAAGTTAATACAACTATGATTCAAACAGTTCGTTTCTGTAACAAAATGTCAGAACCTCGAAGGTACGATTTTTATTTTTCCTTATTTCACGCGTCATAGGCAGAATTCCCACGACAAATTTTATCACAAACGTGTGTCAGTATCATACATTTAATGAAATGTACATGTTTGGGGACAAATAGTTGAGAAGACAATAGAATCGTAGATTTAATATCTCGCTTTAGTTACTGGAACAGGTTAGAAGTGCAGATCTAATGAACTATTTTTGAATTTCCGTTTACGTATCAAAAGTGAGGTATCAAATCGACCATTCTGTGGTCTTCTGAACTTTTTGTTCGCAAAACATGAACATTTTCTTAAGCGTATGATACTGACACAGGTTTGTAATAAAAATGTTCTGGGAATTCTGCCGACAACGCGTGAAATAAGGAAAAAGAAAAGTTGTACTTTCGACGTTCAGACATTTTGTTACTGAAACGAACCGTTCCTTTTGGTAGCCAGTGCAATCGATTTGATCACCAATGACTAAAGAAAAGTGCTCTACCTGCATTGATATCACTGAGGCGCAGCACTTCCATGTATTTTCTAAAACCAAAATGCTCCTCAATGCAATAAGATACCTCCTTAATGGTGCAATAAAAAATAAGGAAATTGTAAAATGTTGCACATAAAACCCCCAAATCATAAAATATTTCTCAAAAAGATACAAAATAATAAAATGTTGCACTAAAAATAACAAAATCCATCACATCTTGCTACTCATGATTGTTGTCCAAGTTTGGTATGTGTAAAGTGTATATAAAGATGTGAGCCAATTATGGATCTCAAAATTCAAACAAACTGGCATTAAACTTTATCTGCCCCTTCCCAGTCCAATGTTTGGACCCCTTTACATTTGGTTTCATGTTTGTGGAGCAAGTCCTTACGATTTTTTCCCTGCCCACACTTTACACATACCAAAGTTGGACAACAATCATGAGTAGCAAAATGTCTCTTAAGTGAGCTCTTATAATTTGTTTGGAAGGAACAGTCATCCTTGGTACACTTAAAAATACACTGTTATGTGTCCTCATGTGATCTTTTAAGTGTGCTTTGGTCGAGTACTTTTTGAAGCAAATGTCACAACTATGGGTAACTGAGTGGGTGAGAATGTGTCTTTGAAGGTAAAGGCGTGTATTGAATTTTTTATCACAGTGGTCGCATTCAAATATTTCATCTGAATGTAGATTACTATGATGCTTCCGTCCTTGGTATGAGCATACTGATTTGTTGCAGCAGGGGCACAAGGAGCGACGAGCACCATGTCGAATCCTTTTGTGGTCATCAAGCATTACTTTGGAATGGAAGCCTTTTGGACACTCTACACAGGGGTAGGGGTATGCACCCGTATGTTTTCTGCGGTGCCGCACTAAACCACTTTTTGTTTGGAAAGTCTTCGGACACTCGTCACAAGTCCAAGTTGCTGCAACCAGAAAGAAATAAAAGTTCAGTGAAAGACAGTAGTTTCCTAAACTCTTTTGTATCACTTGTTTTTTCTGATTTTGGGATATGTCAGTGGACAGGATATCCCCGGGGGGAAAATTGTTACACTATTTACCAAAAATGTGGCAGTCACTTTTTGTTTTATTATATACATTACCCCATATGTACTCAGTAAGTTAAGCAAAATTTAAATTTCAATATTTAATGCAACAGGTTCTTATGGAAAATAACGGCATTTTTCCATTCAACTCCAATAATCCCAGCTACCAGGGAAGATAAATGTACTAATGTCTCGTCACAAGACCTAACTGGTGATTAGTACATTTTATCTTCCCTGTTAGCATGGATTTGGGACTTTCGAGTGATTTAGTTCGTCAATTTCATATCATGGTACATGAATATAATAACGTTTTCTCTATCCTATGCTTTATTTGAAATAATTCGCTTTGACATTTCATTACAAAAACCTCAATTCATAAATTACATTAATTAAGATCTTTAGCCTTGGATTCATTGAAATGTGAACTGACCATTCCTCGAAGGTGTTGCTTTTCAAAAATTGCATGGGATGCGCAGCATCGAGTGTTAATTCTAGGAAAAACACCCGATTCTTAAATGCTTAAAAATTATTTTCACACATTGCAACATATTTTATATCATGTAGATTAAAACAAACGAAATCACTAAAATAACATATTTTGAATGAAACCTTTTGGAAGGGTCAAGATAGCGAAGCATCAATTTCAATTTTTCCAATCTGTACAGTCAAGTTGTCACCTTGACAACAACATAATGAATCACCTTGGACTGTAGGTAAAACACATAAATTACCTTTCTCAACTGCAGGGTTTGTTTCTTCGTGGTGTTGTTCCATTTTATCATATGCTTCTGCCCCAGCTTCTGCTGAAAAGGTATTCAATTAGACACTTATATCTTGAAATGTGGTACTAAAAAGTACAAATAAAACTAACAAAATGCATGCGTTCTTAAGGTTCAGCTGGAAAGTAACATTTTGGTAAAAAATTGCTATACCTGCACATGTTATTTTCTGGTACAAAATTGAGTATGAAGGCATGTGTGTATTTCCTAACTTTTTTCAGGAAAGTATAATTACACTGTCTACTTTTGGTAAACCTGGAAACGGGTTAATGGTAGCTCCTGTGTTGTCTGGAAACTTTGAAAGAAAATGTGGAAAAAAAGAAAGTCTGAAATATCAGAATTTCCTGGAGTTCCCATTGAACGCCTACCAGATATTCTAAAAGAAGATAATGTAATGATACTTTCCTGAAAAAAGCAAGGAAATTGATACATTCTTCTTACTTTATTTTGTACCAGAAAATAACATGTGCAGGTATAGCAATTTTTACCAAAATGTTATTTTTCAACTGTACCTTAACTGAAGGATTTTGTTGCAGGGTGAAATGATCATTTCAATTCGTATATCTATTTTAGTATTTGTAAATACGTATTGTGCATACTGCAACAAGGCTCTTATTGGGTACAATGTGTTATTGTATAGCCAATTACTTGTAGCAACAATGGGTCAGGTTGCAGTTTACATTGACCCATTTTTCTACACCTACACATAATAGACTAGATGCGAGTCGAAATAATCTTGATTTACGTCATTTAATATTCAAAATTCAGTCAAAGTGATGTCATATTTGAAATCTACATGTAAAAGTACATCTAAAAATATGGTTTCGAAAGTTGTTTATCAACTTTGAAATTTTTTTTTTTTTTTGAAAATGTGACTTCTTGTTCGGGTTGATTCCCCATAGAGCCCATGTTACAAAATCACAAAAAGTGAAATATTTTTTTTTGTATTGGACAGATAACATTTTCGTTTACTGGACATATTTTAATTTGCATAACTATTAGATACATAAGGGTTATATGAAAATTGAACCACTAAAACAGATGTAATTTAAGTTAAAGGGAACTTTCTCCTATACTCGCCATGCTATCTGACCCGAACGAGCCACCTGGTGGTGAAACTGGTAACTACCTACTCGCATCTGCGTTATTACATACCTTCTTTCAATAGTTTCATGAACTCTCCACACTCCCACACAGCCATGTTTTGTTGTGTATCTAGCCCTTTCACTTAAAATGTCAATGCGCGTGATTGCAAGGTAGTCCCAATATTTTGTGTTTCCTAGAGCTTGAAAATATTGTTATCGTCAATGAGTGGATATTCATTCACATGCATGAAAACTGGGAAAATATTTCTTCCGAATTCCATATGAAAACACCTCCTGGGAATTTTACTTATGCGTAATAATACGAACAAAATTACGGACTTTTTTCGATCAGATGCGTGGTTCGCGGTAACGGATCTTTGTGCGAGTTACAAGAAATATGTTCGGAAACAAGGAAATGGTGGTGCGCGACATAAGATTTCACGTTCGCGATATGAGATTCGTGGTTCGAGTGCAAGGAACGTAGTTCGCGGTATCAGAACTGATGTTCGCGTTGTTGGAAGTCTAGGAGGCCTGTAAGAGAGGTTATCCTATGTGAGGTTCAAGATAGTGTTGGTATTATCTTGAGGCCATTATAATACAACTATAATATATATCTCAAACATTGTCAAAGGTCCTGTGGGCAAATACAGGGTGACCCAAAAAAATGCAACCCTCCATTTCGTCAATATTGTTCTTAAATGGAGGTAAATTGCTCTGAGATTTGGCACACAAAGACTTCATTCTATGTGGGATCCTTTGGCAAAGTTTTAATAATCATAGTCTTATATTGATAGAGTTATGGTTGTTTCAAAATATGCTCCAGATGTCGTCAATTTCGCTGAAAACAAACTTGCAATGTTCAAGGAAAATTGTTCATAACACGTATGCATTCTTCACCATGGGTATAGCTCAAATTTTTGCAGCCATTGCTTATTGGAGCTCTGCAATTGCTTATTGGAGCTCTGCAATTGCTTATTGGAGCTCTGCAATTGCGGTAGGGTTATTTTCATACACATTATCCTTTAAATAACCCCATATATAGAAGTCAGGGGCATTGAGATCAAGACTGTGGGATGACCATGGGTCCTCCGTCCTAGGAGAGATAATCTTCTCATAGAAATGACTAGTGAGCCGGGCTATGCTATCATTAGAAGTGTGAAGAGTAGCTCCATCCTTCTAGAACCACTGTTCTTGTCTATTGAAGCCTCTATGTCACTCTAGAACTGCCTAGAACTTCCTGGGAACGCCAATATTGCGCTGTGTGTTAACAGTAACAGTCTTGCCATTATCAACCTCAAACCAAAAGGGGCAGATGATTTCATGTTTGGAAATTGGCAGCCCAAGCTGTGCATTTAACAGAATGTAGGGGCCTGTGAAGCACTTTATCTGGAATTTGTGATCCCAGAACACATTATTTCTTGAGTTTACATGTTCAGAAAGAAGGGAATGTAATTCATCCGAAAACCTGACATTGGAAATGGACGACATTTGGAGCATATTTTGGAACGACCATAACTCTATCAATATAAGACTATGATTATTGAAACTTTGCCAGAGGATCCCACATTGAATGAAGTCCTTGTGTGCCAAATTTCAGAGCAATTAACCTCCATTTAAGAAAAATATTCGAAAAATGGAGGGTTGCATTTTTTTTGGGTCACCCTGTATATATTGGCCAAGAGCTAATCATTACAACTCATTTCCAAAATTATGTTACAAAAGGTGGGTGTCATTTTTTGTGTAAGATCCAGTTCTGCCAGCAAAGGAATAAATGACACATTTTGTAATGCTCATAAATTAGTCCATTTGTCACTCATATGCATCCTCTAGGGAACCTATGAATTGTTAAAAACACGATGTTTTTTGGTTAATTTGTGACGATAAGGGTTTCCTGAAGAGATTTAGCTGGGTTGGACAAAGATTAAGTTTGGAGAAAAATAATATCGGCTAATTAGCGATCATTATCGAAATCATTATTGAAATATTGATTGTTTTCTATATCTTGAAATGTTGAAATGATAGCAACATAATTAGTTTGTCTAAACTCGTGTTTTGAGGGTAACTGAATAAGATATTGTTAAAATATACAAGAATAACTTATTAGATAGAGTGCATAATTGCAATTTAGTATATTTTATGATTGAAATATCGCATTTATTCAGATATCAAGCTTGTAAGCTTTTGTTCAATGAATATTACTGACTAATTAACTAAATTAAGGTTTTTATTGATTTAATTTGGTTGCCAAAAATGACTAATTTCGGAGAAAATTATATATGCAAATAAGGGTAGCCATTATTGAAATATCTTACATAATTTAGAAAGTAATATATACTGTTGTTATATACTGTACTACCAGTTAATTTGCGAGTTTTAATTTCGCGAATTTTGAGAAAACACTATTTCGTGGCTATAAAATTTCACGAATTTTGAGAAAACACTATTTCACGAATTTCACTAATTACGCTAAGTACATCAACTATTATGTCATCTTGGTCAACGGCATGCTGCACCTTAACGTCTAATACATCGTAATTTTTGGGTTTATTTGATCTGATAAACCACTGTAACAGACATTGTTACTTAGTATCCTATTAATCGCAAATATTTCACAAATCCCCGGGGACTAAATTGACAATTTCGCGAAGATTATTTTCATGATTTTACCACAATCGCAAAAAGTGCGAAACTAAATCACATACGAAAGATACCAGGAGTACAGTATATTGACATATTGTTATAGTCTCATTTTGTTATGTTAATGCTTTGTTTTTACATGTTAGAGTCAGAACTGTATTTTTTAAATATTTTATCATGTCTTGATATATTGTGTCATTTTTTATTCATATGAATTATATAGGGGATCTCATGAGAAAACAATCCATAGAAATTTCTATTTATCCCAACAAAGCTCAAATGAGATAAACATGGCTGTAGTGAAGCCCTTCATCCATCCTTCTGTCTGCCTGCCTGCCTATCAACACAACCCTCTTTATGGATATTATCTATTATTATATCACTTTCATATTCCTCACTCTCTTATTGGCCCATGTCCTACACGTGACTAAAAAATAACCAGCGATATTCAACGGAATATATTCCAATGTTAACATATGACTTATTTAATTATAGAAGATGTTATGACAGTGATATAATAAAACAAATATTTAATTCTATTTTCGGTGAATACCTGTGATACTTACACAAGATGATATTCCACTAGCCCTTCGGGCTTGTGGAATATCACTTGTGAAAGATGCACTGGTATTCATTTTCGGTGAATACCTGTGATACTTACACAAGATGATATTCCACTAGCCCTTCGGGCTTGTGGAATATCACTTGTGAAAGATGCACTGGTATTCACCTCAATAGAATTAAATTGTATAATATCTCTTTGTAAATAAAAAGCTGAATATAATTTGATGTTTGTTGGGATTTGCCATGGAGTTGCATTTTCTAGTTTCACAGGCTGGTATCGAAATATTTGTCCGCTGTGACGGAGCATGCTATTTTTCATAAAAACACTAAGAATACTTCACGATTTATTTTTTAACTCATATGTTTCGTTATACCATACAAAATTACTTACTCCATGCAATGGATATATCATTTGCGGGTTACTTTCACTTCTGTTTGAAGTCCAATTACGCTGGGAAGAAAAGCTATTGAAAATGGCGCCGGAGTATCATACTTCAAAATGTACCATTTCTTGTTTAACTTTTTAATGGCACGATATAGTGACACGATAATATTTACACATGTTTTCAGCATAACTATGAAGGTATAAATGAGATGTTGATGTATTTGGTCTTTTAAATTCTTTAATAAAAAATAATGTTTAATTTTTTTGTCCGCTGTGACGGAGCAGTTGCAAATGTGAACTATGAAAATGCTCCGTCACAGCGGACAAAAAATATCAATATTATTTTTTATAAAAAAATTAAAAAGACCCAATGCATTAATATCTCATTAATACATTCAGATTTATGCTGAAAACATATGTTAATATTATCGTGTCACTATATCATGCCATTAAAAAGTTAAAAGAGAAATGGTACATTTTAGAGTTTGATACTCTGGCGCCGTTTTCAATAGACTTTACTCATAGCGTTATTGGACTTCAAACAGAAGTGAAGGTTATACGCAAATGACATACCCATTGCATGGAGTAAGTAATTATCTTTGACATAACGAAACATATGAGTTAAAAAGTAAATCGTGAAGCATTCTTAGTGTTTTTATGAAAAATAGCATGCTCCGTCACAGCGGACAAATCTTTCGATACCAGCCTGTGAGTTTGAAGACATTGTTCACATTTTGCAGATATTATGCCAACACTCATCTCCTTTTATATTATATGTAGATTTTTAATGCAATATGTCAATAAAAATTCATACTCTGAATTAAGTGTTGTTGTCAATTTTTATTCTCCATTAGTGTTTATTAAAGCACCTACTCTCCATGAGGTAGTGTGGCATAAGAGTTGGCCAAGAGCCAGTGTTTATCCTGTGTGTGTATTACAGAGTGTCTTATAAGTACATTTAATGACAATTAAGCTTTAAATTATTATTTGATAAGGAAACAATATAAAAATTCATCAAAACTCCATTTATGGTTGCCATAGCAAACTGTATGTGTAGTCTGCAAGGCAATGTGTGAATTTTATATTGCTTTCTTATCAAATTACTTTTTACAGCATAATATTACTTCTGGGACATCCTGTAGCATGAAAATGAAATTAACTGCAAATATGTTATTATCCCATCAAACGAAGTTTTGAGGGATATGGAGAACGCCTCTGTCCGTACGTCTGTCCAGGCGATAACTCAAATACTGCTGGCCCGATTTTGTTTATATTTTATACACATGTGCCCTATGTCAGTAGAACGTTGGCTCTAAAGTCGATTTTTAAAATTGCCACTCGTATCAAAATGGCAGCTGTTTTAGTGCCGATTTTACAGTAATTTAGGTACAAATGTAAAACTGTAATATCTATACGTTTCAAGGCAAAAAAGTTTGATAAGATATTAATAAAGGTAGAAATGTAGATATTTAGGAAACACATGGCAGCCATCTTTGAAAATGGCAGCCGTTACACGCTATTTTATGATTTTTGCTATAACTTCAAAAGTAGTAGAGAGATTTTGTTCTTATTTAATATAGGACGACTTAAAAGCATGGCACACTGTCTTTTGACACTGGCTTTTAGGCAGCCATTTTGACACTTTGGCTAGTACATTGCCATTTTGAAAATGGCGGCCATTTTCATGCGTGTTATTTTACATTTTCCACTGAAACTCAAAAAGTAAAAACATGGTACACTGTTTATTGACAATTTTGCTAGAAAGTGGCCATTTTGAAAAAATGTTGTTTTATGAAGTTTGCTGTTACTAAAATCGTAGTAAAGAGGACAGCCTAGGCCGTTTGATGGGATTTGCCATGCCCTGGCATTGCTGTTGTCTAGTTTCATTTTAGCAAAACAAGCAAATCAATTCATTTAGAGGTTCATATTTTATTTTTCGTTAGTTTAGACATGAAATTCTAAGTTACCAAGTTAAAGAGAGTGATAATTGGTCCAAAGTCCTTCTGGCATGCCCTGTTATTGCTAAGTTTCTAACCACAAAATCTTTTAAAATAGTGATTCAGATATTTAATAGATCAAATTAGAGTGGTTTAAGGTGCAGTGGTACTTAACAGGAAATGACAAAACAGGAAGTGACAAAAAATGTGTAATTTCCAGCTGAAAATGTTATTTCATCATATTTAGGGTCATTATGACCATGGACATTGTGATCCTGGTCATGTAAATGATATCTGGAACTATTTGAAATGACTTTGAAATCACCACTGAAAATGTGACTGAATAATAGCTAAAAGTAGCCCTCAGAAAAGGTCACTGAACAGAATCTTTTGAATTTTTCAGAAAATGTACCCAATATATTGCTCTAACTGATACAATCTTCGAAATTTAGAAAATTGTCCGAAACAAAAATGGTGGTCATAAAAAGGAAAATAGATTGCCTTTCAATTCAATGATATCACATTTTCAAAGATTGTATTACTTAGAACAATATTTTGGGCACATTTTCAGAAAAATTCAAAAGAATTTGTTCAGTGACCTTTCCAAAGGTCCTACTTTTAGCTATTTTCCAGTCACATTTTCAGAGGGCTGAAAAAGTTATTTCACCATGTTTAGGGTCATTCTGACCATGTACATTGTGATCCTTGTCCTGTAAATGATATGTGGAACTATTTGAATATCCTAGATGAGAGTAGAAATAATCTTCATTTACGTCATTAAAAATTCCAAATTCAGTCAAACTGATGTCATATTTGGAATCTACATGTAAAATTACATCTAGAAATGTGGTTCTGAAGAGTTTATCAGCTTTGAAAATTTAATTTTCTTTAAAAATGTGACTTCTAGGTCGGGAGATTCCCCATAGACCCCATGTTGTAAAACCACAAAAAGTGAAATATCTTTTCCTGTGTTGGGCAGGTAATATTTTCTTTTACTGGACATATTTTGATTTGTATAACTATCAGGGACATAAGGGTAACATAAAAAGTGAACCACTAAAACTGATGATTATTCAAGCTAAAGGGAATTTTGTAATACCCTGCCATGTTATTTCCCCCGAATCAGCCACCTGGTGGCGAAACTGGTAACTACCTACTCGAATCTGAGTAATTGACTGGAGGTCAAAACAGAACTCTGTTATCTTTGTTCAAAAAATGACACATTTTTTGTCACTTCCTGTTTTGTCATTTCCTTTTAGGTACCACTGCACCTTAAGCATGTTGAAAATATGAATTGGCAAAATAAAAGCTTGGGTCCTGTTACTTTCATTGAAATATGTGCTGTTGGAACATAGGCCTATTGAGAATGGAATATTTACACATTATTCTCTTATACGTCATAGCACTGGAAGTTTACCACATTATACAAGTATTTTCAGATTTGTAAGTACTCATTTATTTTTGCCAGAGAACTACCAAGTGGATGTATGTGACTAACTTAAAAATCAAAATTATATTTGTATATAATTAAAATATATTTCAATGAAATAATACATAACAACATGATATCACATTTACACACTGTTTATGGACGGAATGGTGCTTCATGGATGGAATTGTAACTCATGGACAGAATTGTGCTGGAAATAGTAATCCAAAACTCATTGTTTCAACAACTTCAACAATACATTTAAATGTATGAGGGTCATCTTTCAAAACTAAAGACTGGAATGGGAGCTTGGACCGTTTACATGCAAGCTTAGATATGGTGTAAGTCAATCATAACAAATCAAATAATCCCAAATATTTGCTCACTTCATCAGTTTATGCAAACATACAAAAAGCTTCAAAAGTATGATCCTTTGAATAGTTTCACTGAACATGAACAACTGATTGGTTGTTCATTCCAGTTTTGGAAATGTCCCATAATACATTTCATTAGTTTCTATCCTAGCGTCTTCATAAGATTTTCAAGTTCATCAAAGTTCTCCACAGTTTGTATATCTTTAAACATAAAGTCCATTTTATCTAAGCTATCCTGTAGAAGTTTGTACATCTGGAAAACAAGACATTATATATTATTGTTTAGTACCTAACAAGAAATCAAAGGGCCCTCTGTTAAGCTTCAATGTCCTGTTTAAGAACCCCCTATTCTAACTATTGAAAATGGATTCTACCAATAATATCCCACATGAGTCTACTTGTAGGATACTCTATCACCTTGAGTTCTTCTGAGATAATGAGGATTCTGTATCTATTCCCAGAATGATCAGATGATATCCCCATGTAAGGTCAATACACCTTTGCTGAAATCCTCATTATCAGATAAACTCAAATAGATCGAGTTGCAACAAGTAGAATATGAATATTGATAGGGAGTATTAGTACTATGGATTCCAAGTAGTAAGAAATTTGGTTCTTGAACAGGACATTGGGCTTGATTTTTAGAACTTTTCTATTTGCTCTAGTTTTACTGAACAAAAATTGTACCCATGATTGTAACCAAACACCATGGTCTTTTTCATTAAGACTGTTTGAAATTGATGAGGCCCCTATCAACAAAATTGCTTTCAACATTTCACTCATCTCATCTAATTCTTTTATATTAATCAACATTAAATATTTAAATATGTGATCAGCCTATATTGTGAACACTCGCAGAGAGATTCCGAGTGAATGTTTTACTGTAGAGCCTAGATTTACCTGAATGTATAGCTTATCTTTGTATTTTTTATCCACGGTTGGGTCAGCTCCAGGTATCGGGGTGGGGGCAAGACTGGTGGGTGTGCCTGTCCTGTTCAACGAGTCACCCACCCCTCTAATGCCACCTTTCAATTGTTTTGTGGGTGATGATGACTTTTTAGGAGCCCCTGCCTGGAATAACATTAAAATATTATTTTACAACAATATCTGACAGAAACAATTTATGTAATAAGCAGTTGTTGCCAATTTTTCCATTAAAAAATCTAAATACATAATTTTCAGTTTAAACAGGTAATTCAAGATGGCTGACTGGGACATGTAAACTTATGAGCTGAATAGGAATCAAAGACAAATATGAATTTTTTTATTGTGCAAGAAAGCTTTTAATGAATTAAAAATTTTCAAATCATATCACTTTTTAATCTTCACATTTAAAGAAATCTTGAGTCAAAAGCACCAATAAAGCAACAAAATCATTAATAAAAGATGATAGAGATGATATTATTCTGATGAGGTCTCATACCTCTTTTCCTTTTGGTGGTTTGCCAATGTCCTTTTTCTTATCCTGGGCCTTTTTGCCATCAGGGGGTCGTCCCCTCTTGCTATCAGCTGCAAAAAAACAATTTAAATTCTAAGTTAATAATATGATCAGGATTTTTGACAATATTATCAGATATTTTCAAAGCTTGAGAAAATATTCAAAACTTTCAAAGCTTGTGGCCATACTTTAATTTTAACATAAGGTATGATTAGGTTACAGATTATTTTAATTATTAGCTCACATAGTGAGTTTTATTTTTTTTTTAAATTTTAGGAGCAGCATCAGAGATTGATACACTTTAATATTATTGATGATTAATAAGTTTGAACATGTTAGATATAATGTGTAAAGTGATTCAACTAGGCAGGGTTCCTATAGACTGAACAATGAAATTTCCTGACATTTGCATCTCTTCAACACTGACCACCCCATGTTGCACGACTGGGATATCAATCAAAATTAAGGTGCCAGTATTGACACTGTAGTCCCTGCCTGAATTTGCCCTTATTGTAGAGTTAGAAACCCTGCCTGGTATGCTTTCAAGATTTTCATATAAAATAGTACAAAATCAAACATTGTATACAATAATCAAAATTATATGTACATTAATGTGGCATTATATACAATAATCTGACATTATATAAAAAAGTTTGTACACAAAACACACAGCTTGAGAAGTAGACTGTTCCAGAGCATAGATGCAATATATGATAAAAAAAATCCTAAAACAGAAGTTATATAGAATGATTCAGAAATATACTGAGATACAGTGTGCTGTCTCAAATGTATATAATATATGAATGGCATGTATTGAATGAAACTCCCCTTTGGAATACTGTATAAGTGGTAATTTTGCCTAATCATTTAATTTGCCTATAATTGCCTAATATTTTTCAGGTTTGGATAATTAAATGTTGGAAATATCATCTTTATAATGTTATCCAAATCCAATGGGAAATTTCTTGTTATTAGGAAATGATAAAATATGACCATTCGGCAAATTAAACACTCGGATTAAATACCATGTATACAGTATATAGATCAAGTGCATGTACATATACAAAGATAAACAGCCCATTAAAAGCATCAGCTTAAACAGTAAAAGTATTCATTTAAAATACAAGGATAGCAAATGACCCCTAAATGAAAGCATCTGCCAAAAGGAAGGTACAGTGTATTGATTTGATATATAAGGATAGAGTACATGTATATTTGGACCAATGTAAGCACCAGCCAGAGACAATATTGGCTTGAAATATAAGGATCAAGCATATGGTAAAGGGACTTATAGAAAGCCCAACGAGAGCATCAATAAAGTTAAAGAGATCTAGTATTGAATGAAGAATACAAAACCCTGATGATTATTAATATGTGTGTCAATTTTCAGAAGTGCTTATTAGAGAGCTTGTGCGATATAGTAATTTTTACGGTTGTTCAATTAAATGTGCAGCTCTGCAAAATACTGCAAGTGTGAAAGTAAATTACTCAAGCATTTTAGTCAGATGTGCCAGGATGGTCTTTTAGTATCACAATATTGGTGGGGAAAATATCAGTGTCAAGTATCTATGGTGAAATGTCAGTTTTTATGTTGTGTGTCACAGTATTTGTGGTAAGTGTCACAGTACACGAAATGAGAAGTCACAAAAATTAGGGTCTTTTGTCACCGAATTTGAAGAGAAATGTTACAGAAATAAGGGTCTTTTGTCACAGAATTTGAAGAGGAATGTTACGGAAATTATGGTCTTGTGTCACAGAATTTGAAGAGGAATGTTACGGAAATTGTGGTCTTGTGTTACAGAATTTGAAGAGGAATGTTAAGAAAATTTGGGGTCGTGCAACACAGAATTTGAAGGGAAATGTTACAGAAATTAGAGTATTGTGTCAATAAAAATAAAATTTGAAAAGGAATATTACAGAAATTAGGGTCTTGTGTCACAGAATTTACAGAGGAACATTACAGAAGTTGGTCTAGTGTCAAAGAAATTGAGAAAACATTACAGAATTTGGGGTCTAGTGTCAAAGAATTTGAAGGGGGTGTTACAAAATTGGGGTCTTGTCACACAGAATCTGAAGAGGAATGTTACAGAACTTGGGATCTACTGTCAAAAAGTTTGAAGAGGAATGTTACAGAATTTAGGGTCTACTGTCAAAAAGTTTGAAGAGGAATGTTACAGAATTTGGGGTCTCTTGTCAAGAATTTGAATAGGAATGTCACAGATTTGGGCCTAGTATCAAAAACTTGAATATGAATGGTTCAGAATTTGGAGTCTAGTGTCACAGAATTTGAAGGTTAGTGTTACAGAATTTGGAGTATAGTGTCAAAGAATTAAAAGATGAATGTTACAGAGTTTGGGGTCTTTGTGATCAAGTGTCTCAGTATTTGAAGTGAAATGTTAAAGAATTTGGTGTCTAGCGTAACACAATTTGTGACAATATGTTACACACAGAGCTATTGGTGTTTAGCCATAGAGTCTTGAATGGTGCAGCTGCCACACAGATTTGTGTAGAACTTACAAAGCTGTTCAGAATAGCTAGTTGCTAAACTTGATCTACGAGGACTACCTCTTCTGCGTGAGTCAGGGGTCACTACAATTAATACAAATTGTGTATTACTAACTATACTAAAGTGACTGTGATCACGGGGGATAAGCAAAACGAGGGCAGAGCCACGGACTCGCGTAACTTTACACCGCAGCCCAGCGCCAAAATGGAGGGACATCTGGCAGTGCCTTCTGCTTCTTCCGACAAAATAGAGAAATCCAGGAATTTTAAATGCAATCGTAGTGTCTAATCGGTGACCAAAATATTACTCTGTATCTACTGTTGGTCTGTAGATAAGAAAATAAGCAGTTGTCCAGATCAAGCTAAAACAGTAGGAAAGTTCTGATTTTACGTGTAAAATATGTGCATATTATTTAATTTACTATACACTTGAAAGGAGTTTTAACACGTTTCTGATATCTAAAGGTTAGTTGAGGCTCCGAGTATAATTCGTGAAAATGATTTGATAATAGAATGTGTTCATGAGGAGAAAATTAGATTCAAACTGCGCATTCATAGTGGACGCAGTCCAGTAAACAAAGCTATTTCAACAACGCAACACAGCCTCCATTGATATTCTAAGCAACGCAGTCCAGCCGCGAACACGAAATAAATAAGAAAGTGTAAACTATATTCCTACGCTATTATTGTTTCAGGAAAAGAAAGTCAGCATCCAGATTATCATTCAAAGTTACGTTAATTAACATATATCTATTACCTGAATCAATGTCCCAAATTGCTATATTGTATCGTTTAAGACCTAGAAATATGGCAATTCAATAGCGTATTTGGCAGAACAGTCGAGCGCAAGATGACAACATAATATGTTTATTACAAACCAATTTGTGGATAGGGTTAAATATATAGATAATTGGATAGTGGTGAGACTTTTTATAAGAAGTAGAAATGCGAAACAATTAACTTTTTGATGATGCAATAAAAGCTGTTGGGGAAGGGTACATTAACTAGTATTTAAGATATCATCAGGAAAATATCAAATAATTGGAGAGTTGGTGAGTTAATGTAATTTTGGGTGATCTTTCCAACAGTCCATCAATATTGCTAGCTACCATAAATTCATGATTTCAGCTGTATTTGACAGCTTGTATATATTTGCAGAATGGATTGAGACACGATGTAGGTCTATTAAAATAGCCCTTTATATTCAATTTTGTCCAAAGTTGCTCCATTTCGGCCACACCTGTACACACATTGTGCTATCTACCTTTGGCTGTGATTGCGTTCAGCTTCAGATATAAAGCAACACTGAGTCGCGGACTGCGTTGAACAGATGGATGGACTGCGACTATCAAAAATTCCAATTGTCTATGTTATTGTACGTTTTCCGCTTACCAAATATCACACGAAGATGTAATTGTAACAACAGAACATGAATAATTATATTAATTCGATGTCATTTTTGATTCCTTTGTTTAAATCGGTATATTAGGGACAAATATTGACAAAATTACATTTTTTGTGGCAGATTTCGAATTCATTTGTGTTCATGCTAAACTATTGGACAGCCGAGCACAAAGAATGCCATTGCAGGTGGACTATGAATATGTTGATCACCGACTGGAACATACTAGCTATTCTGTAGAATATCCAAACCAATAATCTACCCCAAATTCTAACATGCCTTCCAAATTAAGTTTGGACTTACCGCCATTGTTCAGCTATAATGCGTTGTAATCTCGTTTTGAATTACGCGAGTCACAGTCCGTGGCTTCGCCCTCGTTTTGCTTATCCCCCGTGGTGATATAGCCCAAAAATTAAATATTAATTATGTTATAATTATACTTAATTATTAGTATCATCATATAAATGTGATTCATAAGCCTGGTTCATTTAATACATTTCAACTGATGGTTCTTCTCAATTTCAAATTGATGAACCTCTAAAGGTAGACATGATACCTCTATTGCCTGAAAGATCTTTGAATGTAGTGTTGACCTCATACTTTTGTTAGGTCAACAGTGCATTCAATGCTGTTTGAATGCAATTTTTGGTGCAGGGTTTTAAATCAGTGATGCATGGTTGAAAGCATAACTACATGCGCTTAACCTTATTCAAATAAAAAAGTAAAAAGTCAATGACTGACAAAACTCAACCAAACCTATACCAATTCGAAATTAGAAAATGAAGTTTATAAAAAAGAAATAATAACAGGTTCTAGAGAAAGTGGAAAGGATTGGAATGTTAGAAAGAATGTAAAATAAATACAATTAATAAAAAATAATGTTCTTGTAAAATGACACAGATAAATTTTAAAAAGTAGTTATGTTGTAATGAAATATAATGACAACTGACAACATTATGCGAAACATTAACATTTACCCTATAAAACTTGTTTTCACTAAAAGCAATAATACTGATAGAAAGTAGAAGAGACGAAAAATGTCAAGTGCTAATACAAATGAAATACATGTAAAATCATAACAGGTCAACATTCAAAAATAAAGTGAATCTGCTTCTTATTTATATGTGTATAACTGATAAACCATACATTAAAGACTTTATAACATTTGACAACATTATGCTAAACATTAACATTAATCCTATGTGACTTACAGGTACGTCCTGGTTCAGGTGTTGATCTACAGGAGGAGGCTAATAGAAACAAGGGCGGTGAAAGGGTTAAACTTGTTCTATATGGTTTGAAATTGGTGTATTTACTTATTTCAAATATGACATGGTTATATCACAACAGGTTTTAGCACTGTATTCGAAGCATGACTGCCACCAGCTAAAACTGATAAAGCTGCAATCCCCAGGGTGTGGCATAAGCTTTGAACATTGACCAGTGAATTAATGTATGTCTGCATGATGATCATTTTGATGGCAATACTCACAGGAGTCATATGTTAATTTACAGGTAATCATAACTCACTCCACACAAACATGGTTTACATCTTCGATGTTATGTTTTAAAATTATGTTCAATAATTTTCCAAGATAGATGAGTCTTCTTTTTGTAAACTCTATTTGCACAAATATGCATTCTCTGCAAAAAAATTGAAAGATGTGAACCATTTGTGAAATTGGTTACGTTTACCTGAATATAACAAATGATTACAATCAGGAATCATTTTATTTTAATTTGTCATCATACAAAACTACCTTAACAACAGACCAGCTAATTCAGCATGTATAGGATAAGTTGACAACTGGTTAGTCTTACACCATACAGTAAAGACTTCCCTTTCCCTTCTTTGCTACTTGTAGAAGATAGGTTTGTAAGGCAGGGGGTGACAAGGCCTTAAAGTAAGGATAAAAACTGGTCTGCTATTCAATTTTGACCAGAGGTTTATAATACAACCTGACAATACAGTGAAATAACTAAATATTTTGCGACTTACATTGTTTCCCTTCTCTCCCTCCTGATTGATAGCAAAAAAGAAAACAAACATTGTCCTGATAACCAATATTATACAAAAAATAAACCTGTAACACACCAAGATATATCATTTTGGTAACTGCTTTCATGATTACAGATTGAACTGATGTAGGCCTACATGTAATGCTAATGTACATATGTCTTTTTCACCTAGCAACTAATTACATACACCTCACCAACAAAAGTGCATCTATATCTCCAATGTTTGAAAAATCACACATAGCAGCTAGCCAATTAGAACACAGTATAATATGCATTCTATATTTTATAACAGATGAATGGTCATTTTAAGAATCAATAAAAATTGATTATTCTCATCAATTTCATAAATTCATAATATTAAGTTGGCAGTTGGATGAAAAGGCTTATTGAGGTCAAAATGTTCATCTTGCAAGACTCTTGAAAAAATTTTAGGGTTCTATTTCATTCTTTATAGCAAAGTGTTTCTTTAGCTATGTGTGAAAAGAATTAAAGCAAATAACTCAATGAATTGTGGGTGTTTTAATGCACTCTTGCATGCTTGAATTCAGGCTCCTGCGCTCATCCAAAGTCTTATACCAACCCTCATGCTTAACTTGCACCACAATTCATTGAGCAATGACCTTATATCTTTAACAGCCTTTAATATAGATGCAGAAGACATGTAGTAAGAGATGATAAATAATGTAAAGACATGGAGAATATACAAACACAATGTCAGCACATAAAATAATGAAAACATTTGGATATACAATCAGAGAAGAGTTTGGAAACATCTATGCATCACCAAAGTCAAATAAAACAAAATGCATTAATGTTTCGAGAAAAGATAAGAAATAACTATAATCATTCTATACAGTAACTTTTGACACTACTTTATACATATTGGTCTGCCTATATGTATATTTTCTAGTTGTTCACTTCACCTTATTTATTTGTTTTTAATATTTATTTTGATAAATAAAGTCTAAAAATAAATAAATATTCACATGCCACCTTTGTAGTTCTAACTTACTACTACAGATGTCACTGTTCATGCTGTTTTCTAGGCTTGACGCATTATTGTCTATATTATAATAAAAAGATAGAAAGAACTGAATGTGAATAAGTACATTATTTGCAAAAATTACTTAATGCACTGGATGCTCTGGATTAAATATATGAGCCTGTTGCCAAAGGTTACTTCAAGATTGTTCCGAACTGTTGTAAAAATTCTCAGGCCATTCTTGACAATGTGTCTCTGACAATTTAAATTGACATAGGCTTACAATCCAATAATCTAGTCTGATGTGATTTTTCTTCAAATTGTCCAAAACACATTTCATTGCTGTATTTGAGAAAATTGGAATACTTAATTGAACAAAAGCAAAATCCCAAATATTGGTAAAATAGCTCAATTTTCTAGGTTGCAGTATACTTGTAGCAAGCAATTAACATATGATGCTTAAAACAATTATTTCACTAAATGATACTTACAGACACCCATGCACTTTTACCAGGGGCATGCTCCATATATGGGAGGGGGTATTTGGATTCATGCAATTCTTAATGATATTGGGAATAATCTGACAATCTGTTATGATATCCCTTATATTTCCCTTGCATTTTAAGTATCCCACTGCTTCTCAAAAATGTTATGCTTATATTATGTTTTGTCTTTCTCTTTCACAATGCAACTATGACAATGCATTTGTTGTATATTATGATTGAATTTTGAGAATCATAATTTGCAATATTTTTGAGCAACAGACCCTGGGATTCTTATTCCAGTTTTATTGTTTAAATATTTATTTCTTCATGCAAAAGTTTACCATCTTCTACTGAGGTTTCTTCATCATTTACCAAAGTAGTTTCTACTTCAACTAAAAGAATAAGTAAGCAATATAGAATACTGCCCAGACATGCCTGATAAATGTATACCACTCAATTCATTTAGTACATGAGCAATCTAACCCATATACTCACAGGCCGACCAAACTACCAGGTAACATTTTTGAAAATCAGGAAAATCAGGGCCATTTAAATAGAAATTGGGAGATGGCAAAATCAGGAGCTCTGATTGTTTCAAGATTTGGCAGGACTATGGAAATGAAGGTGATTGATGTATTTCAAGTGCATTCTTGAATTTTGAGAAAAAAAGAAAAATGTTACTAGTAAGCAAAATGTAAAAGCATACAATATACTAAATCAAAACAATTCGTGTCACTCGAAGATAGTCGATAATACTGCCCATTCTTGATTCTTCATCAAATTCTCACAATGAAAGCCAAATTAAATATTCATCATTGCATTTCCTCATAAAATTGGGCTTTTATATTTGTATTGAAATGTTAAATACTAAGAGTTCATTGGTATACATACTTGGATCAGTTGGCAACTCATCCTCCTCTTTGTCAGGTAGACCCATCACACTTCTTAGCATGACACTCTGTTGCACCATGTCATCCACAGCTTCACTCAACAACTGGTACCTGCAAAACATTTACAACATTACTGTTGTGTTCATCTCACATACTTAACATATAACGGGCATATAACATGTATAACCAAATCGTACATTGTACATTTTAAACACAATACCAAAATGTACTTCTTTCATGTATTTGTTACAATATCGCGATGCTCAAAATATTTAAAAATATTTAAATGGCCCATCATAAACTAAGATAAGAAAACAGTCTCAAAACCATATACAATGCAATCGTCATGTTATGGTGACTATGATCTGATCATAAGGGTACCTACCCAACAGAGTACATTTTCTGTTGTGTTGCATTGAATGCAGGGAATGATAAAGTAATCATAGCCAAGTTCATCCTCTGTAGGAATTCTTCCTTCCTTTCATCATCTTCATCCATTCCCATCACCATCTAGAAGAGATCAAATGGGCTTAAACTATGCACAGACATATGTCGACAATTCATGTTGACAATTTGTGTGTGGTGTCATCAAGGTTCACTGAATCTTGTTGAAATGAATTCATAAGATCCCTCTACATGTGGGTTTATATAAATGTATAATAAATCTTATTGAAAGAACATCTCAATACATTTTTATATCCCATAATTTCATAAACATTCGATGGATTTGAGAATAGAAGCGTGCAATGTAAGAGAATTGTGTAAAAGTAAAAAAGAGAACAGAATTATTATCAAACACATGCAAAATTTCAGACTAAGTCTCAATAATGATAATCAAATGGTATGACATGCATATACCATTTATTCCAATTGTGACATTATCCGATGAATATAGATTATGGCCAAGTGAATATAATGACCAACATTTCTAAAGATGTGATAATATTACAAAAAAGAAATAATAATGTAAATAGTAATTGTCAATTTTTGAAGCAAATGGACAATTAGTTATAGTTCCAAAGTATAATTTTACCCATAAAATAAATTATATAAAATAATCAACTTTTTAAAATTTCTCCAACATATTTAAGAATGGTACCCAGTAAATAGACATAAAATCCAAGAAGTGTGCTAACAGTGTGTAAAAATATACAGTCCAGCACATAGCCCCAATAAAACAATAATAATTGGCCCCTGTAGCATTGTGTTGCTTTGTGCATTTAAGGGATGTGTGTTGGACTGTATTGAATAGCCACCAATGTATTTTTAAATGAAGAGAAAGGTGGCAGTTACTTATGAAAGACTAATACAATTGGTGTTAGATGTTATAAACAAAACTACCTTGTTAGCTTTATACATCCTTCTCCTTAACTACATAAAATAATCACAACACTTGTTAAAATTAAATAAGTAATACTCTCGATATTAGCTTTCACTATAATACTGGTAAGTAACTTTACAACAATGCATTAAAGCAGCAAAATGTCACAACCTGAATGACAAAGTTGAAATTACTAATATCCAGTCACCTGCTACAGAACATATGGCAAGGCCAATCAGTGATGCCAAATACTGGTCATGATGGCTATAAAAATTCACAACTTCTTGATGGTTACATAAAAGGCAAACACATGTACACAAATTAAATATCAAATAAATGAGATTTTGTGCAATACTTACTTCCTTAAAGTTCTGAACGGAGAGATCCCATTCTCGGAACTCACGCTCCTCTTCTGGGAAGAACTCCTTATATAGCTCTCTGAGGACATTGACAGCCTCGTGGTTGTAGTGCATCTCAGTGTTCTCCCGCTGGAATATCTCCTCATCTGTAATGTAGGCATCTATAGGAGACAGCGCCCGATCAGGTGTCTTAATACCATCTGTAATGTCATGGAGGATCTGCTGGATTATCTGTTCAGCCTGTTTTCGTGCTAGCTCTTTCTGGAAGTGCAATATATGATACAATTTAATGATGTAATGTGACAGAGGGAGACTTACACAGCAATAATAAAAGAAGTCCAGGATATTTAAAGTAAATAATTATGAAATAAAAATAATTATATGAGGTATAATGTTTCATGTTCCATATTTACAAAGGTGACGGCAAAAAATATCCAATTTCTGTGAAATTTAAAATTTTTAACAAAAAGATTATTTCAACGCTCAAAGAATTATCATATAAATTATTATCCCTAATATGATAATACCTCAAGTTCCCTCCTCTGCTCATAGAATTTATCTTCCTGTAGAGCCACACCTCTCAAGGTAACCATTAGGGCGGCACCACCACATACAACAGGCTTTGTCTCAAATTGCCATTGCTCCGTGAAAACCCCAGAATTCGGGGATTTGAAAACAAATGGGAACTTCATTGTATCACCAGGGAGAATCACACCTAAAATATAACATGTTGAAAAATTCTTAAACATAGAACAGACAATGTAAGGATTGCAACTTTGTGAAGCAGTCTAAATATTAAAGTTACAATAAGAGGATGAGACGCTGGAAGTCATTGAAAAGTGTGATTCTTTATGAAACATTATTTAGCCATTTGATAAATTTCCTTGATCATGAAAACAACTGACCATTGCTTGTGTCAAAGTAGAAACGCTGAACCCTGGCATTCACAATGTCAAATGGGTTGGTCTTAGGTAATCTCTGAAAAACAAAAAAAACACATAATTGAAAGAGTATGTGCATCTATATCATAACATATTGTCAGGTTTATACTATTCCACAATTCAAATAAAGCTAGAATGAATTTTAGTACAGTTGGAGTCTGAAATGTGTTATAAATGTTCAAAATCAATAGTCAAAACTCTGCATCAGACAATATAGGAATGTAGGAGGCATGGCTAGATATTTGTAAATGTCTTACCTTCCAGTCAAAATAAATACTTGTAGTGCCATCATTTTTGATCTCCAGAAAAGATGTGCAACGCTGTCCTGAGTAGCACTCGAATGACACACGGGCCTCAAGTCCAACTCTACCCTCAAAACTATGGGAGTCACCAGTCCAACGTGCAGCTTGTTGGGCAAATTGGAGAGAGGGGCCAAATATGGGTGCTGGGATTACATCAGGGTGGTTACGTAATGGATCCCTGGAAGCACATGTATATATATAAACGTTGCATAACAATGTGGTATAATAAATATGCAGTAGCCTGCACACTCAGAAAGTCATTTCATATAAACTTTATGAGGTGGATCAACTTTAGGTATATCACAGTTTATTTCAAGTTTTATACCCCATCCAAATAACTGGCAAACATGATCTTTTTCATTAAGAATATATGTACCGGGTACAGTAGTTGTCTCCAAAGACTACATATTCATAATAACCAATGCATACTCACAAGTTCAACTCTTCTTCATCTAAAGATGCTGTCATCCCTCCATCAGAGATGATGGTTGGTCCATCTTCCTCTATCTGCTGCTTAGAGGGGGTCTTAGGGTAAGGGTTGGAGGTCCCTATTATCTCAAGGTTGGTCAATTCCTGGAGGAAACAATTATGAAATTAAAGTTTCAGTCAAAATATTTATGTCTCAAAATGTTCTCAGACTAACATACTTTTATATTAGTCTCAGCTGGACTAAACCTCAGGAGCCCCCCCCCCATGTGATTTAACATGTAAAGGGCATATATAACCAGACCCTAAATCAAACAATATTAGATAGTCTTAAATTTCATGTTAAAAGTTACAAGTACAAACTGCATGCATGAACAATAGCATTCAGTAAGAGGAATTCCAAAGATTTTTCAGATACAACAAAGCTTGTAGGGATAAAATTAATGACATAACCTAGCTATGATATTAAAACTTACTGGCTTGTGAGGGTCAAGGTCATTAATGACGGGCGCCAACTGCTTAGTCCTGTCTTGTAGATATGGGGACTTGTGCCATGGGTAGTGGATGGGGGTCTTGGGCCTCTGCCAAAATGAACCTATAAAACAAAACCACACTGTGTTATTAAATGTATGGATTAGCACGATTCACAATTGTATGATTTTATTCCATGTTATAGATAAGACATATGGGTGAGAAATTTGAAGATGTTATTAATGGTGAACGTTTTGTGATTCCTATCTAATGAAATGTATGTGTTTTGACCTGTTTAGAATACAAAAACTCATCAGTATTAATCCAAACAATAAATAAAATAAAGCATACGAGCAAGGGATGATCATTATCTGATTTTTTAAAAATACAAATGTATGTTACTATAGTGGTCACATACTAGGAGTTCATTTGATTTTACTTGATTCGTTTCCAAAAATGTATTTCTAATTTGATTCCTACAATAGATTTTACCTAGCAAAAGATTTACATGGATATAGTGCACATAGTGCAGCACTACCCATCATGCAAAGCACATACAAGCTGCTGAGTACGCTAGTGTAACTTTCACGATATCCAAAGTCAGCCAATGTTGAACTTTGATGTGAGTAAGGAATAACATTAGGAACAGATGTAACAACAGCTTTTAAAGTGGTACTTATGAATTATTCTATGGCAAATAAACACATCACATTCTATATAGAGAGCATCCTTCAATTATTTGTCAGAGTCTAGTAATTTTTAATAGAAAATACTGTAACAAGCATATAATGAAGAGAAGCATATAAACTAAGCAACAAAAGTCAAACACAATCTTTCTAATTGATAAAAAGCAATTTTTGAGTTTCAAGTCATATTATACAGAAAAACAGATGCACAATAGAAAGCAGCACACCAAGATTACACCATAAATGCTTGGAAACATATATGTGGTTTTTAGACCTGAGGAGGCTGGAGTTGCCACATGAGTCCGACAAGTCCCATTTTATCCCCTTGCAAATTAATTCTTCATTTTCCCCTTGTACCATCAATTTATAATTCATGATTCCCCTGCAATCTAATTCTCAACCCAAGTTCACAATTTCTGATTCCTTTTTTAACTCCTTGATTACTTCATTCCACATTTTTTATTCCCATGTTATCTAATCCCTCATTTGGACTCTGTGGCAAGCTCCCCCTACCAAATAAATGTCATAATCCCTTGCATTTAAGGCAGCAATTCAAACAATATGAATGTTTCAATCAAGCACACAGATATACCTTTCTTATAATCCGTCTCTCCTGGCAACAATAAAACATCATATAAATAAACAACATACAATAAACATTTATAAAAAAAACAATAAAGAGGTTGTGTCCAAATCATGGAAAGACATGTAGTTAGTTTTTTATTTTGGCTTTACATGCTCCTCTTCAAATTGTTTTAATAGTATTAATTGGAATAGTTGAAATGAATCCTCCCCCAGTCAGAATTTGGACACAACCCCCAAAAATAAATGATAACTGAAACTATTAGTTATTCCAGTAAGTAACCATTGACATACAATTCACAAATCAAACATAACAAAATGCGTAAAATAAATGCAATATAATTTTTGCTTATTCATTAGACAGAATAAATAAAATGTAATAAAAAGTGTAATACAGTCTGTAGTTGGTGTCATAAAGAAATAAATGACAATGTGCTTAAATAAGGATACTAAACTAATTGTTTTTAAATAAATTACAAAAATCTAATCATAAATAACGTAACTTAAAATTCTGAATGATGTAAAATATATAGTCTTTTATCAAACCCTCCATACCCTCCATAACATACCCACCTTCTACTACTGTAGAAGGGACAATAAGGAGAGAGGGACTTGATGCAAGACTATCCAAATAAGTAAACAAAGAGTTCAATTCAACAAAGGGGAGATCAATAAGTAATGGAACCTTTTTACACATGATAAGAAAAGCATCCATTACTTATCAATTACCTCTCATATAGACATAACAATGTATCAACATTATGTATTCACCACCAATGCAGATGTGTTTGCAGATACCATACATGAAATAGCAAATCATCCAAGCATGTATGAGTCATAACAGTCTTGTACATAGCTCTAAAAATGTGGCAGTCATTCTTTCACCATGTTAATGTGCTGAGAGCTATGACTTAAACTGTAGATTAGTAGCTTGAATTGAAAATACCTTTCTCTTCCTTGATACTCTGAGGTACATCAATGTGGTCTACAGGAGCAGGGTACCCTCTCTCGGTCTGTGTCAATGTCATACTGTAAACAATAGTACAGTATAATAGTTATCATCCATTTGATATTATTAAGATTTTACACCTGTTTGCAAAAAGTTCATGTAAATGCGAAACATTTATATTATTGAACAAATGTATGAATCAATGTTTTGGTCTATAAATGCTGTAAATTAATCACCAGGTTCCATGGTATTTGATTGACTCAGAAAACCTGACATCCATAATGATATAGATTATGAGTGATAGTTTGAGTAATTCCCGCGTTTGATAGACTCAGAATTAATACCGAGATTAAAATCTTTTAATGCAGGGATTAAAACTTTTAATACTGGGATTTCCAAAGCACTTGGATACGATTATATCTTCTTACATTTTAACTTTTAAACATGACAATCCATTTAATATTTTATAGACATTTTACTGTATGCATTTAACTGCAACATTTTTATTATTAAAAAAAACTTCAAATCTATTGTATTTTATTTATGAGTTTTGTTAAAGTATAGTAATTTAATACTCGTTAGAAAATTACCCTATTACAATAAGTTGACACTCGTTAGACAACTACCATATTATCGCCCACTAAGATCGATCTTCAATTACTTAATTATATTTCCGAATTTTATGTTGCCGTTTCTGTTTTACATTCGGCAATCGGCAACTTTATATCCACGGCAATATTTCATGTTATACAGTACTCATCTTTTAACTAAATTAAATATTCAAACTCAGGAAAGAGTTCAGAACGAATACAGAATTTGAGTTTTATATACTTTTGAGATTATACTTACTGCATCCCTGTTATGTCATCTCCAATTCTCTCTTGCTGTTTCCAGAACTCACTGCCGATACGATCTAAAATATTTAATGAACCAGGTTCAAACTGCAGTTATTTTGCTTCTCAATCAATATATACATAAGGATTAAAGAACATGTTACAACTTGCATAAATATTCTTCACAGATCATTTTTCATGAAAAAGTGTTGGTCATTTCGAAAAAAATTAAGCTAGCAAAAGTGGTTCAAGGCATTAACATGCAAAATGTCACCACCTGCCATTTGTTACAGACAATGAACGCCAACTGCTAGACACCATCCACAAAAAGTTGGAGACTATAATAATATGTCACCACTTTTGGTGGTGACATAAAAATAGATTTATGTTAATTAGCTCAGAGGCAGACATTTTTTCTTTCCATTAAGTATAATTTTGAACCCAGGTTGACAACTGATTCATATTAAACTATTTCCTGATATACATTCATGTTTTATTATTTATTCTAATTTGATATATCTACTTACAGCCCTTCCCATAATCCATTGCTGGAATAGATCGGTCTATCAAGTATCGTGTCTCCTGTGTCTTGCGATAATTGTCTGCCTGGTTCATGACCAGCTGCTCTGGGGCTTTCTGGAGGAGGGCTGAAATATAAATATAACGTTCCTGTGACTGACATTTTTTCATAATACATATTCATGTACATGTTTTTTATAAATGTAAATAAACAATTATATCGAGGGTACATGAGATTGCAACAGAGACAGTCATGTACGAACATCAGTGATTTAGATTGTTTTTCTATGACTGTCTCTCTTGCAATCTCTTGTACCCTCGATAGATATGCAAGTTAGCTATCCAACACGACAAGATGCATTCCAAGGTAATTTCACATAAAAACTCACTTGAGATGTATCCTTGTTGTTTCTTGCGATCAATCATCTTTTTGTGCCAGTTAACAAGTGCATTACTCTGCTCAGTTGACTGGTACTTTGGGTGAACTTTCTTCTTCTTGGCATACTTGGCTGATGATGGTCTCTCCTGAACATTCAAGCCACCAGGAACAATCAAGTCCTAGAAAGAAAAGTACAAATATACTGAAACCTGGGTACATGGCATGGCCTTGGGATGAAATGTCTACAATTTAGAATTGCTCTACCTGAAGTAAGTTCCACATTTTTACTCTGTTATAGTGTGCTATGAAACAAAAATATTGGCCTCCTCTTTTGTTGGCATCTGACCTTAATTTGCAAATTTTCCATTTGACCTGAATTTGCAAATATTCCATTTCATGTTTGTTTTCATATTTCCAATCATATAATGAATTCACAAATGTTGAATGCAATTTCAATTTTTCAACCCAAGTTCAGAAACAATTTATGACAACAAAAAATTAATAAAAATGTCTTACTCTCTCTGTCAAATCTCCAGCTTTTATGCCTTCAGTACGATAATCCTCCAATGTTCCCAGAATGCTGTGTGGGATGACGTTACCAGTAGCATCGAACCTTGGCCCAGCGGCCCCTGATAAACTCACAGGCTTGAGAGGGGCATCAGGAGGAGCAGGTTTCAACACAGTTACCCTGGAAAATATAAACAAAAGGTAAGAGCATGGTTTTATCTGTGGCTCCTGGAATATGCTACCATGCATTGTTGTACAAAATTCATAACCATTGACCAAAATTGAGATTGTTGTAAGTAGTAGAACTCTGCATCCAGAAATGACTGCTTAATGAAGACTTTGACAATGAATGTGTGCCTTGTCACTCAAAATGGTATCTTGTCCTAATATTAAAGCAAGAAGTAACCAAAAAGTAGATGATATTTGGGCGGAGCTGCATAAACTGGTAAAGTGAATTGCAAGCTTAGTGAAAACTAATTATGATATGAAAATGTGATCCTTTTTCTCAGGAAAAAAATTCATCCTCTTTTGCTAAATACATCATTTTTGTTCTCGAAATAATTCATAAAATTTGATTCTACTTAATTGAAAACATAGAATGAAATTATTTTAATTGCTCAACTGTATATCAAAGCAAACCCTTGCATTATTTATGCAAATAACAAATTGAGATATATCGGTAAATAGGTTTTAATAAGCATGTACATAATGATGTACATGGACACCTGTATTCAGGTTTGGTATCAATATGCTTGGGGCCAATTTAAAACAAAATAATTGAGACATACTATATGAACCAATTTCAAACATTAGCATCAATTTAATTGTCACTGCACATGTACTTGATCAATTTAAAAGCAAGTTTTCATTTTGCTCATTTAATTGGATGTAAGCATCATCAGTTCATTCTATTCTGTATCTATACATGCCACAATCAAATATTTCAAAATGTGGTCAATCGTAAGACAATACCAGAACAATAAAATCATTTTGTCTTTAGTAGGCATACAATGGATGATTTTACTCATGTATATCTTTCTCACAACACATCAAGATATGTGCCTACAGCGAAGGATCAACATTAAGGATTCTACTGAATATATAAACCTAACAGAAAATACAAAGAAAATACAAACAGGATCATTTAACACAAATAAATACACAGAGCTGACACAAAAGATATCTAGGTTGGAAAAATCTCAATCTGAAACAATTAAGAATCCTGCTATTGGAGCAAATGCTAAAGATGGAGAGACAAGGGGAAGGTTTATCAATGAAACTAAACCACAAATCTGTGTAGTGTCACTAGGTCTAGGAATTGGTAATCGAATCTTCCAATTTGCTGGAATATTTGGAATCACAAATGGTACTATTTTGCCAACATTTTCAAAAACTGCCACAACTCTAATGGATACTTTCAATATTACACTTCCAGATAAAAGCATGTCCTCAAAGTGTGAGAAACAAGTCAAGGAAAAATACTGCTGCGTGTATGATAAAACATTCACACAGGCTAACTTGGAAAATCTCTCCATCAGACCTTATTTCCAAACTTGGAGATATTTCCAGCACATGGAATCAAAGCTCAGATCCGCTTTGAAATTCCATGAGAAAATATTACAAACAGCACGAATGAATCTTAAAAAATTGGGACTGAATAAAACTGACACAATGGTGAATATTCACATTCGGCGTGGAGATATGCAATTTTATGGAAAATATGGATTTAAGGTTGCACCAATGAGTTACATTAACCATAGCATGGAATACTTCAAAAAGAAATATCCAACTGCCAAGTTTATTGTATACTCTAATGACATGGTATGGTGTAAAGCCAAACTAGCTGGCAATGAGAGACTTGTGTTTGCAGAGAACAACTCAGTGGCTGTTGACTTGGCTATGGCATCATTAGGGACACATACCATAATGACTGTAGGGACATTTGGGTGGTGGCTGGCCTGGTTCACAGGGGGAGAGACTGTATATTACAAAGACTGGCCTATACCTAACTCACCTCTTGCAAAGTCAGTTAAACATGAAGATTATTTTCATCCCAATTGGAAAGGAATGATATAATTAGTAACATCCATTAACACTCACATTGTTTTTACTGATCACTTTAATTAAATTATTAAAGCTTGTGGCTTGCTCTATGTATCTTACTTGTTAGTTTTCTGTGAATATTATTCCAAATACATGTTTGTTTTAGGAGTTGAAATGGTTTACTGAGATTCTAAATGGTACCTTTGTACTCTCTGTTGTCCTGAAGAGTATACATATGCAGGGGCGTAGGAAGGTGTAAATTCAACACTACGCCAAAAATCCCGCCAAAAATATGAAACAATTGTGTCAATATTCTATATCAAAACGCCTATTTTATGCTCGTAAAACGTCATTTTATGGTAACAGAGATTTTAAGCTTGCAATGTTTTTCACAACCTAAATCTGAACGGAAATTGAGCGATGCATTTGCACGGGCGATTGGTCATACGTATAGGTTGGCGTTTCGATTTTATATGCAAGCTTTAAATCCCTGGTACCTTTTTAATGTGCTTTAAAATGTTCGAATGATTTTCATCATCACCTTGGAAAGCCTATCTTTTAAATCTCGACACAAATCATTCTCACTTTGCAAATGTCTCGAATGATTGAGACAACCAATTTCCAAATAACAAATTTTTTAATCATTTTCGAATAATTGAATTTAGATATATAGTATTGTCTGATTCCATCGTGTACCATGCAATACAATACGTACAGATTAAAGAAACTAGTTTGATCAATTGATATAAAGAAACGCATTCGTGATCAATGAAACAAATAAACACCCCCACCACAAAGGTCAAATCGAGGTCAACGTGACTTAGGGGGTGCCAAAATGTTATAAAACAAGAATCTATTATTTCTCAAATTTCTAGAACTGAAATCAATGGAACGTGAATAATCAGCAGTTTCAAGTTGTTTTTGTCGTTAACATTCATATTTCAAGAAGTACTTCCAATAACAATTAGTGATTTATTAAGAAAATAGATAATTGCTGACTTAACTATAATTTCTGTCTATGATTTTGCCTGGCAACTACCCTGAGTGCAGAGTTTAGTTAAACTACTATGAAGACGGAGCTCTCTTTTAAGAAGTGAAGTTGAACGAATGCAAAGGGTACCTGGCAACGGAATATAAATCGATGTAGTGAAATTGAAAAATTGGGGTAGGGGAGAATAAAAAAATAAAAATGTAAATTTAAAGAGGTTCATCATTATAATTATATGATACCATACGAGTTTGCATAATAGCATTACGGAACATGCTCTCAAATTCGTGAAGAGAACGCGATCCACGAATATTTGGCGAAATTGTATTTTACTTTTAAAATTCAGAAGATATTCAATAGTGGCTCGATTTTCATGAAATAAAGCATGTTGGTAAGGGAATTCAATCTGTTAAATGATATTTGCCAGACAGACCAATAATGATATGGTATCCACATATATCTACGCCACTGCATATGCACTACAAGTCCATTATGAAAATGATCAAATATATAAGCATCAAATGTCAGAAATAACTGTACTATCCCATCTGCTTAGTCACCCTTAAGTAATAAATGATTTTGATGTAGCACAGTTAAGTGCAACAGAACAGAAGCGTATGCTACACTTACATTCTAGGTGTTGGTTTATCCCATTCTGACTGTGGCTTTAGTTTCTTGACAACTATACGGCTAGATACTGGTGTCTTTTTGCCTGTAGGGGGCTTTGGCTCTCTCAACTAAAGTAAAATAAAATACATGTTACTCAATGTTATCAATGAGGGCAAAATTGCAATGTAGGTTAAATACCAGAAAATTACAGTGTTTTAAATAATCAATCTGGTAATAATATAATATTTAAATCAATTGATTCTAATTAAAGGCAGAATCAGAGCTAAAGGGGGTGACAAAATTGCACCGAGTACAACTGACCCTACAATGCATTCTTTATCATTTCAAATAAAATATCTCCTAAAATATTCGCAGTATGTCATCTATTGGTGAAGATATAAGATTCAAACAACACAATTTGCCAAGGATTCTCCCAAATAATAAATGTGGTAGAGATGAACACATTATTGGTAATACTTTTTGTGTTTCCTCAAAAAAAGTATGTACAATGGGGAATTTTAGAAAATAGACATAACAAGGAATGATATGAGCCTTAAATATTCAATAATTGAGACAAATCTTTTCATGCTCGCTATTTCTCACACTGAATTACATTCATCTTAAATTCCTCTTGAGGCAATATCTAATAAGGCATTAACAAGGCAAAATGTCACCCTGTGCCATTTGTTACAGATTCCAACCACCGAATGCCAAACACCAACCAACGAACACCATCCACAAAAAGTTGGAGACTTTAACAATACAGGGTATGCCAAAATTTTTTAGAAGGCTAGAAAAGTATCATAACATTATGGTATTGAGATAAAAAAAAAATTTGAGAAACTTATATGATAAGCCATACCGTATTCTCTGTAATTAGCGCCCAGGGTGTTTAGAAAATTGAAAATACATTATTTAGACCATTCTAATAAGCGCCCATGTATGAAAGAAATCAGAAATCCCGAGGAATTTCATGTATGGAAATTTTTCTTAATAAGAATGCATTTTCTTCAACATATTTTTATAATAATATGACAAGTGCTGTTATTGGAGAGAATACGGTAAAGATCGCTTAGACAATATTGACAGTGGTTGAAGACCCGTCTATGTCTAATTTATTTCCGGCACGCCCACTTTGTCATTATCGCCGATTACCTTCAATTTTTCCACTAGAGACTGCTGGATATCGATCTAAAGTTATACATTATTTCTAATTTGATGAGAGATCATCATTATTCGTGCAAAAGTCGTGTAAAAGTCGAGAAACATTAAAAAGAAACCAGAAAGTTCACGACCTTGACATGCGCAGAACATCTGCGCAGTAGCTTTTGAAATTTCTGAATGCCGATAAAGAACAATTCCTTCATTCAATATGGACTATTTGGAGACAATATTAGCATGGTATGGTGTGGGAAGCACCCATCGATAGATATGTATCGAGAGGATGCATAGAATTACAAAACGCGTCGTGTTTACAGCAGTTTTAGGGTAAGTACTCTATTATCGCCCGCTCCTGGATTTTGAGAAATATTTTTTTCCTGATATATTCTTCAATTCTTGTTGATTCCTCGATGTTTCTTGAACTTTGTGAAGCGGGGTGGGCGCTTATTAGAGAGTGGGCGGTAATTACAGAGAATACGGTATTTTACCATTCAAATACTAAAGCTAATACTGACTTCAATTTTTGTCACATGTTTGAATATTAATAACATGTAGTGTCATGTATATGTGGATCAAGTTTATGAGCATTTGAATATTTTCAGAAATCAAACTTTTTGACTGACAAGGCTCATGCTATCAAGTATTTAGCTCCATAAAGATATAAAAAAGCTGTTTGAGGTACAATAATTCTGAAGATACAAGCAGAAGATGTTTAAATATTTCCACATTTTTTCACAATGTAAAGGACATCTACCTTTGTCAAATCTTCCTCTTTGATGGCCAGGGCAAGGATCTCATCGTTAATTATAACATTTCTAGAAGCAGCCCGATCTTCCTCGGGTAGTGCATCTTGGGATAAATTAGGAGTTGTTGATTTCTCAGGTGTTCCATCACGTTTTTTCCCTTTTAGTTTATCTGAAAATATAAAAAAAAATTGTAATATAATTTTGAATCAACAAATAATTGTTACTCTAAATATTTATCTACACATGAATGCACCTAAAGTTGCAGTTACTGACCATCTTGTAAGTTCTTATTATTAATGGCAGATTTATCGAGGGCTGAACTCCTTCTTCCTCCTTTTTGTAATTTTCCACGGGGATCTGTTTTAGATGATCCTTTAGAAGACATATTTATATCCACTATTTTTAGCTTGTATTTATTCTAGAATGAAAATCCTGACATTCTTGTTCATGATTGGTGAAATAATCTAGATGATGTGATTAAAACTGCTACATATCCTTGTTTTAGTGTTCTATGTTCCTAGAATGGCACCAGAACAACATACAATACACAGGTAGGTGAAATCAACAATAACCGATTACAGGTAAGACAACTACTTAAGAAAACGTTCAATAAAAGAGTAATCCATCAAGAATATTGGCAAATAACCTTATGAGCTATGTGTATCTAAGGGAGAATTCTTTTCCAATATTTGAACAATAGAATCAAAAATGAGCTTTAAGATGATTCCATTAAAACATTTTATGAGATATCCGATTATATTGTTCATGTAACACAATATGGGATTTATTACTCATTGAGAGAGACTTCAGTCTCTGATCGATGAATGAATTTCTAACAAATCTTGCTCCAGAAGTCAAAAACAAATCTGAAAGTAAGGAGATTATTGGAAAAGGCATAGTAACTTCTGAAGTATTAGAAGATATCACACTGTTCTCAAAATAACACCATAGCACAACCAATAAGAACACAATTTATTCAAATAAAATAAATGACTTGATCGGATTTTTAACCCAAACTCAGAGAGGGTATCTATTGGTCATTTGGTACAATGTTGAAATCTGATCTAAGATGAGAGCATTGAGTCTATAGCTCTCCAGGAGCTCTAAAATAATCTAGGGTGGCATTTGATCAGAATGTAGAGGTTAAAAATTACCCATGTTAAGTGTTCTGTTCAAATGTTTGCAGCGATATCTATTAATACAATGTACGCAGAACTTACAAGTTAACTTTCAATTTTTGTTTGACCCTTATATAACTGAGAGAGACTGAATTTATTTAGCACAATGCAGTTGCACTTACATGAATGTGCAGACATCTTTCTCTTATTAGTATCTATGGCTGGGTACATAGATTGTCTCCGGAGGACACCTGTTGTGCCTGAGCCTACACCGGCACCCTGGGGTCGCCTACCTGTCAGAGGAGTCCCCTGGAGTTGCTCTGAATTGCTACGTACTTTTAACTTGTTTGACATTTTGATTTTTACCAATTTCCAGTTTTTTTACTAGTATTCTACTGGTTTTAACAATTTTACTCCTCATATATGTAATAAACTTAGAACTTTTCGTAAAACATTATTTTTTTTCAAAATTGTTATCTGGTTGTCATGGCATTAAACGTATGCTTAACAAGCACTCCTTTGTAGTGTTCACATTACTCTACACTCTCATGCTATATCTTTGCAAAAATGTTTTGTGGAAATGCTAGAGGTTAATTCTTATTCATCACTCCATGAATCCATTTCTGTCATTTCATTATCTATCTGATCCTTTTATCATTACTTAACATTATATGCAGTAATTGTTTATCAAAAGTTCGGTCACTATTAATGTCCAATTTTAATAATTATTCATTTACTATCTTAAACCATTATAATTCAGATCTAGGTTTTCATCCTAATGTAAAATCCTTGTTTTTTATTTTGAATACACTTTTCAGTAACACTCTAGTGTAACACTCTACACAGCCAATCCTCAGCTTGTTTTTTGTTAGATTTGGTCATCCTTATGTACAGTTATTCATATTATACTTTTTGGAATTGTATTTTAAAGTCTTATTTCATTTGAAATTTGTAATGTCATGTAAATCGTGTTCTATCAATCCAACGTGGATTTGTGATACTATTCAAAATTATAATTTGACTTTTGATGCTAGAATCCTGTAAGTGCTATGTTTAACAAATCTCTATGTACCTACGGTAGTAATATCCCTAAAATAAACGAACTGTATTTGACAATTCAAAGGAGTAATTGTCAACTAACATCACACATGTTCAAACATCCAATTATAAGTGTTTATTTGTTTGATTCTTGTTCAGAAAAATCGCAAAGATTTCAAAGCCTTCGTTTAATTAAACCGTTTGAAATGTTGATCTATCATAATAACTATCAATCAAACTTTTCTTTTAGCTTATAAAAATATTTCCTTTTGATTTTATAAGCTTTTTTATTACAAAACCTTGTCACGATAGTTGTATTGCACCCCTGACAAAAATGTCAACGATGATCATATTTAGAAACTTAAAATAGAGTTGAATCAGATTCACAAGGATCCAGAACTGCAGAAAGATCCCAAAATCATTCAATTAATTCTAAAGTGTTTCACAGGCATGATCACCATGGTTACTTTTATATGGGCAAAGGTACAATCATGAATTCATTTATTACCTTTCTAATTACAACTTATATTTTAGCATATCCTGGATATTCAATTAAACCTCTAATCTTTACAAATTATTTCTAGAAAGTACAGGCAATAAAATGCATTAGACATGTTAGATTACTAGTTTTTACTTTTATGATGTTTATGTTTTATGTTGTACATGTATATAAAATAAATTGAAGGCACTGTGGCACTGTTATATTCAGTCGATCGAGGATCAAAGGAAAATGAATAAAAATTAAGATTTTCTATTGGCTGATTTTTAAATAAAGTTAAGCTAAAAAGATGAAGTGATATTGAGAGAATATTAGCAGACGTAAGTAAATGTATGTTAACAATGGCCGTAAGCTTTTAATCAGCTTGAGCAAAATTTTGATTCAGGCGACATCTTTTTGGAAATGGAAATGTAATATCTAACAAAACTAGAACAACTGGGGGTTTCACTCCAATATACTTCTTAATACCTATGTGCAGCCCCAAAGACCCCCTTTTTGAGCATTTTTTCCATGTCAATTTCCTCTCAAGATTGAAGGTTTCCATGTTTAATTCCTCTGAGACTAATAAATGACTAAAAAATCAACTTTTCTAGTAATTTGTTCCAGGCCTCAGCAACTGATTTAATGAATTTAAGACAATTTTCTGTAGAAAAACTGAATTTTGACTTAAAAAGGGTACTTTCTTAGACAATTTTCCATGTTTTTTTCCTCTCAGATTGGCCATGTTTTATGCTCAAAGCCAAAATTGAACGTGCTGCACATACCTACCCAAATTATTTGGAGTGAACCCCCGGGCTAGAACAGCTAGTGGCATTGGCCATAGCAAATCTAATCAAACATGTAGTTATGTATGTTGTATACTTGTATCTGACAGTCATTTTAAAAAGGCTATCAAGCAAATTGTCAAACAATGGATGATTTCCTAGTCTCACTACCAGTTTATCTTTTGAACTAACCATTAAGCCAAAAATGCTTTTATGTATTGTGAAAAAACTAGGCCACAGTACTCTATTATGTTTCCAGCTATACCTAGTTAAAGAGTAATAAATAACATATAAAATGGCTTTGATAAAAATCGAACTGATGAACAAATATGTTTCCAGCTATACCTAGTTAAAGAGTAATAAATAACATATAAAATGGCTTTGATAAAAATCGAACTGATGAACAAATATGTTGCACCTTTGCCTTTTAGACAAAATAGCTACACATTTGCCAGACAAGTTGGACAAGTTAATATTTTTTTCTTATTCGACCATGAGAGCATTCCAAAGGCCATGTCAAAATAGGGTACCATAATAAAAATGAAAAAAGTATATTACAATGTTTTCTCAAATACTTCTTGTACGTACAGCCTGTTTGCTTCTAAATTGTATTCTGACCTCACTTACCACGTGATTTCTCACCAACAGCTAACCATTTTAACTTTGCGGAGCCACTAGAACGCCATCTAACAAGTGGTAATGGTGAAGCAGAAGCTTTTCGAGACAGCGATGCTTTACTAGAACTACGGGATAATGTCTCTGTTATATTAACACTAATATTCTTATCAACTGGGTTTGTTTTCCTCAGACCCAAAGATGTTTTACTTTTCTTTTTCATTATATGCAACATTTCAGGTTTTTGTTTGTGAGATTGTGTGCCATCATCTTCTTTTGACTCAAAGTCAGCCATCTTGTTTGTGGAAACTGTGTTCTGATACTACTGAGTTGTCTGACTTATTTATGTTGAATCATTAAAACTATTAAAACTATGTCATATATTATCCTTCCTCTTCTCAGTCAGCTTGTGACTATACTTTCTTTTTATCTTTTTTGAACAATTGTGTTTTTCTTATGAAATCTACTCAAAAGAAGCATTAGAAACACCCAAGATAGAGCTCAAAATCATTTTCTCAAAGTTATATAGTGATGCATGTATTTATAAGAAGCACCCTTGCATAATTTTATTTAAGAGGGACCAGGTCAAAATATTACTTTTTCAAAACTACTTAATATAGCTTATGATCCCCTCTCCTTTGTATTAAAGCTTGAGAAACATTGACATTAGAGTATCATCAACTAATTATGAATGTTTGACAATGTTTATTTATAACAAGCTTGGTTTTTACCTCTAATATTTTTTTTACAAATATGACACATTAATATTTGACGTGACCCCTAAATCCTTGAGCATCGAAACATAGAAACAGAATAACAATAAAAAAAACTAAAAATCATTAATTTTAGTTTGAGGCTCTTAAAGAAACCCTTAACCAGTATAAGCTAATAAGACATCGACATTGTATCTAAGCTTATAGTAAAGAATGGCTAAGAGATCCCATATGACCATGAAACTTATTGGATGTAAAATGTTAAGGGAATTTTCATGTTTTATTTTAGGTAGACAAGATTATAGAGTCAGAGTATAATGTATTAATCAATATGCAATAATGCTTTATTTTATCTTAGATGCCACTATCTGATCCGGAAAATATAGATTATACTGCCCTTCCAATATTTGTGTAAAATATAGAAAAAACTAGGACTATGAAAAGGACGTGTACATCATATATAATGATCTTGAAGGCATCAGATAAAATTCAAAGAACAGCCTCGATTCTGGGGGTAATTGTGTCAATCATTCTTAGAAATTCCTATTTGATTAAAGGGACACAAAAACATTTCTTTTAGTATTTTAGTTAAAGGGGCATAAACAACTGAATGTGTCAGCTGTCAGATAAGATTATAGTATTTATGCTTATTTATTTAAAAATTAGAACACAGCCATATATAGCAGGTACGTACCTTAGGGATGCTTTAAAACCAGGAAAGAAATATGGCAATAAATTTTGCAGAGTGATTTAACTGAACGGATGACTGTCTCCTAAAATACGGAAGACAAAACAAGCTACAATACAAAATTATTAATTTTAAAAAATCTTTGTAAATGTGTCACTTACTTGCATATATACTAAATCCAGCTCTTTTCATGATTATTTCGAAACAATTCTCATAGTCATAAATTTTCAAAATGGCTACAGGCTCAGGTTGAATTATATATGATTCTATATGCTTATGCTATCACTAAGTGAATGTCAAGCCATGTGTAGTAGTTCTAGGATACAAACATTGGTTTCAATCAAAACAATGATGTAATTTAAAATTGGAATTTTAAAAAGTATTTTGATAGTGGATTACATATTCAAAGACGTCTATTCCATATCACACAAAGAACAGTTTAATATCCCAAACTAATAAACCTTTAATAAGCTTTCATAAACCATTAAACCATTTTTCATCATTTGCTGTGATACAAATAAGAGAAACACATGCAAAGATCATATAAATGCCACTCTTATATTACTAGGAATCATTAACAGGGTCTATTATAAAACTAATAATGGCTAGGATAGAGAAAATGTTCTTAAGTAATTTTGTTAATATAGAGTCTCTTTACCAATATGAAAAGAGGGAGAGGGAACTGCTAATATTATATAAGTTCTTGAAGTCAATCATATTGTTTCTATTATGTAATAAAATTATTTAATCAAATCAATGAAATAAAATCATTTATATCATCCTTTACTAGATCTTAAAGTTAAACAAACAAATGTGCAAAATTAACAGAATGAACTTACATGTACTTGGGGTCAATTTCTTTGATTCTACTTGAACATATATAGCAGGCCTTTCCAAAGTGAGACGAGTATTGTTTTCACAGAAGTTACCATTAACATGTTAAATTACCAATAACTATATACAGCCTGTAGTTTAGATAATATTTAAGTTTATCAAGTTGCTGACTACTTACTGATCTACTTACTCAAGACATTAGAAACATTGCCTTTGAATAAATTCCTCCGACCTCCAGAGAGTGCCCTGGGGGATTTGGAGATTGAGCCTGCAGCTATCTCTGACCCAGGTTTCTTTGGAGACATTGGAGAATGTCCTTTTAATGGTGAACTTAAGTCTGTTGTAGGAGACAGCAAAGGTGAATCCGATTCTGCTATGGCATTTTCATCTGCTTGCTTTTTTAACTTCATAAACTTGGTTGACTTCATTTTTGAAAAATATGTTGAAATTCAGCTCTAGAATATGAATGTTTGGTGAACAGTTGAGAATTAAATATGTCACTAATGAAATCTTGATGAATCTCAGTGATATATTAAAGAATTACTCCCTATTAGTCCTCATTAATCACCAATTAAAGGATCAGATATAAATAATTTAGGGATTACTGAAATCTTCTTATATTTAAATTGACTTTGATTATCCATTTTCACTCATTCACAATATAATAATGATCTGACACAATATGCTTCAAAATTTGCAATCTCAGCTTTGAATCTCATAATTGAACACATGTATAGGATGCAGATGAACCAAAGCAAAATATGGGCTCAAGATAGGGTTCATGTATACCAAACAAGGATCTATAAAATGATCGCACAAATAAAAGGTAAGTAGTCTAAATATGAATATAAGAGATAATAGAGAAATAACAAACAATTATGCTACTCAATAATAACAATACTTAATTATACTGTGTGATATCAAACTCCCTTTTTATGGTTGTTCATATATTTACTACAGTACCACATTTCAATGTTGTCTTGTTTTAATGAAATAAGATAAAACAAGTCATTTACAAGATAACACGTTACCATCTGGCAAATGATATTGCAAGTGATCACAAATATGTAACAATTTTGTTACAGCTGACAAATGCTATTCCAAAAGGCAGCTAAAACATTATGTTACCACTCCTTGGTGGTGGCATAAAAATATATCAAGAACACTTATCTACAGTATAACATATCTGACTCCTTACTTGCTGATAAAGACTTGGCTCTAGTCGCTGAGCCTCTCAGACTTTCTCTTCGATCTTCACTTGACATGTTAAAATTCCTCTAATACAGTCCTTCCTACATGTTTCCTTGGCTTGCCTATGTATTTCCATATACCAAAATGATCACATTACTCAATTCTTTGTATTCTGTATCCAACATATTACACTTAACTTTTCATTGTTCGCTGTTTGTTAGCAAATATTTTTCCACTTTTGAAACTTTTCAATTTTACACCAAGAGTCAATATCATAAAAATTCTTATTCAAAACGACTACTTTGTCTTTTTCAATGGCACAATGAGGTTGGTTTTTTGTTGCTAGGCTATTGCATGTAGACTGTCCTTGAATTCACACCTGAGTCATGGTCACCAATGGTTAAACAAATAAGTGACATTCAAGAAATCTTGTAAAATGTTTCATAAGTTTGCTCAAAGTTAGATACAATTATATGATAGTGTTTGCCCAGTTTTCAGTTTCATTAAATGTGTGAAATAATACGTTCCAAAATTCTTCAAGCGTATGATCTTTGAAAAGGTGAACAAACGGAGTTTAGTAATAATGCAAACATTTAGAGTTAAATAGTTTAACTTCTGTCTGGAGTTAATAAGGTATAAAAGATTAATTGAATTTTGAAGAAAAAAATCAGATTGTTTGAGTATTAACTGACAGCTTATGTCATAAATGCTCCTCAGTTGCAAGCAAGAACTCAAATTAACTCATCATATTTCCAGTTGATTTAATGTAATGCTGTTGGTTTCTACATGTACATTACATTATGCTGTCTAAAGTTGCTCTTTGTTCTTTCTTGCTGAATTACCACTATGAATCTATATGCTATTTATTTTGATGAAATAAATATCTTTACTGGAATAAATTTTATTAAAGGAATCGTTTTATGAAGCAAATATGATTGCATCTTTAATTATGAATTAAGAGATTCTTGAATTCAAAAACTTGTTCTCATAAAAAAAGAAAGTGAATCATTTTTAAAGTCTTGATTTAATATTGAAGATCTTAAAAGAATACAAAATGGTGAGAATGATAAATTGTTTGGAAAACAATAGTAGGTAGTAATGTCAACATCAATACATGTACATCTGATTCTAGTTAATAATCATACATGCAGAAGAAATTAGTATGTAGTCATACAAAATGTTGAACTACATGTTTAAAAGAAAAATGCCATACAGATAAGGGTTTGTGTCAACTTCAAGAAAATAATGTAACTACCAGTATGTAGGATTATTGGATTTGCCGATCAATAGGAGAGGAGTGATTATGATGCCCTCTTTCTGTATTTAAAAAGAAGTATGCACACTATAACTGACAGTACAGGCCCTATAACCAATAACATCAAGGTTCAGTTAGCAAGACATGAGATGAAAATTAGCAAACATTTTTTCCAAAAATAAATGTAAGTTATAGCTTACTATATTCTTGCAGAAAATTTTAACCAACAGAAAATGATAGGTTATACACACCAATTATAATTTATCAATGGATTCAAAATATGTTCATGAAGGAAACAGAATTTTATTTCATCATAATAAATATCATCTAGATCCATAGTGGTAATTCAGCAAGAAAGCAGAGAGCAACTTTAGACAACATAATGTAATATACGTGTATATACCAACAGGATTACATTAAATCAACTCCCCTCTTTACCAGTAGTGCAGGCTTGTTACTGTGCATTGGGGATCTTTTACATTAAAAGCCCTCCTAACTTTTGTATATTTCAAATAGTTATGTATAATGTGCAGTAAAGTAAGCTGAAGTGGCCTTTTGTAATTTAGGGAGTTTCAGCCATGTTTATTTTTACAAAAATAACATGGCAGCGAAGCATCAAAATATAAGAGGCCACAGATATGAGAGCTACACTACAAAACGAACTTAAATAAACTAAAGTTAGGACATGTATAAATGTTTCTATTTTTACATATACTGTTTCAATATTAACTGTAGACTACAATGCTGATACAAATTAATTAGTTGGCATATTTTCTTGAATTTTAACATTTAATGTCCCAAACTCCCACAAACTGCAGAAAAGTGTACACTGTAAATCATATTTACCAAAATGAGTATCTCCAAGGTTTCATACCAGCGTATACATAATGCATTTGTCACGAGTTTGAGCGGAAATTTCGCAAAAATGAAGTGAGGGTAATCTCCGCCAGTGCTCAGAAGCAAATAATTCATGTGTGCAAAATAATCAAATAATCTGATTCCGAGTATAAACTTTGCTGTGCATGCGCACGATGTGTGCCATGGTTTTTTCTAGTAATTTTGTTTCGTTTCATGGAGTTTGTGTTTCAGTGTAACCAATGACAGAATTAACAGGTAAAATCACTTCACTATAATAGCAAAACTTTTGTTTTATTTGTGGATTCTGTCTATCAGATAAGACTCTGGGGTATGTAGGCAAATTCATTTTGGTAGGAGCACTCTGTTTAGTCTTAAAACGCACCCTTTATTATTTTGTATCAGCACTAGGCTATAGCCTACAACGCAGATGCGAGTAGGTAGTTACCAGTTTCACCACCAGGTGGCTCGTTCGGGTCAGATAGCATGGTGGATATAGCAGAAAGTTCCCTTTAACTTCAATTACATCTGTTTTAGCGGTTCAATTTTCATATAACCCTTATGTATCTAATAGTTATGCAAATCAAAATATGTCCAGTGAATGAAAATGTTATCTGACCGATACAAGAAAAGACATTTCACTTTTTGTGATTTTGTAACATGGGCTCTATGGAGAATCAACCCGAACTAGAATTTACATTTTCAAAAATAATTAAATTTTCAAACTTGATAAACAACTTTCGAAAGCATATTTCTAAATGTACTTTTACATGTAGATTTCAAATATAACATCGCTTTGACAGAATTTTGAATATTTAATGGCGTAAATCAAGTTTTTTTCTACTCGCATCTAGTCTATTTGGAACAAAAATAATGACACGTGGATTTGCTGAAGTGAGGATTTCCCATGTTAAAAAAATTAGAATTTTCAGGAGGTCATACATCAGTGGATGACAGTATACAAAATGTAAAATATTCAAATTTTAAGGGATATGTATCTATAGTGCTGGTATATATTAATTTATGAGTCGTTTAATTGGCATATTTTCTTGAATTTTAACATTTAATGTCCCAAACTCCCACAAACTGCAGAAAAGTATACACCATAAATCATATTTACCAAAATGAGTGTCTCCAAGGCTTCACACCAGCATATGCATAATGCATTTTTCACAAGTTTGAGCTGAAATTTCGCCAAAATAAGTAGGCTAAACTTTAAGGGTAGTCTCTGCCAGGTTTGTTTATTGTGGTAATCTTGTAAGTGCTCAGAAGCAAATTATTCATGTGCGCAAAATTATCAAATCATCTGATTGGTTTAAACTTTGCTGCACATGCGCACGATGCGTGTCATGTTTTTTTCTAGTGATTTCGTTTCGTTTCATCATGGGCTTTCAATTAGTTGAATCTAGTTGAAAGCCCATGGTTTCATGGAGTTTGCGTTTCAGTGTAACTTCCACAAAAATGGCGGACCACAGACAGAATTAACAGGTAAAATCACTTCGAACTTTTTACCTACTGTATAATAGCAAAACTTTTGTTTTATTTGTGCATTCTATCTATCTATCAGATATTATAAGAGTCTCAGGGAGTAGTGACAAATAGACTATATCCTATTTAGTCTGAATTATATTCAGACTATAAGGCACCTATGTTAAAGTTCGGTAATTCTAAATATTTGTTTACATAGGAAGTGCTATTCAAAATGGCCGATTGGGTAAAATTAATTTGCACATTTGTTTCTTCAACTAGCTTTATTTCCACTTGACAATATGCTGTGTTACTTTTTATTGCATTTAATTGTACCTTACTATTTAATTGAAATTTTGTAATGTTTATTTTATTGAAGAAATGGTTCCTGCAATTGATAATTTTGTGCAAAAAAATTCACTGCAATTTCCACAGGAAAGTAGTACATCATAACAGACTGACTTCTAGTCAGTCTGTTGGATACATACTAAGTGACAAATTAATTTTGGTAGGAGCTCTCTGTTTAATTTGAAAACGCATCCTTTATTATTACATATCAGCACTATAGACAATATTTGAGACTATAGGGCTTTCAAAACACCATGGTTTGGATATGGTGATAGAGAATCCACCTGTCATTTGTTTTGTTCCAAACTGTAAGTGTAAAGTCTAGGTAATTTAGAGATCTTCGTTTTTCAAATAAAAGGTATGATACTTACCAGAAGACCTCGGCCTTTCCTTTTTGGACGGCTTTACACTAAGACGACTACTCATATTAAACGCTGTTAACTCTAATGAAGTGTTTTTATCGTATATATACGGTCGAAATCGGGAAAACAAAAAATTTCAAATCTTTAAGTTTTCACTTGGCGGCCATGTTGTTTCTTGACAACTGTAAATCTAAATGCGCAATTTGAGACTACAAAAAATAGTTTTCAAGTAATGGTATTGAAAAAACGTGCTTTTTCTCTTAATATAAAAATACTATACAATAAATATTTGCTGCTTAAAAAATATAAAATATCCTTCATTTTATGTAATAATATTATATCCGTCTGGTAAATTCAAATAAATTTGTAATTTAGACTCATAATAGTTTCGACCCGGAAGTGAAGAAAATGTGTCAGGCACTTTTGAAAACAAATGCGCAATATTAGGGATGCATTACCGAGCATAATCTAACGCATTCAACAAAATATCGATGCAATGCAGCATAGATGCTGTGAAGAATATCCGTATATAGATTTTTCAAAGGTATGTAGAACTATTTAGAATGCACTTTACAGTTGAAATAATTTTGCATTTTCTGCAATGTAATGTATGCAAATAGAAATACTAGTCTGTAAGCTTAGGCCTAGATCACAGTCAGCACCATCTATCTAATATCTAATATAATAGAATTAAGTTCGGTAACTTAGAGAAAATTCTAGTTTAAATAATTATTTCTCATGCCAGGGGCTTTGATCAGTAATATTATATGTTTGTTTATTCAACTTTCATATTTTTGTCAAGGATGTCAAGTAAGTTTCTGGCGAAAGCTGGAGCATAGATTATTTAAGAGGACTGGAAATTGTTGTTGTTGTGTTGCATAAGCCGCTGTTTCCTCGGCAGTTCGTCTCGTGTACTGTAGATTCTCTTTGTGCTCTCTCATGTGCTTCAGTTTACACTTGTTGCGCAGATTTTGTATTCCATTATTTTATATATATTGTATGTCCTGATTGTCTCTCTCATAAAAGAAGAAATTATAATTATAATATTGAAACACTGGAAACAAGATGGCACTCTATTTCAAATCTGCCAACTCGTGTTGGCCTATTTATCACTATTGAGCCTATTGACTCAGTTGTTCATCTAGTTTTACTTACCTTAGATGCTTAGTAATCTATTTAGTATAATATTGTTTCCCAAATTATTGTTATTTGCGATAATTAGTAGTAAAAGTACTTTGAACGGGTCAGCTGCCATTTCCTTGGCTGAATCATCCAGTCCACAAAAACAGTGAAATCATATTAAAAATACCAATAAAACTTAAAATTGAGGCAGATGCGATACAAAGAGCCAAAGAGACTCTATTAATACAGATATACAGGTTACAGTCACCAAGATGAGCTAATTTCAGGCGAGCTTCGGGAAATAAAAAGGTAGGTCATTCTTGTTTCCAGTCCTCTTAAATAATCTATGCTCCAGCTTTCGCCAGAAACTTACTCGACGTCCGTGATTTTTGTAACTTGTCAGAAAAAATAAGTTTTTACATTTTTTAGCGATCTATAAATAGATATGAGGTCATGTCCATGAGCTGAGGTTTGGCCCAAAAAAGTAATAAATTTGTGATTCAAGCTCAATATCTGCGATTTTGGAAGTGATTCATGGAGGCCGTTTCTCGAAACTTATCGATATTAACGAATCGTTAATTGCGAAACTTGGATTCATTTCATTGGACACCGCATCGTTAATGGAATAACGAGACCCCCATTTGTACCCGTAAAATCAATCTTGGATAACGAATAAATCGTTAAAGATCATGACGTCATCGCGAATCGTTAACTTTCGAGAAACGGAAATATCGTTATTAACATTGAATTAACGATTCCTTAATAACAAAACTTTCGAGAAACGGCCTCCTGACCATGTTTTAAGTATTAAAATAATGTTTAGTGATGTGATTATGACCAAAAAGCGGGAGTCCAAACCGGTAGTCAAAAGACTAATCGCACTTTTCAGTCAAATAACTGAATAATGAAGATTGATGGTGCTCACTGTGTACTAGAAAATGACAGGGACAATTCTCATCTCCAAATAAGGTTGAAAATTCTGAAAATGCCAGTCATGCCATTACTACGCTTTACATCACTTCACATTCATTGTCATGCACCCATCATCTTAGTATTCATAGGCCCTGAGAACATGTATAATAAATTGAGTCGAGTACTCTAAGAGATCTCTTTTCATACAGAACTTAACTCAAATTTAATGTCTCCACCAAAAAGTGGTGACAAATTATTATGGTCTCCATTTTTTGTGACGGCAGTTGGTGATTGGCGGTTGGCGTCCATAACAAATTCTTACAACTTTCAATAACTTAACAAACACTGTTTAGACTGACTTCAATTTTTTTCAAAATCACCCACATCAAGTTGTCAGAAGTTCAAATCTGACTTAAGATTTAAGATTTGACCTTCAATTACCTTCTCAGGGTCAAAAAAGGTTAAAAGGTCAAAAAAGTCTTTTCAACTTGCTTCAAATTGATCAATTTTTTTTCAAAATCATCTACAAGTTCTCTTTCAAATCTGACTATAGACTTGAGATTTGAACCACAATGACCTGCTCAAGGTCAAAAAAGATTTGACCTTTAATGACCTTCTCAAGATCAAAAAAGGTTAACAAGGTCTTTTTCAACTTGCTTCAAATTGGCAATTTTTTCTTCAAAATCATCTACAAGTTCTCACATTTTAAATCTATCAGAAGCATCATACTCATGAAAAAACAGACAAAAAAAATTTACTACAACTTTAATTATCCCATCGAACGAAGTTCGGAGGGATATAGGAAACGCCTCCGTCCGTCGGTCCGTCCGTCCGTACATATGTCCGTCCGTCCGTCCTTCCATCCGCCCGGGCAATAACTCAAATACCGTTGGCCCGATTTTGTTCATATTTTGTACACATATACCCTATGGGGGTAGAAGTTCTGCTGGAAAGCCGATTTTCAAAATGGCCGCTCATTTAAAAATGGCGGCCATTTTAGTGCCGATTTTACAGTAATTTAGGTGTAATATGTAAAACTGTAATGGCAAACGGACCAAAACTCTCTAAATGCGCATTTATGCTCTTTTCTCTCGAGAACGACTGTCTCATTTTCACGATAACTTTTATTTAGTACTTTAACATATAAGATCTATTTTTCCCCATCAAGGTATGATGTAAATGACATGCTATTTACATCTTGTGAGTTTCAATGACGCGCGTTTGATTTTATAAAAAATGCCAAACTTTGTGACAAAGAATTTCCTCCTGCTTGCAGCGAGAAGACGGACCGGTTTAAAAATTTGTAAAAAATTGGGGTACTTAAAAGCATCGGGAGGCATCATATATTTCAAATTAGACACGAGGAAGTCAATATTGAGCAAGTTATGGCTGTTTTAAATTCAAATAAAACCGTTAACCCGTACCGGTCCAGCTTTTGACCCGTACCGGTCAATTTTCGTTAGCTGCGTATACCAAGGGTGTAAATAGAATTGAAAATGTGAGAACTTGTAGATGATTTTTGAAAAAAATATTGGTCAATTTGAAGCAAGTTGAAGAAAAGACCCTTTTTGACCTTGAGAAGGTCATTGAAGGTGAAATCTCAAATCTAAAGTCAGATTTGAACTTTCGTTTATTTCACAAAACACATACAATATACATATACAATGAGTGGGTGACACAAGGGTTTGTGTATATTCCCAAGATGGAGTAAATTTACAAAGTATGCATGTTATGGCTGTTTTAAATTCAAATAAAACCGTTAACCAGTACCGGTCCAGCTTTTGACCCGTACCGGTCAATTTTCGTTAGCTGCGTATACCAAGGGTGATTTAGGGGCATTTTGATGGCACAAATTATATATATATATTATTGAAGACATGCAATGGCAGATCCCTGCCACTCTAACATACTTTGTAAATTTACTCCATCTTGGGAATATACACAAACCCTTGTGTCACCCACTCATTGTATATGTATATTGTTGTGTTTTGTGAAATAAAAAGTTCAAATCTGACTTTAGATTTGAGATTTCACCTTCAATGACCTTCTCAGGGTCAAAAAGGGTCTTTTTTCAACTTGCTTCAAATTGACCAATATTTTTTTCAAAAATCGTCTTCAAGTTCTCAGAAATTCAAACCTGATTTAAGATTGCACTCATAATATTGTGAGCAACTAGGTGGTGACATTTTGTCATGTTAATGCCTACATGTTTCCAAGGCCTATGTTAGTATCAATCACACCTGCACCTGCCATCGCAAAAGCACTGGAACAGATACATGGAGTTGAATTGACTGAAATGAAAATCCACCCTTCCAAACTCTCTATTTACCAAGGAAAAAAGAGCAGAAACCTATCAAAAAAGTGTCACCTGTATAAGGGCTAGACTATACCCTCTAGTCTGATATTTTTTGAAATTTGGTTTGTTACATATTCACGTCACTTTTGATGAAGTTATTCAGATAATAAGTTTAACAAAACAATATATTTGTGGGCGATAATACTACAAACGTTACATGTTTATTCTCCGGGGAGCTGTAGTGTAACGAGCCAGATAATAGACCTGAAGGGAGTGTGCTTAATTCAATGCCCAGTGCCCAGGAATCGAACTCAGGACCTTCCGCTCGCAAGACCAACACTCTACCAAAGGGACTAGCTACTACAGCCCAGACTGTAGTGGTGACTTGCTATCGAGGGTCATTACAGAAATATTCTGACTATACTTCTCCTATGTTTAATGTGGGTATTCAAACATATTTGTAAACATGTAAGTTGTAATTCAAAATGCCCAAATGTCGTAAATTAATTTGCATACATGTTCTGCTAGCTTTATCTCTATTAGACTTTTATATGCATTTAATTGCACCTTACTACCTAATTAAATTTCTACAATTTTTTTATTGAAGTAATGCTTATAAAACAACGTTTTAAGCCATTAGATGAAGCATTACCTCAATAATAATTAATTTTGTGCAAAAAAAATCACTGAAATTACCACATGACAGAACATTGGAGTAATAGACTGAGTTCTAACTCATAATAGGGCTATTCACTATAATGAACATAATTATCAGAGCTGAAACTCCTCGAAATTACAAAATGCCACAGGTCTACTGCAAATAAGACTAATTTATCTGAAATGAATTGACTCACAGAAAAGGTGATTCAGACTTTGGACTTATTCCACTGAAAGGTAAAAAACGATGCATGAAATAATTTCTTGTGATCTCAGACCTTTCATTCAGACTGATACCTCATCTACACTGATTACATACTTTTGCAGTATTCATATGTAATATTCTCTCTTTTTCAATATTATTTCAGGTCAGTGTGCCTCTGTACAACATCAATTGGTGGGAACCAGATTTTTTCTGCACTGCACTTCTAACTATACTTTGGCCAGTACTCAGGCATGTGGTAAGTCATGATTTCATATCTATATAATTTTGTGTTTGTATACAAATTATGATGGTTCAAATAATCTGGTTAGAAGTAATGAGTTAACAGTTTCACCACCAGCATCATATATTTATGAAAAGTCCGCTTAAGGTTCAGCTGGAAAATAACATTTTGGGGAAAAATTGCTCTACCTGCACATGTTTTTTCTGGTACAAAATAAAGTATGAAGGCATGTGTTCATTTCTTTGCTTTTTTCAGGAAAGTATCATTACATTGTCTTCTTTTAGTAAATCTGGTAAGAGTTCAATGGGAACTCCAGGAAATTCTGATATTTCACGCTTTCTATTTTTCCAAATTTTCTTTCAAGGTTTCTAGACAGCACAGCAGCTATCATTGACCTGTTTCCAGGTTTACTTAAAGTAGACATTTGTAATTATATTTTCCTGAAAAAAGCAAGGAAATACACACATGCCTTCATACTTAATTTTGTACCAGAAAATAACACGTGCAGGTATAGCAATTTTTCCCAAAATGTTATTTTCCAGCTGCACCTTAAACTTGAATAAAAGTTCCAGTGGCCTATTTTGTTCAATAAAAAGAGATATTTCACATATCACGATTTCATAACGCAGACTCTGAGAACCTAAATCAGACTCGCAAAATAAAAAATAGTGTAATGACCCTCGATGACAAGTTGCTACTAGTCTTAAGTGAAGTGACTAGCCCTTATGGCTCAGGGGTAGAGAATCGGTGTATGGAGCGCAAGGTCCTGGGTTCGATTCCCGGACATTGCATTTAACACACTCCCTTTCATGTCCAATATCTGGCTTGTTACACTACAGCTCTTCGGAGACGCCCTCGGGTCGTTACAATATTTAAGTTGATCAACAATATGGAAAATTACTTTTAGTAGTACAGTGGTTGTGTGTGTTGATTTCAGATATGATATGTGGGAATTTTGAATATTAACCATACTATGTTCCCAAATATGTTTTAATAAAAATAGTATGTCCAAATTCCAACTTTTTGAATTGCCAAATATACTGCCAGAGATCAATAAGGAACACAATTTTGAGACTTCGAAATGATAGTTGTTGAGGTAACATTAGATATCATACTTACAGCCATTTGGACAATCATAAGGATCATTTTAATATAAAGTCATTTGGTTACAATTGCACATTTGGCGCTCTAGAAAAGACACTTACTTGCAAGAATTAATTTCTTGGTGATTTTTTTGGCAGACATCACTGTTTTATCAGAAGAATCAGACTCTACTGGGCTAACAGTGACAGTAGGAAGGCCTGGTTTATCCTTTGCTTCCTTAAACAGACTTGACCAGCCTTTAATCTGACCCTGAAATGTAGATCTTAGATACTAAATTGCCAGATAAGGTGTTTGTACATACATGTGCTGCTAAAATGGCATCTTGTTTCATATTGTTCTGCTCTTTATATACAACTCGATCATATGATATTAAGGATTTTAAGATAGTGAACTTATATGAAGAAGGTATCTGAAACAATTAAAAAAACAATAGTTGAATAACTATATAATACTATTACTAGGTTTAATGCCGTCCATATACTGAACAGATGTCCCAACTAATTAATATTTGTTGACCACAACAGTAATGAATTTTCAGGTTAGGAAAATGTAAGTATTTGCTTTGGAATAAGCCAAAGACAATAAGGTTAGACTCCCATTTCCCATAAACTTTATAAAAGTATTTGTGGTAACTACAATTATTAATTATGTAGCAATGTCTATTAGATAAATGTATTTCTTAAAATTAATCTTTTCATCATCATTCCAACGAATTAGTATAGATAAAAAATGGTATCATTAGTTCTGTGGTGGATAATCTGTTAGGCACCCATTTTTCTTATTACATGGAGATAAATTTTGCCATCAAGGTGCAGTTCCAAAAAGTTCAAAAACAGATGTTTGATGGTACCAATTTCTAGAGCTCATTGTTTTGTGTGAGTTTTCTGGCAATCTTTTAATCTTTGGTTGTGGAGTTGTTTAGGATTTAAAAGTACGAATGTGCATGCAATTAATCCATTATAATAATAAATAAGAAGAACATAATGTTGTCAGCCAGAAGAAAGACAAATGTCGGTTACCTTTGCCAGCATCTTGTTATAAATCCTTGAACAAATCCAAATTAACTATTATGTCGTTTGTGATATTGTAATTATCCTTTTTGTGTCATTTTTAATTTTTAATAATGAAATCCTTATAAACCGGATATTTTTTTTTCTTTTAAGAATAAAGTTCTTATGCTATTGCATTCTGAGATCATTCTTGATCATTCATCTTTCGGATGTTTTCTAATAAAGTTGTGTTATAGAAGTCTGTTTCTAATATACACTGTATCAGACAATAGCTTTTTATCACCATTTACCTCCAAACCTATTTCCAGTTGATGTTTATATAAGGGATGTATATAAACCTTTATAGTGTTGACTTTGAATGTAGTACCCTCTCTAAGAAATATTAAAGATTGAATAATGTATTCATACGTTTAGGCTTGAGTTATACAATGTTTAATTGACCTTTTAGCCAGTGCCACATTCTATTAGGATTATGCTCTTAACAAGTTAACTATAAGTCGTGAAATAACCACTTTTGATAAGGAACCCAGATAGCATACACTGGTGACCACTGATCTCCGTATCATTGAATAAAGTGGGCACTGCATTTTAGGTTTTGTTTGTTTTTTGTTTGAAAATGTTGAATCCATGGTCTTGGGAAATGAGAAATTTTGACCAACTTGACAAAATATCATAATATCAAAACATTGTTTTACACTTGGAAATTACTTATATTAAAGATGTTGATATTATGTTCTTGACTAATCTATGACATCCCTTGAACACCTCTGAAATAGACATTTATATCATTGGTATACTACAAATATACAATGATATATGATATATTAGAAACAAAATAATGTCTTACCTTGTTTGAGATGTGAAGTAGTTCATTCATCTATTATAAAATTGTACCTTTTCATCTTAGGTTTAAATTGCAAATGAAGAATCTTTAATTGATTCATATGATTCTGGATTTCTTAATGTAATTCATATTACCCATTGGTCAAGTTTGAATATAGGCTAGTGTTGGGATATCACATAATTTCATTGATTTTTCTTTTGTCAATTTAACAAGGAACAATTGATCCCCATTTACAGATATTGATCATCTGAATTATGTAATTGTCCATTATTTGGAGCTTTGTTTATCTTACTCTTATCTCAATAGACTGGCCACTCTTTCTGACTTGACTACAATAGATGAATTTGCAGTTTAATGATTTAAGGCAATCTTACAGATATCAAATATAAATTTCATGGTGTTTCAAATATGAAATGAATGTGAGATGTACATACTAGTGGTGTCAATTAACCGCTTGAGCATTAACCGGTTAACCGGGGGCTTTATCCGGTTAAAGTCGGTTAACCGGCGGGAAATTTGAACTGATAATTTCAAATGAAATCTTCATCTTCGATCTTGAAAGTCGAAAAAATTGGAAAAATGATATATCGGCGTTTATTTTTTACGTTCGTTAAGCTTTACGATATTCTACGTAAGTAAGCGCGGGAAAGCAATGTGGCAGGGATTAAAGTTGCTGATTGGATGTTTGTAAGGAATTATCGGACCTATCACATGTATGAGTAGCTCACATGAAACTGACGCTTGAAAAACAAACAGATTAAAATGCAAAGTAAGCGCGGAAAAGCAATGTGGCAGGGATTAAGGTTGCTGATTGGATGTTTGTAAGGAGTTATGGGACTTATGACATGTATGAGTAGCTTACGTGAAACTGACACCATAAAACCAAACGGATTAGCATGCAAAATAAGCGCGGGAAATAACAGAATTATACACGGTCAACTAACCGCCCATAAAAACTCAGACCGGTCAAGGCATTATCGGCGGTTAACCGGTTAATACTTGACACCTCTAGTACATACACAGAAAATGAGTTGTTCCTTATAACTGCACTGCATTATATTATCAACAACCACCCAGCATCACTTTTCTTTTTTGTTTCAGATTCTAGTAAACTAATTAAACTGATAAACTGATCAATTTCATAGTTGAGTAAAAATCTATAAATAGTATCATAGGAAATAAGAAGCTACATGCTTGTATGCAGGTCAAATGGTAAGTCTTGTATAGTTGTCAAGGTGACAATCCGTTATGTTGAGTGATACAAACAGTAGTTTAGTTACAACTTGACCCTTGCAAAAGCAAAAAGTTTCCTTTGAAATATATTTTTCAGATCTTTTAAGTGATATTGTATAAAGTATTTTGCAATGTGTGAAAAGAATTCAAGCCCAAGACTCGATGAATTGTGGCTGATTCATTCCACTCAGGCATTGTTTCCTAAACTTTGCATTCCGACTGCGTTGTCATGCAAAGATTTGAAAACAACACCTTCAAGAGGAATGATTCCGCACACAATACATTGAATCCAGGGCTTAAATCCTTGAATAAATATATCTTGATAAAAAATATAAAGAAAATAAATCAAAGAATTATTTCTATTTGAAAGAAAGAAGGTAATGTTTTAGTCTAGGGAAATCTTTATCTAGAAAATACTAAAAGTGTATACATACAAAACCAGGTAATGCATTTTGAACTGCTCATTTTGAAATAGTCGATTTAGAAAGAAGTTTATTTTATTTAATGTACATTTATGTTTTAGTGCTCACGATTGGATGGATGGCACACTGAATGGAAAAGATACAAGGCTTTTATGATCCCTTTATTGGTGGGAGGGGGCTATGTATATCTGTTAGTCAGGTATGTATGTTTGTATACTAAATACAATATCAGGCATTTCACTTTTTAGAAATTTCAAAATATTTTCGAAGATGTTGTATGATTTATTAAATCAGTAATTTTCTAGCAGGTTCCAAATGGTTCACAGTATGAACTGTTATAGTTGTTTATATTTTTATGTCACCACCAAAAAGTTTTTGTGACGGTGGTTGTCGATTTTGGGTTGGTGTTTGTAACAAATCGTGGTGACATTTTGCATGTTAATGCCTTGTTCCTCTTTGTTATCAAAATTGATGGAATTGCCTTTTGCATAATAAAGATATATGCAATACCAAAACATACCAAAATATAAAATTTTATATTTGACGCCAAAGTGTCTTGTGATATATTATTCTGCATAGTACATTGTGCTCTAGCACACATGGACAAAATGTACACATGCATATATTCTTAAGATGCTCACTATTTTACAGATACACAGAGACAATGAAGTACCAACCAAGGTGGCTGCTGCTACGAAGCAATGGTTTACTTTATACTGGATACACTGCCTGTATCAGTGGCATTGTTATGGTCCTTATGAATGTGCTGTCACAGAAAGGTAATAATCTGTAGTAACACCAGGAGATTGGGAATATACATGTACATAGGGGTATGTTTTAGGGTAATACATTGAAGGGATACATACACAGGGTTTATATTTTCTTTGGGGTATTACAGTTCTTACGCAGGGCCAGGGTCGGTATAAGTTCCTCTTTTAAAGTAAAGCTTCGCCCAAATCATTTGTTCTTCTGCTTTAGGGGCGGGGTCAAAATATCGATGTTCATATGGAGACGAAAGTACTTTCGCTAGGGGGGAGGGGGTTTTTGGGCACTTTCGTTGACCAAAAAAACATCGATAATTCGGATCTGATATACAAAAAATAATTGGACTTACCCACTTTTTCTGGCGCTATGTTCTGATAAAAAGGCTTGTTTTCAATAGTTCGTGAGCTTTTTTGTGTGATAGTTCCAAAATATCGGTAGATAAAGACGATAATTCGATCATTTTTCAAATAAATTCCGTACTTTTCCTTCTCCTTTTGAAGAGTTCAATGCAGTTAAATTGCGAACGTGTGTTAATTCACCGTAATAATAACCCGGCAAATAGGATCACTGAAAATCAATGTTTTTTTGAAGTGACCTAAGCTTTCGTCTAGAGGGGGGGTGGGGGGTTGTTGTCCAAACGAAATTACTTTCGTCTCCATATGAACATTGATATTTTGACCCCGCCCCTTACCTTGTGCAAATGTTTGAACCCTTTTTAGTGCAAAATTTAGACCTGTGAAACTTATTGTTGATTAAATGAAAATCATCATATTGACCTAATTTCAATTCAGAGGGTCGCTCATACAGGTTAGCATTACAGATATAGAAGAAAATGTTCAAAAGATTCCAGTAGAGTGAATAAATTCTATAGAAATTATGTTATCTCTTCTGTACCTTGAATCTTATCCATGCCAATATTTCCAGATACATTTGAGAAGTTGCAGGAGTTTCTATGGAGTTGGAAGGTCTTCCTAGCCCTGATCCTATGTCATACAGGGCTTGCGCTTGTGTAAGTACACCGTGTAGATTATATTATACCTCTTTCCTCGGGAACCTAACTGGTGAAGGATTGCTGGTCTTCTGGGATCTTTTCATCCACTTCTAGTATTATTGATGTGTGAAAGAATATACCATTGATAATTTTGAAAATTATCTTCTACCATTCATTTTTTCTAAGTTTAGTGTTTTCAAATGTATCTACAGTACTTTAGAACTGACTATTTTTGTAACTGGAAGTTTTGTTTTTAATGCTATTTTGAATGGTAAAGACTATGAATTGTTAACATCAGGGTACAGCTTTCTGTAACATTACAACAACACTACATGTCAGCAAAAACAAATATATGATGGCTGCTTACACCACATCTAATACTATGTGCTTTCTAATCAAACACAGTTATATGGTTTATTATTTTCAGGTTTGCCAGCCAAGCAGGGCTTTTCCTGACCTTTGTGTTGGTTCTCACACAGGCTGCTATTACAGTTTTACAAGAGTAAGGATTTGCTGTTAAAGGATTTGAATAATTTATACCAGCTCTGCAGTTGAATGGTCATGTGACTCTTACAAGCCAATCATTTCAGCCAGAAATAAGATCACATGATCTTTGAATCCAAGAAACTTAACCTATCACAACAATCCATGCCATTTCTTTCCATCTCAGTTTTCAGGTACCCATGGTACATGTATAATGTTTTAGATTAAGTGATCAAGCGCACAAAAAATCAGTATTTCAAGGATCTTTCCCCCTGTCCATCTGTCATAACATTTGCTGATCATTAAAATTAAAAATCTATGTCTTTGTTATGTCACCACCAGGATTGGTGACATATTGTTATAGACTTCAATTTTTTGTGGACTGCATCTGGCGGTTGGTGTGCAGTGGTTGGTGTTCAGCATTCGGCATCTTTAACAAATGGAAGGTGGTGACATTTTGCATGTAAATGCCTTGTTTACATCTATGTTATGACAGAAACAAAAAATATATTGGCCAGTATATGTAAATATGAACATAATGAATGTTACCATCAGATAAGGCTAGATGTCCTAATATATCAGAGCATGTTGGTAGTTGCAAGACAGAAAGTTATGATAAGTATCAGAATGAACCTTACTGTACGAATGAACTTATGGCTTTGTCAACTTTTAATCTTTAATTTGCATAGTATTTGTCTTGATTGTTTATATGGTAATTTCTGAATGAGATTTTCATTATTTTCAGGGAGCATGACACACCTACCAACCATGAGAAAGTAGAATAGTGGGCCATAAGGTGAAGATATTATGCCTGTGTGTGAACTATGTATTTTTAGCATGGCTAATCAAAGTTTAAAACTGTGTATACTTGCTAGTAATACTTGCATAATACCATGGACTTTCTTTACCTATAGCTCATTTTACATCATTGAATTTGACTTGATATTCAAGAAAAATTGACTTTTGGTGCTATGAACATTTCCAGTTTTAAAAAGGAATATACAGTATTAATTGTAGTTTTTATAGACAATGTATTTGTATATGATCCAAAGTTTGAAAATGACTTGCCATGCAGTTGTAACTCTGCTGGGGAGATTCGATTGAATCAGAATATCTAATACTACAACTGTGCCAGAGTTGAAAATTAAATGTTTGTTTAGTGGCACATAATGGACTTTCTCCTGCCTTAGTCTTATTAGAAATGCATAAATGGCCCTATTACTTGATTTGGACTGATAACTAAAAATTTCTGAAGTTCTTTATAAAGATCTGACAATCAAATCAAGCAATTAAATGTTTAAAAATTTTGTTGCATATTCAAGATTTCTTTAATTTTGGCATTACTTTTTCCAATTTTAGAATAAAAGGTTTTCAGTCTTTTTTTATCAGAAATCTCTAAACAGATTATTGATAATCTGCAGTACAGGTGCCTGAGTATGTATATGAACTACAATTAAATTGTAAAGTATTATATTTATGTTAATTCCAAACATAGGACACATTACAAACATGGAAAACCTCTGGAAGTGGGACACCTTTGTTAATGGAACACTTCAGAGTCCAAAGATCGACTGACTTATTGTGAAATGAACCTCCCAAGCGGAACACTTTTTAGAGGTACCAAAGGTGTTCCACTTAAACAAATTATGTATTTTGTAGAATGACATTTGAATGTACATGAAATTCTTTTAAAATGTAAAGGAGAAAGAAGCTTATAGTGCATCAATAACGTATTTGGGGATATATAACAGGCCTATAAATACCAGTATAGTTATGGCTTTTTTGGTTTTTAAAATGGTCAAAAGAAAAGATTGTGCAATTTGTGGTGGTATGTAATATAGCTATTTTTATTCAGAGCTAAGTAATATTATATTTTTATTAAAGAAATGAAGACCAAGATTTGTGTTTATGGCACAATATATGATGGTTTTTTACCATTGTGAAAAGACTGAAATCTCAGTGTAATTTAGGTATTTTACTATGAGCAGAATAAAACCTAAGGTCATATATTTGCCATAAATCATAAGTTCTGAGTTATGTTTCTAATATGATAAACAAACCGGAAAACAAATACAGGGTGAAAAAAGATTACCCTCTAATTTTGGAATAACTTTCTCAAATATGATGTAATCTTTGAGATTTTATTTGAGTAGATAGAGTGTTCAATTAAGAAAACAGTGCTGCACTCATATTGCATCTATGATTTTTAGATCTAGAGAAATCACATTTTCTGTCCAGATATGATCTCATTTGAAATCACCCAAAAAAGTAAGTTAGGAAATCGTTCTTAAAATCACATAAGTCATTTTATCTTATTTGACAAAATTATATTCGAAAAATTCTTCCATCACATATCATATTGGAATATAATATAGGAATTGCCGTGTGCATCTATGTAAATATGTAACAGATAGTTACATTTGTGTAATTTCAATTGGGTGGTAACATGTTTGTCATTTTAATGCCTTGTAACTTCATGTAATATATGGGTATGTGTTTAGGGACTATTTAACCCTCATTATTGTAGTTTACAGCATTTTTGGCAAAGAATATACTAAATTCTATGTGCACTTAAAAGAGCTTTTCGATTAATCCTGCCACCTTTTGATTATCAGAGAAACTTTGATATATTGGCTAGCATGGTGATGTCATAGGTTGTATTTCTTAAAATTAGTAATAAGTCAATCTTGTTTCTTTCTATGTACAACCAATGACATCATCAATTTTGGCAATATATCATAGTTTTTTCTAATATATCAAAAGGTACTGGCAGAATTTATCGCAACGATCCATTGACAGCAGTAAGGACGAAATCAAGGAATTTGTGTGACGACAATTTTTTGTCTTCAGATACCAAAGTCAGTCTTTCACCATCCAGATTATCAATTTAAAAGATTTAAGAAAATGCAATGGAAATGAGAATAAGTTAGAGATTGTGCATGTGTTTTAGAGATAGATATTTATGATAGTGTATGGTAACTGTTGCTAAGCCATATAAGGATAAAGATTTTAACATGATGAAAATTGTCCAATACTCATCAAGTTCAGACAAAAGTTTTGGAAAGTTGTGTTTGAATTTGGTGCTTATACTAACTGTACCTTGTTTTTGATATTGTATATATAAATGTTTGTACCAATGTTATAATGCCAAATGTATATTTTGCCAATGGAAAAGAATATCATTATTATCCCAACAAACAAAGTTCAGTAGGGATATAGTAAAGCCCTCCGTCTTTCTTTCAGTAAGTCCATCCATCTGTCCCGAAGACTCCAATTCTAGCAAAAAAAAATTTTTCAACATGGTCACTGGTTAGAAAATTGCAAGAATTTTTCATAGAAATCTAAGTTTTTCATTTCAAATCAAAGTATCGAGTAGTTGCTCTGACACAGAATCACTCAAAACTGTAGAAAATAGAAAATCTATCTTTCTTAAAATTAGTGGGTGGTGTTTTTTTGTTACCCTGTATATACATTAGATCATAAATATTCTATTGTATCGTCTTAAAGTGTGCGCCAAAGTTTAAAACTGCGCAGGCGCACCGCTCTCGCTAAACTATATAAAGAGATTACCAGGTACACGATTCAGAGGTAAGCCAGGAAGGCGAACGATCTTCGTCTCGTGATGATTTCCCATATAATCGTAACCAGGGAAGTTTCACCATTGAAATTGAAAATTACTATTAGATATTCTTTGTAGATGTTATTTATGAAGCTATTTAGTGTTTGCATCAATCAAATGGCTCATTTTGAACATAAAAAAAGTATTTGTGTTTTGTTTCCCAGGGAATTGTATTGTATGTAGTACACACATAAATAGTGTACATTATACAGTACTTGAATAGCCTGGTTTACATAATATTGAAGGGCATGCTGATTACATGCACACGAGTACATGAATGAAGGCCTAATATTGATATACGTAGCTTGCATACCTAAATAAAAAATAAACTCTTCTAATCCCCTAATGTAAACACGGCGGTATACGTAGCCCGATTTATCGGGGACTTTAATGATTTGTGCCTTTGATATTCCTATGGTCATCCAAAATGCTTAATTCTCCAATGTCTGTCTTTTATAAGATGCTAATCAAGGGTAGAGACGTAAATGGTAAATATTGTTTTGTGATATACAGATTAATGAATATGAATTTGTTCGTTGGGATTTGCAATTCCATGGAGTTGCCATTTTCTAGTTTTTATTTATTGAAAGGACTTGTTATATTTGTCAGTAAATATTTTGCAATAAAATGATTTACCCAAGAACTTTAACACTATGTTATTTATACTTGACTGCATTGTTCACATCAGATTTCAGAGGACAAATACTTTCAAAATGTCACATGCCTTTTTCTCCATAAAGTACTTTTAAACCAGACCCAGATTATATTATAATGCCTTGCCAATCAGCTGCTATAGAACTGGTTAATATCATCCAATAAAACTACAATCTCGACCAATTTATTGATTCAGAGCTCTTCAATCAAGAAGGTACAAAGTGCATTGCTGCTTAGCAACAACAAGCTTATATTGATAAACTATTCATGTAAACATTGCTTTAAGCGTACAGGTTTTTATATATCAAGTGAATATATGCAGCTTTTATAGGAGATTCTAACTATACTTCTACAAAATGGCGTATACATTTGAACATATAAATAGAAGAAAGGCTACACATATAAATGCTGATAGAAGGTAGGGTTAAAATCTTATTGTAAGTAAATTAAATGAGTTAAAACAAGGCTTAAAGACTTTTAACCATGTGATTGAGAATTTAAGGTCAAATCATTTTTTCAACAAACAATACTACGAGTATATTATCCAAAATATCCATGACATCTTACCAAATAGTGAAGTTATTCAAAGAGCAAATTATGTTAATTAAACCAAATGATAATAAGTATATTTATCAACATATATAGAAGAATGAACAAAATTATATATAAAAATTTCATCAGATTCATTTTAAAAAAATTGACACATACATGTTCCCTAGTATTAAATCACCTTGATTAAATGTAAAAATTCAACAGCATTAGTTTTGGACTTAGTGTACGGCAAACTTAAGTTCACCATTATAACATTGTCTTAATTTTAATTTAGGAATCTTCTAGAGGGTCCATTTAGGTCCTACCCAGCCAACAACTATCTCTCAGGGGATGGTAAATCAATGTTATGGAGTGGTCAGAATTACTACACCCCTGGCAACAGGGAGTGGATCAAGCACCATGATGTGAAAGCCCTACCAGAGATAAGGAAGGTGGATATGAAGGATTTCCAGTCTGAGGATAAGTGGAGAAAATGGCAGAGTGAACGTGATGCTGTTGGGTCGATACATGGCCCTACATGTGCTTCTTCTGGTAAGTGAATGTTTATATACATGTTTAATATACATGTTTTATGTGTGAAATTTTCATGAATTCCATATTTGCGTTCATAATTCCAGAATTATGTCCATTGATCTGAATGGTTACATTTATTTTTTTTCATGCAAATTTCACAGATCAGTCTATTAGTAATTTTTGAGAAAGAACTGTAAACCAAATTAATATATTTTACAGTTATGTAATTATGATACCTTGTAAGCTCCTTTTATGGACATGGTTTGTTATTAAGTGGTCCATGAAAAGTACTCCATGAATTATGGTTTTGTATTTGCTTGTTTTGGTCACTCTGAATTATGGTCCTACATTAAACCTCATCTTGGTAGATTGAAGATTTGTTTTTTGAATGATGGTCTTGTATTTTACTTACTTTGGTCAGTTTGAAAGTACGGTTCTGCATGACCCTCTTCAGTTTTTCTTCCATCTTTATATACACAATACATATACAATAAATCTTATGATAGTGTATCTATTAGCTATACAGCCACACTGAATGAACAAAATGTTTTTATTATTAAAATACTGATGATACTATATGTTTGAAAAATGTGAAAAATGAATTAAAAAATGTATTTCCTAGTATTGAAAAAAGGACAAATATGTCTTTCAGTTCACTCATTCATAGAAAACTGATAAATTATCATTGTATTTTTCAGGTTTCAAAGTGTCAAGTAACCTACATGACTCCCCAGGTGTTAAGCTGTCAGGCTATGCCTTTAACCCTTACAACATGTGGCGCACTGGTAATAATGCTCGTACCATGTACAACTCCCACGAGCCCTGGCCAACCAATGAGGCCCGTAGAGTACCACAATGGAGGGGTCCGAGAGGGTATTATGGGTATTATCATGAAGAACTAGATGAGCATCACAATGGAGGTTATAGATATCCCAGAGATCCTAAGACCCTGTATAATGATGAAGACTTGATTAAATATGAATACCAGAGGACTTTCCCATCAGTCCAGGCTCATTGGAAGGAGAGAATCTTACAGTAAACAATAGATATATAGCCCCATATCTCCCTTCCAGAGGAGATACCTACTTATAGGGAAGGCAACAAACAATGAGGCTTTTCCCTTGTGGGAGCTATAGGTTGACTCCTTTGGTCTGACCCTTAATAAACATTTTCTTAAAACACCATTTTCCTGAAAATATACTGCCTAAGCCCCAAATATTACTCATGATAATTCAGTACATTGTACACTATGTACAATTTATTTACAATATAAGTGCCATTTATGTACAGTATTCACGTTATAACTTTAATGGAGGGTAAAGACTTCAGAAAATTGGTTTCTCTTCCCTCCAAATGTTTGACAATAGGGGTCTCCTTTTGAAACCAGATGTTTTATGTCTGACCTATGTTTTGTACAATAGAATTGAGACTCAAACATCAAAATGATTTAACACAATATCCAAGAGGGACTTTCAGTTGCCAGATCAGATTGATTACCCTGTATATAATTGTATTATTTTTTTATACAGGGTGAAAAATAATTCATATTTTGTTAAATTAAAGATCATTTTCCATCTACTGCTCCTGGTTCAAAGCATTGAATAAATTGTGTAAATATTTTGATATTTTACAGCATTTATCATATAAAATAAGATAGAAAATTGAAATGGTGTAAATACATGTACAAAAATTGCCATATGATTTGTTCAGGAAAATTGTGTTGTGAAAAGTACCCTCAGTTGAATATAGATTTGGTAGATTTGGAAAAAATAATCACTTTCATACTGTTCAAAGATATTAGAGGTACTTTTTATGATTTGAATTTGCAAACATATTATTGCATTTCGTCAAATATGAGATAAGCTGCACTTTAAGTTATAAAAACTAAAATATACAAGTATCAAAATACATGTGTACAAATGTAAATACATTAAGCCTATTTAATTAAAAACATAAATACCACATATTGAATCAAACTCATGTTTTTGTTATTCATTACAGTTATGAATTTGTGCAATGTATTGCAATTACTTTATGACTCTTGACGGATTAAATAACATATTTATTGATTGGGATTTAATAGATATATTGTTTCAAAATTCTCAGATGGAAGACCCTGTCTAACTCAGATGCCAATGGGACCAGCCAAGTTTTAGATTGGCAGGCCTGGACATTTTGAAGTTTTTTAATACAGCAGATTTAACATGGAACGAAGTGCAATAACATTGGGAGTTTTCAGATGAGAGAGTAGTTCAGATATAATATAAGGTTTTAGTATACATTGATATGCTAAATACTGTACCACTGAACCTTCTTATGAAATATTGATATGTAGAATATTTTGATTCACTTCCAAAAACTGACAATACTCTTTCAAGCCAGTTGATTTACCAGTGCAATCTTACTCCATAATAACAAAATCCATAATATTCATTGTATAGATGATTTATTGTAGTGTAATCATTTCTGCTACATAGCTAGACCTATTTAATTGATAACAACAATCACCTACATGGTGAAACCTAAGGCTAGCACAGAAGGGAATTATTGTCCAATTAACTTGCAAAAATGAACTTTCAGAACTTCCTCATTCATCATTTTCCAAATATAACACTTGTCAACTTGCTATAGCAAACTTGGAAAAACAAAATATAATATAGATATTAAATGTTAAAGGAGTAAATCTTAGCAAATGATTTATAATCAATGGTGTAGCATCATATACGCATAAGATGCCATGGCGTACTATTAAAATTTAGAGAAAGGTTGTTTTTAGATTGAATTGCCCCACACTTTAAAAATGTACAAAAATGGCCAATATTTTACATTTTGTTGGTCCATAGTATTCGGAATTTTGTATTTTAAAACTACCCTGAATGCTTCAACCCCAATCTCTGGGCGAGAACCCAACCCCAGACCCCCTCAAAGATCATTCGCTTCGCTCACTTGTGACGTACACTCACAAAATACCCACGCTACACCACTGATAATCTTAAATATTTCATATTTTTTTACATAAGCTATCTATGAAGATATAGTCGTATGGATCAGTGTACTATATATGTACTCATATATCTATAGGTAGAAGTTCTGAAAGTTCCAAATTCAGAAGGTAAATTCCAAAATTCATTCCATGTCAGCCCTAGTGTAACGAGTAAAATCTGGAATACTAGTAATCAAGATTTCACAATACTAAACTGACAACTGTTAATGTGGAACTTATAAATACAGATGCACATAAATGAACAAATGTTAATGTACATAAATGTGCAGTTGTATAGAAACACACAGATGTACATAATTGTACAGATGTAAATATGATCCACAAAAAGAATTCTTTTTTCTGAGTACCAGGCAATGTTAGACCCATATAACAGACCTCTTTTCAAAAGGTTAATTTTTTTTAAACTATTGAACATTTAAAAAACTGTCAATGGCCATGGCCATGTTGAATTTCAGATGCTATGGCATATACTGTTATTGCATAAAGACTGAAAATCTGGCATTTTTCTGAATTTGTTTTCCTTGCCAAATACCCAGAAACAAGATTCTTTGCTCACATAATCTGGTGTTAGGCAACATGTAACCATCTCTAGTTCACTCAGATTACAGATCTATGTTCGAAGTTGTCAGTGTAGAATTGTAAACTCTCTAAAGAAAAGAATGACACACGCAAGCTTAAAATCTCAACCTTACATTGTGGAGATGTGCAAAAATTGTTGAAACGTTTGATGCAACCTACTCGACACAGACATAATATTGGTAGATTTTCCTTATTTGAAATAATATAATAAATTTTAGTTCTAATAATATTGAGAGAAGGCTCAATAGAAAGGCATCCCTAACCATTTTCAGGAATATATTTCTTAAATCATATAACAACCTATTCACCCTTAAACACACATATAAAGTATAAAAATTATTTTTGTACCCCTCAAACATTCAAGGAACACAAAATTTTAAATCAAAAATTTAAAAAAATGTATACACGCGGATATACAACTCAAGAAAATGAACAATAAGCTAACTTTTGTAAAGTTGATGCACTAACATGTATATGAAGACAATCAATGAAAAATTAAACTTGAACTCTATATTTCAATGTACCTGATTATACTACAGGGTGTCCATGAAATGGTACCTATATTTGCCTTACTCTCGGATCACCCTTCAATTTGCAGTATTTTGAAGAATTTTACTTATTTATACTAGAAATAATAATAGAAATAATACAGTATAACAAAAATACCACATGAAAATAAGTGCAGAAATAATAATTGAAGAAATATACAATAAAGTAGAATAAGGGAGGAAGAGTATAATATAGACATCAATAATGACTTATATTCCAATTGGTCTAAAATTTATCAGACTCCCCCCACCTTAAAATAACTAAATACACAAGACTCAGCATAACACAATCAACTACTTTGTTTGTATTCATGAAAGATAAACAAAAAACCTTGTCTATTTATAGGAAGTATCTATAATTTATTATTAGGCATTTCAAATAATAACAGACAAACAAAATTTAACAATGATGAAGCTACACTCATCAACAGAAATTCACCATTCTCACTGGTTAGTTTACATGTAATACCCCACCCCTCCTTGAGAGGACATTCTGAGGGGTAATGAACATAGTATGTGATTATAAGAGTAAATAGTTAAATCTTAACACCATAATAAATAAATAATAATAGTTATAATATGTTCTAGAAGGGCTTTTCTATAGAACAGTACATGAATAGAAAACTTAAACTTCAAAAAACATTTAAATAGATTTTAGTCAAATCACTGATGCCATTTTTTTTCTAATTCCCACAAATGGAAACTGATGATATCATTTTGATATTAAATATGACATAAATGATATCAGATTAGTATGCCAATATTTTTGAAAAGTTAGTATACAATTGGTATTACTACAGTATATCTGCAACTTTAAATCTCACCACCAAACTCTAAACTAAGACTAAAGTTATAAAACCTCAGTGATAAATACTTCAATAGATTATATGTATATCATATATAACCTCAATAGAGGCAATAAGTTAAAATATCCACTATATACAAAACAATAAATACTTTGATTTTTGCAAGATTCAAAATTTTTGCAGTCATCGAAAATGATAATTCAATTTTAACAGATATGCACCAACGTACAATAACACTGATTCACAATCAAGCAGATAAATTTTTAAACATAAATATTCATACATTGTTGAATAAAGAGTTAACCATATACAACTAAAATCTCAGTTTGATACACTGTACTGTGTCTACTAAGTCTATAATACTGTAAAACATGTTCAAATAATCATTCAGTTTTCATGAATTCTAATTCATTGAAGTGTTTCGCGTCATATAATGAGTTCACTATTCCAGAATTATGTTATAAATGGTAAAATTATTAAGGTTCACAAAAAAGAAATAAACATGATTTACAGTCATACTATTAGAATGAGTTGAGAAAATGGATACATGATCACTTTCACATCTCATAATACGAAAACGGGGTTTAGAATCAAAGACTAGCTTTCTACTACTGAATTTATTTGTGAATGCAATCGGGGACCTGATCCACTCCTTCCAGTTTTCCATGAATAAAATGATGCATTCTGTTATAAACAAATCTTATCTTGGTTATTCATGAACAATATCTCTCAAGAAGTTACCTGAATAAGGAAAATTTTGAGTTTCTACAAATCAAAACTTGAATTTTTTTTCATCAAATGGTAAACTGAGAGGACTGATTAAATTACATGTGTACATGAACCAAACAACTGGCCATATTTAACTGGGTTGAACAATTCTAGAAGCATACAGCAGTATGACCAATCTAAAGATTCAACACTAATACCTTAATATATTTTCAGAAACAGAAAATACAAGAAAACATGCATTTGTAAGCAAAATTGACATAATTTGATAATGGCACATTTTAGGCTTGCATGACATTTTTACAAAAACACCAAAAAATCCTCATTGTAATTAACAATGAATTTTGAACCCATTTGATTTTGTGTATATACTACACATTTTCTTTAAATCCTTGAGTACAGTGATATTATCACCTTTTTGGAGAAAATTGTGGGTTTGTGGGTCCTTCTGTGTAAGACCTTAGTTCGTAGTTTGCCACACGTGGATCAAATTCAAATTTGTCCCGTGCAAATATCAGCCGGATATCTGTATGTAGATATATCTTGTTAGATTTGGAACTACAGAACCTGAAAGAGATTTAATGAGACATGAATATATGAAAAACCCCAAGAGATGAACTCCTGATTTTCATCAGAAAATTTCAGAGCAAAATTTAGTCCAAGTAAGGATTATATTGTATTTAGAAAAGTAATGAAAACAAACTATTTTAAGTTCATGCCAACATAACCATTAAAAACACCTAAAATGTGTGAAATATAGCTTATTGAAAGCATTTGATTTTTAACTAGAAAATCTTGACAAAATAACTTGTTTTTAACCATAGTTTTTGCATGGACAGATAAATGGATGGACGGATAAATGGATGGACAGACAGAGTGATCACTTGACTGCTTCACTACGTCCCTACTTATTTGGATAATAATGCAAAACATAAAACACACACCTAAGGTGAATCAGATAGCGTAAGAATGTTGGCAGGTCCTGAGAGTTTTCGTTTCCATGCTGTACTGGTTGGTATATGGTGCGCTGGCGCAGAAACGTCTGAGAGTTCGGTGGCATATCTGTGAGATCATAGCGAACGACAAACATCTTAACCACTTTTTTATTTGGGTTGAACAGAGTCTGAAATAAAACAAATATCTTTACTTTATGTGCACAGAAAGTTACACATATACGTATGTCTAGGAAATAAGCATTATAAACAAATAAAACTTGTTAATCAATTTCCCCTATTTAAGGGGAATACATTTTTGTAATTGCTTTGATTACTTCAGAACAATGCTATTACTTAGGTACAAAACTATGCCTAGATTTAATACACATGATTTGATTAAAATAGCTAAATTAAGAAACATACCACTTGAAGTGTTCCTAGTTTTGGCACATGATATCCTCTTCTCTTACAAGCGGCCTCTATATTAATGTGGCCCTGAAATCAGTTCACAAAATCTATGAAAATACCAAAACTTACGCGGAGTCATTATCAGGGAGCCCATTAATGACTTGGAATGCCCAGATTTTGATTGTTTTATGTTTCCAGATTATTCCAATGAATTATTAATGATTTTTCCTCGCAAAATCTTCTGAAATATTATTACTGTAGACATGACTTGGCTGACCTACCCCCCTTTCACACTAAACTAGTTCTTATCCGTTCTTGCCAGTCCTACGAAAATGTCATAAAACGGGCTCAATCTGGCTGTGGTCGGGAAATATGTCTAAAATAATAAGCTGCTTCGTTCATAAACAGTCTTCAATATGTCCATCTCATTCGCAGTTTGTTCAGGTCGCACCACGTTGGTGTGCAACTTCGTATAACACGTCCCTTAGTCTAGAAGGTCATCATGACCTGATTACAGAACGGTATGGTCGCCATCGAATTTTGAATCGATTCAAAATTCTAAATCACATTCCCCATCTGGGAAAGTCCATGAAGTTCATAAACAGACCGTAGAACGTTGTAGCTACGTTCATTTCGTTCGCACACAGTTTAAAACCAGTTTTGAAGAACGCAGTGGCAACTTGCTTGGTGTGATAGCTATATTTTTGCTAACTCGTTGATAAATACGTTCTTAATCGGTTTTGACCTGTTTGCAATTAGTTCTCAATACGTCCTCAGACAGTTCAACTCATTGTAAAAATGTCCCTAGTAGGATTGAAGTATGACAGTTCTGTTCGTAGAACGTCCAGATCGTTGTTAGTAGGTTTTCACTCTTTCTAATTGTAAAACGTGACGACCAAGAGAACATTTTGAGCATGTTCTAAGTTCTAGACGACCTACCCGTTCGAGTACATTCGATGAAGTAAATAGACCCCAATGGTTCTAAGTATGTCCAGTCTGCTAGTACACAGTCGAAGCCCATTTTCGAGAACGTAGTGAGAACTAGTTTGGTGTGATAGTAGGGTAAGAGTCTAAAAACCCAAGATCTTTGAATATTGAGGCAATATTTCTCTTGCTTCTATAATTAGCTGTTATTATGTGAAACGGATATGACTCTGTAAAAAATCATGAAATCATGACCTTGAAGCAGACAAATTTCTAACACTAAAAATAAACAGGATTTTTCTTACCAAATAAGGAGATGGTGCATTGTCATCAGAAAGATTGAAGAAGAACGCTGTTACATCAAGCTCAAGATGTTTCGGACAGAAAGCCCCACTGGCACCTATCTCTGCAGTGAATCCTGACACAGTCCCTACAGGGTCAATGCGACCATTCAGCAAACTTTCCTACAAATAAAAGGTTGGGTTAAATTATCACATTTTTAACAAAGACTCAGACCACCTTTCCCCTGTTGAACATTGTAGACACTTTCAATTTCCCATATTTTTTACAAATTGAAACCTCGATTTCTATTCCCTGTTTTGCAAATACCAGGTATATGATAAATTTATATCTACCTTGCAATATTGAGATACTTGATGCCTTGTATTCATTTGACAATCAATTAATATAGGGTGACAGGGCACAAAGTAACAGGTAATTGAACAAGCTTTTCAATTTATGATGGATTGTTTGATGTCCAACTATACTCACCTCAAAGTTTCCTAGCAGACAATTGGGAGTTGTACATGCAGGAGCACTTGTGCTGAACACCTTGTTGTTGTCAGTGGTGTTGCCATTGCTATCCATTGTATCTAGGGTCACCATGGAGATAGCACTGCAAACAACAGTGATTAGTGAAATACATTTACAGGAAGGGGGAAGGGGGTTGGCTATCCAAATAACCCCAAAACACAATGAATAGTGAATAAGGAGTCTTAATTAAGAGATTCAAGGACCCCTGATGAATCCTTGTTTAGAAAATATAATACAGAAAATAAATGATACATGTGACTTGACTGACCAAGTGTTTGGCATTAGCACCACATTGTTTTATTCATGATACTACACACTTTTGAACATACCAAAAGTAAAACAGGCATCCTACTTGTATAAAGGCTCTATTTACCTTTTAATGGACTTAACAGTATTAAGGGAATGGTCATATTCAAAGCGTTCATGGGTTCTCTTCTTCATGGGTGCCTGAAATAACAACAACATTTAGTCAATATGACAACTTATAACAAGGCATTGAAATACAAAAGACGTGAAATAATGAAAAATTTCATAATGAAAATTTTCACTATAATGCCATTGGATACATGCATAAGTATTGTTCATTTAGTACATGATATCTATGATCATAAAGACACGTTTCAAGTTACATCCTAAAAAGCGGCAGTTTTGTGCACAGATAACTTGTATATATCACAGTAAAAAGGCCCACCTACTGTATTGCATAAAATGTTTGCAAAACAAATGTTCCAGAATTCTTACGACACACTGCAATGTATAGCATAAAATATTTGCAAAACAACTGTATGTACTTACTGGACTAGACTGCATGGGAAGACCTGTAGAATGGTGGAATATAATATTACTGCTGCTATCCACTGACTTCCTGTAAGTGGCTTTCTCCTGGGCTGAGGGCACTCTACGCCCAATACTGTCAACCTGGCCATCCTAGAAATGCAATAAATGTCTAGATGAAACTCAATGTCTTGATGACACACAATTAATATCTTCATATAATACAATCAAAATCAAAAACAACTAAAATACAGCTGGTTTTGGTTTCTAACATTATTTAAGATCTAAAGAGTCAAATTTTCAAATGTGATACTTTCTAATTAGAGTACAAAATGCATGAATCGGCACACATCTCAGTACTTACCCCCACTGATTGAGCACTGTTGTCTTTCCTCATGATAGAGCGTAAGAGTGATGTAGAGAGGCTCTTCACCATACCATGGAACCCTGGGACTACCACACCATCAGTAGGTGACCTCACAAAGTGGGTGACTGACTGAGGGGAATATCTATCCTCGAGTTTCCGATTCACTTTGCTTTCCTTACTTTCTTCATTTGGCTTTGGTGTTTGGAAGTAGTTTGTGTTACTGATGCTGTTGTTTGTAGTTTCATTGTCAGTTTTGACTTGCATTGATTCTGTTATATCGTCTTTCTCAGATACATTATCATCATCCTCATTATCGAGTGTGAATTTAATTTTGTTTGTATCATGAGGGTCTTCAATAATACTTTCTGTTAAAGTGTCATTATTATCTTGAGAAGTCTCTCCATTCTGACTGGTGGAATCTAACTGGTCTGAAAGACTTGATCGTCTTAATGGTGATACACCATTCTGAACATTTTCATAGCACTGTATATGGGTGTTTAATTCATGAGACTCATCATGAGAAACTGCGGCTTGAGCATTGTCATGACACACCACATGTTTGACATGACCATTCTCCTGTTGATGTCCATATTCATGAGAATTGCTTCGGCGTAGTTGCAGCACATTGGGTCTATCTGGCGATTGTTTCACTCGTAAAGCACCATTAGGACTTTGATGTTTATGACTCCTTTCAGGGCTTGAGTCAATACTGTCGTTGCTACTATACCTTGACAGTATAGAGTTACACCTAGGACTGTTATTATTACTACTAGAATCACTATCCAGAAAACCTTTAACAGTTTTTGGACTCTGAGTTTTTATAACTTTAGTTCCTACTATAGGTTCATGGATCCTAGATTTGGCAGGGGAGGATATCTGGCTGATGTCTTTAGCATCATGGCCATTGATACTTGAATTGACACCATTTATAACATCTTTTTCTGAAGTGGAAATATTACAAGGGGAACTAACAAGAGTGGTTTTGTTTACTCCATTTGAAACTGATTTGCTAGAGCAAGGTATCATATTGTTATGACTATTTGTATGTGCTTCTATTTCCACTATTGAATTTGTTTGACATTTTGTGCTTCCATTCTGGGTATTAGTCCTTTCAATGCTACCATTTTGGCAATCGGTTGTTTCCTTATTAGGCTGTACCTTGGAGTGTTTGGAGGCAACTTTCAATTTTATTGAGCTGATAGAATCACAACTAGACTCTAATATCGACTCTGTACTGCTTGAAGATGAACTAGATAAATTCCTGGCATAAAATGGACGGTGTCCAGGGGTTTGTTGTTTCAAATCTGCCAAATAGTTTTCCATTTCTGTTGATGACAGGGGTTGAAGTAGTCTTGTCGTGAATTTTGAAGTTACTGCAGCTAAATCATGCTCATATTGGGCATTCATTGATATAATGGGTGAGTTTTTAGGATCATAATAAACCTGATCTGTTGATTTTTGAGTCCATAAAATTGTAGGGCTTTTCAATTCTATAGGTGCTTGTTTTTTCATTACATCCTTTTCCAATATTTTTTGTAATGGTATATCAGAACTGGTGAGCTGGTGTTGCTCATGTAGAAGTTTGTAGTGTTTTGGAACGGCACCAGTAAGTTTCATTTTAGATATGATGTCTTCTGTTAAGGGAGATTGGGGGGTAGATGTAGAGGCTGGGGGTGTTTTAGGAGAGGGCCTCAATGAGGAGCCTGACTGTTGTGTTGGACTTGATGAGGAAGATCTTCCATTAGATGTTTGCACTGTTGTATTAGATGACTGTGATTGTGATGTCATAATTGAGTGTGATGACTCTTGCGTGAATCTCTTTTGGTTTTGCATAGTTGGAATCTTGTAGGGTGTTGTACTTTTGGGTGAGTCATGATCAACATGAGGTGACCCATGACTAATACATTCTGTTTTAGGTTCAAATTCAGGTTTCATCAACCCATGCCACAGCTTAGGTGAAAATGACCTCTCTTGTGCTGCAGGTTTGGGTGACATTCTATCCGACAAGTCCCCTCTCTCGATACTTAAAGCCCTCGGGGAGGATTTCCCAGAATGTGAATCTTGTTTTGCCTCAACAACATCCTTGCAAAGCACTGCGGGAATTGTTGGACATCTTGGACGTGATATGACACTTACTTTAATCGCATCAGTCTTGGATATGACTGTACCAGGGAATGTATGAGACTGTTGTAGTTGGGTCTCACTCCAGTAAGTTTCTGTATATTCACCTGGTGCAGATATTCTACAAAGACATACATAGGCATTTATAGATCCCCCATGTTATTACACTACAAATAATGAAAATAATGAAAAAGATACACGATATAACGTTGATCATTTAATGCAATTTTTATGTCATTTTTATGATGCAAAATAGAATCAATAATGAATATTTAAATGCATTGATATATATTTTATTGGTGGCTGCTATGGTAATAGCTATCAGAAGGAAGTCTAATTCATTATTGAAGAAGTCACAGTGCCTTACTTTGTACACCCAATCAAATTAGCGTACACAGTTTACTTATCCCCATTTCCTGATTTAGCAAAAGCAATGAGACACATTTTCTACTTCACATCTTCATCTCCATTGACTACCATATGTAATATTAATAAACCTCACATGACATTCAACACGCGCTATTTAAGGCTTTGAGGAAAACTTATTTGTATCAGGTCTCACAATTCCCTTCCCTAATTTCCACTTCCCCTTTCTGTTATCATAGATGAAGGAAATACAGAAAGTAACACAGGGAGAAGTTGATGCAAGCTTTATGTTCTTAATATTGCATTGCTCCAAACTTCTGCATATGTTATTTGTATGTCCTCCAATAAAACGCAAATGTAATAGACCCATCATGCCTTAAACCTTTCAGAGCTTCACTGACTAAGGCAAATATTCGGATGTTCCAGGAAACCCAATTTAACTAAGTAAGGTATGAATTCTTCTGACCCTACCCATCAGAGACTTAATGCTCAACTATTATGATAATGTTCCCTACCTGTATGCAAGATTACGTGGTGCAGCTCCTTTAGACATGTTAAGCCATGCACTGATCTGAGAGAAGTAGAGATAGGACCTAACTGCACCCATCACCATGCTGGCAGAAACAGGATTCCCAATACACCTAAAACAGAGGATTTCTTTAGCTTATACATATGCATAACATTGACAAAAGTTTATTACCATGACATCTAATATATGATTCACCCAAAGCTATACTCCAATGACAACAAGTGGGTGATTGCAATAGCTCACCATGTCACAAAATTTTGTTTTAGCTTAAAAATACCATTCAATTTCTTATGCTAATAATACAGATTTCTTGTTACACATATCATTCTTGAAATAGATAGTCCATTAGTCAAATCAGAAATAATAGGTTTTATGCTTGAATTCACTGTGCCTCCTGAGCTCACAGTTCAAATGAGAAATGTTGAAATGACATGTGGTGAAGATAAAAACACCTGAACAAATCATGTCATGCCGTCTCCACAATTTCTCCTGAGTGTTGAAGCTATTACGTGGTATTAATAAAACAAGGACTCCTTAACAAAATGAAATTTCCATCTTGAATTGCTTCTGCAAGCAAATTGCCAATATGTCTCGTCTTTTACTGAGGTTACTGAGGTAATAATCAAAGACAGGAAAGTACAAATTCTTTCGGCAGACCCTATTCCGCAGATGCAATCAGGGTACATGTCTGTACAATACAGTACTATCTGTTTAAACAATGCTTTATTTTTAAGTATTATTTGAAAACATTTTTGGAAGAAGGAAAAACAAATTTTGAAAACCCAAATTTCATTTAGGATTCGAATGTCTCAACAATACTTATTGTTTGGTATTTCATATTATAATTCCACTATTGCTGCTTCATCATACATTTTGAAACAAATGGCGTGCACTTTATTTTCAAGGAAGAATGAATACCAACCTTTTTGGCAAGACCTGGATGGTCCATTGCTCCAGAACAATGACATTCTCTTTTTCCAAAGGTGAGCTCAATGCGCTCCTCGCCATCTCTCTGCCATGCTTGCAATCAGGGTGCAGGAGTACCTCTATACACATGGGTACGTTGTTCTGCCACAGCTGCTCCATCTGGTCAGCTACCTTTACAGCTTCTACACACTGAAATATATCAGAAATTATCACCCTGAAAAGATCTGCATCAAATTCTTGTGGATCATCAAGGAGGATTGGCTCCCAGAATGCAACCTTGATATTTTCCAACAATGAAAATGTCAGAATTTTGTTATTGTCTGACATTTAAACTGGTTATTAATTCATAATCAGCAATCTTTAAGATTATCAAAATTGCATACTGGGAGCCAATCCTCCTGGGATCACACAACTTCAAACTATTACTATATCATAAGTCTCGGATCATGTTTGCTCCAAAAGGGTGTAACAATTATTGAATATCTGTTTAATACCAGCTATCATTCCACCCTTGTAGTTATTATGTTCGACACTCTGAACATTTATCTAATATTATCTAATATCAATACATCATGAAGTATATTGTATTATGATGGAAACAAGCTGAACAGCAACAATATACACTGTAAATGTACACTGTATATCAGATAATGCAATTAGGAAGACAAATGTAAAAATTTGTATTCAGTTTGATTAAACTGGGATTGGCTATTTTGTTAAGAAAATAGAGATTTGTTTACATATAGATTTTATGGTAACATTACCCTAACTTGTACAAAAAATAAAATCTTACTTCATTTTTCTTATTATCACATGCATGTGTCACTTCTCCTAGAATTCCAGGGCAATGGGGACCTTCTGTTCTGCCTTTTGGTGACATTTGTGGAACCCTGGCCTCTAGGACTAACATTCCTATCCATTTAAACAAATCACTTCCCTCTAACACCTCTTCTTCCATGCTTGTCTGAGTAGTTCCTGGAGGAAAACAAAGCATGAGATAATTTTTATTATCAATCACTTTTTTAATTCATGTTATCAGATTGACTCTCAGCTGCCTGATATTCTGCTTTATCCATGGGTGGTATAAAACATATATGAAAACAATCATTTTAACAAATATGAAATGAGATACTTAAGAGAGTAGACAGTTAATATGAGACGTGATCCTTTCAAATATTACTTCACCTTAATGAATTTTCATCCTTCCTCTAAAATATAAAGTATTTCCAACTTTTCATATGAATAATTTGTTGTGTCCAAAAATTGTTTTGATGAATGTAGTATAAATATATAAATATACAATGTAGTGTTTTTTTATTTTTTAATACTGTAAAATATGCTTATCTACAATGTCCAATTCTGGAGCCAAATGTTTCCCTTACTCTGAATAAGCATATGAGATATTATGTCAGATCTAGTTTTACGCTTGTTCGCCTGGTAATCATGATCGTTTTCCATTCTGTGGTATAGTACAGCAAAGCCAAATAGAATACATATAATGTTAAATTAACTTGGAGTATTTCAAGTAGACTTTTTAATCAACAAACGTTTCCAAAATATTCCTAGTCTTATAATGAATCCAGCCGTTTGATGTTACATTCACCTCAAGTGAGACATATGGATGGCCCAACAGCTGATATCAAAACATCATTTCCAAATGGTCACCAATTAAATTACATTATCACATATCATAATCAGAGGGGATAGTCATCACTAATTTAACATGCATGATGTGTGATCAACTCTTAATGAGAGGTTTTCATTGATTTTGACTTATAAACCATCTGTGGTCATCAAAAGGACCTGCAATCAAATGGTTAATCAGCTTATTTGACTAATTATGATACAGTGACATTAACTAAACTGAGACATCATAATTGACATGTGTTATATCAGTTCTGCCATCAAGGTAAGCCAGAAGATAAAGCAACCAATAAGAAATGCACCAATCTGCAATTTCATAACTGATCATACTTTCCTAGGGCAGTGTATAAGATTGACAGATAACATTAAAAAGTTGAAATTATTGTGTGGTGGATACTAGATACAGTATGCCATATACAGATAACTAAGAATCCCCCCCATCCAGCTATCCAGTCCCTTTCTATAAGACAGGTAAGATTTTTTATTTATTAAAATCATGTAACCATATGTATATTGTAGTGATAAAGACAACCCTTGGTATATGGTTTATCGCACGCCAAATTCTTTTTTAAATGGCATGTTGTTATATTGTAAATCTTATGGTAAATTGTTTTAATTCAAATATATGCTTATTAATTATGTTATAATTTGTAGCCATTGAACTATGAAATAAAGTTGTACTGAGTTTCATTTACTAAAGTTTCATAGAAAATTTTATATTTCAATTTTATCATATCTCTCAAGGCCCCGCTTCTAACATGGGCTCATTGCTCACGATTTCAGCGGGGCCTAGATAGTCCCTGTGAAACTATATATGAACAATAGCATTATAATGTATAAAAGGATGCTTCAGCATATACTGAAATTCCATTTAAATTAATCACTTCTCTTATATTCTGAACTTATCATCATCAACAAGTTCTAAGAGAGTAGGAGGCTTCCTAGCCTGTCACGTTCTTCCATCTGTTTTATATTTATTTTTAGGGGTTAAATATCTGATAGAGTCTTAACATTATACATGGCATACAGGGTTATGGTTTTTCAAGATCATTGAGCTACAACAATCAGCAAATGAAGAAGGCCAAATGCATAACTTGGATGCTATATCTGTAATAATCGCAATGTTAAGTGTACTCTAACACACGTTATAATTGAGATGAGAAAAACAGATGCAAAACTGGTTCTTGTATACATTAAGTGTGTCAATGAGAGATTCCAATGCAGGAGGGGAAATCACAAAGCTCTCATAATAATATCTCACCAATCGTTTTATTTTTCAATATGTTCTTTAAACCATTTCTAATAAAATATTTCTGTTATTCTTAACATTTTTGTGGATTAATTAAGTCATTGTATGTTGCACATTCTGTGAAAAGTTGATTAAAATATATTATAAAATATGTTGCTGGTCCAGTCTAAATTCCCATCAACACTGACACACAGGAATGACAATGGCATGGAAGTGAAAGTTAATGTTTAATCAGTATTTATTTAAAGCCCCCCCCCCCCTTTAAAACTATATAGAGTCTTGACTAAAGAATATGAATTGTGTACTCTTCAAAATTGTATGACACTGATCAAAACAAACTGATATTTAAAAAAACATAGATCCAAATGACTTTTAGATATAATCAGCACACTTGGATTTCGTTTTTATATGCTAATAAAAGAATGCACCTATTGTGTACGTTTTACTTTGCTTCATGTTTACGCACTTTTTATTACATTATATTTACACAACTTAACAGTACAAATGTGAATTGTTTTTTTTCAGGAGATCATGCAGACTGACATATAAATCAATGAGTTAGGTATTATGAGGTAACATAAAATGAGGGACATCAATATCACTGGCCGATCTGGGGGGGGGGGGGGGGCAGGGGGATGGGCCCAGAAAAAAAATTGGGCCCAAAAAAGGCCTTAAGGCCCCAAAAAATGGGCCTTTTTGGTCATTACTGGGCCTTATTTTTTAATTTCAGGCCAAATTTTGAAGAAAATGGGCCTCAAAATTTCAAAATTTGCCCCCCCCCCTTATTGGTTCCCAGATCCGCCCCTGAATATATATGTAATATATCATTTGACCCCTTCCCTTCATAGTCAATACATAGCACCTGTTGGTAAAATAGATAAATGGATCTCTGAGACGAATTAATTTAGGTTTTTAACAGTTACATCATAATTATAGATACCAACAGGATTAATCAGATTTAGCATATCCCTAACTAAAGGGCCACTAAAATATTTACAAGCATTAAGTTCGTATGAAATGCATGTGCCTTTAGACTATCAATATTTTTGTTATTTCTAAATAATTGATGACCTCCATATATTTTTGACAATTTGAAGCACGTGTCATGATGGTTCACAGAGTAATAAATCCCAACAAACAGGATCAAAATTAAATATAGTGTCAATAAATCTGAATACTGTACACCAAACATGAAGAAATTAGTCCACTAGTACACAGCATTTACAACATTCCCCAGGCAGGGTTTCACTTTATCCCAAACAAAACTTTGTACATAAAAATAATTTAGAGCTGTGGATGCTAAAATCTAAGAAATAAAAATGAAAAAGTCAGATTTGTATTCAGTGAAAGTAGAAATGCTAAAACCTAGATTTTCCGATTATTTTTAATCAACCTGTAAAAATAATGATTTCGTTTCCAAAAACAATCTGGTAACAAAACTGATTCTATTAAGCAAAGTTGACCTTAGATGACCAGATGAACTTGAGATGAACTAGTTCTGTTACCCTATCAGGACAATGTAATTATGTTGGTGAAGGCATTTACTAAGCAATAGTACAATAGTGTAAATAATACATGGAATAATTTTGCAATATCTACTACGTATAACCTATTAGAATACCATAGGCGTAGCCTGGGAGGGGGTAGGGTGATCGCAAAATATTTATAAAATTTAAAACATATCTTTTTTTGGCTTGTTTATGCCACATTCGCACCCCCTGACTGAAAACCAAAAAAAAATTTGGCGATCGCACTCCCCCCCTGACTAAAAGCTGGCTACGCCCCTGAATACATACAGGATTTGTTAACTCAAACATATGCAGCCTAGTATATAGCCCCAAGAAAATATTTAACGTGATATCATTGACATGGTCTAACCCATATGAGGCAGCACAGAAACAAATGCAACAGAAAAGAACTAATCGTAACATTATGCCATACATCCTCATACTCATGAAACATTAATTAGACGATTGATTATATTAATGCCCATATTCCAATAGTCTTGCATTTGAAGTAGACAATATACCCCTCTCAACCCCCCCCCCCCCCCGACTCACCACTGATTTCTCTTACTCAAGCTGAATATGAGGACAGAGATACAGCAATACAAGAATAACACCCCGGTTTCAATATACCAGGACATGTACTCCCGATAACATGGAGAGCTTCCTACATAGATAAAATAACTACAAAAAAAGTGGCTAATAGAGAGTTAAAGCTGACAATTCATGTACAAAGGCAAGCTACCCAACTAGTTGTTTTTTAGGAGACATGCACTTGACTGTACATACTCTGACAAATGAGCCACATCAACAAGCAAAATCAATGAAAACATGTATCCAGGCCAGTAACTCCTGAATCAGTCAGAAATTCATAGACATTGATCAGAATAAGAAGGTTGTACTTTATAAATAGAAGTTACCCTAGATGTTTAAGTACAGATAACTAAACTAGATATTTCATCAATAGCTTGCCTCGTAAATGTGAGTTTCTTGGCCTTACTCAGGTCAGCAAAAGCACACACGTTTTATGAACGATTTATTGGTTTAGTTGAATTAAGGTAAAATTGTTTCATCAACTGGGTGTGGTCAATAATTTTAAGCAATATATCCACAGCATCAGAAGGTATAGATTTATATTGTTCAATCTGCATGAATGATGGTAGTGTTTTGTTTCCATTTAGGCAGCTTCAATATGTTTTTCATAGTAACAAAAATCAATTAGTGAAAATGAATTTTTAACAGGTGTTTCTGTAATAGAATGTCATACACTATACAGTAAAGCCCCTCACGTGAATATGACCTTGGAAGAGCACATAAATGCAGATTCTCAATACATCACATTCACAAATCAGGTAGAGCCTCAGGGTACTTTAAAAGGATTGTACATTATACAATTTCTCTAAGAGTATTAGAACAATGTTTTTATTAATAAGGCAAGATGTCCAAATGCATGGGTTTCAGTGTACTTTTAGACTGACATAGTCTGAAGTGGCTTATACTCATTACAAGCTGACTCAATATTTCCTCATAAATACCTTATGAGGGTTCACCCAGTGGGGAACACGACAAGGTGATAAGAGAAGTTTTGATATGCCAAAGATGAATCTGTGTATTTAAAATTAAGCCTAAAAGTAAAAGCCTCAATTATACACACACTCTTTCACTTTTCAGTTGCCTGTTTTTATGTTTTTGTATCTAGTAATGGCTAGACTTTGGATGAACCTAAATCCAAACCTTAGAAATCAGTAAAGGTGACAAAAATGGAGTCTGGGTTTCTCCTTGACAGTCCCAAGAAAGGAAATGATTTATTAAACAAAGAAATGTTCAAACATTAACAACACTTAAGATAATAAATGATAAACATTCTCTCTTCAAAAACATATGTTTTGCGACACAAAAGAATATATAAGCTGGGGATGGCATTATGAACATGGTTCATTCAAATCACCTTTTTCAGGATACTAATAGAGGAAAAAATTAGAAAATTACAGACACTGTACATGCAGTCAGGGAATGTGTAATTGGTGTCTTTTTACTTTAATTTTTTGACAATAAAAATAATCCATCTGGTTGGAGGATTTCATAAATAAATGAGCAGTCATTTTTATCATCCATTTCCAATCCATCCTTTGGATTCATTCAACTTTGCTTCTCAAAAGAGAGCTTCGACTTCACTCTTTCAGTTTTCAATAAATCTCTGAACTCACCGCGCTAGGAACAAATGTGAGAGATTTATGAAAAAAGCAAAAATACAACATATTTTGAGTAAATCCATGAATCCAGTATGAGATATCTAAAATGAATGATCTGAGACAAATAGCTCTATTATAACTGAATAATCATCTGAGTAATCATAAATTGTGTGAGATTTCAGATATTGAAACCAATAATCTGGAACTAAGTAGGTTTGCTTCAACAACAATTTCCTGGTTCATTGTTCATCATTATTTCCATCCATGTATTCTATGACAGGTCCTAAAATATGATATGTTCAATATCCTGTTTACGAGACTCACTGAAACTTCTAAATGGTAGGGACCCTCAACGAATGCAGAAACCGGCACTACATTTTTTATTGACACCTATAATGTCCTAACATGCCATACATGTTTAAGTCAGTACCAACAGCCATATTCAATGGTGATTCAGAATTAGATTCTATTAATTTTCTAGGTTAAGTCATGCAAGGATGCATTGATTTTGTTAAGTTACTGGCATCTGCCACCCTCGTTTCATAGTATTCAATCATTCTCTGTGTACAGAATCAAGTATTCACACCCTGCCAGGGGTTTCTTTAACAGCACAAGCAACAGGCAATTTTCTCAGGTTGCTTTTAGCAAATAAAGCCTGTTGTTTTGAGGGATTTTGCAACTACAGCTGTCAGCTGTACATGCATTTTCATGTTCGAATAATTTTGCATGTTGTTTCCATTGGATTTGCAGGGTAGCATGTATAGTACTGTTGTATAGCATTATACTGGGCATTACACATGAAGTCCATATATGGAATTCTTGTACGACCATTGATCGATCCTAGTGAATCAATCAGCCATTTAACCTTGGGATATAACAGATGACCTATAGCAAAGCTGGTGATTACACCATAACAAAAATCAATCTACCCTGAATATCCTTCAACCAGCAGTTTTCCCCTCTGACCATAACAAATGATTGTACAGTTTTGATTTTGTTTGGATCTTACTGAATTAAAGCTACTATAAACAAAAAATATGTTGCCATAATTTTCTGACAACACATGTTAAGGCAACACATTCTGATCTAAAATCAAAGATATGAAAGAATGTAGATAGAGACTCTTTCAAAGGGTTAAATCAAAGCTAAACAAAACAATAAAAAAATTCTTTGCATAAATCAGCGGGCCAAAGATATGCCTCACTTATTGATTGAACTACATGGGCCAATTACAGGGTTTCCTTTAGGATGAAAATGTTGCCACACTTTGCTAAGCTTGCAATCATTCCATTGCATGATTGCCAAAAATAAAATTGATTGGCATTGAGGTAATTGTGATGTGAGTTTCGAGCGTGGATTACTTAATCAGGCATGTTTTCTGTTAGATGTTCACTAGACTTTAATATAAATAGTTTAATTTTATTCTTTATCAAAGTTTTATCAATCTGAAGGACCTCTGTATACTCATATCTACCGATAAATACAATTGGAACAAAAGCACTAACTCACTGAATTTCAAAAAGCAATATCAATAAGCTTATCCCAAATGAGATAAAGTAATGATAAAAAAGCATGCACTAAAGGGATATTATGGTCTCATAATATTGTCTATGCTCAAAATTCAGTAATCAAATAACTCACGCATTTGAACAAATGCAGTTTAAGGCCCTGGATACTATTTTTTACCACATTCCCTATTACAAGTTGGCATGATAACACATAAATTGAATATGTTGGTACTAAGGGTTATTTATAAGTATGATAATATGTGTTAGTCCTGACTAGATATGCAGCTTCTATATTTATGATGGACTTTGCAACTCACGTAAGCTCATAATCATAATTACATATCAGCCATGATCCTACCTTACATGATGATCCCAATCATACATAACTCTAACCACAGATAAACCAGCAACATACAGATCATGTATTCTTCATCCATCTTGATATCATTTAGGTAATTATTTCATTGACATGACATTATGTTCGAAGGTTAAACTTCTTCTTGTGTGTTGGTATATGTACAATAAAGACAGTTAAACTAAGAATCAACCATCTGTCTCACTCCCTAAATATGTTTTCCCAACTTTTTGTAAAGGCCTATAAAGAGAACGGGAAGGAGGACCTGGGATGGGATCTGATTCAAGACAAACTATTATGTACACTATCTATCATCACATTATTAATGACCCAAAATAACAGACTATTGGAATACAGTGAAAAATAAGAACTGAATCATCAGATTTGTTCAGAAATTGAACTGATACAGTCATGGGCGTAGCGCTATTTTTCTAAGTAGTATGCCACCTACACGGGAACAAGAGTTGAGTGAATCAAAAATGAGCATTCATGGGGGCCTGGGTTCTCCCCCAGGAAAAATTTTAAAATTTGGTTGTATTTGGAGCGAATTTGCAACCATCTGGTACGCCTGTGCGTAGCCAGCGTACTGGGCGCTACGCCCATGACAGTTGACGGCCTTTCAGTCTTTGACTTTTCAGAGTCTGGCTAAATTTCAATTTGCATATTTGCCATTCACTGTAAAAAACTTCAAAATAATCTCTAGAAGTATGTGACATCATGTGTTATAAATAATTTCGCAATAGGCCTAACTGACAATTGTAGATTTAGATTTTACTTATCCTGTTCCCGGACTATGGTCCTGTGAACATCTCACTCTTTTGCCTGTGCGATTACAACATGGGAGAATTTTTTACGCTTCTTACACTTCAGATACCTACTTCAATAGATTCCTTGGTATTTTAGCATTCTTTTCGTGTAGTTGAATCCACAATTGTCTGGGTTTATCGGCAGAACGAAGACATTTTCGTTTTTGATCGCAATAGTTGCGTGTAACATTTACTTATTTCAACCGTCAAATTCCTCCATATTGGTACTTCCAGTCCACATCCGGGACAGTCATACGGGGGATTCCCCTTTTAAATCCAACCGCCATCTTGAAAAGTGATGGAATCTCTCTCGATGAAAAAGAAAAATGTTCCCGTTCTGGCGATATACCCAGACAATCGGCGGTTCCAATATATTAGAAGTTACATTTTGAGTTCTATAATGCATTGAGGTAGGTATCTTAAGTGTAAGGGGCGTAGATAATTCTCCCAAGTTGTAATCGTACAGGCAAAAGAGTGCGCTCCATACAGGACTATAATCTAGTCCTGGTACGGGATAAGATTTTACATTCAAACAAGCAAAAAATTGGATAAGAATTGAAATAGAAATATTTTCAGAAGAAAATTATATGGTATGGTAAGGAGTTAGATAATTCACTATGATCTATATAGCTTTAGGAGATTTACCATCAGCTGTATGGCTGCTCTGGTATGACCCTCAAAGTTCTAAAAATAAAATCTGGTAAACTTATCCAAGTGCTTGGCTGTACATATTTGGGATTGACGGATTCTCCTCACATAAACATACATGTAAAATTATAAAATAAATATAGGTAGAATCAATGGTTTTATTGGAAATGTTATTTATCTTCTTTTGTGTCCCTAAACAGCTGTTTCATATGTGTTGACATTATTAGGGTGAGTCCTGAAAATGAACTTGAGAAATAAATTTTTTTACCTTTTTCTGGCCTCATATTTCGCCAAATATCTTCTATATTCTCGCTAAACTACACCCCAAAATTATGTTTGGCGATGCCCTTACTATCATTTTAGCGTTTTAAATAGTCATGGTGCACTGAATCAACCGGATTCTTGTGTAAAAGATGTTTCTTTCTGCCTTTCGATTTTCATCTCAAAAATTTTTCTGTTTACGAATCCATTCATTTCTGGTCACGTGACCAATTCGGAATCCACCCATTGGTTACTCGGTTGTTTCCGTCAAGGTCAGAGGTGCATGGGTCAAAGTTCAACACAATCACCAGCTGATTGAGTGATATGATTGTGCCAACGACATTGCGTTGAATAACATTGTGAAACGGAATTACAAAACCTCGACTTCTATGTTATTATGATAATATATAATGTACCTGAACTTTGACACGGACTCTCACCAATTCTTCACCTCAGTATGCAACCCACAGGCATCAGAACAATAGAGATGTCAGGCCAGTAGCCAGTATTTGCCAAAGGGGGGGGGTTCAGTTTTCAAATTTTTCCAGGGGGGTTCACATTTGACAATTTTGGCCCAAATATGGCTGAAATCACTTGAAAAGTGCTCAAAATGGTGAAAAACTGCATGATTTTGAAAGAATTATCTGAAATTATTTGAGAGATAACATGTTTTAATTAGAAATGTCATATCTAAATTGAGAAAGTACTCAAGGTAAAAGATATGACTGTCTAAAATCACTTGCAATACTATACCTAGTCCTTCCACATGAAAAGAGAACTGGATGATGAATGTCTTTTTCTTCTTCAAGTGGTTACAAACTGTAACAATCTGTTACATATGTTAACTGTGTGTGCCAAATACCAATTACAAAAACTGACCACTTGATCACATGTTAATCCGAACTGTCATGACTTTCCAAACAATTTAAATACATTTCAACCTTTTCACTGAATAAAAACTAAAATTTCAACGAAGTTTAACACATCGGCCTTAACACATAGCCTCAACAAGAACATACAGGGTGACACAAAAATGATACCCAAGCGCGTAGCTACGTTGAGGCAAATGAGGCAGTTGCCTCGTCGCTTTTTTCAGCCTTTGAAAAATAATGTTCGGATATAAAACCATTAAAATGAGCATCTTTTTCTTGAAAACATACCATTAAAATAACAGCTTGTGTTCTGTTGATTTTTTCTAAATATAATTTCATGTACTCTATACATAGAACTTAAAGTAGCCTACTCTCAAGACACTTGCGTGCGATTTTATACCGTTCGCATATCGCATCAAATTGTTACCTTCGTTTTTTGAACCACGGCCACGGCCACGGCACCATTTTCAGATTTTTGATTGATATTATGATATAAGACTCACTGTGGCAAGTAGATCAGGTAATTTATTATTATTATTAAGGGTATTTCTTTTTATTATCGCCCAAATATAACAAGGAAGGTCTATCAACACTAACCTGCTCAAGGAAATATTATTATTCGAAATTCAATTTTACGCTGGTAACTTAAAAGTCATTTTTATAACTTCCAGCGTAAAACTTAAAAGTAATCAATGTGCACTGCAATGGAACGCCGATCTTTGAAATTCATTTTTTATTATTTGATTATTTTTCTATTGAAAGTATAATATTTTATATCTCAAACGTACTCAGACAACCAATTTTACTTTGGTCAAACAATACTCCAAATTACAATTATAGCATTTAAATCACTGATCTTTTTGAATTACGAAAATAGACACAATATAAAATTAGTCTATATAGTCTGATTCCATCGTGTACCGACAGGATATATTAATAAGTATATTGTATGGCCAGTATATTTGATAAAAACGCTGTTAAATATTACACGATGATAATGTTTCTTTGCGATATGAAATCTATGAAAGATTCAGTTTAAACTATAGATTTTTCCTTGGGAGGAAAAGCAAGTATATTCTTGTCTGATACAACCGATGAATATGAAAAAACTGACTTTTATCTGTATTGAATTGATTGCTATATTTTATGCCACCAGAGTGATAGCGTGTTACTTACATTACCTATACAGTGCGTCCCAAAAAACGCAACAAAGAAAAACATTGCAAAATCACAAAACCAGTGATGATTACACCAATTTCATTAGTAAACATATGGAAAAAGTGGCATAAACAGTCGTTGCCTGTCATCTTATGAACGATTAATCATGAAAGATTATATTCCGTTTCCCATTTCTATACACACATGCACTTTCACATGACCACTATTTCTCTACACGCGCCCTTTCACATGACCACTATTTCTCTACACTCAGAGCGGACTGCCCTGTGTGTCCATGTCACACACCTCTTTGAATCATCTGAGGTTCTGGCGGAGAGTAGTAACCAGCTCATTGGTGACTCTTTGTTAACTGTTGCAATGTCTAAAACTTGGTCCAGAGGAAATTTTTGCACGTTGTGCAAAATGAATGATTATTCAGTGGTCCGTGGTCTTATATGAATAATTGACATACCATTGAAAAGAGGATCGAGACATGTGGCCTGGTAAACTAAATCAAATTGATGTAATCATCACTGGTTTTGTGATTTTATTATGTTTTCGTTTTTATGGGACGCACTGTGTTATTGTGTTATTGTCTCTTACAAAAAAAGGTGTACGGTGTTCGGCGTCTGTCGCTCAGCGTAACAAATTGTTGGTGAAATGGTTCCTGTTTGATATTGTTCTACTTATTGTTCCCCTTTCTGTAAAACTGAGGAGTTGTTTTATAAATAAATTGTTCAAAAGATGACTTAATTTCAGTCCGAATTAGTATATTAGGCCATAAAAAGTAGATTCTTTGTTTTGCATCCCCTTGCTTGCACGATTTTGAGTAAATCAAACACATCCAAAAAGCAATCACAAGGGTCTGAAAGTACCATTGCATTTCGTTCAATCAGAATCAGACGAAATGGCGGATAATTTGATGTGTGTCAAAAGTGACTGTGTTGTCATTACTTTGGCATATATTGTAAATTTTCCTATATTTTACCCTTGAATAATAGCTATGTTTAAATAAATTGTATGTATAGATGTGTTTGTAATCACTGCAAATTGGTATGTCATCCCTTTTATGCCCATAAAATATATACATTTCTCAGCAAACAAGTTTGTGTTTTTTCTTGAGTTTGTGTTTGTTTTCCTTATACCCTTGCATGATTTGGATTTTGCAAGGACGCAAAACAAAGAATATACTTCTTATGGCCTTACTCAATTGCGTTGGGTTGAAGTATTATAATGATTGAAAATTGTGTTGCCTTGATGTATGCCCGGCTGTACGTATGGTGTACCTATGCGTTTTGCGTTGCGACAATGTGACAGAGGGGGGGGGGGGGGGTGGTTATGAAATAGTTTTGCCTCGTCGCTTTTTCTTTCCTGGCTACCCACCTTACGTTGCATAACATGTTTGTCCATTATATATAGACTTCTCCTTAAGCACATTTAAAGTAGACATAATGCGAAAGCACCTCTAGAAATTTCAGATGTGTAGCTCAAGTGGGTCAAATTTTATGAGCGTTACAACATTTGCTCTAAATGTCGTCCATTCCTTTGCATATACAGATGGATTTCTCTACCAATTCTTGAGAATGAAATAAAATATCTTATCTATCTTTTCTTAGACCTCTCAATATTATAGTTATACAGAGGGAATTTTGGTTGATTTAAAAAAAGTATTCAAAAATTAAAACAAAACCTCCCAAAATAGACAAAAATTAAGACAAATCTTTTATTTCATTAACAAGATACTTTTTTTAAATCAACAAAAAATGTCCTTTGTACAATTACAATATTTAGAGGCCTAAACACGTTGTGTTTATGTCATTTTGTTCCAGTGAGGTTCGGAAAGATGTTTCATTTCATTCCGAACATATGATACCAAGAACAAAAGAAGTGTCCGATGTGTTTTCTTAAACAATATTATATTGTTATCATTCAAAAGTTTACAATTAAATTGACGATGTGTAAAATTTTCTAGTAAACCTTTTGATGACTGGTTTGAGAGAAACGAGTGTTCAAAAAGTTCACCATATCGATACCAATCCTTTGAAGTGAAAATCACGACATCCATCAAGATCGGATTCATTGTTGGAAAATATTGAGATTGCATTCTTGCTGCCAATCCTCATTGCCATTTATATAAGTATATCTGAAGTATATAACAGCAGTCATTATGTAAATATATTTCTTGTGCAAAACCAATACAGCAATGCTTACTTCCTGCGAAAGCTATGTGGATTTTGATATAAGTTTCAAAATCTAACATGGCTCTCGAAGTGAGTAAAGCAATGCCAAATATAGAATGTACATCTTTCAACATTGTTCCACTAATATTTAAATTAATCTCTGAACAGACAGAATGATTGATAGGATGAACGGCATTGCCAGGAAGTTTAGCATACTAGAAAAGATTGACACACACCTAACCATCGAAAACGTGCAGTGAAAAAATATACCGTCGTACACTTTAGGTGTACGGTGTCACTATTAACTGATTTGAAAGGAAAACTATGATGTGGGTTTGATGTAGGTTTTCAAAAATTAATTTGAGGAATACATAAAGGAATTCATGTCTGATTTCGTGTGCATTCAATTTGGAAGACATTTACCTTCTGATTACGTTAAAAGATTTTCGAGCAGTGCTCGATTTTTTTTCGTTGTTAATCTACCCATGTAATTGGTCGGTTGGAAAATTGTTTTTTACACAACGTTTTCTCCCCTGTCGTCTAAGAGTGCCGAATATTTTTATGAGAATTAATATGTTTCTCTAAACTACACAATTTAAGACGGTCGAAGGTTTAATAAATATTCATGAATTTGGTATAATTGAAAAAGGAAAAATGTACGTTGTCATCTCGGGTTTTATAAGTAACACGTGATGTTCAACGAATATGTTCATGTATCCCTGGTACACAGATTTACAGGTACAAGTGATTTTTTACCCCTTGTTGAATGCCATTTCATTTTATGAAAGTGTTGATAGTGATTAATATTTGACCATGAGGTGTTATCTTCCTACTTCTTTGACCATTCGGCGTCGTACGTTATGTTATGTTTTGTTGCACTTTTATGAATTTTAATAATCTTAAGAAGTTGACAGAGAGATCTGTTCGAGCTAGTCGAAGATGACCTTTTAGAATCCCGCTAATGCTATATCTGGAAAGTGCGGAGGTTCAATATAGTTCAATCAAGTTGAATTAGTAATACTGTGATTGTTCCGTTTCAGTTTTAAATGAATCTGATCCCCTGCCCCTTAGTGTTATGAAAAATACGTTGTCTACATTAGGGTTAACTGTGAATTCAATTATGTAAGTTCAATGGGACAACGTACATCAAGATGACAACGTACATTATGATTTTTTATCTTTATTATTTTAGCAAGAACGTGAATATATATTAAATCTGCAACCGACCTTAATTATGTAACTTAGGGAAACATATTCTCATGGAAATAATCGACACTCTTAGGCCACAGGGGAAAAAATGACCAAAGGAAATGTGAAAAAACAACATTTTCCAAGCGATCATTGTTGGTGGGTAGATTTGCTACGAAAAATTCGAGCTCTGCTCGAAAATCTTTTAACGTACTTAGAAAGGAGCTAGAAAGGTAAATGTCTTCCAAATCGAATACACAAGAAATTGAAAATGAAATCCTTTAAGTATTCCTCAGATTAATTTTTAAAACCTAAATCACTACCACATCATAGTTTTTGCTTCATATCAGGTAGAATAGTGACACCGTCCATCTAAAGTGTACGACGGCGTGTTTTGCTGTACGTTGTCGATGGTTATAGGAGTGATGCTGAAACATTGAAGTGGTACATTAGATATGACATTTTATTTTTGAAAAAGTGTGTACTTTGTTCAATCTTTGCATCGGTGTTAAAAAAAGATAATGATTTTTGCAATGAACAGTGGAATATTTGATGATTAAAAATTTCAACTTTTATTTGAAAAATGGCAGGAAAGGAGCACGCAGGTTATGGCAAACAATTTCAGTCGGTTATATCTTGAATTATGATTATTTTTCTTACAATGAAGACAGGTTTATATTTTAAATCAATTCATTATCTCAAAGAAAATTACATACATTAAAAATAAAGTCAAACAAACTCAGAGGTATTTAACTAGTAATCAACACACTTTTCAAATATGTTGACCTCATTTTCCCCAAAAATGCAATCATTTTTACATCTTGAATACATTACTATTCTTTATTTTAATGTATCAAATATTTCTTGAAAGAAAAACTGAATTGCTTTAAGATAGGTGTTCCCCAATGTTATTTCTCAATTGAAAAATCTCATGCTATCCATTGGTTTCAGTTCATTTTGGTCATCCAAATTCAGTATCTTTAAAGTCACTGGATCAATCCACTTTTCCTCTTAGGAAATAGAACATGTCTCAAAGCACATTCTAATTATGCATTCAACAATATAATAAAAGGTTGCATTTTTGGTGAAAATTAGGTCAACATTTTTGAAAAAGTATGTTGATTGGTTCATTGCCCCTTCGATATCACTTAGGCCTGATCAACTAAATTATCATTATATATACTTTTCTAAATGTAAAAATAAACAAGCAATAATAAATATAATTCAAGTTAGAATGGGTTGAAATTGTTTGAGGTAACCTATGTGCTCCTTTGAATATTTGAGAAAAATATTTGAAAAATGGCAACAAATTTGAATATTTGAGAAAAAAATTTCAACTTTCAAAATATTTTTTGATATGCTAACACATTGAAGTGGCACATTAGATATGACATTTTATTATTGAAATAGTGTGTCCTTTGCTTAATCTTTGCATTGGTGTAAAAAGGATAATGCTTTTTGCAATGAACAGTGGAATATTTGAGGATTAAAAAACTTCAACTTTTATTTGAAAAATGGCAGGTGATTTGAATATCTAAGAAATGAAAGCTGACAACATTTTTCACAAATTTTTTATTTTCAAAAGTCTCAAAATAACTTTTAATGTCATGGCAAATAGTAAATGAATGGTAAAAAAATATTTTCAAACTTTTCATGGGGACTTTAATGTGATGTGAAAATTTATTTAGTCATTTACGATTGCCTAGATTTCCTGGCTGGTGATTTAAATGAGACATATAACTCCACCACTCCATTGTTTTTATACAATGGAATTCAATTCATAAAACAGAAAATAAGATATATATTTTAACCTATTTTAATAATATTACTCTAAGCTTATGTCTCATATATCAGGGGCGTCAGAAGGATTTCCCAAGAGGGGGCGACTTTGGGATATGGATGGGTCGTGCGTGGATCGGGGGACATGGCCCCAAGAAAATTTTCAAATGTAGACCATCTCTGGAGCATTCTGAACATATCTCACTTATCTCCCAATGTATTTACACACTGTATGGGAAATCTGGGAAAGGGTTGGGGGGGGGCGGTCGCCCAAACACCCTCCCCCTTCCAATGCCAATGTATATTTCTTCTACAGATTTTAGTAAAAAAATATATTATTTGGATACATACATATATGTTATATTGACGCACCTTTAAGTGTCACTGTTATAAAGGTGACTGTCTAATAAATAATAAAAAAATAAATATGTGCTTTTTATGTGATATATTTCATTTTATTTGGATTCTCATTTGAAATTTAAAAATGACTTTACATGTGCATGTAGACTAGAGTTTAATACTAAACAACCCAGGAAAATGCCAGAAATTGTTATAACAAAATCTATGCAAACTTATGCGTGAACTCTGAATAATTTCTCAACTGGAAATTGAGTTTTTTGTTACAATGAACAAAATGATGCATTACACATGTTAAAATAAATGTTACCAGATTAATGTAACATAATATTGTGAACAAATCTGATTATAATTATCTACAATATTATCTACAATAGTTTTTTTATGAGAAGTTATCAATTATGAATCACTTTAAAGATACATTTGTAAAGAAAACTCGGGCTTTTAAATTGGAAGTTTAACTTATTCATTTTTACATGTTTGTATCAATTGGTGAACCTTATTTTTTGGATGGCTAGATAGATCATTGAACCTCTCAATTCCATTATATGATATTTAATTTTTGTAATGTACATGATTTATAAATCTAATACAGTGTATTTACAAACTAGCATGCAATGGATATAAGTTGCTAACATACATTTACCTAAATTATTCATTTTAAACAAGACTTGCACATACTTGCCAATAGTCAGGATTGGGAAAATATCAAATTTCATGAAATCATTATTACAACCAGAACAACGACAACGCCAAAGCGTAGCGAATCCCATCGAACAGAAATGGCTGGCATTTTTACAAACGAAAAATATAGCAAACATCATAAAACAACACACCAGAAAATGTAAAATAACACACATAAAAATGGTGGCCATTTTTCAAAATGGCTGACTACTCCCCAAAGTTTTATTAGACAATGTGCCATGCTTAAAATATTCACATGTCAAATATGAACAAAATCGCTCCACTACTTTTCGAGTTATAGTAAAAAATGTAAAAATGACAGGCATTTTTATAAAATGGCCGCCTACTATCTGAAGTGTCATGAGACAGTGTGCAAGGCTCATGAGTATTCACATATCAAATACGAACAAAATCGCTTCACTACTTTTTAAGTTATAGTAAAAAACGTAAAAATGGCCACCTACTACCCAAAGTGTCATTAGACAGTGTGCCATGCTTATAGTATTCACATATAAAGTATCAAACATACCAAATATGAACAAAATCGCTGAACTACTTTTCAAGTTATAGTAAAATACGTTAAAAAGGGGCCATTTTTCAAAATGGCCACCTTCTACCAAAAATGTCATTAGACAGTGTGCCATGCTTTTAGTATTCACATACCAAATATAAACAAAATCGCTCCACTACTTTTCGAGTTATAGTAAAATACGTTAAAATGGCGACCATTTTTCGAAATGGCCACTTTCTACCAAAAGTGTCATTAGACAGTGTGCCATGCTTATAGTATTCACAAACCAAATATGAACAAAATCGCTTCACTACTTTTCGAGTTATACTAAAATACGTTAAAATGGCGGCCATTTTTCAAAAAAAATTTCAAAATGGCCGCCTTCTACCAAAAGTGTCATAGGACAGTGTGCCATGCTTATAGTATTCACATACCAAATATCATTTACCATTTCCCACACTATACCACGGACTTCAGGTCCGTGACTATACACACATTTTGATGGCATTACAGTATAATACATGTACAGCACATGTATATGTGATGTATACCACATTTTAATTCTTCACAATTTTTGCAGAATGGACATGTGTTTTCAAAGGTAATGACAAAGGAATATTTACACGTTCACAAAACAACATTGTCTGATCATCATTTCATCAAACTCCACATGGTGTTTACAGACTGTATAATAGCAGAATATATTGAGTCATCAATATAATATTGAACAATTACATGTTTTATATTATTAATCAATGCCATGTTGTAATCAATATCAAAATCAGGATGCTGAACAAATGCAATATTACAATGTTATGTGCATCAAAATCATGGGCTCTATCAGGTGTTAGAGCCCATGGTCGAAATTAAAACCAGAATATTGCTCATAATTTCATCTCATCAGTATCATAGATAGAAGTAATCTGTGTCTGATTGGGTTTAAACGCCTCAGATGACTTGACCATTGCATGTTTTTCTTTGTCTCCATCAATACCACCATCTTCAATATATTTATACTGAGTGGGCCCAACATCATCAGTGACTGAATGTTTCCCCATCAACGTGGGCTCCTCAGTCTTATACCAAGGTTGATTCATCCTTGCTTTATCAGCAGGTTCAGCATTGTCTTCTTTCAATGGCTGTTTTGAGGCTTTTCTGTTATGGTTTTCAGTAGAGGTATTGGTTGTTGTTGAAGGGGTTGACATTCTTGATGATAAAGTCGAATCTGAGGAGCCTGATGATGTAGAGGACATTGCTCGGTTTCGCACACCAGACACTTTTGGAGCAGAGACTTTACCTTCACAGTCCTTGATTTGAACCTCACTAGGGGCAGGGGAGAGCTTATTACCTATAGCAATATATGAAATTAGAAATGTAAGAAGATATAAGAAAAGAAGATTATAAGAATCACCACTCACACATAAAGCATAAGTTGGAGTGTGTTACTGCAAGCCTGCAAGAGAAGTGAGAGATAAGAAAATGATAAATCATTTAAAGATAACAAGGGAAGAAAAACACACAGGAGTTAGACAGGAGCACACATTATTTTGCTTAAAGAATATGCTCATGTGTTTATGGCCAAGATATCAAAAGCTTGATTAACAAACAGGTTGATGCATATACGGTTGTCAGACAAGGATTAGTTTCAATGTCTCTAAATTCCCAACAAAACATAGCTATAAAAATGTCCTTTATTTGTTCAAATAATTCCTTTCATAGATTGTATCCACTTTAGCAATTCTAGTGAATGCTTGCATTCTGTGGGCAGCAATTATAGGAGCGAAGGCCCTTTTGACTTGTTTCTCCTTGACTACATCAGCATTGATGACTTCCAAATCCTCTGGAATATGACTACTCCTTGGGATATACCATGGCTTACATATGCCATCTGTAGACCCCCTTGAAGGGGCTCTTGGGGAGGGCTCTGGGTCATGCTTTGACTCTGAACTATATGGAGGTAGCTTAGTGGATGACACTGGTCTAAGGGATGTTCTCACTAAGGGGCTAATGCTTCCTATTTCTAAAATAAAAATAAAATGTTTTAGTACTGATCAATCCAAAAGAAAACTGTGAACCTAGTGCGCATTTAGATTGTTGAATAATAACATTTTGTTACATCACCATATTTATATACAAGTTACCTAATCATTATTATTTCAGATAAAGTAATTCATTATTAAAATCTATGAAGGCAGGATCGGAAGCATAGGGGAATTGACCTCCAAATGTAATATTCATGATCTCAAATATACTACCTCCCACAAATCTATAAAAAATAGTGAAGTTATCTAATAAACATGTGCTCGTACATAAAATGCAATAAATCGTATACATTTCCAAATGTACATCTACATTTACAGTCTAGTAACATCAATACATGGATGTAAAATGCATTATGAAATTTGGGAATTCATTGAAAATACATGTATACATGTTATATACAAGTTGCATGTTATCGCAAAATTTCCTAAATTTGCGATATCTGCCATTGTCATTTTTGAGGCATGTTCTGATTGCTGTCCTATATATGGTAAATAGTGTATCCTTTCTTCCAATTTTAATATTAGTAAAACTTAGTAAATAATGATGAATTGACGTGTGTATGTGGAAAATATTGACCAAAACAGATATATTGCAATTAAGAGCAATTAGCTTCCAATTCAGAGGCATGCCTAGATTTGCACAACATAATTGCCACCATAAGTAAGAGTTATTTGAAAACGAGAGGGTTGCATTTTTTGTAACACCCTATATGCAATAAAAGCATATTTTATGAATATCATCTCAAACCACTGTATCATCAAATATCATATATATGTAGTACACAGAAATTCTGAAAATCATTTGCGTGAATCTGACAATTTAAACTTGTAATAATCTCAGAGACATCTATACTCACTTGTTTTTCTGCTCTTCAATTTCTTCAGAAAGACAATTATGACAACGATGATCACTATGATGACCACACTCACAACAACAATGATGATAATCAATGTAACAGGTGACTCAGTTGCAGCAACCTACACAAAACAAAGAATCATAAAGAAGTCAATCAATTCAATTTTAACCATATTATTAGATATTTAAAAAGTTACAAATTAGCAAATGGGCGATCAAAAATGTGTTGTATTAAATGATTTTCATTATAAATGTTCTTTGAGTATTTGTCATGTGAATTTAGTACCAGTAAATTATACCAACAATATTTCTAAAGGAAATGCTATGCTATTTTGATAAAATGGGTACTTTGAAAAAGTGCCAAAAGGAAAATAATTATAAAAAAGTGTTACAAAACAGAGCAAGAAAATGAAACATCAAAGAGTACATACAAGTATAGAGGCATAAGTGCCAAAGAGAGAGAACCAAAAACTGTAAAGAAACCTAGCCAGAAAAGCAAACCCAAAGTGAAAATCTGTCATATCAAAAGTAGACCCTATATATTCCAAAACCATCATATAATGTGACAAGAAATACTTTTTGACACTCTCCTTCCCCCCTCAAATCAAGAGCCAATATCACAATTCAGGACACCCAGGAACATTAAAGCAATCTCATAATAGTATCTCAAAATGGTTGTAGAAACTAGTACTCATAAAAGAAAAATGATGTAGGATAGACCAAATCCAGTCTTGAACTCCATAGGCAATTCAAAGAGTCAACATCCATTCGCAAAGCAATTAGTCAATGAGATCTGACGTGTAAAAAAAACAATGTCTAATTGCCCCTTCCTCACCATTTAGGAACCATTATCAAAATCCAAGATCACAAGGCTATGGGACATTTCATTCATATTGATGACTTTTACACTTCATATAGAAGAAATCAAAATTGTCTTGCATCAAGTCTCTCAATCTCTTCCATTAAAATGTGTATTAAAAGTTGCATATCAAGGTAAATTAAAAATTAGAGATCTTTCCAAAATTATGCTTGTTATAGTTTGATTAGTTTTACAATTAGATTTGTGTACTCCAAGTACATTGATCAACCTACACCAATTTTCAAAATGTGTTTAATTACTATTGTCATGAAGAAACCCTGCATAACCCCCTCCCAAAATAACCCAGCAATGGCCATGATGATGACATAGTGTGTGTGTACACACATTCTTCATGTTAAGTTAGTTGATATTAAAATAACATGTTCCCATTATGTATCTATCTCCCTGGATAGAACTATGTTCATTAAAACTAAAATGACTTTGCCCCTTACATCTATCAAACATTTATACTCCTAGAATGTGTGGGAAAAATTGAATCACTTACAGGTTGATCTCCTCCAGTGAATGATGCTCCATCAACAGACATAGAGCTACTGGCAGTTAAGACATCTCCATCAAAGGTTACATCCAATCCATTCCGTACTTCAGAGTAGATTCCTGACAATATGGTGTTATCCATCTCCGCTCCAATTCCTTGCACATTAAATATCAACACAATGCTCCCTGAATCAAAAACAAAGTTTGTACATTCAGGAAAGATATATTCTGTTATCATCTACCAGTATTTGTTTTGTTTCCACCATGAATTGTATTGACTTTGCCCCTTACATCTATCAAACATTTATACTCCTAGATTGTGTGGGAAAAATGGAAATAAAACTGCCACCAATGTTTTTCAACTTCGGCAGTCACTACATGTGTAATTTGTATGTACTTAAATTGAATAAAGAATAATAAAAAAAAAATTGTATTGACTTGTTTCCTTCAATTTGTCATAATCTTCACTTCCTTATGTGAGTTATTTCCTCTTTGAAAATCAATGGCAAACAATATAATTATAATCAAACATGGTTTGATAATGATTAATAAGTATTTGAAAACATACCCTCTTCCACACTCCAATCTACAAATGTTCCATTTGTGTAATAAATCGGCATGAAATGGTTCCACATTGCTCCTATAAAGAACTTCTCTTTTCCTCCAATAGTTGCCTCATAGTCCAAAGCAAATTTCAACTTCACCTCTTTTGTCGTATCAAAAACGATTGGTTGATAATCTGCAGGCATAACATCTATAGGTCCAACCATGATAGTGAAATCATAATCTTCAGGACTCGATCTTATATGAACATCAAGGAAGATGCGACTGGGTGATGAGGTTGTCATTGAGATGCCATTAAGGGTTGCTTCACCAGATGTTGCGTTGATAACAAATGATGAATCTGCACCATCTATAGTTCCCACTCCTGCACTATACTCACTTAGTGATACATTAGTACTCCATGTGTGACCCTATAGTAAATAAAACATTAATCAAAATTGTACATTTTGACACTATACGTTCATTTGAATGTAATCAATGTGGAACACTGATACATCTAAATCACCCAAAATGTATAATTCTTACAGTATTTTTAAATGTTTATTGGCCAAATCTGACTATGAATGCCTTGCTGTAAGAATTTGTGACATAACTGATTGCATAAAAACAGAATATATTAAAGCAGTTTTACCTTCCAGGATGGATCACCGTGTGCTTCCAGTGTGTTTCCATCCACCAACACAATGTCCATAACAATATCTTCACCAGATAACACCTGCACAGCAGGAATTGTCACATTTCCACTCATTGGAGCCGTTGCGATATCAAAAGCATCAGATGTTGCATTAAAGTCAGTGAGATTCTCTGGATATGTCAACACAAACTCTAACTGGTACCCGTAACCTGTGTGTGAAATTGCAAGGTCAGCAAATGTTGCTTTTCCTTCAATAAATCTTGCAGTTGTTTCACCAAGAAGAACTGCATTGGAGTCACCAGTTCCTGACTTAAGTGAAGCAGATACTCGCCATGGGTTAGAAAATGAGCCAACTGCGGGTAGAACAGCACCCTTTAATGCAAATGTTATAGTATGTAATATTGAACAAATATTTCACTCTATTGAGGTGAATACCTGTACATCTTTCACAAGTGATATTCCATGAAGCCCGAAGGGCAAGTGGAATATCACCTTGTGAAAGTGCTACAGGTAATCACCGAAAATAGAGTGAAATATTTGTTTTATTATATCACTGTCTAGCTGAACATCCCTAATATTATTAAGTCATAGGTTAACATTGAAATACATTGAATCTACTCGGTTCGTCTGCCATTTTGACTTACAATGAACTAAATTATTTACACTGAACGAAAACAAATTCTTTGAAAATTCCCGGGAGCGTTGGATATTGCTAGATATCTCACGGTTGTCTTATCTGATTAGCATTGCCATTGAATATCGCCAGATATCCCACGACATGTGACCCGGTTTTGACCAATCATACTGTCGCTAGCTAGATAGTGATATAATAATGAACAAATATTTCACTCTATTGAGGTGAATACCTGTACATCTTTCACAAGTGATATTCCACAAAGCCCGAAGGGCAAGTGGAATATCACCTTGTGAAAGTGCTACAGGTATTCACCGAAAATAGAGTGAAATATTTGTTTTATTATATCACTGTCTAGCTAAACATCCCTAATATTATTAAGTCATAGGTTAACATTGAAATACATTGAATCTACTCGGTTCGTCTGCCATTTTGACTTACACTGAACTAAATTATTTACACTGAACAAAAACAAATTATTTGAAAATTCCCGGGAGCGTGGGATATCGCTAGATATCTCACGGTTGTCTTATCTGATTAGCATTGCCATTGAATATGGCCAGATATCCCACGACATGTGACCCGGTTTTGACCAATCATACTGTCGCTAGCTAGATAGTGATATAATAATATTTGATATTCATTTTAATCTGTTCGTGTTTATGTTGTATCATTGTTTCTTTGTTTCAATTTTTTTTAAGGTTTACTCTGATATTGATAAATTGTATTATTATAAACAAGAAACCATAAATATCATTTGAAACTTGATACACTATGTAATTATTAAAATTGGTATAAAAATCTGCATTTTATATAACTATCATAGTATAAAAGTGTGAACATCATCAGGACATCCTGTATTAAGTCAATGTTAACATACCGCTGCATCTTTAAAAATGAACTCTGGCTGTATGGGGAATGGTGCAAACTCATAATCAGAATCTAATGCTGTGATATACTCCATTGCTGCAGGTTTAACATAGGATGTTCCAGACCCAACCTGTTCATTTTCATCAAACTCTGTCCATTTATCATCACTGACATCGGGAACTGGTTCCAAGACAATAATTTCAGAGACACTTGTATTAAGAGCTTTGGCGATGCTTCCCGTTTGGATTGCATTGATGATAGTAGTAGATGCTTCACCCAAGTCACTAGGAGTCAGATCTCCAGGATTAGGGGTGTCACTATCAGTCAGTTCGGATTCAGGTGATTCACCAATTTCAAGAGTGATACTGTCCGATCCTACAGCTCTCTTTGAACGGAAAATGCTACGTTTCTTTCTCGAGTTTGCACTAATGACTTCCATGATTTTTATCTTACTTGGATCAATTTTCAAAAGTGCTGCTAAATTAGAGATTAAGTTCTCTCCAAAGAATGCATCAATTGTCAATGCAGGGACATTAAAGCTAACATATAAGACAGAAACTTGTCGAATCGTCACAGGAGCTTTGCCACGGATTAAGACATATATTTCCCGCCAGTCTCTATCTACATAATTATCCCCTGCACTGCCATTCACTATATCTGGGTGATACTCATCAAAGCTTGTTGGTGGTTTGAGGATCATATCCCCATTTTCATTAAAGTCATGGTTCAGTGGTGGGAAGTAGACTCCTCCCACATAAACATCAAGTCTGTACGGAGCCTTATAATAAACTGCTAAGCGAACAGTCTTAGTGTCGTCAACATTCAAAAGATGAAATCTTAAGTTTTGTGGAGTAGTGCTTGAGAAATACAAGTCATAATGCTTCCCAGTTGCAACTAAACTATAAAATGTAGAAATACGTTTCTGGCATGTGTATCCAAAACACCAACCATGATCTGCAGGTCCATTTATTAGATCCATGTAGCCATCCCCTAAGAGAGCAACAGGAGAAAGACGTCGTGTCTCAGTGTCTCCGTCCAAGCTCTCAATGATCATCATCTCATAGTCAAGACCATGGCATTCATAAGCTTGCCACGTTTCTTTGTACACACATGTGTCATCTCGAATGATACCTAAAAAATAATGTTGCAGAATGGTTAAGACTAAACTACCCAGTAACAGCTGATAACATGCCTTGCTTATTAATGTCTTGAATTTAATGTTATACCTGAAGATGTCTTAAACCCCAGAGACAAAAATAGTATGAATTACAACCCAAGTAAATGTAATTCTGAGCTCTATTAGATAAGTGAAATCAAATATTGAAAAGGGTCACATGAAGACAAAATATTTTTACCTTTGTTTGGTGCAAGATCAGGAACAGGTATTCTATTGCCATCCAAGTCAGTCAGCATGGCCTTCGGTATCCTATAGTCTCCTATTCCTCTAGATCGGTCCTCTCCCCAGCCAAGTTCAGACTTTGGTATGACAGCCCCCACACTTCCCAGGTACGTTCCATCAAGATCATCAATCAAGGCTTTCTTCTTGGCATCACATTCCATATCAACACAATCACTTGGATTAATTTGACTAAACATAGAATGAAATGAGCACTGAATAAATATGATATTTACAATTCAATACAATACAATCATTCATTGAAAGCCCACGATACAATACAGTATATTTCAGAAGAAAGAATGGGGAGACTTGTGAGATCATACGTCTGGGGGTGGCACCTGGCTGGAATCCTTCTCCTTTAGGAGACAATGGGATAAACTTGATGTGACTACCTGTAAGTTACAGATTCTATCAAAATAGTGAATTTATGCTTGGTATTGATAAACTTATTACAGATCGAACACATTCATTGTAAAATATGACAATTAAACAGTACCCCAGACTAGGCCTATGAATAAAGACCTTGCTGTCATCATCAACGTTGACCAATACAGCATTGGAGATGTATATAGGATGCTGTGCATCAGGGTTCTTGGGATTGGTTGATATAACAACATCCCTTTGACCGCATGAGTTTACACCAAAGTTAGCAAATGTAACGCCTGAAATAAATCAAACTATAAAGTAAATTCAAATCTAAACTTCAAATCTTTTTGCAGTTGAAATAACATGAACTTAGTACTAACCACTATCTCAATGGCTTTTAGAGAGCTTAACAGGCCACTATGTTCACTTACCATCAACATCAACTTTCCCATACAGAGCTGGGTAAGATATAAGTCCTAGGAATTTCTTGGTTGGTGCAGCGTTGTCTGATGACATGAAGCTTGGCCAGAATAGACCTTGTCTACCCCCTGTCTGAGTCTTGCCAGTGCTAGCTAGACTACTCAGGGCAATATTTACATCATTTGGGATGGTCATGGAACATTCAAAGTCATCACTGGTGCCAACAATCAGTGAATCACTAATTGTGAATGATTTCTCTACACCCACGTGACTTAAAGCAGCAGGCCCAATGTTTAGCATGCCAGCACCTAGAGTGTTGTCCAGTAGTTTCACGTTTGATATATGTACATGGTTAATGCCCTGTTGAATGTAGACACCTGCATGCACGCTACGCCAGATCGTGAAATTCGTAATCTGGAGACAGCTTCCCGAGAAAGTACCTGGCAGAGTTTCTCCCAATATGTATATACCAAATAGACTGGAGTGGACCACATTTTCTTTCCAAGATTCAATGCCACCTTGAAATGGAGCAAGAAATATGTTATAAATATTATGAATAATCAATAATCATACTTTTTGCCCTTAAAACAGCTTGTTGATAAAACAATAAACTAATGGTCTCCAGCAGGGGTGACATTTTGACAGAGGTATAGAAAATGTAATTAAAATACCTGAACATGGTACGCCATCTATGTGATAACCAGATCTCTCAGACCCTGCTACATGGTTGCCCTCCATTGTTACACTAGCTGCATCAAATATCTCTATCCCCGCGTCCCAGTAAAAATTGAAGGGCTCTGAACGATCTTGGTAAGAGCCTGGCCATGTCATCAGAGTCACAAGGTTTTTTCGAAGTACATGCTGTGTTCCAGTTAGTCGTATTGCTAAAATAATATATAGATCAAATTAGAACAAAGATGTAATATTCCATTATGGTTTGACTTTGAGATTTCTCTGTTTTCAAAAAAGAAACATTGCAGAAATTGAAAATTCTATTTTCGAACTATTGTATTGTATTTTGTTTACCACCAATGAAGGTGAGTAATACCTCGAGGGTATATCCCGTATATATACGGTCGTAATTTACGTAATTAACCTTGAAGATAGACCCAGAAACCCCTCCTTGAAGGAGCCCTGTGTTCTTTTATGTGCACTTATACATAGACATACAAGTACACACCACAGCCTTTTGTACGAGTTGCGGACCACTCAGTCAAACACCCTGAAGTATTTCATGCAAACAAGCAAATTTAGTCTTGCCTGAACCGGGGATCGAATCCGGGACCTATTGCGTAAGAGGTACATGCGCTACCGCTGAGCTACACGGGTGGACTATTCAGTGTCGCTGTTATTGTAAATGAACTAAACAAAGTTTATTATTGCCATAACAACCAACTCTACCATTATAACTTCTATCTGACCAGTGTTTGATATTGCAATCACAACCAATTTTACCCTTATTCCTACTTGATCAAAGTGCTTAATATTGCCATGACAATCAACATTAATCTCATTCCAATCTGATCCAACAGTATTCTATATTACCATGACAACCAACGGTACCCTCATTTCTACCTGATCCAACAGTGTTAGATATTACCATGACAACCATTATTCCTCTCATTGCTACCTGATCCAACAGTGTCCGATACTGTAATGACAACAACCAATCCCTTTATTTCTATCTGATCTAACTAAATGTGATTTTGCCATGACAACCATTATTCCACTCGTTCCTACCTGATCCAAGTGTCACATACTGTCATGACAACCATCAATCCCTTCATTCCTACCTGATCCAACAGTGTGATGCACCACATTATTCTCAATGGGCATTCCATTTGCTCCAAACACACCAATAGCAGGAGAAAAGCCATGATGGAAGGCATTATTCCTGATGAGTGAGGGTGTAAGTTCGCTGTTAGTACCAGTGTTCAGGAAGGCCAGAGAGTACCTTGGGTCGTAGTCCTCAGTATAGCCCTCTTGGCCAGACCTGTAGAATTCCACATTGCTTATACGAGCCCAACCTAAATCAAAACAGCAAAAACAAGGCATTAACATGACAAAATGTCACCACCTAGTTGCTCACAATATTAAGTCAGATTTGAATTTCTGAGAACTTGTAAAGTCAAATTTGAACTTCTGAAAAGATGTAGATAATTTTGAAAAAAAAATTTGGTCAATTTGAAGCAAGTTGAAAACAGACCTTTTTTGACCTTGAGAAGGTCATTAAAGGTCAAATGTCAAATCTAAAGTCAGATTTGAATTTCTGAGTACATGTAGATGATTTTGAAAAAAAAAATTATTCAATTTGAAGCAAGTTGAAAAAAGACCTTTTTGACCTTTTTAGACCTTGAGAAGGTCATTGAAGGTCAAATGTCAAATCTAAAGTCATATTTGAATTTCTGAGAACATGTAGATGATTTTGAAAAAAAATTTAGTCAATTTGAAGCAAGATGAAAAAATACCCTTTTGACCTTTTTTGACATTGATAAGGTCATTGAAGGTCAAATGTCAAATCTAAAGTCAGATTTGAATTTCTGAGAACATGTAGATGATTTTGAAAAAAATTTTTAGTCAATTTGAAGCAAGTTTAAAAAAGACCTTTATGACCTTTTTTGACTTTGAGAAGGTCATTGAAGGTCAAATGTCAAATCTTAAGTCAAATCTAAAGTCAGATTTGAATTTCTGAGAACACGTAGATGATTTTGAATTTTTTTTTAGTCAATTTGAAGCAAGTTGAAAACAGACCTTTTTGACCTTTTTTGACCTTGAGAAGGTCATTGAAGGTCAAATGTCAAATCTAAAGTCAGATTTGAATTTCTGAGAACATGTAGATGATTTTGAAAAAAAATTTAGTCAATGTGAAGCAAGTTGAAAAAAGACCTTTTTGACCTTGAGAAGGTCATTGAAGGTCAAATGTCAAATCTAAAGTCAGATTTGAACTTCTGAGAACATGTAGATGATTTAGAAAAAAATTGAAGTCAGTCTAAACAGTATTTGTTAAGTTATAGGAAGTTGTAAGAAATTGTTACAGACGCCAACCGCCGGACGCCAACCACCAACCACCAACCGCCGGACGCCGTCGAAAAAAAACGGAGACCATAACAATATGTCACCACTTTTGGTGGTGACATAACACTTTTGGTGGTGACATAATAAAAACCTAGTGTTAAATGCTCTTTATCATATGCTTTGGGTTCTACGTATAAGGGAGTCATTAAATCTCTTTTTGTGGTGGAAAGTTGTATACCTTATATGAAATGAACCCTCTTATATCTATGTTATTGTCAACATCATATTTTGCATTGCAGTTTATATATATATCTCCATTACAACTTAGTCAATGAAACAATTGAACTAAATTAGTTTGAATTGAATTGAACCATGGGCTTTCAATTAGTTTCTAGTTGAAAGCCCATGATTGAACTAAGCAGTATATTTTTTACCAGTCAGATTAATAAAGACTATAGAGAATCCAACAAGAATTCTATTACAAAATATTCAATGACACAACTGAACTTAAATAGTTTTTGGTGGAGTGATGATAAAACTGATAATCCTGGATTAAATCTTCAAAACTTAACATCTGACTTAAATATCATTCAACTTATAGATGAACCAACTAGAATTCGGAAGCGAGAGGAATTAATAACCAAATCATGTATTGACCTTGTTTTTACTGATGAAATCAATGTTATCTCTCATTTTAAAGTGATGGCCCCTATTGGAAATTCAGATCACTGTTCAATTTTGACAAACTTAAGGGTAAATATTCTAAAGGAACCACCTACTAAGAAAACTATTTGGAAGTACGATCATATGGACTCAAATGACTTAAATGATAGAATTATCAGCTTCAATTGGGATGAAATCCTTCTTTTGGATGATGTTGACATTGCTACTGAAAGATTCTCAAATAGCCTTTTTGATATTTTCAAAAATTGTATACCCAATTTTGAGATTAATCACAAATCTACAGATCAACCATGGTTTTCCCCTAACATCAAAAAAGAGATCAACATTCGTGACAGATTGCATCACAAATTCAAACGTTCAAATAATCCTGACTTTTTTACTAAATTTAAGACACAGAGTGATAAGGTAGTCAAATTAATTAAAGAAGCTAAACAATCGTATATTGAAAATACTTGTGATAATATATCTATTCTTAATTCAAACTCATCTGACTATTGGGTACTTCTTAAGAAATTGCTAGGTAAATCCTTTGACACATCACTGCCTTTTTTACATTTAGAAAATCCTAAATTATCAGCTGGTACTTCTATTGAAAAGGCTGAACTTTTTCTCAAATTTTTTACCCAGAAAAATCATATTAATATTGTCCATCCAGAAGTGTTACCAGAGTTTCCTACTTTATGCAACAATAATTTATGTAGTATACAAACTAGTGAAGAAGAAGTTTTAAAATTATTGAAAGATTTAGATTTATCAAAGGGGGGCGGCAGTGATGGTATCACAAATAGGATGTTATTCTATTCTGCAAACAGTTTAGCCAGTCCTCTTTCATTATTGTTTAATAAGATATTAAATTCACATTCATTCCCAAAGGTTTGGAAAGAGGGTATCATAATACCTCTCCATAAGAAGAAAGATAAATCAAATATTGAAAACTATCGACCAATAACAATTTTAAATTCAATGTCCAAAATCTTAGAAAAAGTGCTTTACAATAGAATCTTTAATCACATGAGTCAGAATAATCTTTTCTATGACCTCCAATCTGGTTTTCTCCCTTTACATAATACCACATCTCAACTTGCCTATATTATTCATTGCATCCACGAGGAGTTAAATAATGGTAACAATGTCCGTACAATCTTTTTGGACCTTGCATCAGCATTTGATGTTGTCCCTCATCATCTTTTGCTTCATAAAATATCAGCTTATGGTATAAAAGATGACTTACTCTTGCTTTTAAAGTCCTATCTTTCTGGTAGACAGGTTAAAGTCAAGATAAATGAAAAACTTTCAAATTTGTCTGAACCAAACTTTCTAAATGCAGGTGTACCCCAGGGTAGCATCTTAGGGCCTTTGATGTTTCTTATCTATATAAATGATCTACCAACTAATTTAAAATCCAAAACGTTTATCTATGCAGATGATACTTCAATTTTTAGCCCCTATCCAAAAGATCAGCCACAAAATTGTCTTGATTTACAACAAGATCTTAACAAAATATATAACTGGGCCCAAACATGGCAAATGAACTTTAAAGCCTCAAAATCGGTTGACTTGACTTTCACTTCACCAACAACTGTTATTCAGAATGAACCAATTTTATTTTTAGGAACTAACCCAATAGATAAACAAAATACCCATAAGCACCTGGGTATCATTTTAGATCAAAAACTAACCTTTAAAGAGCATATTAACGAATTAATAAAACAGTCTCAAGCTCTGCTAAACCCTTTTAAAAGGTTGACTCATGTTTTAAGATCTAAACACTTAGAAACCATTTATAATGCCTTCATTTTGAGTCGAATTGACTATGGTGATATCTTATATTCTAGTGCTCCTGAATTATCTTTGATGAAGTTAAACAGACTTCAATATAATGCAGCTTGTTTGATAACTGGCGCTTTGCATGGCTCTAGCACTGAGAAGGTGTTAGATATTTTAAATTGGACAAAGTTACCAGATAGAAGAAAATCTCATTTATGTACTTTTCTTTTCAAAAGCAGACATAATTTAATAGCACCATATGTAAGTCAAGTTTTCAATGGTTGCAGAAATATTCCAACTCGAACTCTAAGAGCTTTCAGAGAATACAATATTCCTTTAGATATAAGTAAAAGGTTTGAGAAATCTACTTTCTATGCAGCAATTGAAACTTGGAATACTTTACCTGATGATATAAGAAATTGTGAGCGAATTTCAATTTTTAAACGTAGGATCAAGGCACATTTTGAAAATTTCAATGGTACAAATTTCATAACTTATAGTAATGTTAAAAGAAAAAATGAAGTCTCATTTAATAGACTCAGAGTAGATCTTTATTTGAAAAGCCAGCTTTTTGCACATAATTTTAACAATGTACCTTCACCAGAATGTGCCTGTGGTCATCGCTCTGAAACACCAAAACACTTTTTTCTACAGTGCCCTCTATACATGAACCCAAGATGTCAACTCCTTAGAGATCTCCATATGGCGGATTGCTTAAGTGCATTTTTAGATTGTAATTCTTCTGATAAAATAGACATGCTTTTATTTGGTCACCCTGATTTTGATCATAATACTAATATTTTAATAATCAAAGCAAGTGTGTCATTTTTGCAATCCACCAAAGACCTACTGGACCCGTAACCAAACTCTACACATTAAGCACACAACTTGACCATTTTAAATAAAATAATGAATCTTTCTTTTTAAAGTAAAAATTATGAATGTAACTACATTAAAGTTTTCAGTTTGACAATAATGTTACTCGTAACCTTGTCAAACGTTATTATTGTATTATTGTATGTATAGTATATATTTGAAATAAATGATTATTAAAAAAAAACAAAAAAAACAACTGAACACTCTGAATTGAACTGTACCTGTATATGCTCTACCAGACTGACTAAAGAATCCAACAAGAATTCTAGCACCAAATGACTCTTCATAAAGTTTGTTGTAATCATCTCCAATAATTTTAATATTCCTAGATAGTAAGCCAACCTCAGCTGCAAGGTCAACACTGTAGGAGCCATAAGTTTGAGCTGAACCTGAAATAAATTATTTATTAATTTAGGTTGTCTTCAGCCCGGGTCTTCAGCAATGTACATTTATAGCAATATGCTTGTGGACTTCGGGGTTGAATTTTGTCTGTCACACATCATTTGAGACTGGGTGCTCTACCTTGTAATTGTTTGAATACTAGTGTCTATTATATAATAGCTATTTTAATGTTATCACTTTTAAACTTATTCTTAAACATGTATTAGATGACTTAAGTATGAATGAAATGTCCCTTGGTGTTATGGACTCAGATTGTTATATTGGTACTTAAAAAGTGGGTCAGGGGGTATTAGACACTGTTTCTTTGCATGTTATGATTTGGGATAGTTGGGGTTTGTTTCCTTATCACTGGTGTGGTCTTATATATTTTCTTTTTCTTGCTGTGTTTTGTAACCATTTTTGTTACTTTCCAATTGGAACTTGCGCATACATATCTAAATGCTGTAGCCTATCATATATCTTATTAGATCCAAAGTATACAGTTCATATGTGATTCCAATATTTAACAATCATTTTAATGGAAATGACATTCCCTTCTTCAGTCCTTCACTGCTTTAATAGCAGCTTGTGAATATGATGCAATGAATTACTCTTAGGCCAAGGATGGACACGTTCACCTTTGTCATTTTCCCCAGCCTAAGCTTTGAGTGTTGGCCTTATATCAGATCGAAGTCATCATTTTTGGCAGATGGGATGACCAGGACATAAAAAATTAATGTCATACCTTGGTGATTGAAGGTTAAAGATGAGTTCAAGGTCAATGTCAGATTATCCGCTGATTTTGCAGTTATAGCAAATGTTTCTGTTTCCCATGAATTGAAACCTGTGGCTGCGATGACAATCTCTTCTCCAGCTACCCAATCTACGGCATCTTTGAGAGATATCTGATTGGTTCCAGCAGTTGCAGTTTGGGCAAGAGTTGTCCAAGTGACTGTACGTTCCACTCCCCACAAGTCAAGCCCTCCAAATACTCCTAAATAACATTATCCATGTCATACATTATACAATTATATGTTGGAGTAGGACTTTTGAGTCACCATTTATGTTATTTCATTATTTATCAGTTTGAATGCATTTAAAAAATAAAAATGAGCTTGATAATTCAAAATTTACCTATAGCTTTAGACCCAACTACAGGACCATTAGGTAGAACCAGATCTGGTGTCTCTAGGTTCCCATTGAGGATGATGTTACAGAGCCCAGTGTACGGCTTTTCAGGCCAGCCAATAATCAGACGTCCTCTAACAATGAAGATTGTTGTAACATTCAAAGTGAAGTCCCTCACTAACCCAGTAGTTGGATCGGGGTTTCCATCAAATTCCAAAGCACCCTTAATTGTAAGTCTGTTGATGTTTGGAAGGGTTGATATATCAACCACAACCCAAGTTCCTGAAACATTTATTTTGCATTCATGTCTTTGAATTAATTGCTTATAAACTATATAGATATTGTTTAATATACCTAGCGAAGCATTTGTATGGAAGTCAATGGGACAGTTAGCGGGCTATATCCACCAGTATTACATACCTAGCGAAGCATTTGTATGGAAGTCAATGGGAAAGTTAGCGAGCTATATCCACCGATATTGCCCGATTACCCCGATATAGCCCGCTTACCTCGTTTTGATATTAGATTTCTTTAATAACCATGATAATATCATGACGTCACGTCATTGATACAAAGTAATCATGGGAACAAAGGCATGTAATACATCAGTTATGTCACTATGACGTGAAATATGCCTTCGTTCTTGCCCAAATATAGAGCCTCCCAAGGTCGGCCTATATTGGGAGAACTCCCAACTCCCATATTTCACGTCATAGTGACATAACCTCTAAGTATTACATACCTAGCGAAGCATTTGTATGGAAGTCAATGGAGCTGAAGGACGGCTATATATTCCTGTATAGCCGCCGAACTTTTTTACCATGACAATTGTATGACGTCAAAACATGGAAACAAAGTGATTTCGACTGGAATCGTGTAAAATTTTGGTCTTTTTTCACGCATTATTCTACATAATACCTTCATGGAATGCAATGTAAATGTACTTTAGGTATGTAATACATCAATTATGTCCGTATCATTGAATATATGCCTTCAGTCTGTCGTCAATATAACCCTCGCAAGCTCGGGCTATATTGACGTCAGACTTCAGGCATATATTCAATGATAGGGACATAACTGCTAAATATTGCCCGATGTGTGACGTCATTGATCCAAAGTAGCCAAGGAAATAAAGGTTTGTAATACATCAGTTATGTCACTATGACATGAAATATGCCTTCGTTCTTGCCCAAATATAGAGCCTTCCGAGGTCATATTTCAGGCATATTTCACGTCATAGTGACATAACGTCTAGATATTACCTCTTTCATAATTTACACTAATGCTTATTCCCTACTACTCCCATTATCCTGCAGATAAATATTGTTTCAAAAATGAACTAAAAGAAAGAGTTATATACCTCCTCTGATTTCAACATCATCGCCATCTACAGGTAGTGACCTCTTTTTTCTTCTCCCGCCACCTGCCCAATAGGCACCATCGGACCAAACATCAAACTCTGCAGGTCTCTCATTGGACGGTGGTAACAAATCAGGCTCAATTGGTTCAATACAGTCAGCAAAATAACAACGATATACTTTTGGTTTGACCCAATATTCATTGCCATAGTAATCTGTATTCTCATCTAAAGATCGTTTAGATTGAGACTTGCCAGTAACTGAATTAAATTACATAAAGAAAAAAATGAATATGTTAGTATATACAAAATGATTAAATCAGGGATACACAAGGGTTTCAAAGGTATGAAGTTTTCATACCTTGGAATCTAAGGCTGAAATCCCTGCCTAAAATCCTATTATTTCGTCATAGATTGAGGTTTCTGATGATTCAACCTCCTTGTTAGACAATTAAAGCAGATATGAAATGGTATTTTTAACCTAAAGGAATCAATATAATTTTTTGATAAATGTATTTGGACATGTTTTCTCATCAGTAGTGTGAAAATTATTTCACTCTAACGATCGTTATAGCTGCTTAATAAGCAATATTCGAATTGGTTGTGACGTTATTGGCCCCCACGTGATCTCTCACTGGTCCCCACGTGGCCCCCTGTTTTGGTCCATTAGATCATGATGTCATAATGCCAAAATGTTTTGTTATCTGTTTACACAATAATCCTATGGTTGCCGTGACGTTGTGATTACTAAGGAACCAATAAACTAAAACTATATTTTGAATATGACGTTACCAATCACGTGGGGGCCAATTTGATTGATCAGTTAGTTTTATTTCGTTATCTATGATCGTTAGCAGTTATCTAACATTTATTTCAAAATGGCTATCGCAAGAACTCTACGTTGAGTTAAAATCAAAACAATGTATTACAATGTTTGAAAACTTTAAAATGTAACATGTATATGAACCAATATAGGTCAACCATCCTTTCATTCTCTCACTCATATGGTTAAATAACTGTCCTCTATTCTTGGTGTATGCATAGAACTGGACAGAAAATTTGGTAGTTAAGTTCACTCACTTAAATAAGTGAACTCATTAGTGTTGTCATCAAATCTGTAATCATATAACTGGTTCCCACTGTATGTCAATGCAGTAGAGCTACTGTTCCTAAATGCTCCACTTGGGTCGACAGTGAACCTATCAGGGGCTTGGTGCATGCTGTGCAATATAATAGCATACTCATCATTCTAAAAAGGAAATTGATTTTATGAGTATCTTATGTATATTATAGATAATACATTGTCAGCCAATTGATGGAGTATAAAAATAGCACAAACTTTTAGATTTAAGAGGATTCAAGACTATAGCCCTTCATTATGTACTTACAGTTAATCCATAAAATTTCCCATTATATGTAAGGTTAGTGATCTGGTCTGCATTGTCGAACACCATATCATACTGGTAGCCTGACACCAACGAGACCATCCAGCCAAATGGGTGGGTCAGCCTCTTTTTCAAATATGGTACAGCAGATGAACCAAACTCATTGGTGAAATTTGCATCCTTTGCCTCAAGTGATCTTGGCAGAGGTTGATTGAAGGAGAACCTCATGAATTTCATCGCAGGATCAGAGCAGATAACACCATCCATTCCAACACTGAATTCAGAATTCACGGAGCATGTGCTTGGAAGGAGTCCATTGTTAACAGTCACCTGAGCCCCTGCTGTTCCTGTAAGGGTCCCGTCTAAGTCTCGAATAATACCCTCGTGTTCCCACGCAAACCTAGCTTTGTTTGGGGCATCATAAAAGCTCAAGCCATGTGTTATGTAATCCCAACCCCCACACCTAAATTTGCATTTACCATCTATCCGTGTGACTGCAAATGCTGAACAACTTCCACTATCAAAGTTAACAAACTTTGTGTCTTCAACCACGAAACCAGGTGTAAAAGGAAGCACAATACCATTTAAAGTACACCCAATAGAGTCAGATTCAGCTGAGTCCCCAATTATGACACTGTTTTTTACAAGTGCCCCCTTTTGGGTGTATTTATTTGGGGTGAATGTTTCTTTATACTCAATTCCAGCAAGTTTGTTATTGACCATACGGAAGCCATCAAATTGAATTGCTCCGACAGTCACTGCTTCGGATCCTTTTTCACAGTTCCATGCTGTGAGTGTTTGGAATACAGCAGGTTCATCTTCTTTTGAATTGCAGCCGCCACCCTTCTTGGGATAATACTCCTGGAAGATCCAGATCCCGAACCATCCCTGAGAGTGAACAGTGTTGTCCTTGAAGAGTCCCAAGGGCACATTTTGCGGGCATATGCTGTTCGTAAATGATGGACCATCAGGGTGTTTATGCATACGGTACCAGAAGCCAAAATGTGTGCCACCAACAGCTGTATTATTTATGTATGTATTGTTGGGATTTGTCGCCCAAAATGCAGCTGGGGTGATATCATCATTCAGTAAACTGGTGCTCTGTTTACAGAAGACAACTAAATTGTGATCAAATACATTACCAGTTTCTATGCCATCTTCTAAAAACAATGCTCCACCCATTACATTATACACAACATTATTCTCAATTTGTAGATTATGGCTGCCATGGACATTGATGGCTCTGTTGAATGTCTCATGGATAGCACATCCCTTTACATAACTTCCAGACATGTCCCCATTGAGATGAAAGTGGACAGGATAGCGGCCAAGACGGAAGGCCTGTCCAGCATATGTCACTTCGGCATATGAAATATGAGCTACAGCTATCTTCTTATCTTTCTCTGGAGCATGAATCATAATCTGTGCACCAAACTGATCATTCCCCATCTCCTCACCAAACCTGCCTTGGAAACAGGTCTGTGTAACAAATTCACCTACAGGGCAAAATAAAACATATTTTGGTAATTTTTTCATAGATCTGTGTGTTATGGTAGAAAATTTGTAAACCTTTTGCTCTATGAAATATAAGCCATTTGGAAGAAAGAAAAAATTTGTATTTCTAAGGTTATACATTTAAATATCAAAAAGCCTGACAACCTGGTGCCATTTAAAGGAATATTATACTGACGACACAATATAGTCATAGGGTTCTACCCTCAAATACATACCTGGATTAAAACCATCTGGGCAAGCCTCAATAGTGTCATGCCATTGAGGATTGTTTGATCCTCTAACAGTGATGCTTCGAGACAACAGGCCCACCTCAGCCCTGAATTCAATGACAGTCCCATCAGAGAAGGTTTCTGTTACACCAAGATGCTCGAATTCCAAAGGTGTATTGAGTGTCAATATACTTCCTGATATTGCAGTGATTGTTCTCTTTTCATTTTCCCGCTGACTCATATGGCCTCCAGTTGTTGCTATGACAATTTCATCTCCAACATTCCACCCAGAAAGTGCATCATTCAGGGTGATGCTTGAAGATCCAGCTGTTGCTGTAGAGGCTAGATGGCTCCATGTTGGGCTAACAGGTCGACCTGGAGATTTAAAATATCTCATATGTGATGTACAGTATAAAGAATCCAACTGGGGTCTCAGTTTTAGAATTAGCATAGAGATTGGCAGAATAACCAATCTTTCAACTATTGGTACCCATATAATGACAACAGTCACAATCTGTAAACATGTCAAGGTGAAATCAAAAAGTCACTTTGAATATCATTCTAGTGTTTTTCCTCACCATGTAGTTCAAGTGTTCCTTCCCTGACTGCAAGGGCCTTGGTGCCATATATTGGATACTCCGGGCTCCTTGGGTGACCATGCAGGGTGATCCCTGCTTTATGTTGGTAAGGATTATCCACAGAACCAATCTACAAACAATTCATAGTTCACTGTCATTTTTACCTTTATTTTTTCCTCTCTTTTGTGTAAATAAGCCCAGGCGAACATTAAATGATCTTCCATTGTATGTTTGTTTGACACTTATTCATCCGAGCCTTGAGTTGCTTAATTCTGGTGTTTGTGTTTTGACAATGCATTTTGATTTTGCCTATTGCAATTGATTTGGAAATTGGCATCAATTAAAAGTGTTCTCCTGGAAAGAGGAAATGCATCATATATCACTTACCTGTAAAGAGCCTCCTCCCATGATTAAGATGTTCTCTGCTTGGAGATGGATGTCACGGGAATCATCAAATATCACAGTGCCACCTATATAACATATTAATAAACAGTCTAATATTTTATTGCACTCTTGGGTGCTATTTTTGGCTTTTCCATCCTAAAATCCTGTTTGACAAATCTTGTCTATATGTTTCAAGGCGAACCATTTGACAGATTGGGATGTTTCAGGCATGTACACTTGGTATAAAAATCTATATCTGATTTTCCATTTTTTTTCCATGTTTAACTTACATATAACATACACATGTTTCCACATTTACATTTAGGTGATGGTACATTGGTAAAGTTGTGAGCATAAAGTTGTGAGTGAAAGATCAGATCACAGCGCACCTTATTCAGAGAAATTTCTTGGCTCCTTGTTAGGGAAATCTCAGAAGAACTAATGACGGTTGTCTGAAATTTTCTTTTTAGATTAGATTTAAAATTGTTTAAGTTTGGTGATTCCTTGCATGCAGTCGGCTGGAAGAATATCCCAGTCCATGATGCTTTTAAAGATGCACAATCTTGAAATGTTGAAAATGTTGACATCTTCACCAGAATTGGTAATCATTGCTTTTTCGTGTTACTTATGTATGATTTCTACGGTATTGATTGAAGATACTAAATTACAGGATGGAAGGGTATGATTGTGAACTCGTTACATTAAGTCTATGCATTTGTCTTCTATCAGATAACCATGGCCAATGTAAGCAGTATAAGACTTTTGTTGAAGAAGTTAAATGTAGAACACCTGAGCAAATACAGGCTGCTTTGTAGTAGGAAAGTTGATCAATGAGTCAGTTTTGTAATACTTGCACAACCATAATATAAAGGGTGCCATGATTGGGAGTAGGAAAGATTTGAAAATTTATTCCAGGTGTTTTCCATTTAATGTTTTGCTTATTAACTTAAGTGGGTTTAAGAGTTTGTTTGTCCTTTTGATGAGCTCTGTGATATGTTGGTCATATGTTGATTTTCTGTTGTACTTTAATGTTTCATTTAATCATATTTTCGAGTTATATTCTCACTCATTATCTGACAATTTTTAATAGTAAATCCTGTCTTGCCCTTACACCACTGGGACTGGACAAAAATGTTGAGGTTGGTAGGGCATTCAGATTTTAAGGTTTTTTAATATGGGACTAAAAAGCATTCAGACTGAGAGGTGTTCAGATATACAGGTTTTTGGGTGTTTTGGATGAGATATCACATTCTCAGTTTGCTAAGAGTTAAAAGCCATATTTACCTAAAATGAGTAGAAAACTCAAGATTGGTGTGTCAGTGTCTATAAGCAGTGTCATGGAATCAGGGACCACAACAAAGTCTCCAGCCACAGGTGGCAGGTTACCTCCCCATGAGTAGGGGGATGAATATACATCAATGTACCAGAAATCTGCACCATCCTACAAAATAAATAGGTAGTCATGAAATGAAACTGAAGCTGTTTGTTTGATTGTTGGGTGACCAATTCTTAGTGCCAAATATTTTCCTTATAAGCTTTGAATGACATTTTCTCCAAAACAAGATAAAGGGAATCATAGTTGATGATTATGCATTCATGACTTACTTGTGTTGCAATTCCATTTGTACCAATCTCTACCCTGACCTTGGTTTGTATTGCTGGGGAATGAACACCTGTGATGCACTGTATCAAGGTATCTGTCACTGAAGTCACCATACACACTGTACCTGCTATAGTCACATTCACATCACCATTGGTAGATCTGTATAAACAAAATGACATATATTTGAGCAGTTGTGGCATACTCTATTGGCTGAATGAACACCTGTGATGCACTGTATCAAGGTATCTGTCACTGAAGTCACCATACACACTGTACCTGCTATAGTCACATTAACATCACTATTGGTAGATCTGTATAAACAAAATGACATTTATTTGAGCAGTTGTGGCATACTCTATTGGCTGAATGAATACATGTAATGCACTGTATCAAGGTATCTGTCACTGAAGTCACCATACACACTGTACCTGCTATAGTCACATTAACATCACCATTGGTAGATCTGTATAAACAAAATGACTTTTATTTGAGCAGTTGTGCCACACTCTATTGGCTGAATGAACACCTATGATGCACTGTATCAAGGTATCTACCACTGAAGTCACCATACACACTGTACCTGCTATAGTCACATTCACATCACTATTGGTAGATCTGTATAAACAAAATGACATTTATTTGAGCAGTTGTGCCACACTCTATTGGCTGAATGAACACCTGTGATGCACTGTATCAAGGTATCTGTCACTGAAGTCACCATACACACTGTACCCGCTATAGTCACATTCACATCACTACTGGTAGATCTGTATAAACAAAATGACATTTATTTGAGCAGTTGTGGCATACTCTATTGCTGAATGAACACATGTGACACACTGTATCAAGGTATCTGCCATTGAAGTCATCATACACACTGTACCTGCTATAGTCACATTCACATCACTATTGGTAGATCTGTATAAACAAAATGACATTTATTTGAGCAGTTGTGGCATACTCTATTGCTGAATGAACACATGTGACACACTGTATCAAGGTATCTGCCATTGAAGTCACCATACACACTGTACCTGCTATAGTCACATTCACATCACTATTGGTAGATCTGTATAAACAAAATGACATTTATTTGAGCAGTTGTGCCACACTCTATTGGCTGAATGAACACCTGTGATGCACTGTATCAAGGTATCTGTCACTGAAGTCACCATACACACTGTACCCGCTATAGTCACATTCACATCACCATTGGTAGATCTGTATAAACAAAATGACATTTATTTGAGCAGTTGTGGCATACTCTATTGGCTGAATGAACACCTGTGATGCACTGTATCAAGGTATCTGTCACTGAAGTCACCATACACACTGTACCCGCTATAGTCACATTCACATCACCATTGGTAGATCTGTATAAACAAAATGACATTTATTTGAGCAGTTGTGGCATACTCTATTGCTGAATGAACACCTGTGATGCACTGTATCAAGGTATCTGTCATTGAAGTCACCATACACACTGTACCCGCTATAGTCACATTCACATCACCATTGGTAGATCTGTATAAACAAAATGACATTTATTTGAGCAGTTGTGGCATACTCTATTGGCTGAATGAACACCTGTGATGCACTGTATCAAGGTATCTGTCACTGAAGTCACCATACACACTGTACCCGCTATAGTCACATTCACATCACCATTGGTAGATCTGTATAAACAAAATGACATTTATTTGAGCAGTTGTGGCATACTCTATTGGCTGAATGAACACCTGTGATGCACTGTATCAAGGTATCTGTCACTGAAGTCACCATACACACTGTACCCGCTATAGTCACATTCACATCACCATTGGTAGATCTGTATAAACAAAATGACATTTATTTGAGCAGTTGTGGCATACTCTATTGCTGAATGAACACCTGTGATGCACTGTATCAAGGTATCTGTCATTGAAGTCACCATACACACTGTACCCGCTATAGTCACATTCACATCACTATTGGTAGATCTGTATAAACAAAATGACATTTATTTGAGCAGTTGTGGCATACTCTATTGCTGAATGAATACATGTGATGCACTGTATCAAGGTATCTGTCATTGAAGTCACCATACACACTGTACCCGCTATAGTCACATTCACATCACCATTGGTAGATCTGTATAAACAAAATGACATTTATTTGAGCAGTTGTGGCACACTCTATTGCTGAATGAATACATGTAATGCACTGTATCAAGGTATCTGTCACTGAAGTCACCATACACACTGTACCCGCTATAGTCACATTCACATCACCATTGGTAGATCTGAATAAACAAAATGACATTCATTTGAGCAGTTGTGGCATACTCTATTGGCTAAATGAACACCTGTGATGCACTGTATCAAGGTATCTGTCACTGAAGTCACCATACACACTGTACCCACTATAGTCACATTCACATCACTATTGGTAGATCTGTATAAACAAAATGACATTTATTTGAGCAGTTGTGGCATACTCTATTGCTGAATGAATACATGTGACACACTGTATCAAGGTATCTGCCATTGAAGTCATCATACACACTGTACCTGCTATAGTCACATTCACATCACCATTGGTAGATCTGTATAAACAAAATGATATTTATTTGAGCAGTTGTGGCATACTCTATTGCTGAATGAACACCTGTGATACACTGTATCAGGGTATCTACCACTGAAGTCACCATACACACTGTACCCGCTATAGTCACATTCACATCACTACTGGTAGATCTGTATAAACAAAATTATATTTATTTGAGCAGTTGTGGCATATTCTATTGGCTGAATGAACACCTGTGATGCACTGTATCAAGGTATCTGTCATTGAAGTCACCATACACACTGTACCTGCTATAGTCACATTCACATCACTATAGGTAGATCTGTATAAACAAAATTATATTTATTTGAGCAGTTGTGGCATATTCTATTGGCTGAATGAACACCTGTGATGCACTGTATCAAGGTATCTGTCATTGAAGTCACCATACACACTGTACCTGCTATAGTCACATTCACATCACTATTGGTAGATCTGTATAAACAAAATGACATTTATTTGAGCAGTTGTGCCACACTCTATTGGCTGAATGAATACATGTGATGCACTGTATCAAGGTATCTGTCATTGAAGTCACCATACACACTGTACCCGCTATAGTCACATTCACATCACCATTGGTAGATCTGTATAAACAAAATGACATTTATTTGAGCAGTTGTGCCACACTCTATTGGCTGAATGAATACATGTGATGCACTGTATCAAGGTATCTGTCACTGAAGTCACCATACACACTGTACCCGCTATAGTCACATTCACATCACTACTGGTAGATCTGTATAAACAAAATTATATTTATTTGAGCAGTTGTGGCATATTCTATTGGCTGAATGAACACCTGTGATGCACTGTATCAAGGTATCTGTCATTGAAGTCACCATACACACTGTACCTGCTATAGTCACATTCACATCACCATTGGTAGATCTGTATAAACAAAATGATATTTATTTGAGCAGTTGTGGCATACTCTATTGCTGAATGAACACCTGTGATACACTGTATCAAGGTTTCTGTCATTGAAGTCACCATACACACTGTACCCGCTATAGTCACATTCACATCACTACTGGTAGATCTGTATAAACAAAATGACATTTATTTGAGCAGTTGTGGCATACTCTATTGCTGAATGAACACATGTGACACACTGTATCAAGGTATCTGCCATTGAAGTCATCATACACACTGTACCCGCTATAGTCACATTCACATCACCATTGGTAGATCTGTATAAACAAAATGACATTTATTTGAGCAGTTGTGGCATACTCTATTGCTGAATGAACACCTGTGATACACTGTATCAAGGTATCTGTCACTGAAGTCACCATACACACTGTACCCGCTATAGTCACATTCACATCACCATTGGTAGATCTGTATAAACAAAATGACATATATTTGAGCAGTTGTGGCATACTCTATTGGCTGAATGAACACCTGTGATGCACTGTATTAAGGTATCTGTCACTGAAGTCACCATACACACTGTACCCACTATAGTCACATTCACATCACTATTGGTAGATCTGTATAAACAAAATGACATTTATTTGAGCAATTGTGGCATACTCTATTGCTGAATGAACACCTGTGATGCACTGTATCAAGGTATCTGTCACTGAAGTCACCATACACACTGTACCCACTATAGTCACATTCACATCACTATTGGTAGATCTGTATAAACAAAATGACATTTATTTGAGCAGTTGTGGCATACTCTATTGGCTGAATGAATACATGTGATGCACTGTATCAAGGTATCTGTCACTGAAGTCACCATACACACTGTACCCGCTATAGTCACATTCACATCACTATTGGTAGATCTGTATAAACAAAATGACATTTATTTGAGCAGTTGTGGCATACTCTATTGGCTGAATGAACACCTGTGATGCACTGTATCAAGGTATCTGTCATTGAAGTCACCATACACACTTTACCCGCTATAGTCACATTCACATCACTATTGGTAGATCTGTATAAACAAAATGACATTTATTTGAGCAATTGTGGCATACTCTATTGGCTGAATGAATACATGTAATACACTGCATGTACTGTATGTATTTTCCAATACTGAATACTTATACCTTGAACAATACTTTCGAAGTAATGGTCCTTCAAAACTGATTTTTAAAAAAGTAACCTATAGATGTCACTCACCCAAAGCCTGTTCCTGCAATACTGATCGCAAGTCCACCCCCAGTGCCACCCCTGTCAGGTGAGACTGATGTCACAGCAGGGGTGTTAGCACTGTTATAGGTGTAGCCATTGGTCAATGTGTCACTACTGGAGCCAGATGAGATAATGATATCACAGGCCTGAGTGCCACTACCTGCAGTGCAACATGACATTGATTATCAGAATTCGAAAGCATGAAAGATTGACATAAAATCTCATGAATTCATTAATACATTTGGCTCATTCTATGGACTCAAATGAGCTTTCTTATCCAAATCTGTGTTTTGGGTATTTTTAAATGGTTTTATTGATAACTATTTTGTACATGTACTCTGAAAACTGGGTTCGATTGCCTGTATCATCACATGGTATGGTTAAATGATTCTTTTGTATTTATGTTATGCAAATGTTGCCCCTTATGCCTTTTTGATTTTATAACAAACAGTTTGACCAGTTATCCTACCTGAGCTGGAAGGACTTTCACACAGGACATCAGTTGAGTTGCTTCCCGCTTTATCAACCACACATGTCTCGTTACATACAGCAACAACAACATCTGTTGGATCAAACCCTACGCCTGACACTGTCACAATCTGACCTCCTCCAAAACTACCAGTTGATGGAGAGATCGAGTCAGCTCTGAGTGTGTATGTGAAAATAATATTAGATGTCGCCAGTCCTATTCCAGGTATGTCGACATTGATGGTGTAGTTCCCAGCAGATGAGGCGCCAAGGGTACATGTTATATTTGTAGCTGTAGCAGAGGTGATCACACACATTGATCCAAGCGTAACAGTAGCATTTTCATTAAGTCCTGTCCCTGATATGATAATGGAGTCCCCAGTTCCTCCAGATGTGGGGCTTACACTATCCACAACAGGGGTAAGTGATGATGAGAAATTGAAGTCTTGTTGTGGATAGTATATACCATTCGAATTTATATTTATCTTTACTGTACCGGCAGAATGTGCACCTGTGATGCATGTTAACTGAAAATATAAAGAACAAATACATTTATAAATATCTAAGCACAAGTGAAAAAGTGAAAGGACCATGTAATGGAACCTGGCTAGAAAAAGCAAACTCTAAGTTTATACCAGTCATAAGAAAAACAAACCCTTTATATATAGTAAATAAACTATGATCTAACATGAAAAGAAACAATGTCAAATAGCCGTTTCCCCCTAGCATTCAAGAACAAGTATCACAATCCAAGAGAGACATTACATTCATACTAAGTCATGAGCCAGTAAAAACCAATATAAACTATTTAATAAGGGCTAGTAAGTCAATGAAACAATTTCATTGAATAAGAATTTTCCCAGTATTTTGTGCCATGATAAAATAGTATTAGTGACATATCATGAACCAGATATGCAAGCTTGTTTTTAGCAAGAAAAACAGAAATCGTAGATTCAATGTTTCAAGTTTCACTCATCTGAACAAAACAAAATATTTTGGAGTGTTTGTCTTTGTTCAGTTGATTTCACTTTTTTCTTTCAATCTACATATCTTGAAACAATTCTTAGTTCTTCTCCCTTTACATCATGGGAAAACTGAGAGTTTGTGAAGTTTTTTTCACAGAATGAATTTACTTGTTAATACCAATTTGTAAACTTACCTCAGATATGGAGATGGTTTCTATAGTACAATCTACACCACCTACAGATACAGTGGTATCAGCAGGTGCGAATCCATTGCCTGCAATAGTGATGCTTGTACCACCATTGATGCTCCCTTCTGTAGGGCTGACTGAGTATATCAATGCAGAACTGGTGAGAGAGGCATAACCTTCGGACAATGCTGACCCCTGATTCGTGACCACCAATGAGAAAACCTGAGGTCCAACTGTTACATAACCAAGGTCACAAATTATTGATGTGCTGGAAATTGCAGTTACTCCACATAGAGTTTCTCCAACTGTGATCACAACTCCTGTTTCATTGCTTCCAAAGTTTGTTCCATTGATTGTTAAAGCTGTTGATGCTCCAGAAACGATGGTTGGTGAGACATCTGTGACCGTTGGTGTCACACTGGCTGAATACTGAAATGTGCATGTTCCTTCACAAGTTGATGTGAATGATCCTACAGAGACAACAACATCCCCAGTTGTTTCAATAGAAGCACTTGTAGAACAAATAATTGCTGTGTACGTTACTTCATCTATAGGGCAATCTGTACCACCAATGCTCACAGATGTGCTTCCATAACTGCCAGAAAATCCTGAACCTGTGACAGTCAATCTTAAACCTCCTGAAGTTGAACCCACAGATGGACTAACAGAGCTGACCTCTGGCAAAAGAGCAAAACTACGCTCTAATGTTGCAGAGATGAGATTAGCAGCCTCTCCTCTGTTATTTACACTGACTGAGACTGGGTATGCTACACCAGTCTGTTGTATGCCACCATGGTCTATACGGCATATTATTGAGGTATCACTAGCAGAAGACACGACACAGGGTTGGTTTCCAATCTTAACATCATTTTGACACGTTTCCGGCCCAAACCCATTTCCTTTTAAAAAAACAAAACATAAAAATCTTAGCAAAAAATGGAAATGGAAATGAAAAATCATATTTCAAAATCACATGCATTTAATTAAAAGGCATTAGTAACAATCATATTTCAAAATTGCAGTTCAATAATAGCAATACCCCTGTAAATAATATTCATTCATTGAAACTGATCAATCATTATCAAAGGGGACTATACTTGTAACTCACAGGCATTAATCAAGAGGGATTATACATATTCATATATATGTTTTTTCATGTATACATAGTGAACCAAAGAGGGATGACTGCCAATATACAAGCAGTCCCATTTAGTAAGATTGAACTAAAAACTCAAAAGATGACAAAATGGTATAGGGATTCATTTTTCAATTTTCTCAGAGTGTACTTGGTATGCTTACCTGTAATTGTTATATCTGCCAGAGATGTTCCACTGTTAGGGCTGATGCCTGATATTGTTGCTGTGCTACAGTCTGTGAACTGAAAGTTAAAGGTGGAGCCACTGCTGTCACTAGAGGGAGCTGTACTGTTACATCCAGGCACCTCACCTGTGACAGGGGAGCAAATAGATCGTTTCCTACGGCTGTGACCTAGAACAAGGATTTGAGCTGTGAGGAAAATGTTTTGTAAAATAAGCATTAACATAATGTTCATACTTAAAAGTAAAAAAATAACTAAATCTTCAAAATGATAATTTTGTTTTCTAATTCCTTAATATTGGTTATGTTATGATTCGCAAAACTTCATATTAAGCTCCAGGTAAAATGGTAATTCACAAGTACTGTTTAAATGGTAATTAATAAGTACTCAATCTAGTACAATGGTGATTCACAAGTGCAAGTGATCCACACAAAAATCATAATCCACTCCTATCTGCATATCTATCCCTTGTGTTTACATACCAGATGATGCAGCTGTTGTCACTTCAGGAGCAGCTGTTGTTTCCTCAGTTGTATCATTAGTCGTATTTGAAACAGCTGTCGTAACCATAGCTGTTGTTACTTCCACAGTTGTTGCATTATGGGAAGTATTGTTTGTTGTACTTTCTATGGCTGTTGTGCTTCCTTCAGCTGCAGTTGTACTTTCTTCATCTGTTGTACTTTGTACAGTTGTTGGTGTGGTGACATAGTCAGCTGTGGTTTCATATTCTGTTTTAAAAGTATGAATGAGCATTTAATCCACATTGATGAACGCATCTTAACTAGGATCTTATAAAGATTCTGTTTTCATGCTTCTATGTAATACGTACAGCTGTTATTATACTAACATCAAAAAAGTTTTTAAAATAAAATAGCAAACTAGTAAGTTCTGCTCCTTTGAATCAACTCTAATGGACACAAGAAGGTTTACAAACAAAAACCACAATGACTTACCAGGTTGACTTATGTTGTAATCAGCTTCAATTCCATTTAATTTAATAGAGACCTGGCCGTAGTATTTGCTTCTATCCAAGACACGAATTGTTCCTCGCATTATGAGACTGAATTGGGCATCAACGAAGTCACTCCAGTAATAGTAGATCCCCGGTGTGTTGAATTGATGTTGAAATGAACCTGAAATTTTTTAGGAGTATGTTACCATAGCAACCATTTAGACAACCATATTGGGTTATTCGTGACTCCATCTATCTGAAATTATCTGTGGCTTCATCTATCTAACATAATGTATCAATTATATGACCATTTATATTGCAGGATTGAGAGACAATACTATGGATTTTAAAGAATTAGTTAAATGTTTGATCTTGCATAGTTTTACTTTATTTATTTTTTTAATTATTCATTTCTGAGAAAAACATCTTTGAATCTTTTTATATCTACTTCAATGAAGGACCACCCAAAAGAAGAATAGGATTTTGATTTTTGTCACTTTGTATAAAATGATGATATTAACGCAATTCTTTCCTTTCTCTCTCTCTCTCCTTCTACAGTAAACAACATTAATAACCTGTAAAATAATATGTGAAAATAAAGATTTTAAAAAAAAGAAGAATAATAGGATTTTGTCATACCGATTGGAGTTATAGCAGAACCACTAGAGAAACCACCAGGCTTGTATTCTCTAGCAATGCTGGTAGCTGTTTCTTGGACCAGGTATCCTACACTGGTGATCAACTCAGGGGCTTTCCAGCTCCAGTGTATGCTGTCTCCAGTCATGATCTCCATTATAGCAGGATTCCAGGCATAACTAGCGCCATGAACTATAAACAAAACACAGACTAATACTGAGCAGGTTTTAACTGATGATTCCGAGGCCATTGATAAGTAACTTAGATAAAATACTTGTATGACTGAATCACAATGTACATTATAGATTCCACTTACTTGGATGTACCCCACTATTATCAACATGATACACTTGTCCTGGCTCGCCAACAACGCATACAATTTCAGTCATACTCTCAGACTCTATTTCGCAATTTGCTCCACCAATCAGGATCTCCTTTGATGCATTAGAAGTGAAGCCATTGCCAGTGATTGTGATTTTAGTGCCTCCATTCAGTGAGCCAACCAATGGAGAGATTTCATTAACCTCCAGTGTGACAAGAATATTTGGGATACTGTTAGCACTAAAAATAAAGAGAAGTATGTCAGTATTTACACTTTTTTAATCTTTAATCATCAAAGTCATTTCAAACATTCAAATTTTAAAAATTAATTTAATGAATTAATGTTAATTAAAACAAGTTACTTAAGATCAGCATATCCATCATCTCCAACATCAACAAGCAGGGGGTAGGAGCCTGGGGGTAGGGCGGGAAGTGTCACTGATATGTATGTATCATTCCAGGATTCAATTGTTACCGCCACCCCAGCCACAGTGACTGCATCTTCCCCACTGGCTGAGGGACCAAACAACGTTCCCGCAATAGCTATAGTTTCACCACCTGTAAGAACATACAGAGTTTAAACATTTCATGGATCAATCAATTTGGGAATTTCGAAAACAGTATTCTGGTTGTCTGAGCTAAAAGTAATCTTTACATGGGGTCCTTTATCCATTTTGTGTCTATAAACTATGTTTTGGTGACAATTTCAATAAATACCCACTCTTCTATTACAATATATGTAAGTATAAACATTCTCACCCACAACACTCCCAATGTGTGAAGATATACTTGAAATAGTAGGGGTGAGTGCCTGGTCATATGTGAAGTTAGTCCCGCTGGTTATTGCTCCACTAGCCTGGATGACCTGTACCTTGGCATCTTCTGCTAACACCTAGAACACAAGCCATTTGTTAACTTCCTGATTTTGTGTTTTGTGTGTTCATCAGCAAGTATACTAATACCCTCTGACTAAAATAGTTTTTTTACTGTTTGGAGAAGAATTGAAGAATTGAATTTTATTTCTGTGATAAAGGGTAATGAATCATTTTCACTTACTGAAGGAGGTGTGCTACACACAATGCTGGAGTAACTCCGAGACTTCACAGAGCAGTTGGCGCCACCTATTTCAACATTTGCAGATGGGGCAAATCCACTGCCATTAATTGATAATACTGTGCCTCCTGTAACATACTAACACATGTAAGTTTATATTATGATAGTGTATTGCCTTTATTTATGGCATATACGATTTAATTCATGGCCACATACCCTCGTGTTTTCTCTATATTTTTTAAGACATTGATAAATACATAATATTTGCAATATTACAAATACAGCAGGACAATTTTCAACAATTTAGGGTCGACTACACTCATTTAATAATAATAACACAGTTTACCTGCCAAGCTGCCTGATGTTGGAGATATGTCTGTTATGTATGCCTGGTATGTGAAAAGAAAAGTTTCATTCACATGTACTGCATTTCCTTTGCCCTCAATTCTCACTTCAACATCTGCTTCACCTAAAAGAAGATCCATCAAGCTATGTGGCGATGGCAAATAGAACATTGGAATTGCCAAGGTAGAATAAAGCTAGATTCAAGTTCTTCCTAGACTCCCCATTCTGTGGGAAATATAACTGAATAACACATATAAAATGAAGATTGCATTCTACTTTTGGTGAAAACATGTGGGGTTTTTAGAATTATGCAAGGCAAAAACATCGAAAGATGACCAAGTGCTCAATTTAATGAAATGAAATCAATATTCATCCTTAACTAAACTAATTAAATGGTGGATAAGTTATGTAATGGGTAAAATAATAATTTCCATAATTTAAGGTAACACCGTAACATACCCGCAGGTCCATTTCCAATAGTACAAGTAATCTGATTGGCTGTTGAGGCAGTCACATCACACACAATACCACCTATCAGAACTACATTGTTAGCTGGAGTGGTGTCAAATAGTGTTCCATTTATGGTCAACTCAGTGTTGTTACTTGAAGATCCTATCAAGATAAAAAAGTACTGCAATAAACTCACTTTGTAAAGCTAAAATATAAAGAAAAGACAAGGTTTGGATCCAAGTCTATGGTACGGTACAAGTGACAGATTATTTTGATTCTAAATTCTTCAGAATATTTTCAGAACCAGAGTAGGAGATATAACCCCTTTAAGTACATTCTTATGTAAGACCATAGGAAGTATTTGCAAATGTATGTTACAAGTTGACTGACATGTGTTGTGCCCAACACACTTGAAAGTTGAACAAAAGAAACTCCTGGGGGACTAGGAAGAAACTGTACCTTCAGTTGGAGATATGGCTGTTACTGTTGGAGTGGCAGCTTCACTGTAGACAAAGGAACAGTCACCCGAGCACTTGGTTGGAATGTTATTGATCATCAAAGACACCTAAAATGTAAAATATGGATACAAACATCCCAAAGCACCCAAAAAGGTACAACTGAGCCAGCCATCTTAGAAGTTAAATTCATCATGGCTTCCCTCAGTAGTGAAAAATTCATTATGCAAATTCGACTGACTAACTTTTCAGCATTTTAAGCTTTTTAAAATGGAAACTTACTTGGGGTGTGTCATGAGCAGTACGTAACCAATCCCCACCCACAGGATCCAGAAATACTCCCCCATCTCTGGATGTGTGTACACTGGAGTTGGCGTTGATACCTGTTAATCCAGTCGAGTCAATCTAGAATATCAAAATATAAACCAGATTTTCAACCTAAAATATTACTAACTTATAGGATAACACATCAAATTATTCACTATAACTTTTTATTCACATAAAGGTATATGATTGGCCTTCCTACCTGAATCTCTGGCTGATCGCCAGTATTTGTTTCAAATGTAATCCCATAGCTCCTGTCAGAACATGTGCCTGATCTTGTGATTGTAACAACACCTGATGTTGGTAATGTCATAAAGATGTCTCTGAATTCATCTGCTTCCACATGAGTGGGCACTGAAGTCAAGATGAATTGCATCTTCATTAAAATTTGAAAAAGTGTTCAAATTGAAAGCATAAATAAATATAGAATATTAAAGAAGAGATGATGATAAAAAGGACCCAGGAACTGAGAAACCCAAAAGATCTGCATGAATATGACAGGATTAGAAAAATCTGAGCAGATTTTGTTGAAATATCCTTGTTCTTCTAGCTTTCACAAATCAACATACTTTAAATCAGGATAATTTTGACATTGATTATAGTGATGTGTATATTTACACATCTACCCTGAATGGAGGATATAGCCCCAACACCAAACACCTTTTACCCTAAAATTTTACAATGATTATTATGATAAGTATCACCCCTTTTGCATACGCACACCTACAAAATGAAGGACTGATCAGAAACAGTAAGGAAGGAAGTGAGCAAAACTCAACTTACTTGTAACTGTTTCATTCTTGAAGGTAACATCAAAAGTGCCAGCAACAGGGGGAGTTGCCGAAGAGACTCTGTTTGTGACCACTTTGGCATTCCCCCAATTACTAGCTCCAAATGTGGCATTGACACTTCCCAGGGCATCACTTCCAGATTCAACCTGAATGTTTGGATAAAGAAGTAGTTGTAAAATAACGCATCTTAAAACAAGTGGAAATGACTGAAAATAATGCAATGACATGAAGACAACAATAAATGTATGTATAGATTTACGATACGTTTTCAGTGCATGTTGACATCTTTTACTGTTTACTTGAGTTTGTATGGATAAACTGCTGATACCCATTGGCCCATCTTAGGGAGGCAATTTCAATGAAATAGCAGGGAGAAATCATCAATGTGTTTTTCTTAAAAGTTATGGTTGTGTTTTCAATTATGAATCTTAAAATGAAAGAAATATATAAACTTACATTTCCACCTCGTACTTTGAACAATGGAAAGTTATGAGAGCACTCTAAAGCAGTAAGTGTTAGTTTAATTGCATCTCCTGTTCTTTCTACAGCAACTGATGTTACTATTTGCCCATTTGGGGAGGGAGGCGCAAGAATTTGTTCAGGGAGATCTGAAATTGTAAATTGAAGTATGCCCCATGAATGGTTTATTAGATGCTCCATCTGTGTGTTGTAAAGCTTAATATGGTGGAGACGGAGAAATAGTAAGGCATTAAATCCTTTTGGATCCCAACCATCATAATACTTTCTGCACAAGTGATGTATTTGCTTGTTTGTTTGTTTGTTTGTTTGCTTGCCTGTTTGTTTGTTTGATTGTTTGTTCTTGATTAACAATAACTATATCATATTGTCTCAATGCAGCACACATCACTTCACATCACAACACTTGTTCTAACATGTTATGGTGTTGCACAGTTAGACAAAATAACAAAAATTACATAACATTGTTAACATCAGTTTAGATAGATAATGTGAATATGGCAAATTTAATATTATCATTGAACTTTTATAGTTTCTTAAAGTTAAGGCATACATGTGCATATGTTTTTAAGGCTTGAAATACGCTGTAAATTATAAAACTAAAGCACTGAGCGTGCATTTTTGAATGGAATTCTTTATTTGGGATAAGAGTGTATCACACATGCACAATGGAAGTTTTGTTGTCATAGAATAAAGAATAAAAATGTAAAAAAACATGAAAATCTAAAAGCTTGCCTTCAAGTTTGAGAGATCCAGATGTATATTCAGGCATCCATACAGTTGGTCTCTGTCCAACATACAAGACATCTACCCAGGCATAGTTTCTTCTCTCTAGTCTTATCTTTGTCACTCGGAACATATTCCCACTTGGGTGACGGGCAGCTATAGCAGTGTACATATTGAAGCAAGTATAGCCCCAACTAAAAGTATGGAAAAACATACATAAATGTTGATGGAGTTATCATGTAAATCAAAAATTATCAAAATGGGGTGAAATGATATCAAGCACATAGTCTAGGCACTTTTGCCATTTTTTAACAGATCAATACCCTCTTTGCTGAGAAACACATCAAAATTGTATCCTGTAATAGAACTTATGGACTTACAGTAATGGACTGGTCTCCTGATTCATTGCTAAGTTAAAAGTATTTATTGCTGTCAACTATGAGACTATTTTTAAGTACCCATGATCCATAACCCGACCCGACCCGAGAGGCCAAACCTGAGACCCATCCCGGCCTGACCCGCATCCGACCCAACTCTAGAATTTAGGAACAGTGGAAGTTGAAAGACTATCTTACCCTCGTGATTGTTCATCAAGAGGGTCAGTAGTGAGATCATGTGGGAATCCATGATTGCTTTCCCGATTTTCATTATCCATGTATTTATAGTAGATCTTTATGTAGTTATTCCAGGCTCCCCTATAGGCAAAACACAGCTGAAACATGAAAAACGTTTAATTTAATATAATATAAAATAATATAATCATTTCAATCAATGAATGGATATAATGCAATTTCTTGGAGGATTCAAATCTGAAACATAGTCAATTTTGGGACAACATAACAAATTGACCTAGTCGTAATAAACTTACATATTTATACTGTGCGAGGAAGATGGTGTTAGAGCCCTCGCTAAACACATCATCAGGATTCTTCAATGATGTCTTGCCACAATAGGGTGCAATGTTTGTCACTCTTTCACCAGAATAATGCCTCCTGCCATCTTCATAATCCAGGAATAATTTCTTAAATGCTGGGTTGCCAATGTCTGCAGGACAACGGTATCCAAATATATGGTTTACAGCTGCTTCAATCTGAAAATAATGGCAAATGTGCATTTAGTTACACATAGTGTGTATGGATACAGGTATGTTAGTTACATTTACTAAGTCATCAAGATACTGAACAGTGATCGATCCCCAGCATTCAAGCAAGTGGGTGCAGCACCCACCTGAGATTTTGAAAATAGGCTTGCACCCACCTGAAAATCCATTTGCACCCACTTGAAAATGAGAAAAATCATGAAAAATGGGCATCTTTTGATCAATTTTGGTCTGAATTGTGAAAATGATAATTTTGCACCCACTTGAGAAAAAATTCTGTGGAGATCACTGCTGAATGTAGAATGTTTAGTGACATACACATCTGAACACAAGTTAATAATTGCATCTGAATGCTTTGTGTTCTCACTCCATAAACTGGGGGAAAAGACTAGTAGGGGAGACTTCAATATCTTATCTACAGATTCAAGTATATGGGTGTTATGTTATGGCAGGTTTTGGATATTGGGTTTTCCCTGAGGGAAATATAGATATATTACCAAGGATCTGAGATCTCATATGTCATGAGATATATAGAGGTTATTTATTGGGAAGGATTGAATATGGGTTTTATCAAGAGGGACAATATGATACAGGATGTTAAAAAAAACGCAACCAAAAGAAATCGCTATATCTTGGAGAATACTAATCCAATCGTTTTCATATTTTCAGGAAAGAAAGAAGAGACTGTGTATGTGTAGCTCCTGTTGTTAGTTAGTTGTAAAACATGATGTCTTGCGGTTGCAGTCACCCATGACTGCGTTTTTCATATTTTCCTTGTACAACTGTCTTTTGAACAGGTGTCCAAGGCACCATGTTTTACAAGTAACCATCTACTGGAGCTATACGTACACAGTCTCTTCTTTCTTTCCTCAAAAAATGAACATAATTGAACAAGTAGTTTTCAAGATAGCGATTTCTTTGGGTTACGTTTTTTTTAACACCCTGTACGATATTGTACATAATTCTGATTACATTGTACGTGTACATTGTATTACGAGATACAATGACAATAAGTTGTATGTACAACCTAAGATACAAATACAGTTAATCATATGTACATCTAGATACAAACAGTTATTTACATTAACGGTGAGTTGCATAGACACAAGAACAATTAGTTACATATACGAGTAGATATAATATATATGTATTGTCAAAATCATAACATAATAATAAACATAATAATCTTGCATACCTCCTCCTCTTTTGCAGCTATTGGGATGCTAGCTGTGGGTTTTCCTGCAAATTCCAATTGGAAACTCTCCATGCTTGGCTGACCCTTTGTCTCCTCAGAGACCTGCACAACTACAGAACTACCATTGGGAAGCAAGTAATCTAGATTTGGCCAGTCACCTAGAATAAGTATAAATAGGATTTTTTACTATGTAATATGTGGGAAACATATGGGCAAATGGAAACACTAAAAACTGTGAGGGAAATATGTGGGCATAAAGATTATGTGGAAAATATGTGGCCGGACATAGAAACTATGTGGGAAATATGTGTGGCATTGAAACTATGTGGGAAATACAAGCTTGTAGCGAATTTAGAATACAATAAGTCAGCAAGATCATATCACAAGATCAGATCAGGAGTTACAGTATCATTTCAATCATGATATCATGCATGAGTTCATTACTGTGGGGAACTTATTATTGGAGTGTGATGACCACAATCACAGTAGAGTCTGAAAAAGAAGATGGCTGATGGTCTCTGAAACCATTGCTCATCTATTATGTACAGTATGAGACAAATTCACACTCAAATCAGGTAAGGTAAAGGTAATTTTCTAAATAAGCTGCTAATTACTTATATGTACATGCTACAACATATGATGTAATATATTCATACTACAGTCCCATTTTTTAAGTTGCACATGTATTTGCAATGTGACTTGTGAGGGATTGGTCTCACTAATCAATGATGATGTAATACAGATATGTTGCTAGACTGTTTATTTTGTCAATGTTTATACACAGGGGTTGTTTCTCAGAAATTATAAAAATTGCAGTAATTTAAAATAATAATTGTCCACTCTTCCACAATGAGATCAAATATTGAAAAAAATACAAAATTTTTATCATTAATAGATGTTTTACAAAAATATTTTTTTCTCTATTTTTATGTAAAACTTTCAGCCTATATACACAGTAGCATACTTTGCATTCATGTTGCCATGCAACTGATTACAATGCTAAAAACCTGTCATATACGATAAACAAGTATACTGGGTTTTGATGAGGCCCCAAAATGAGGTAAACATTTCAAAAATCATCTCAGTACACTCATAGCAACATTTAAAAAATATCTTTCATATAAGAAGCATAGGATACAATGACCAATCAAAATGCAACAACAAAGTGCAAAAGTCTCCAAGCCCAATCCATGCTATATGGCTAAATAACAAGCCTGAGTTTTTGTATATTTAAAATTGGTTCTATGTGTTCCTGCAAACAATTGTTACCAGTTAAATGTTGTTGCTTTTCCAGTCAGTCTAACATTTTTTCCAATGCGACTTTGGGTGAATGGTCTCATTACTAAACAATGGATTGCAATGCTTAATCCATTACATATTCACATATTCATCAAATAAACTCTTTGTTAAGGTTAAAAAATATTAAAATTAATAGCAGAATATGTATTCTGGCCAGGTATCTTACCTCTCTGAGAGTTGAATGTGATGTCGAAGACCTTTCTATCTATGGATGTCACAGAAACTGATACAGAATCAGGGCTGATGGTGGTCAATTTATTCAATTCAGTTTCTATCACACTGGCACAGTCATCACTTCCAATATCAACAAATCCTAATCAAAAGTATAAAATGGATTATTATCACCTGAAATCGCTACAACCAATGATTGTATTTGTAAGTGAAACATTGAATTTGAAATACAACTACATGTATATCTGAAAAGAAAAATTCTGCATATGTGTATGGACTTGTATACACATGTTTACCTGTATATATTCCATCCATCCCAAGCCTTATTGCTCCTACAAGAGACTTCACAGTAACAATCTGCACCTCATTAATGGAGGCTTGACTGGCCCAATTCTTTAATTCTACAACCTGCAAATCAATAGAAAAATATAATGAGGCCTAATAGTATAAAAAATATTAATATTTGAAAATGGAGCTTATTTATACTCATAAGGTGTTAGGGAACAACTTGTTATTGGCATAGTACTTTGCCTCAAAAGTTTAAAGTACAATAAAAGTACATTCTGTTTATTTTCTCTACGTTGTTAAGTTAAACTGTATGTTCAAACTATCATTGGTACAACACATTTGATTGGCTTGATCAAATGTGTATGTCAAATATGTGCCATGGGCAAAACATTTTTTTAAATGAAAGTTCCAAAGTATTTAACATGCATGTGCTATCTCTTTAGTCTGAATATTGCCTCCATCACCTATTTTTCTATTCAGCCACCCTCCCCATCTTTGAGATTCCGATATATGATAGACATGTGTTCTTCGTGATAGTTCTAATTAACATGCCATATTTTATCAAATAATACACACTTTTCTCTTTTTTTCACACTTTCTCATCTTTGATGATTTGTACATTGTTCAGTCAAACAGCAATACTTTTTAAACACTACCTCATGATATCCTGATCAGTAATATTCCACCTGAAATTTTAACAAAGGAAATCATGGAATAGAAAAATTAAATAGTTGCACCTGTTGTTCCAGAGCAAAGTCAGCGTGAATCGTTACTTCTTGTAACTCTGAATGAACATCTTTCGATTGGTGACTCATGAATGTTGTCTTGTACATTTTCACAGCAATAGAAACCATCTCACCACCAACACCTTCGTACTGTACAGCCTCCAAGTAATACCTGAAAACATTTCACACTGCGATGATTCTCATTTTTTATTCATTATTTTTTCAGTTTTGTCACTAGTTATTTATTTGTAGCTCTGGGAAACAGAAACAAAGAAAACTTATCATTTATTGTCAGATATCAATGTTATAAATAGATATTATGCATTTGAAAACAAAATTGGGCTAATACTGAGATAATTTTTCTTCCAAGGAATTCCTTTCTCTTGCAGTTTTGAATAGGAGTCCCACCACTAAATATATGCAATCAATTCTTAAATGCCTATCATTTGAATATAATTATATTTCAGAGCAATCCCAATTTTAATGGACAACATGTGAATGAGATATATTTTATTGATTATACATGTATACAACTTTCTTACAAATATATTGTTTCTTAGTAGTATTTGAGTTATTTTCTGAAAAAAAACTGATACACTGATAAAACTGAAAGATGGACATACGGCTTTACAATATCCCTACCAAATTTTGTTTGTTGGGATAACAGATTATATGTTTTTACAGGACAAAATGTTGATCACCTTGTAACACATTACAATTGTTTACGTCTCTGATACCAACCCTGAGCGTGAGTTACTAAAAACAGATGCGATTATAACAATATGTCACCACCAAACAACTATGTAAAATTAATAATAAATTTCAAATAATTTGTTTTGCTTAAGATTTTTTTTGCTATGGTAATAACAGTTGCTAACTGCTAATAGTACATGTTATAAGGATTGGCAGGAGTATAGTAAGGAATTTTGCTTTTTATTTTGACTAAAATGCCTAGCTCATTGTTTTGATATTGGACATGACCAATACCTGTGATGTTATGATTTCATACGAGCTTTTGTCCTTACATAGTTTTAAAACCACGCTAGGTTGATCATCATCAAAATTAATATGTCTCTTAATAGAAAAACACTGAAAAGTATTGAAAATTAATAAATGAATTCATGTATAGAGTGTTACAACTTACTTTTTGCCTGCTTTTAGTGTAAATCTTTCTGATTTTTGGCTTGCATGATTATAATATCTGCGATATCTGTCAGAGAAAGCAATCTCTACCTAAAACCAAAGCAAATACAAACATTTAAAATAACCACACTTTAGCAAATTGCAAATATTTATATAAGGTCAAAGAGACATTATGTATTGCAGATACTTATATTAGTGAAAGTATATGTACTGTTATACTGTCTATAACCATGTTAAGAATTTTATGCTGTAAAACACCATTATATTCACCTTTTGTGATGGATCTTCATTTGGACTCATATACAACCTAGAAGGGTCATCTGATTTCACATAAAACATATACTCTCCATCCACAGTTGGTACAAAATATGCCCGGTTTCTAGAATTGAATCCATTGCGTTTATTTTCAGACCAGTACCCCTCATCAAACCAATCAATACTTGCAGCTAGGCTAGCATTGTAGTTCAAGACTTGAGCCAGATTACCGAACTGAACTAAAGCATGGTTGAAGATCTCCCTGTACATCCCTCTGTTGCCTGAATACAGTGTGAAGTTAGCTGGTTCAGACCCAGTGATGCACACAATTTCCGTATCTGTGACATTCTCCACCATGCATGGTACACCTAATAATGAGATACAAACAAAATGAAAACTTCTACTTATCTAGTCTTTGGAAATTCTATCCCTGAAATGGCTCTGAAACTTTCAAAAATCTCCTTGAAATAGATCAACAGTTTGAGACCTGCAAAACTTTTCCTGACCCTATGGAAAGCCTACCTGATATTTCGGCTAATGCGGGTGCATTTGTTTCATCAAAGTTCCTGCCTGATATTGTAATCTTTGTTCCTCCAGCCAGGCTGCCAGTACTTGGTGTCACTCCAATCACCTCTGTAATACAGAAGAATTTTTGTTAATTTCACTCAGTTTTATACTTTTAGCAGTCAATAGACCCTAAAAATGAGTGTCACCCTGTGTTACGTTTTTTTGTAATAAGTCTTTTAAAGCAAAATTACAAGCATGGTCATCTTTTCGCTCCAACCCTGATGAAGGGTGTTTCTGCTGTATGGCTTATTGTAAAAAGACAATTACGTATCATTTGCTTAATTAGGTTTTAAGTTATAACAAAACACATTAAAAAATCATTAAAATAACTTAACAAATGTTTTGAAAAAAGGATTTTTGAATCAAGTATGTGCATAACTGCTTAAGTCGAGGCCTCAATGAATTACCTTTGCAAGCCTACAAGACAATTCTAAAATGTTAAAACATGGCTAGAAGAGGACTAAGAATGTCCAATAGCCTATTGTCCAATCTTTTTCATTATAAAACCACTATAAATCATCACACTGTAAATTAATGTAATGAAAGCATGGATGAATAAAATACTCTTGATAATAAAAACATGGATGTTACCTGCGTAAGTCTGGAACATGGCTATTTTGTTGTTTGAAGTGACATGAAGTAGATTGGTCTTTGTCCGAGATCTCCCATAATGACTTCCAACTATGATGCTACCATTAATGCTGCCTATATAGGTACCTTCCATCTGACACTTGAGGTGACCCCAATCTGAAGTAGAGACACCATCACCATCTGGGTCATCCAGGAACAGACCATGTCTACAAGAATGAGGTCATGAGACTAAGATTGAAAGGAGAAAACTATCGTATATCATATCATATTGCCCTGTTATGCTGGTTTTCACAATTCTAAGCTATCATTAAGGTAGCTGGTGCAACTATAATTAGTTTATTCATGAAAGTAAAATATCAGTCAGACATTTGGTCTCTTAAAACATGATAAATATAGTATTAAGGTATAAGTGTAAAATGCTGTGGAGAAAGGACCATTAATAAATATTATTCCTTGGGACCTTTATCATTTCCACTCTCCTACTCACAATTCATCCGTTAACTCTCCAGTAACATTATCCCGTTTTCTAAGCTCACATTTCTGACCGCCAAAATAGACCCTTTTGATGTCGGTTGTTTTCCCATTACTGCTCTTCTCATCATTGCTGCCATAGCGATCAGTGAACATGAGAGTCCGCATATCAACAATGGTGCCTAGATGTGAAAAATAACAGTGAACATGAGAGTCCTCATATCAACAATGGTGCCTAGATGTGAAAAATAACAGTGAACATGAGAGTCCTCATATCAACAATGGTGCCTAGATGTGAAAAATAACAGTGAACATGAGAGTCCTCATATCAACAATGGTGCCTAGATGTGAAAAATAACAGTGAACATGAGAGTCCTCATATCAACAATGGTGCCTAGATGTGAAAAATAACAGTGAACATGAGAGTCCTCATATCAACAATGGTGCCTAGATGTGAAAAATAACAGTGAACATGAGAGTTCTCATATCAACAATGGTGCCTAGATGTGAAAAATAACATTATCAGGATAATAATAGAAAAGAAGTGGTCTTCTCAGATTAACACTAATTGTGTATTAATATATCTCCGAGTCAACAAGAAATGAAAACATAACAAAACATGTTCATAACATAACATGTTTACACCACTTTTTATGAGGTTTATATGGAATAAAGCGTCCCATGAACATAATAATGGGTATAAGAGCTTTAAAAAGTTACATAACATTCAGTAATTCCCAATTTATACTACACATATTCAAATTTTTAATAAATAATCAGAAAAATGGCTTCTGAAAACATAAGTTTAGACCTATTTTCTAACAAACTTTATTTCACATACCTGGGGGTCCAGACCTGGGAGTCAGTCTATCAATCAATGGAGTGTGCCATTTGTAAGTTAGGAATCTACAATGGTAACCATTGGGCCGGTTGTTGCATAACTTACTGTTCGGGATCATGACACCATCAATAGCGACTCTGACATAGTAAAATCCATGGGGCATGGCTCTGTAAATTTAAAAAAAGTCATGAATAATGCGTGGATAATTAAAGATATAATATATGGAAAAATTATGTATATTAAAATGGAAATTTTAGTGAAAAAAGGAACAAAGGGTTAACTGGATTTCTCCCTTTTGCCTCCCATTCAATAGCAGTGCCCTCCCAACCTAAAATCCCAGGGACATAGATGCCTACTCACTGTGTATAGCATTGTATCTGTTTCTCATTGCTCCCATCTTTGTGAATTCTACATGGGTATGAGGTCTTCTGGGACACAAATGTAACAGAATTCCCAACATGTTCATTGCCTTTGTCAAAGTTAAACTGGTTCTTGGCAAATCCTGAAATCAGATATATTCAAAATCATCAACTGAATAAGTATGGAGCAGCAGCAATGTCAACTAAACATATAAACATACAATATTCAATTTTATTTGTATACTATAAAAATAAATTAAATTCTTTTATACTATAGTTGGGCCAACAAATATTCCATTGCCTTATGTATTTTTTAATATGCGACTTTTTTATTCATTTTTTATGTCATTTTATATAAATGATTGACAGATATAGACAAAAAAAATATTAGATCAATGCCATGATGCTGTACAAATGAATAAACGCAAGGGGGACACGCCTCTCGAACTCGCAACCTCGTGGTTATGGCGCCCAATCGCCTAGTCTGAATGCGTCGGCGCCCAAGCCCTCTCGGCCAACTCGACAACCCCAAAAAAAGGTTGTTTTGTTAGTCGATCTGACTAGAGGCAGCTGATGTTAACGCTCAGACACACCAGAGGAAGCACCCTAACCTTTTTTCCCCTTTGGCACTTGTGCTTAGATATTCCCTTCACATACACACATTGCTCAACTGTCCTTAAGAATCAGTTTAATTACCTCGTCCAAATATGGTTATTCTGGTCTCTCCATTAAGTCCACCAATGTGAGGAGTCATGTAGTGTACAGCTGCGGCTAAAGATATGAAACAGTGTTAAAATGGTATCCAAGGAGTACTTCAATGGTAAAATTAGGATGGTTAATACAGATTTAAATTAAAAAAATATTGACCAATAGCTCAAAAGATTAAATAAGCTATTGTTTTCCAGAAAGAAAAATTAAAAATGGGAAAACATCAACACATCACTTCCAATTTTTCAATCTTCTAAAACAGCTAGTGGTAATCAGAGTTTTCAATGGTGACCATATGTCATATCTAGTTTGATTATGTGAATATGCAATGACCAAAAAAGGAGAAAAGCCCTCCAACTTTTTCTTAAACAGTATCATATCTGGATGTTGTTTTTTTCTTTCTTTTTTTCCAGTTTAATACATTTAAATATACAGTTCATTGACTGAAAAAGTTAAAAACATTTATGGCAGTTTTTTATAGGAAATATGCAATATAGATATAATAATGAACAAAATGGTTAATCTGGCTATTGATTTCACAGATTTTTGCTTTCAAAATAATGTGCAGCACAATGAAAACTAACTTGGTTTTAGAGGTAGAACATTCTGTGGAAAGCGCCCTTTGACATTGCCTGGACTCTTATACTGGCACACTACTACAGATTTGAACTGGCCATTTGGTGACTGATACTTGACCTCTCCACATCCCAACTGCAGAGTCCCCTTCCAAATCACCTACAAATAAGAACAAATCACCAATTGCTCATTTAATTACTATCTAGCCTGTGATAAATAATGGCAATAAAAAATAATATTAACAAAATATATGTGATGCCAATAATCCGTATGCGAGTAATGTCAATATTCTATAACATATTTTTATCATTTTGAAGTACCAATGAGATTGATCATTTAGTTAGCAGTTGCTGAAATAGAACGAGAGTTAAGTTGCTGAGTGTAAACCAATAGCAGGGGCGGATCTGGGAACCAACAAGGGGGGGGCCCAAATTTCAGGTCAGAGAAAAAAACGTCCGCGCTTGGGCGGAAAAATTTTGAAATTTTGAGGCCCATTTTCTTCAAAATTTGGCCTGAATTTAAAAAATAAGGCCTTAAAAGGCCAAGTAATGACCAAAAAGGCCGACTTTTTGGGGGGCCTTCTTTTTTGGCCCAAAATTTTTTTTGTGACCAATTTTTTTTTCTGGGCCCACCCAAGGGGGGGGGCCCGGGCCCCCAGGCCCCCCCCCCCCTAATCCGCCAGTGAATAGAAAAGTAGAATTTAGAACAAAGGGTAGCATTGAACTAAAGGTAGTCATTCTTGGCTTATGCGTAAACCAGAGCAACACATTATTTTCATAAATTGATGCCAATATGTAATTCAATCACAAATATATTATTAATGCTGTTGATTTTAATGAAATTAATGCTAATGTTGAAACTTTTAATCATTAAATAAAATGGTAAAACAAGAACACAAGCATTCTGATTATAAAAGTTGACAACAACAATATTGCTAATGATAATATTTCTGGTGATACCAATGATGCTAACTGAAGATGCAAACAGTATTATGAGCTATATACTGTAAATACAGTACCTGTGTAAAATGTCCAGTTTCAGACTTGAAGCCATGGTTATCATAGTCATAAAGGCTGATCTCATCATACCTGACAAGAAAAGGAGAGGTTTAATTATTTCATAATGGGTATGAACGCATATGGTTTTACTGATGCTTGTATTATCAGTATTGAGTGATCACATGTCCATGGCAAAATGGTTTTGTAACCACTTTGTAGTGTACAAATAATGCATTATTATAAAATCATGTAAAAACGATTCAATTTGTAATTGTGAAAATGATTTAACATACCATGCCTGAGTGGCAGCTCTGCAATGATCACCAGAGATACTCCGAGAACTTGACACAATGTAGAGATTCTCTCCAAAACCTGACACTCCCGAATGTTCAAATGCATCCCGATCTGCAAGGTCTTGAGCATAAGCTTGGGCCTGTGTTGCTATAGTGTCATCATAGGACATGAGGGGAGTGTCTGTGTGCTCCACACGTAACTCATTGTGACGACTTAAGCAATCATCTTTAAAAACTGAAATGAAATATATGTTATGTTCAGGTTTTTATGATATAATACATGTACTTTTTCATAAAATAGAAATATCCTCAGCAAAATGATGTGTTTGTTCTGCAGAATAATTAAAATATTGGGAAAACAAATTAATACTTATGAAAAACAATGTAAAGATTGTGAAAGACAATGTAAATATTGGAAAAAAACAATGGAAAAAGCAATTACAAACACATATAACATATATAATCATCTGAAATATGCCAAGAAGAAAATAATAATGATGAAACCAAAAAAACAACAGTATTTACCTTAATAAGATAAATATTTATCAGAGTTTTGCGTAGGTGACATGGGCAATGTTTCTTGTTAGCTCATTTTTTATCTTATTTTGATGAGACTTAATAAGCAAACTTGAAAACAAACTAATAAAATTGTTGTTTATGCTATTTTATATGTGGTTTGATTGACCAAACAAATTATGTAGTAATAATTATCAATATTTCCAATGACTTCATGCAACATCAATAATTCACTTGATATTGTTCAATATATTACTGATTGTGTAATTAGACAATCTTCAAGTAATTTCTATATATGTAATATGTAATACTGAGTGCACTGGGGTTATTATCACAAAGAGTACCATATTTGGCTCACAGGGTGATGTATGTTTGATTAAAGTCATTTTAAACTTTTCAAGATTTCTTTATCAAATAAGATTCAATGAAAATTGTTTTTTGCAATTGATTTAACATTATTTTAACATTTTAACATTATTCTTTGAAATTAAAAGAAAAAATTATATAAAAAATTCAATGTTTTTTAAATGATAAATGGTATAGAACATATACAGTATATATATATAATAAAAAGAAAAAGAATTGTTAAATAAATAAGCATTACCTGAATAAACCCCTACCAGAAGTGGAATCAAAACAAAGGTAAAATACAAAAAATTAATCATGAATATATGAATGAAATGGTTAAGTTTAACTACTTGTATTCTCCTGCATACATATTTTTAATAGTTCAACTTATTTTCTTGTCAAAATAGATATTTATATTCAAAATTTAAATATGTGTCAGGCACATCAAAATTATCTGAATGAAGGAGTATACAAATGTCAGTTTTTAAAAGGTTAACTAAGAATTATGTTAAGTGATTCTAATTTTGCTTACATCAAATATTTAATTTGCAACCTATTTTATTCATAAATTATCCAGTTATATTTAACTTGCATGCGATCTAGAAAAATCTATATGTGCAGACATAACCTTAAAATTATGGTATGTAAATAAAAGTGCCACACTAACTTCTGAAATGAATAGGTACATGTAGTACATATTAAGACATATTAAGTACCCAAAAGAGCAATGAAAAATATTATCTACAATAAAAATGACCTTATTAAAACACATATTATATAAGCATAAATGTGAGAATAAGCATAAACTGACATTTAAAATGAGCAAACCATTGGGGACGGTAGCTATGATGATAATACGAGGGTTGATCCAAAAGTTCTGAACGGTGTGCTCTAAAAATCTTAATACTTTATGAATATTGTTCATATTTGGCCACAGCCACCCCATATATAGTAGTTTCATTTTGTGTAAAAATAAGCAATAAATTTGACCAGCAATATAGGTGTCTGGTTACCATAGCAACATGACAACAGGGTATTATCATCATAGCAGTGTGGGCTTGTTGGGCCAGAAAGCAGGTTGGCGGAAAAAATGTTCTTAACATGGAAATGTGCAAAAATTTGAAATAATTCTGGTTTTCCAGGAATGGTGATTGACAAGATTTATTCAAAAACTTAAAAAATGTACCTTTTTTTAGGTACGACAAAAATTTAGAATAGGGACCCCATGTCAACATTCTTTTTCAAAAGAGGATTTTCTTTTTCTGATTTTTATTTCATGATGTGATAATTCAACAAGGGCTCTAAAACTTCAAAAGTAGAATGTTATTGAAAGTCTAGTTTTGAAAATATCAATTTTAGATGACCAAAATTATGCTGAGAACAATGGATAGCATGAGTTTTTCCTTTGGGAAAATAACATGGGATATGTCTTTTTTTCAATACCCATCCCCCTTTCAGAAGTTCTTAATAAAGTAAAGATGAGAAATTTTTGATCTATTATTTTCATAAAAACTTAACCACAGTATTTATGGCCAGAAAGTACTCATTGTGAAAGATATTACTGTCCAAAATCACTTGCCTTGTAAAGCGTGTCACATTTGGATTCGTCATATCAAATCCCATATAAATGCTTGCCATTCTTGAATTCATAATATTAAATCCCATGGAAACATATTCTTGAATTTTGATATGACAAATACAATATAGGACTAAATAAAACCATTAGTCGAACAATGTAAACAACAATCAAATAAGTTAATAATGTTACATGTATTCTTTCCATAAAAATGCTAAAAAAGTAAAGATGAACGCTACACTATATGAATGTAGGATTGTAAAGCAAATTATTGCACTAGTTACCCAAAAATCTGTTTGGTCATGAAAATTAAGTAAAAACTTAAAAACCTGATGTCTCAAAATTTTTTATGTAATTTTACATTTTGAGATGTCCTTTTCATTATCCGAACAATCAGATTGTAAATGTACAGCTGATGCATCAAACTGATATTCCTATATTTGGTCACAATTTTATACAATGACAATAATGACGTGTATTTTTCTATTTTTTTCTTGTAGCAATTAGCTATTTAGTTTTTGTATATTACTATAGTGACCAATACAATGCGTCATTGCTATGAGAACAACAAAGAGTCAAGAAAGATCAAAGAACCTGCTACCATAAAAAAGCTCAAAAGCAACATATTCCCTCATTTAGAGATTTTGGGAGTTACACAGTGCAATCTCAGTTTTCCATAATTAACAACTAAAAAACACAAGCAGTACCTGATTCTGTTGTTGAAATACTGATCAGCAGCAGGAGTGTTAAATAGAATATATCCATTATCAGGCTGATTTTAACTTTATCTATCTTCACATTTGATGCTTAAAATGTACATGTATTCTTATAAACACATCATCCACCTTGTATTACAATCAAATTAAAGACAACTCATTAAAATTCAGGTATTTGAAAATTCTTTCTATCCATTTAAGTTGAGCTTCTAATTTCTAATGCCATTTAATGCCAAGTGCATGTTCTAAAGTATTATTATATTGTTACATAAACTGCATCAGAATATATTATTAGAAATTAATCAAGTCTCATTATTAATGTATTAGCATAAGCCTAAGACAATTAGTAAACTGCAATAACTATATTGTTCAAACTAAGTTTGTTGGTGTGTTATACTGTAACTGTGGTAACCTTGATTATGCAACAGTATTATCAAAAGTATTAGTTGGGTTGTTCAAAAAGTTTTGCACAAAAATATCTGTTCATATGACAATCAGTTAACATATACCAAACTTGCTGAGCAATGAAAATATTACAAAATGCTCTCGGATATAAAATAATGAATAGAAGTTTTGGTTCATCCATTACTGAGAAGATACTTGTCAAAAAGTAGCACACTTTTTTGGAACACCCAATACACATGATCCAGACTTAAACCACATGTGGATTAAGTCTTTGTGATTGGCCGACACTGGTCAGCCAAGTCAGGTGAGAGATGAATTATCATCTTGGCGCCATTCCTTTCCGAAACACTAAATAACTAATCCAATGATTAGCGGTGGACATTTTCAAAATTGCCTTTTGAGCAGAACTTATACATATAAAGTATAAACGATATTGTGCCAACAATATATGAGTTGTTGCCCAGATGGACAGACAGATGAATGGGCAGATGTATGGATGGACAGATGGGTGTATATTCTGATGGAGCAGTTCTCTATTAATCCCCCTGAATTTTTTCGCTGGGGATAAGTATTCAAAACTATATGAGCCAGGCCACGAGAAAAGTCTTATCACAGATTTTTTCAATGTTTTGATTAAAAGAGACATTTCAAATGAGCCATGGCTTGTGTCTTTATAATTTTTCCTCGCAGATATAGACCAAAAAGACGGATTTGAATTTAGCACATTTTCCTCTTAATCTTGGGCACATTTTTGGCTCTGTAGCACAATCTAAATTTTGTGATAAGACCGGTTTTCCTATAGCGAGGCTCATATAGTTTGCATAGTTGGTTAAATATGGCTAAAAAACATCTGGTCAGGTGAGTGTACTGAAAGTCATTCATTGATCATTTGCTAACAAACATAGTGCTAAGTAGAGTAATAACTTATGAGTCATTATTAGAAACATGTGTACTTGTTGCACATGTTGAAGTATAATTCCTCAAAATCATCAGATATGAGAAAACGTATGCTTTTCTCCGGTTTATTCGAGTTTCATATAATTAATTTTGAAGAAAATAATTCAACCAGTCAGAACAATCACAAAATTAGCACATAAAGTGGCAGAGTTGGGACTTGATAAGTAGATAGGGGAATATGTGATACGACTCAAGATGCAAAAAAGCCCAGGGGGGTCTTGATTGTGCTTTCCTATCGCCACATCCCTCTTTAACATAACATACTTTAATTCATCATTCCTTCAATAACTATACCTCAAGGCATTGACCTTTTGAGAAATGTGGATACATGTTTTATATTATGTTAAAGAACACATTGGTTGCTTCAAAATGGTTCAAAATGCATTAATCAGTAGGGTTACCGTTACCCAATATATGTGCCTTTGATATAATGCATTTTCAAACAAGACTCTTTTGTAAAATGCATTGACAAACAATGCACTCTGATAATCAATGTATTTCCAAAGAATGAATTTTGGTAAAATGCATTTCCAAGCATTGCACTTTGATATAATGTCTTTCCAAACAATGCACTCTGATAATTAATACACTTCCAAATAATGGATTTTGATAAAATGCATTTCCAAGCATTGCGCTTTGATATAATGCATTTCCAAACAATGCACTCTGATAATTAATACACTTCCAAATAATAGATTTTGATAAAATGCATTTCCAAGCATTGCGCTTTGATATAATGCATTTCCAAACAATGCACTCTGATAATTAATACACTTCCAAAGAATGGATTTTGATAAAATGCATTTCCAAACAATGCACTCTGATAATTAATACATTTCCAAAGAATGAATTTTTGGTAAAATGCATCTCCAAAGAATGCGCTTTGGTATAATGCATTTTGATATAATGCATTTCCAAACAATTATCTTTGATATAATGCACCTCCAAACAATGCACTCTGATAATTAATACATTTCCAAAGAATGGATTTTGGTAACAACTAAATGCACTTTGGTATAATATGCATTTCTTAACAACGAGTTGTAAAATAAGATTGACCAACTTGAAGAGTCAAACAATTTATTCTATAGATGACTCTGAAGGCATCATTAGCATACATATTTAGTAAAAGTCTGATCTCATATTGGTTGATTCTAGCAGTTAAAATTACAGATATTGATAAATTAAAACATAAAATGAGCACTAAAATCAATATGAGTGATGTCTCTCAGTCTACTACTTTGACAGGATGTATGATTGTATTTGAATGTCTGCTTAGCCCAGGCTGGCCAGCTATTTTTCGCATTATTCCTGGCTTTGTCCCAGACTGTACAGGATGCTTTGATGCCACTGCATGAGCGATGGTTTGCTGGAATTAAACAATTACTTCAAATCAAAATAATGTCTCCATATTCATCAACGTACACTCTGGTCTTCGTCCTGATCAATGCAGTGATCCTGGGTGAGATATTAGTGCTCTTCAAAGTACATAAATATACATAAAACTCTTGTCCAATCAGATTACTAGTTAAGCATGTATCAAACTTAGATAGCAAAGAAAAAATATTTTTTATTACTGTATCAAATAATATTCGATCTGCGAAAGATTTCACAATCTATGGGTTAATGAAGTAAATTCATGCTTTTGTGTTTCTTTACCTTGACAACAGGTTGATGACGCTCTACTAAGATTGAACTCATAGGTGGCGCTAGACCCATAGGTACATTGGCTCCACCTATATGCTGAGATGAACGTGTGACATCACCTCGTGCTGAGAGGGTAGCTGTGAAGGGTTTGGGTTTACTGCTAGTCGGTCGTACAGATGACTGGAATGAGAACAAATAATTAATTAATTAAATAATTTCAGTAGTAGTTTTTCATTTCAATACATAACATCCTGTTTATGCTATGTTCACAAAATTGCATTGTTCTGCTTTTTTGCTGTACTTATTATTGGTTTTAACTATTTTTTGCAATAAATTGATTTCCTATCCAATGTTTATCAGGAGAGCTGTTTGTCTTGTGCCTGTTACAATTCAACTTTTGCTGATGAGTTAGGATGATAAACACACCAAATCTGAGTTTGTAATTTACATTTTCAAAAGATTTCCCATCACATAAATGAAAATAGGATTAAAATTTATATGTAGAAATAGTCTAAAAAATGGGTTTATGACGAGTGAACTTTATCAAATATTAATATCACTACCATTGTTTTTGAAGCAGTAGTTGTTGAGGTAAAGTTCTGTGAACTTGTGGTACCGCCACGACTTGTCACTACTCTGTGTGAGGCGGGAATGCGAGTAGTTGAGTGTGAGTAGACCGGCTCTTGGCTCAATGTGACTGGACCTTCCCGTATTGAAGATATGGGTGGCATTTGTGGCGGTGCTTGGTTTTCTACATCACTGCTATTGCCGCTGCTTCCTTGTCCATCATGGACTTGTATGTTATCTTGTGTACCTGTTGAATAGAATTACTGTTAATAAGAAAACACATAAAGTGGTTGAGCTTGGTGGAGTTTGAATAAACTCTTGCCTCAAATACAAAAGAACTTTTTGTTGATAATTGCATTTGTACAGATGCGTTTTGTAGAGAAGTTCTACTTATTTGAAATTGGGGCAAGGCTAGAAAAAGACCAGTGCTGTCTGGACTGTCTATGGTCCTTGCCAAGTTAAAGGGGCAAGTTCCTCAACTTAAAATGAGAACTGCATGTATTACAGGAGATATTGCTCACCTTTATGGAGGGTGAACAAAGTACAATACAAAATAGGTTAAGGTGAGCGCCAAACACAAAATAACTTCCTATGGATTGTTGTCTCAAATGTTTCCCACTAAAAATTCTGAAAGGCTAGATGTGCTTTGCAATAATGGAATCAATGAAATAATCAGTTTAGCTTATTGTCTACAGAATCTATATAGGGGTTGTAGCATCCTTCAAATGTTTAAAGCACATCCAGGAGGATCAGGATTAACAGGCTATCCAATGGGGAGAAAGTGTTGTCAAACTGTTAAAGGGGAGTGTATATACAAACCTTGATCTTCCCCATGAAACATTGTCATTGCTTCCAAGTTCAAGGCACACACGCCACGCATGAATGCTTTTTTCATCATTTCTTCATATTTCTCACGTTCCTTATGTAGCTTGGACACCTCCACCCTGGCAGCATCAAGGGCTTCGTTGAGCTACAGGATAGGAATTTCAAAATAACATGATTATTTATTAATACATAGGGGGTAATGTTGAAATGAAACTTACGTAAGTATTTTTTACATGGTTATGAATTATAGTGAACCAATGTTATTACTATTGACATCCTATTAATATCTACTCATTAACAACTCAATTATTATGAAGAGCAGAAACGATTTCCAGATTTTAAATCTAACAGTACAGTGATAATAATATGCTTTTTTCATCATTTCTTCATATTTCTCACGTTCCTTATGCTACAGGATAGGAATTTCAAAATAACATGATTATTTATTAATACATAGGGGGTAATGTTGAAATGAAACTTATGTTAGTATTTTTTATATGGGCATGAATTATAGTGAACCAATATTAGTAATATTGATATCATATTAATATCTACTCATTAACAACTAAATTATTATGAAGAGCAGAAACAATTTCCAGATTTTAAATCTAACAGTACAATTGTTACATACGGATGCAATCTTAGCCTCATAGTCATTTGTCATGTTCATGCAAACTTCCTGTGCTTTTGATTGGCAGGCTTTCTCGACCCGTTGACGCCATTTTGCCTCTACAACAGCATGCCAAGAATCCCAAACCTTCTGTTTCAAGCCACGCTGATAATGCTTCACAGCAAGATTTGAAGCAAAGTGCTGAAAATAACAATTAATAAACTTAAATAAAAAAGGCATGACTCAATGAAATGTTGGTAGATTTGTTGAACAAGTTCATGTATACAAGCATTTTATCCAAATTGCCAGATTGACATATAAGCCTAGTAGTGTCAACCAAAAAATTATAAAGACATTCTCAAAGGTTCTGAAGACATTCCATAAAGGTTTTGTCTCATGTTGCAGAACTCCTGTTTTTAATACTTTGAAACAGTAATATAGACAATCCTTAATTAATTTTTACAAATTTAGTAAAATACCTTGGAGTTTTATTAAGTTATAGCAAATTAAACACTAACAGGGGTCCTTCTATAATAAAGATCCTAACAAAAAAGGAGAGTTTGATACCCACAAATTTAAAGAATCTCTATTTGCATTGCAAATGTTTTTCAAAAATGTCACCACTGTTATTATGCAGACAGCAAAATATGGTCTGAGATGATCTTCAACTTCAACTATTGTTTTTGATTTTCATCACCAGACAAATGTGATCGTGATAATTTAAAGGAAGGTCATATTGTTTTTGTTTTTCGTCACCAGAAAAAATGTGATAATAACCAGTAGGAATGTCATAGAGAAAAGAAAATCTAAAAATAGCGTTTATTATCTAAATAAATATAAATTATATAATATATTGAATAATATATATTATATAAATTATATATTATATAATATATATTATATAAATAAATAAATAAACTAAAATGGTTGTCAGATGTTGAAACTATCTAATCTGATAGTTTCAACATCTGACAACCTTTCATGTAAGGCTATTAATGATATATTTTATGTGAAATGTCTATGCTGTGTTGAGACCTCTTTGAAAAAATATTCTTCAATAATTCTTGAAAATAGCCCCTTGCTACAATGGTCCATAACTTCGAAAAACTCCAACAGGAATCAGTAGAGCACTATCAATTCTAAAGGCTCCAAGTTATAAAAATTATGATTTTTCAACAGGAGATATTTCTGGTTTTTCTTGGGATTTTGTTTGTACTATGCCATACCAGGGATGAGTCCAATAAATCACCCACTATTCATTGTCATATGCTTATATTGTTAAATATTAACAAAAGTCCATCTTCTAAAGTACATCCATCATAAAAGTACCATGTAAATAAGTCAGAACTTGGAATTACGACACAATTGTCCTTCGACAATTTGCTAAAGAGGACAGTCAATTTGACATATGGTAGCAACTTTCACATAAGTCATTTAACATTTCATACCTCAGTAACAGAGCAATTTCACTTTTGCCAGCTTTTGACATCTTATTACATACACATACAACAGATGATACTCATTTTAGTGAAATTAGACGGCAGAGATCATTTCCCTACATTTTAATACAATTTTTGTGTAAATTGGATTAAAATAGTTCAAATAAGAGTAATTTTAGTGAAAAATTTTGTGACCGATTTTCTCGTCGCTCTGGGTTTCAAAGTCATTTCTTAGGTGATGAGAACTCCAGTCAAGAGGTTAATATATCTCATATCTTAGAAGCATAGGGGTTCAATTGTAAACTTTCTCTTGAAAAAATAAATCTTCCAGATTTGTGGAATTGTCGGTTGTATCTTTAAGCAAACAGATCTTAGGTAATTGTTAATTGCTTGTAAATCAAAAATAGGCAGATTAACTCATTAGGTCAGTGATTGGGTTTGAAGTGATACTTTGAAGCTACTGGAATACACAGCAGGTATTATTCATATTCAAATTAGTTTGCCACCAAAATGCATTCAACCTGGTAGCTGCTAGCCAAAAATTGCATTCGCAAATACAAGCTTAGTAAGGTGCTAACTGCATGGTCATCAAACTAATTTTAGAGGTTGGGTTTCTCAAAGTTAAGAACAGATTCAAATGAGGTTGTGTTTTAGGTAAAGGAAAGAAGTTATTTGGATTTTGATGCTTAAAAATAACAACATCTTCCAGTTGTCTGAATGTAAATGGTAAATGTAAGGTTTATTAATGAGCATGTAAATATGTTATTTGATTGGTATTTAGACACGGTTGAATGTCTAATAATGAAACACAATAAGGCATTTGATTGGCAGAGAATGTTTGGTCATTGTTTAATTTGCATCATGTTATCTTCATGATCTTGTTGAATTGCTACGATTCATTAATGTAAAGAGTACATGCTATTTTTGTTAATATCCCTAAACATATTCATTTTCACTATATACTAGAACAATTGATGTGTTCAGCATTTATTTTATGTGCTAATTAGAACAACTTCAATAATTACAATACACAAAATATCCTTCCTAATAAGTACAAGAGAACAATTATGTACATTTGATGCTTTTATACTCAGTAAAAAAACTAGAAGTTTATTCAAACATAAGTATGCTTTTTCTGAGTCTCTCATCCAATTAGATTGCAGCCTATTAGCTTTTCTCTAATTCTCAATAGAAGAATGACTATTCATTCTGACTAAAAACTGAAATATATATTATTATTATCAGCTTAAAAAAATCTGCACACAGTAATCTGCATTGTGTTGAGACATCGCATTGTGTTGTGACATCACATTGTATTGTGACATCACATTGTGTTGTGACATCACATCGATGGAAAATGGTTCTATTACACGGACCTATATCCTCATTCTTTGAACAAAGTTTATCTTTGCTTTTATGTTTGCATCATAGTTTATAATGTCAGGCCATTCAATATGGAAAAATTCCACACTCGTTGGACAGAATGACAGTGCAAATGCACTCACCTTCGATTCATGCTTTACATGATATTATATTTAAATCATGCTGTATTTCACCATCAATGGCCTGCCATTATTTATTTCTATTGAAATAAGGGGATAAGCCAATTAATGAAGTTTTTCATTGTTGTGACTTGATCCGACCATAACCAAAGTCTTCATAATTGAGATAGTCCATAGCAATATCCTGCTTCGTAGTGACTGGAATGGGTAAATGTTTCACTTTTTCTGAATAGTTCTTGCCCAAAGTCTTCCTCACACTGTAGCAACAAGAAGCATAGAGTGCTGAAGGGGATGTTATTTGTGACCTTAACATGGTCAACATCTCTTTGAAGCCAGACTTCTGTAACATGGCCTCTGGTGGGTCTTGTAGCACCAGGAACTCTTCCTGCATCAGTTGGGCTCCACACATCAACAACAAACGTACCATCTTCTCCTCAAACTTCACCAGAGCTGCCAGATATAACGGTGAATGTCCGCCCTCTTGTTTGATGTTGACATCAACTCCTAGCTCAATAAGCTTCTTGGCCATTGAGATGTTATTTCTATTTACAGCTATGTGCAGTGGTGTGAAATTCTTCTTGTTCACAAAATCGAGCTTGATGTTATTTTCAATAAGCATGTTGGCTATTTCAGTATGGCCGCAATCTATAGTGACATGAATGGCAGAATCAAGGTCCTTATTACGTACATTGATATCTGAGCCATAACTAATGAGAAGGCATACGATATTGAAGTGTCCATAGCAAGAACTTGCCAACATAGCAGTCCAGCCATCTTTATCTTTGATATTCACATCAGCACCATTTTGAATGAGGAATGAGCAGACATCCGCCAGACCAAGACATGCCGCAGAATGTAAAGGTGTGAAACCATCTTGCTGGGCAATGTTCACTGAAGCCCCATTTCGGATTAGAAGTTTTGCGACAGAATTGTGGCCATAAGTCGCTGCCCAATGGAGTGGGGTCCTGTTATCCTGGTCACAAAGATTAATATCTGCTCCATGTTTGATCAACTTCTGTACCAATTCATAAAACCCAGATGAACACGCTAAATGGAGGGCAGGACGGCACCACATCGGATCCGATAAATCTGATTGGTTCACATCGCAGTTATGCTTCAAAAGTACATCTACGATTTCATGAAGATTTTCCTGTACTGCAACACAGAGTGGATTGTGAAGATGGTACACACTGTTAGGATTTGTACCACTTGTGAGTATACGATCAACTCTATCAGGGTCATCACTTGATATGGCATTAAATAGACTTATCTTCATGAAGACCTCCTCCAATCTCTCTGTCTCGGTCTGATCACTCTTTAGATCCATCCCAGCCATATTAAAAATGTGTTTTTGTAAAAACGATTCTCTAAAAATTCACTGTGCTCCAACACAAAAAAAAATTGATATTGGATTATTTTTTATGTCTTAGCGTATACTCATCTCACGGATGGAACATGTAAGAATGAGCCTCAAGATATTCTCAGAATCTATATATAAGCGTATATGTTTGTATTATTGAAGCTGAACACTGATTGGTTGCGAGTCTATATCACTGTAAATGTGCATGTTGCGATATTTAGGATTTTAAAATGATCTAGCCATATTTGAGCAATTTAGCTAATTATCACCTTTTGACTTAAACATCATTCAGGACATCGATAATGGCAATTTCCTGCGTCATTTAAATAAACTTTTTTGACTTCATGTAATGAAATAAATATGACGAATATGTTATACAATAAGGTGTATCAAATGTGATTCAAGTATATTATCTTTTAGTACATGTATATGCTAATACTAGAAAATGGCAACTTCATGGAGTAGCAAATCCCAAGTGTTCAAAATATTTATATGTCACAGTATAATATTTACTCTTGATTTGCAGATAATATGATAAGACAGACATTGGATATATATCATAATTTCTACCAATTTAAGCATTTATGTGGCCATTTAGGAGGATTAAAGGTACAAATCATTAACAATATAATATTTTTGATCTAAATGTAGTATACAGGGTGTTCCAAAATCTACTCTAAATTGTCTTTCATTTGAGTATAATAAACCTATACTTCAGAAAAATCTCAAAATTGGCTAAAATTCCTGTTTTCTCCATCCCTCTCCCCCCACACGCAGTACCTAGGGGGTGTGCCAAAAGCATGGAATATATGTCAAATAGATGTATTTTATGGATGCACTAACAAAATTTCAAACAGTAAAACTCATTACTTTGGTGACATCTACACCATGTAGGTAGATTAAAAATTTGTTTTTATTACCAATGTCATATCCATTTTATATTAGAGAGATTTCGCACATAAGTGAAAGTACAACTTATACATATACGTATAATTTAAAGGGTCATGTCGAACTATTATATTTACTAAAGTCAATTTCAAATTGTACTTCATGGAACATAACTATTCCCGATATAGAAAAGCTCCATCAACTAGAGACTGTGAATGCACTGTCATCTGCACGTGTAGATTATGCACATTATAATTAAATGCTTGCTTCTGTGTCGTAGTAGTTGTAGTGTATTATAAACACGATCCTTTAAAGTGAGACATGGTCCTTTAAAGTGAGTCATTACATAAACAAGTTGATTATTTCAAAGTTTTCATGATCAGTATAAGTTCAATGAACTTACAAAACGGTATATATACGAGATGATAAACGTATACTGTTGGATCTCCGTATAAAGCTTTACCTGCATGTGTGTGGAACAATTGACCGCAAGCATTTTTTGAAAATAATTGGCTGAGTAGGAACAGTATCCAATCAAATACTTTAACCATCAATTTGAAACACCAATCAAACCAGTAGGTTCTAGCAATTCCTGGAAACGACCCATTCAGTAGCTCAACAAATGACATACAGGGTGTTTCATAATGAGTATCTCCAAAAAGTAAATTTGAGAAGAGATGGGTCTATAACATATGTACTATATATGAGCCTTTTTTATTCTAGACAAACACATTTGGATCAACTAAACATGCTACAATTCAAGAAAGTACAAATGGCATCCCTTTGACCTTTATTTATTACAGTCTGAGAAGATCTTTCCTGACGAAAATCCCACATTATGAAACACCTTGTACGTTTGCTTATAAGTATAAGTATACGTTATAAGTTGTACTTTCACGCCGTGCGAAATCTCTCTAATAATTACAGACTTTAACTCATATAATATTAAAGTCACATTTGGTACGTTTTAAATCCAGTATTATATAAATTTAATAGGTTCTAGCTATATTTATGTATTTATTTTTTTATTCATTTTTTTATTTCAAAGAAAAAGCATGTTAAAGCAATTGCAAAAAACAATTACAGTACAGTTACATGGTAAACATACATTTTACAATTTTACAATACAATATTGGTTAAACATTAGTCCTTAAGAGACGTTATACCATTGGCATTTTTTTATTTAAAGGAAAAAATCGTCAGTATCATTTGTTTAATTTTAATTTTGCTTCCATGATTTTCCACTTTTAGCCTCTGCCAACCCGTTTGTCCATAATAAAATATTCCTTCACATTACTTATAAAACCTTTTAAGTGTTGGTTTTAGCATAGAATATTTGCACAAATAAACATACCTTTTAAAAATACATAGCATATTATTTAGGATGATTGTCTTTTCATTTATACTCTCAGGTCCTATCAATACATTTTGTTTAGTACATAGCAATGTGAGCTCTTAAGGGAGCCATTGTTTAAAGTCATCTAATAAGGCACTTACAATAGTACATTCATACAGAAGATGGCAAATCGTTTCAGGATTTGCTTTACAAAAAGTGCAAATGTTTGACTCTACAAGTCCACACATTTTTAGGTATGTATTAGTTGCTAAAAATCTATGAAGGACTTTGTAAGTGAAGGATGATAACTTAGGTTCATAGTTTCTCAGTTTGATAAGTTTATTTATCTTCTTCCAATCATTTTGATTGAGTGACAAATTTAGATCTTTATTCCATCCTTCTATAACTATAGAAATGTGAAATTGAAGGAACTAAATTAATTTAAGTCAATAGATAAATGTAGCATTGTGTAAATAATACTTTTTATTACTCTGTCCTTTGTAATGTAAATATGTTGTAAAAAAGAAAGTATTGTCACCAAATTGGTGGTTGAATAAATATACAGGCTTGTGACTCAGAGCATTGGTGGATTTAATCATTAACATCTTTAATTCTGCTCAAAAGACATCGTAATAGAGAAAAACTTCAAAATACAGTCAGGCCTGGTAAAAAAATGCAAACGCAATAAAACCAAATAACTTCCTAACCATAGTGTTTTGGCGCTTCAAATTTAGCACAAATTATCTCTCTATTCAATGTGTGATAAGTCTGTAGAGTTTCATCAAAATCACTCCAGGGACTTTATAATCATCTTAGAAATGCCTTCATCGTCAAAATGCCTTCATCGTCGAAATGCTGTTTGCCTGAACCAGGATGTATGACTGCATTTTGAATAATTTCTCTAGTACAAATGTCTTTTGAGAAATGCGACTAACTTTCAACTTTTCAACTTTGACAAGACCAATGCAGCATGTTAAGCACATTACATAATTGCACTTACCTCTCTCAGCTGTGCATGATGTTTGATCTTCCATTCTGAGAAAGTTCTTGCAACTTGGAATTTTTCTTGTTGACGCTGCATGGCACGTGTTAGGTTTGATATAACATCATCCTTTCTCTGCATTGACTGTTCGTATGTGTGCAGAAGTTCTTTCAAATTTCCAATGTCATCTTGTAATCGACTCACCTCCGCTGCATGCCTGTTAAAACAATACATACCAGTATATCTAAAGTAAATCTCAGAAGTTTAAAGATAAATATTATATGTTAAACCATATGCCATGTATTATATATTATTTTAAAGATAAATCATTTCCTAACAATATGATACCAACAGATTAAAAAAAAGTTTTTTTCTTGTGGAGTAATAGGCTGAAATTAACACAAGGGGTGTCATGAGCATCCAAAAACAAAAATTCCCAAACTGACTTTCTTGTCTTTTTTTCATAAACAGGGTGAAACTGTGACCAAATGCCGTAATATGATAAGGTGACCTTATGTCAAGGTCAACTTTTATGGATCAAGGTCATCTCAAGCTCAAACATCAATATTTAATTATTTAATTACACCCCTTGGAGACTGCTATGACTCTTGGCCCATGATTAAGGTGACATGAGGTCAAAGTTACATTTTGTGGTTACATCAAGTTTGGATTACTCTGTTCCCCTCAAACGGATAGATGCTAGTGTATATTAATGCAGTCACAAAAAACATAAATTGCTAAAAATAAATTGACTCGTGTACATAGTATAATAAATATCAACCACAGATAATCTCAATTTAGAGAATTTCTCCAAGACCTGAAGGACAAAATACATTATGATTATGAATAATAATTTTTACTTATTATCAAAAATACATGTATATACAGATACTAATCGTGCCATCACCTTGATTCATCCATGCCGGTATTATACCTTGTCGAGTATTTTTTCTGTCAATTGACAATGTAATGGACTTGCATTGAATGTGTAATGCACTACTTTGGATTGACATTTCAAAAAGACAAATCATTGAGTTTCAATGTGCTCTAGGAGATCACATCCTGTGTGGTTCCCTATTGTTCCTATGCCATTGTTAGTAAATGCATATAATGAAGTGAGAAAGCATGACTGCTTTGAAGCAGCAATTTGTTCTCAATAGAGTGATGATAGTGCAATATAGGCACTGAACCCCACAACACCATTTATACCACTTTATTAGTAATCTTTAGATGTCATATACACAGAGTGAGAGAAAAATCAAGAGAAAATATTTCATACCTTTCCCTCTCTTTTAAGATGGACTTTTTATGTTGATCAATTAATTTCAGCTTAGATTGGCTGAACTCTGCCTAAAATGAACAAAACATATTTTTTAATTTTTTATTTCAGGATATTTATCATTAATGGAGGCGGTATAGGTATAAGGAGCCCAAAAATGCAACAAACATGTACCATTTATATTTTGACAAACCTCACACTTTCTAAAATACAAAAGTTACTTTTATTTTGAGTGTATCATTTGCAATATATGTTGAAGGTTGTATCACCAATTGCTAACATAGTTGTCAATCATGTTTAATGGAGTGCTCAGCCACTGTGGTTATGCAACAAATATCTGTTCAATGTGTTCAATATTCCCACTGCAGTATAAAAGCAAGTGGGCGCAGCACCCGGCTGAGATTTTAAAAACAGGCTTTGCACTCGCCTCAAAATCCATTTGCAGCCACTTGAATGATGAGAAGTAGGCAAATTTTGACCAATTTCCGTCAGAATTGTGAAAATGAGAATTTTGCATCCACTTGAGAAATTCCTGTGTAGAACGCTGCACTGAGTTTCTTTTTAACTCAAATTGCAGTGAGCAATCTCTACATACAATAATAAATATGTTTTGCAACTTACAAGTACATTTCGTTTAAGATCATAACACCACTGATCTAACATGCCTTCCATCCTGACAACATCACCATCTACAGCTGGGGCATAATCAGGACTCTCTAAGCTTCTGTTGGGAGTTGATTCCAGAGATTCTGGTGAATTGAGATCGAACACTTCTCTATTATAAATGACTCTAGCCGGAGTGGTGGATTTTACTGAAATATGGAAAACTTTGTTAATATTGTTCACAATGATAACTGTTTAAAATGGATGTGTTCACATTCAAAGATGTGTCTACATTCAGATGTGTCCACCTTTAAAGTTGTCCCAAGTATAGGTGTCCACATTCAAACAGTTTGCTAAGTGGAAAAAAAGATCTTTTCATACTCTAGGCCAGGAATGTGTGTGTATGTTGCCATGACATCTATTTGTCTTTTTTCTTAAAATGTATACATGTATTTTCCGTTGATATTGCATAAAATTTGAAAGGAAGCCTCATTGTTTAGCTTTATGTTCCAAGTACATGTAAAAGTTTTCTCCCAGAAATAATATACCAGAAGCAAGAATGTTTTATTGTAACAATCAAACAGATACCTGGAGGTGGACCCCTTGGAGACTCCATAGCCCCACTAACATCTTTTCTTGCACCTGATCCTGGTATATGCTGTTGTGGTATATGACCACTGTTTTGCTGTTGCATTGAAGGGGTCCAAGCTGGAACTCTGCTATTTTCAATTGATTCAATTGAGTCTTCATCCTTTTCTGACAGCTCTTCTGAAATGATACACAACACAACATTATTAAAAATGGTAAAATATTTCTTTCTATCATATTAGAACCTGTAAGATTGACAATGTAATGTACAGGGGTTTATTTCCCGAAAGTTTGTAAGGTTGCGAATTCATACGTCCATTGTTGTATTTTCTCGAAATTTAGTAATTTTACAAAAATTAGTGACATTTTTCGCAAAGTTACTAAATAATGATGTCATGTGTGATGTCCCCGAACAAGGAGTCAAATTTCCCCAAAAATTAAATTCCCAAAGTTGATTAAACGATTTTCGAAAGCATATTTCAAATATGATACCACTTTGACTGAATTTTGAATATTTAATGATGTAAATCAAGATTATTTCTACTCGCATCTAGTCTATTCTCTCTGTGATCAAAATATCAGATCAATATAATAGTAATGTGATAATGGTATGACCATATGTAGTTTCCCATTCACATAATAATGATCCTTCTATCTATCCTTGGAGGGCTCCGCTACTCGTTATTTTAATGAGAATATATAACAAAAACTTAACACATTTTTATCATTCAGAATTGTTTCTTACCAGAAGTTGTTTCTAAAGGCTGGGTACTCTCATCCTGTTGAATGTCATTGATGGTGTTCGGCATTGTTCTTCTTGGCATGAAAGATGATCTCATGTCTGTGATAGACCTGGGTAGTCCCTTTGGGTCAAAGTTTGGGACTACAACTGCATATTTCAGCAGTTCATCATATTCATCCTAAAATATGATAGGACTTTCATAAATTGACATGATTGAAATATCTAAGGACAAATTTGTAAAATACATGTACTTTCATCGCATCTGGCCATATCTACAAATATATGCATACTGCTATATCAAGCAACAATATGATTGTCAAGCAAAATAACATGCATCCACATTTTATGTTCATTATTCTAATTTCACTGCAAGTGCTACAATCTAGCTACCTGTCCATATATTTAATCTGGACATCAGGAAGAAGCAGACCGACCATGAGATGGGAGCATCTTACTTTGTGAAGAAACAAGATGATGACATTTTACTAAGAAATATAAAGAATTTTGCACACAATAGGGTTTCAATGGGAATAAGAAAAATAAATTATATTTGATCTATTTTCTTACATTTAATTCAAGCAAGTGGTATATGATAAGCATGGAGCCATAGTTTTCTCCTGGTGTCCATTGTGGAATATTGTGTTTCATAGATTATGGCGTAGGCTTTTTGGTTGAATGTTAACCCTTTGATATGCTTATCATAAGTTATGGACTTCAAGATTGAGTTTTATCTGTCCCACATCATTTGAGACTGAATGGTCTACCTTGTAACAACTATTTTTGATGTTATTAGTATTGGTTATCAATTTTTAATTTATTCTTCAACATATATTGTAATGACTTCAGTATGAATGAAATGTCTCTTGGTGTTATGATCTCAGATTGTGATAAATATTTGAATGGTGGGGAAGGGGGTATCAGAAACTTTTTATTTTCATGTAGGATTATGATTTGGAATAGTTGGGGTTTGTTTTCCTTATGACCGGTGTACTCTCTGGTTTTCTTTTTCTTGCTTTGTAACCATTTTGGTACTTTCTCATAGGACATTCACATTCCAAAACAACCTGTTAAATCCCATTGACAAAATTAGGCGACAATATCCCGTTTAAATGGAGAGAGTCTTACAAAGCTTAAATCGTATCCTGGCAATATTATACAAAATGTAAAATGATCGTACTTGTAGTCTACTTGATACAGAGCTCCCAGGAGAATCCTCTGGTATAACAGGTGTACTGGATCCACTGCCATTCTCATCTTCTGTTGAGTCCATCCTTCTTTCTGATAATTCACTTGCAGGCTTCTAAATGTGATATATGCAAAGTTCTATAATGATATATGTATATAAAGAACAATCAGACATTAATTGTTGATCATTTCAGCAAGTTATACAAGACATCAAGAAAACAAAAAGTGACCCCCCCCCCTATTTGCTTAAAAAGAATGGAGCAACTCTGAGCATTAGTACAACTGATTTTTCTTCAAAAATAACTAGAAGCAGGCGACAGGTGATTTTCCAAGATTTATCTTTAGCAAAATTGTCTGTCGTCTTAATGAATTTTGCAACTGTATTTTAACAATTTTGATATTTAACTACAACTAAGATGCAGTCAAGTATAATGATGAAGAAATGAAAATCTAATAAATAGACTATAGTGCTTTTTGTATCACTTTGAATCTTTGGTTATTGTCTTCAATCTTCATCTAAGATATACACCAGCAATGTATTCAAATAGCAATTCAGTAGATTCATTAAAATGCTTCTTAAATAAGTACATGTACAAGATGTCAAATTTCTGGGAAGGATGTATGATCACAAGGGGTCTTGCAAATTGCTCTGATTTGCTTGAGTGCTCAAGCAATTAGTCATGATACGAGCATATCGAACAAAACATGTTCGAAAGCAGTTTGAATAAGATTGTATCTTCCCATTTTTCCATATTGTTATTTTCCTTGTGTTATCTGGCAATCTGGCATAGAATGAAACCTCCAGTATAAGATATCTGGTTTCGTTAATGAAAAAACTTTGAAAAAGATCATGAAATAAAAATATAAATCATGGCTAGACTCTGGACACTAGTGGACATTAGTTTTAGGATCGGGAGGACATTCATAGTTTCGTACAATTTCACGAGTTCGAAATTTGGCTGTTGGTACAATTTGCCTCTTAATGTCTTGTTTACCCATATTTTTTTTTAAAATAAAACTATTTGTTACACTCTTACATTGCTTGTATCGTTTGTATCGTATCATGAGCTAAATATCATTGCTCATATCGAAATTAAAGATAATATATTGTGGGACCCCTAATGATCACACTGAAAAAAACTACTTCCAAGATTCACCCATGAATAGCCTGACTATGGTTAAGTCAGATACCGTTGTCACAAATGGCGGACATAACCGTCGCTTCAATTAGATTTTCATGAACTGTATGTTTAATAGAGCACCTAGACTAAATTCCTTTGGAACAACAATCAATCAAAGTGTCTTAATACTCACTGTACAGTTAATTCTACCATCAAAATAAAGTCTTTAATTTAACCGATCAAAATGAGATACGAGACAACGGACACTGTAATTACCATATGCCGTTGTCTTTCTAAATTACTCAAAATCAGATTCTGTTGTCATTGACGATATCGAAGCGATTCCCGACCAAATTTGATAGAAAATGGGATTTCATATGATACATTATCACAAGAGCTTAATGCATGCACAGAATTAGCGAAGATAAAATCCCATGAAATGAGGACCAAGTGATTAAACAGTTGAAGCAACGGTTATGTCCGCCATTTGTGACAACGGTATCTGACTTTACCGTAGTCAGGCTATTCCGGTGTGAAGATTGCAAGCATCAAAATAAAAGAGGCCACACATTTGTTAGCTTCCAAGATTACAAGCATCAAAATACAAGAGGCCACATATTTGTTAGCTTCCAAGATTGCAAGCATCAAAATACAAGAGGCCATACATTTGTTAGCTTCCAAGACTGCAAGCGAATCAAAATACAAGAGGCCACACATTTGTTAAGCTTCCAATAATCCAAGATCACAAGCATCAAAATAAAAAACCACACATTTGTTAGCTTTCAAGACTGCAAGCATCAAAATACAAAATGCCACACATTTGTTAGCTTCCATTACAAGCATTAAAATAAAAGAGGCCATATATTTGTTAGTTTCCAAGATTGCAAGCATTAAAATATAAAAGAGGCCACATATTTGTTAGCTTCCAAGATTGCAAGCCTCAAAATACAAGAGGCCACACATTTGTTAGCTTCCAAGATTGCAAGCATTAAAATATAAAAGAGGCCACATATTTGTTAGCTTCCAAGATTGCAAGCCTCAAAATACAAAAAGCCACACATTTGTTAGCCAAAACAGTGTGCATTGTGGATTGTGCATGTGGATTGTGCATTAATCAAACCTGAAAGCAAGCAATCAAACATTCTGATTTATTAGACCCCTTCTTTATTAAATCTTCCACTTGCACTTCTTGGGCTTCGTTCAAGAAAAAAAAGAGTACTATAACATCGGAATATGGAAAATTCAAAATTACTAAATATTTTACAATTACTGTACAGGTAAAATGTTTGTATATTTTGGCTTGTTGACTAACAAATGAGTGGCCTGTTGAATTTTGATTCTGCCGTGTTATTTTTTAAAAAAACATGGCTGAAACTCCCTAAATTACAAGTCACAGTGGGATTATTGTACAAAAAATTATTTATCTGAAAGTTTGTACAATACAACACACTTCTACAAATCCGGGGCAGGTTGATATTGCCATTACGTTTGTTTGGGGTGTATACGTTTTGTTTTGACACTAAACAAAAATATTCCCGCAATATATGGTGTATTATGTGTAGGGACTGCTGTGAAATAATGAACGTATGTGACATCTATCTCAAATTAAATGTTCTTATTAAGTTATTGATTGCGCATGCGTTATAATAATTTGAACCAATTGAATTGCTGGATTTAATGCGCATGCACTAAAAACCGAACCAAAAAAATCGCGCAGATTGGCTCTAGTAGTGGAAGTATATGAATGTTTTGCATCTAAAATATGAATGTATATTTCCACAAAATATTGTACTGTTGTCTTTTTTGATTGATCATTTTGGGGGTTTGATTGATGCAAAGTCAAACTAACTTGCACTAAATACCATTACATGTAGGCCTAGGCCTATTATCACCCAAATTTTTTAAATCCAAACAAGACATTTGTTACAACAATTTCCGTCATTTAGTACTATCTACATGACACTTCTGAAGCTAAAATCCGAATTTAGACATAATTTTACAACTTAGATAGCTACATACCATACAAAATGTGGCTGGTACCCAGAAAATGGGTAAAAAGTGTGAATTGAATAGAGTTTTGTAAAATTTATCAAATTTTTAAAGTTTGTGTACGTTTGTTACACAAATTTTGATTGGTTCAAATATTTTATCAACTCGGCTTTCATTGGATCAAATATATCTTGTATTTCTCTCCTTCAATTCTAGAGAGTTTTAGTTCCGGGAATCTTATTTTTACGATTATTAAGACTTTAATCTTAATTTTCCCTGAGATATAGTGAAGATAATTCTTTATATGGATTATATTGAACTTTGCCGTGATACCAATTATGATTTGTTGAAAGGAGATAAACCCTAGATCACAGATCGGAGAGATATAGCAAGATGAATTTTCGAATAATATTTTCACTTTCAGCATCGAAGTTCAACTTCAATGATTTCAAGTTTAAATTCACACTTTTTACCATATCGATGAGTGCCGCCTTTACTCTTGCAATGGGAGATAATATCTGCACCTACTCTGTGAGGTAAATATATGATGTATATATGTGTAAATATGTTAAACATTAAATATAATCAACAAGTAGGCCTATAGTGCAATTTGATCTAACTGCGAATCGTGTGTGGTGAACAAACTTTAACAAAGGTTCTCTGAGTTACTTTCTTCCAAAACTTTCTCTGTATTCCAGCCTTACGTTAGCTATGATCTTGATGTATCTCTATGTGACCCATATCCCCGCCTCTATCAATTGTTATTCATTATCGCAACGAACAAAGTTTGATAGAGATATAGTTGGTGGGTCCGTCCATGGGCTTTCAATATTGAATGCCCATGGTCCGTCCGTTCATCCGTCCGGCAGAAAACTTGAATACTTACAGATGGATTTTCATCATATTCAGTGGAAAGATGTATGTTTGGTAGTATATTCACAACAACTATCTATTTCACATATATTCCGTGTTTTTCACCCTGCCCCCATGAGCCGTGCATGGGAGCGTTATTATACTCAAATGAAAGGAAATTTCGAATAGATTGCAAATATTGTTTATTGATTTTTCTGATAAGGGCCTCGTAAAATCCAAAATGGCCACCTAGTGTGGAATTTTCCTATCTCTTCAAAGTTTGGCTATATTATACTCAAATTGAAGGAATTTTGCAGTTGATCACAATTAAGGTATTGTTTCACTGATTTGTACCTTAGAAAATTCAATATGGCTGTCGATAGGAGGAATTGGCTATAACTTAGAGATATATTTAAAGTGTGGTTACGTTACGCTAAATATAGTATTGTCTTTACGATTTGTACCTTTGAAACTCCTAAATGGTCATCCAAATATAATGCTTAAATGGGTGGAAATTCTGATATATCTTTAATGTATGTCTTATTGTCTTTTAATATCTGCCATTTTAATCAAGGGTAGAGTAAATGGTAAATATAAGTATATTACATTGTGACATATACAGATTCATGAATATAGTGTTCGTTGGGATTTGCTACTCTGTGGAATTGTCAATTTCTAGTTGTTTATTTGAGAAAATAGCCTCACTAATATTTTTCTTCACTTTACCGGTGCCAACCGAGTTTCCACCTATAGCGAAAAAAGCTCAACAATTTTTGATGTTTTTAAAATGGCAGACCCTGATACCCATTATTGTTATCCCAGATGAAATAATGCAATTTCCTTTACACAAGCTTCTAGCTAATAGTTATCCCATCGAACGAAGTTCGGAGGGATATAGGGAACGCCTCCGTCCGTCCGTCCGTACGTACATCCGTACGTACGTACGTCCGTCCGTACGTACGTCCGTCTGTCCGTCTGTCCGTCTGTCCGTCCGTCCGGGCAATAACTCAAATACCGTTGGCCCGATTTTGTTCATATTTTGTACACATATACCCTATGGGGGTAGAAGTTCTGCTCAAAAGCCGATTTTCAAAATGGTCGCTCATTTCAAAATGCCGGCCATTTTAGTGCCGATTTTACAGTAATTTAGGTGTAATATGTAAAACTGTAATAGCAATATGTTTTAAATGTAAAAAAATTATAAAGGACATTAATAATGCTACAAATGTAGATATTAAAGAAGCACATGGCAGCCATCTTGAAAAATGGCGGCCTTTACTCGTCATTTTACGATTTTTGCTATAACTCAAAAAATAGTGGAGCGATTTTGTTCATATTTGGTATGTGAATACTATAAGCATTGCACACTGTCTAAAGACACTTTTGGTAGAAGGTGGCCATTTTGAAAAATGGCCGCCATTTTAACATATTTTACTATAACTCTAAAAGTAGTGGAGCGATTTTGTTCATATTTGGTATGTGAATACTATAAGCATGGCACACTGTCCTATGACACTTTTGGTAGAAGGCGGCCATTTTGAAAAAAATTTTGAAAAATGGCCGCCATTTTAATGTATTTTACTATAACTCGAAAAGTAGTGGAGTGATTTTTTCATATTTGGTATGTGAATACTATAAGCATGGCTAACTGTCTATTTCTAATGACACTTTTGGTAGACAGTGGCCATTTTGAAAAATGGCCGCCATTTTAACGTATTTTACTATAACTCGAAAAGTAGTGGAGCGATTTTGTTCATATTTGATATGTATATACTTTAAGCATGGCACATTGTCTAATAAAACTTAGGGGCGTAGTCGGCCATTTTGAAAAATGGCCACCATTTTTATGTGTGTTATTTTACAAGTACGTGTGCGATTTTTCAAAAATTTTAGAGGTGGCTACTTAAAAGCATATTATTTCTTCTGATGACAACTTGGCTAGTGAGCAACCATTTTGAAAATGGTGGCCTTTCTGGTGTGTTGTTTTATGATATTTGCTATTCGTTTGTAAAAATGCCAGCCATTTCTGTTCGATGGGATTTGCTACGCTTTGGCGTTGCCGTTCTTCTGGTTATTGGCAGAGAAGCATCGAAGTACAAGAAGCCATATATTGTTTGTTAGCCAAACCACGTTCACTCAAAAAAGTAGTCATAAAGTTATGAAAATCGGCTATTCATGCTTTGTTTATATATTACTTTATAACTTTTAGCAGCCATTTCTAATTAAGTACTCTTTTATCATATCATATTGAAGGTAGTTCTATACATTCAGAAATTTTAATGGCTTCTTAATTAATTTCATTCTCTATTATATTCTATAAACTGATAAAAGGCCATGCCAACATACAAGGTGTTGGCTTTTGATTATGTTCAGTCATTAGTTGACAGAGTAGTTTTCAGGTTATGGAATATACTTTTATGTTACTATATTTGAATTGGACTTCTCATTTTATTTCCACCTATGGGCCCTCCTGTCACATTACAATACAAAATTTAGGTTTGTAACATACAGGGCCAAAAAATCCATATTTTCATTTGGTGATAACTATAATAATGCATATATTGAAAAAATATTTTTGAATTGGTTGTGTATTCAATTGCTGCATCCTGTGCAAAAATATTATTGAAATCCATGTACATGTATTATAAAGAAACGTAAAAATAAAACTATGGACATTTTTAGACCCATCTTATATGTTTCTGTTTTCTCTAAAATGTTGTACTTTGGTCCTTTGCTTACTTTTAGAAGTGTTAAGGTCGAAAAGATCAGTCAAGTTTATGTATGTTTGTTTAGTCATGTGTTGTTTAGTTCAGAAAAACTAAACTATCTGATCCAAGACTCTTGCAGATTAGGAACATCATTCACAATTACAAACAAAATCCCAGTTCACATTTTATATTGTCCTTGACAATGATGCACTCTTTTATGATGTGTCCTTTAGATGAGTATACTCATGAGCAGACAGCAAAGGCCAATTTTGTTGGTATATAAGAGTATGACAGTAGATTTATAAACTCAGGCCCATAGCCAGAGGGGCTCAATGGGTTCGAGCGAACCCCCCCCCCCCCCCTCCCCTGGCCAAAAATTCTTTCAAAGTCACGCAATTTTTTATCATTCCAAGATTGTCAAAAATGAACCCACCCTGGAATTTTCCAAAAAGTGAACCACCCCTTTGCAAATCCTGGCTACGGGCATGAAACTTCTCTTGGGAGTGACTGAATGGAGAATAATAATGTCAGTGATCTCCCCAGCATTAAAGCAAGTGGGCGCAGCACCCACCTGAGATTTTGAAAATAGGCTTACACCCACCTGAAAATCCAGTTGCACCCACTTGAAAATGAGAAAAATCATGAGAAATTGGCATTTTTTGACCAATTTTGTTCTGAATTGTGAAAATGAGAATTTTGCACCCACTTGAGAAAAAAATTCTGGGGAGATCGCTAGCACTGAATGTATAAAGTTTGATGATTCTACACAAATCAAACTGTTGTTGCTGGTCCCACCCTTGCTACTGCTAAGGTTTGTTTCTTTTCAGAGAGTTGTTTATAAAAACTGATTTTATTTTCAGTGAACAAACGGTGATCCCCTATACTGTTCTAACTGTTAAGACAGTCTCATATACGCCATACTGTAGCGGCTGGGACAGATTCTGGAATGTTGGTGGCAAATGTAACACTAAATATAGGTATGAATTATAGAGTGGTCTCTTTAATTTAACTAATATTGTGTTGTCGCCGACTGATGAATTCTTTCAAATTCTAATTTAATATGTATGTCTATCTGAGCCCCTTGTGCATATGTTGGTATTGAATTTTCTCATATATATAATCTAGAATTAATTTTAATGTGAAACTAAACAACATTTGATGAAGTGCAAGTAGAGATGGCTCGGATGTATTTTATCTCCTTGAGTCAAAGATGAATAATTACCTTACCCAAATCACACACAAACTATTCCCCCAGATAGTATTTACCAATGAAATCTCCTTAAACCCTTGTGTTTTTTACAATTCAGACAGCAGTATGGCACTAGATTACAAGAAAGACAGCAAACTGTATATAAAACAAAAAGCAAATGCTGTCCAGGGTGGCAGGAAGAAGGGGATGGACAATGCACCAAAGGTAAAGTACAACATGAGGGTTATTGCCAGGCTATTTTTATAACATAGAGCAATTCTAAAACTGGCTTACATTGTCGATGTTGGCTTGTAATAGCAATGTTGTTCCTGCTTTGTCTTGTTAACTAGCTCACTTCATTAAAATGTTTTGATATTTTTATAAAGTAGATGCAGACATACATAATAATGCATAAATAACAGAATAAATAGAGAGATTTCAGGTTTACAGTAATTGTGTGTAGATTTAAGTTTAAATGTGCCCAATCATTATCAAGACTGGTTCTGTAAATTAATGCATTGAACGAGCATTGTAAATGTATTTTTCCAGCATGTCCTCATGGGAAATATGGTTCTAACTGTACACTTGAGTGTGACTGTAGTGGGAATTCCTTATGTCATCATGTCACTGGAGTGTGTCAGTGCAAGGCTGGATGGCAAGAGCCATACTGTAATACAAGTAAGTAGATGGGCCATTCTGTAATACAAGTAAGTTGACAGGCCATTCTGTAATACAAGTAAGTAGATGGGCCATTCTGTAATACAAGTAAGTAGATAAGCCATTCTGTAATACAAGTAAGTAGATGGGCCATTCTGTAATACAAGTAAGTAGATAAGCCATTCTGTAATACAAGTAAGTAGATGGGCCATTCTGTAATACAAGTAAGTAGATAAGCCATTCTGTAATACAAGTAAGTTGACAGGCCATTCTGTAATACAAGTAAGTAGATAAGCCATTCTGTAATACAAGTAAGTTGACAGGCCATTCTGTAATACAAGTAAGTAGATAGGCCATACTGTAGTACAAGTAAGTAGATGGACCATTCTGTAATGCAAGTAAGTAGATGGGTCATTCTGTAATACAAGTAAGTAGATGGACCATTCTGTAATACAAGTAAGTAGATGGACCATTCTGTAATACAAGTAAGTAGATGGGCCATTCTGTAATACAAGTAAGAAGATAGGCCATACTGTAGTACAAGTAAGTAGATGGGCCATTCTGTAATACAAGTAAGTAGATACCCTTAAGAAAAAAGCCATGGTAACCATGGTATTCCATGGTGCGCCCATGGTAATCCATGGTTTTCCATGGAAATTCATGGTTTTCCATGTTATTTTCCATGGAAATTCATGGAGGCCCATGGTGATCTTCCATGGATATTTAGCATGATTTTCTGCGGTAATTGGTGGTTTCATAATTGGTTTTTAATGGATGTGTCATGGCTTTTACCATGACATATGGAGATGTAAATCAACAATTTTGGTAGGATTTGTATTTACCAAAATCTCCAAAATGAATGTTTTGAAACAAAATGAATGAATGTTTTTAAAAATCAATATGAAATAGTTTAATAAATAAATTTTCTTAAATTACATTTCGTACATTTGAGAATACAATCAAATACCATGGTTTCTTTCTTTGAAGTTGAGGAAACTGCAATCAAAAGCCATGGAAGTCGGTTGATTGCAATCGAAAGCCATGCTTTTCCATGGTTATTTCTTTGATCTTTCGGAAAGTGCAATTAAAAGCCATGGTTTTCCATGGTTATTCTTTTGATCTTTTGAAAGTCCATGGTTTTCCATGCCGCTATTTGTTTGGTCTTTTGGATGCAGAAAAAAGAATAATACATTATGTTTCTAAATGAACTTCTCCAAATTAAGTCCCATTGAACTTTTATAAGCATATTATCTCTCAAATTAATGTTAAAAAAATAATCTCTTTGCAACAGATTAGTTAATTTGTGCATAATTCTTAAATACTCTGATCTTAATTGTTATGATATATGATAATCTTACTCTTTCTAATGCTCCCTCTTCAGTAATTACTATTGTCTGTGAGTGTAGACAGTTCATGTCAAAAACTCATTGTTGATCAAATAAAACCAAATAGGATTTACTCCAAGTAAAAATGTTTATTCAGTCTGCAATAAGGAAATCCAGTGAGCTGATTTTATCACTTATTTTGGCTATTTTTTACATCAGTGCCAAAGTTAAATGATAGCAAATCCCAGCAAACAAATTATTACTTGTAATTGTGGGGTCAAATCATCAATTAAAAAAATATAAAAGTATATAAAAAATAGAAATAAAAAAAAATATAAAAAGTAAAAAGCTCTTTGTCATATGACACTATGTACAGAATGTATTAAACATATATTCAGATTGTAAGAACATGGTTGTATTTCAGGCCTGAAACCAGCTTTGTCAAGAAGGTTGACTTTCTCAAAAATTTGAGGGGGGAGGGGTGACGTCATATTATTCTGTCTATGATTAGTCTCAATCCAGCTTGGATTCATTCGTCAAAATATTGATTCAATTTTGAAGATTTTGGTAAAAACAAAACATGCCAAAATTGTTGATTTTACAACTCAAGTGTCATGGTAAAAACACGGCATGTCCATGAAAAAACAATTACCAAACCACTAATTACCACAGAAAATCATGGTTAATATCCATGGAAGACTACCATGGGTATCCATGAATTTCCATGGAAAATACCATGAAAAACCATGAAATGTTGACAGGCCATTCTGTAATACAAGTAAGTAGATAGGCCATACTGTAGTACAAGTAAGTAGATGGGCCATTCTGTAATACAAGTAAGTTGAGAGGCCATTCTGTAATACAAGTAAGTAGATAGGCCATACTGTAGTACAAGTAAGTAGATGGGGCATTCTGTAATACAAGTACATTGTAGATTAAGCCATTAGTCAGTTTATCAGTCAGTTTATGTACCTGTATGAACATTAATGAACTGAGATAGAAATTAACAGAATAAATAATATTTCCTCATCAATGCAGTTTTAACCAGATATTGTGTTTGGAATGCCCGATGTTAAATTTAGCTCTGAAATAAATAACACAATCAAGCAATGTAATTGCACCATTATTTTGTAGCTTGCCCCGATGGTACATATGGGTTTAACTGTAGTGATGCATGTATGTGTGAGAACAATGCCAGCTGCAAACCTGAGACTGGCCACTGTTCTTGTATGCCTGGCTGGCTGGGGCAGTTCTGCCAACAACGTGAGTTCAACTTCTCTCACTTCAAACTTTGTTAACTGTAGTAATGGTGTTCTAGATTGTATATAAGTCAATGGCCTCAATGTGCATCAAGGCACTTGGTTTCTGGACCATATTTAGACCATGTAAAGGTTTTCCCATGGATATATGTTCACATTTATAGGATCTGAAATCATGAATTTCATTCAATAACATAGATGCGAGTAGGAAGTTACCAATTTCACCACCAGGTGGCTCGTTTGGGTCAGATAACATGGCGGGTATAGAAGAAAGTTCCCTTTAACTTAAATTACATCTGTTTTAGTGGTTCAATTTTCATATAACCCTTGTGTGTCTAATAGTTATGAACATTAAAATATGTCCAGTAAAGGAAAATGTTATCTGTCCAATACAAGAAAAGATATTTCACTTTTTGTGATTTTGTAGCATGGGGTATATGGGGAATCAACCCGAACTAGAAGTCATATTTTCAAAACAAATTTAATTTTCAAGGTTGATAAACAATTTTCGAAACCATATTTGTAGAAATACTTTTACACGTAGATTTCAAATATGACATCAGTTTGACTGAATTTTGAATAATTAATGACGTAAATCAAGATTATTTCTACTCGCACCTAGTCTATTGGAACTAAAAAACTGACAAAAAGTATTCAGATTTTAAGGTGTTTGCTTGAGTTAGGTATACATAAACATATATCTTTTCTAGCATGTGGGACAGGTCACTATGGTGAAAGCTGTCTATCTGAATGTAAATGTGCCAGAAATGGGACGGACCATTGCGATCCAATAGATGGAGCCTGTATTTGTAAAAGAGGCTGGAACGGGAAGATTTGCACCATGAAAGGTAAGGCCCTATAAACAAATTCTTAGATTTTTGTAAAATTTAAAAATTGACCATGTGACCAATTTGTTTTTATCCTAAAATTGCAAGGATGTTTAAACATATGAAGATTTACCATTGACCTTGAATGAATTTATTTCAGTGGTTGCGCCTCCTGGGGAGGTAGATGTGAACTACAAACCTGAAGTTGACCCTGGTAAAACTGACCAACAAGTGTCAGGTCAGTAGAATTATAATGAAATAATCTTTCTATGTACACAGATCCCAGATTTATGTGTCTAAGTGACATGATTTTGCATTCTAGTAATTTTTGATTTTCTAGAAATGCTGTAATTCATTATTAAATCATCAGCGCATAATTTTTGCATAATTTACAGTTTTTCAAAGAATATCTCACCTGATGTTTCACGGCTTACTTTCATCTTCATAATTATAAGGTAATATAAATAATGTCTGAACTTAACCATAGTTCTCTGTGAACTTAACAAAAACTCAGAAAAGTTTAAAAATGCCCATAATGAAAATGGTGGTACATATCGGAGATGGGAATGCCATTGTAATTTAATAATGAATGGTTTTACCATTTGAATTCTAGAAGAAAATGATTTTTTGAAAGTATCAAATGGAAAGGACATATAGTTAGATTCAGATGTATTTGGTTTATTTTCAGATCCCCCTTTAGTAAGTACTAAGGCCAAGGAGAGAGATAGTACTATGGGACTTGCAGTAGTGGTGGTACCCTGTATTGTCGCTGCTATACTCATAATTGTGGTCATCATAGCTGTTGTCATTGTGATACGAAGGAGAAAAAAAGCAGACAGGTAATATATATTTTCAGATGTTATTTCTCAATACTACTATTCTTTTCAAGAGATATTCCACTTGAAAGTTGGTCTGAAGTAGCATAGCTACATTATTGGAGTCTTTGTTTTTTGGTGTAACCTCATTTAAAATACCATTGGAGACAGGTGATCACTTGAGAAAGGTGTTCACTAGAGACAGGTTTTACTGTATATCCATGAATGTCAAGTTTCCTATGCATTACAATTAACAAATGATAATCGCATGTAAACAGCGGCTTACCGCAAGACTTCATGGTTTACATATTGTATTTAGCTGATTATGTCATATCACTTTGGTGATTCTTGGTTCCAAAAACATTTCTGCATGATCTGATTCATCAAATGTTTACTCAGAATTCATCAATCTTGGTACCATTTCTGCAAATATTTCTCTAAATGTGAATTTGATGTTGCTTTATCTATCCCTGAAAACCAATGGTGAATTATAGACAATTCAATTGCAAAATTCAGACTGGATTTTCCCTGATATGAGAAAGTTCAAATAATTATAAGTAATTTTCCAGTAAATTACTTTGCTTTGTTTTTCCAAGAATCCTGAATTTGAGGAGTTAAGCTAAAATGTCTTGTGAAATATTGAGTATGGGGAAATCAATATATGGATTACAATTTTTTCCATATTTTTCTCTCTGAAATTTTTGACAATATGTTTGTTAGGAAACCTCTGACGCCTGTTGATCACGAAGCAACATTTGAGTTAACGGAAAGTCTCCAACCAAGGCAGAATGAGGAGCCTAATCAACAGAGGGACTCTCATGGTATGTTATGAGTTGATAAAAATTACAGTCATCGTATAAAGGTCCAGCTTCACTACATTTTTGTTGCAAGATTTATTTTGCTTAAATCTTGATGGTCCATTTTACTTAACTGACCTTGTTGTTCAATTCTTTTCATGAAATCATTATGCCCATTAAAACCATTATTTAAATCTGTTAATCTTATATCAATGCTATTATTGTTTTGTTTTAGTTTTGGTCATATATCGTATGCCCCAAATTCAACCAATGTGATATATCAACTTTCTCAAAATAGCCGTTTCTAAAGTTGTTGGCTGAAATGGATAATTTGTTTTGTTTTTCAGTGTCCTGCTCTTCATCAGTGAAATCACCTCATGAAGACTCCATCAAAAGAGGCCAAAAATCTAAGGTCTTCAAGAAGAAGTCCAGAACTAGTAATGACAGTACATTTGAAAAGCTTTCCCTGGTTATGAAAAACTCACTTTATGGTAAATCTGGTAGGGGGTCCCCAATATTGAGTGCAGAGACTCCTCCTATTACCCCTAAACAACCTTCAAATGCTATGAATGCTCAACTTGATAGTGTTTCCGATGTTAATGGCACTTTGAGTATTAACTCAAGGGTAACAAAAAGGATTCCACAAAACAGCGGCAATTTATATGAAGAACCAGAAGATGTGAAACCACATGATAGTGTACACTATGCATATGCTGATGTGGAGAATAAAATCCCAGAAGAACCACAGAAACAAACCAGGGAAAGTTTATGTCAGTCACACATTTATGATGACATTGAAGAAGATGAAAAACGTAAACCTAAACTTGAACCAATTATTAATGAAAATGAATACACAGATATTGAAGATAAATATGAAATTCCAAAACCCAGCTTGGTTAGGGAAAACCCCGGGGAAGGTGCAAGAGAGAGTATAGGCCCCTACAATCAGGGACAGTATGAGTATGTTGGGGCCTCACCTCCTGTGTCCCCAAGGTCACCTCATATGTTCTCAAGGTCCCCTCCTGTGTCCCCAAGGTCACCGGGGTCAATTTATGACTATGTTGGCCCAAGAGAGACAGCAGAACCACAGAGTATTTATAGTTTAGAAAAAGCACCCCCACCATTACCTGATAAACAGGACACCAATACATTTAAAGATGTTGGTGATTACTTGACTGTTAGTTCTCCAAGTTCGTCAGTGTACATGAACGATGATTCAACTCCAAAGACTGGGCCTAAGTTTTCGTTCAGTCAGGATGGGCGCTTGCCATCCATTTCCCCCAATGATACTTATATTCCAATGACACCCCAAGAAGTTCATTCTACGTGATCGCAACATACTCGAAATAGTGAACCCACAATGCAATTTTACGAGAACACGCCTCAAAGTATTTCCAACACCCTACCGCCTAACATGTTTAGTAGTAACAATGACCCTCAAGAAATATACATTTATAGCGATAATGATCGTCAAGGTAACAATAACCCAGAGAAAATAGAATTCAAAAATGGAAAGTCACATCAAGCTCCAGACTTAAGAGATACATATAATCGGATTCAACTTAACTCAAGTACAAGTTCACTGAACAAGGTACATGATGGAGAAGCAATGTATGATCATTTAAGCACATATACATCTGGTGCTGATAACAATGTTAGTGATATGAAGGCATCTGAAGCTTAAGGAAGTGCAAGGGGCACAGTAGATATTATCTTCATTAAGCTTGATCTTCTCTCTACAAGGTGTTTCATAATGATTAAACCCCTCACGATCAATCTTAGACATAAAAGCTCTATATTTGGCATTTAACATGGTGTAAAATAAGAAGTCTTTATGAAATATCTTGTATTTGTATACATGTATGTATATTAATTTTGAAATCATGAATGATTATGAAAAGAATGGAAAAATGGGTATATATATAGGGTCTAACTGGGAATGTAAGACATGGTTGCAGTTCTATGTATGCAATGTTGATGTGTTAAAGTCAGCTGTTCCTATAGCTCTATATACATGATTATTGAATATGAACAATTAAGAATTTTTTAATACGGTTGTAGTGCATTTTGTTACACTTCATAAATAGGTGTGATTTTGTTGGGATCTAAGGATTATTTGTTATTCCAGCTTTACCTCTCTCTGTAGATGGCAAATAGTACTAAGTACAATTTTGTTTTTGATGAAAAGTTTTGGAATTATTATCATGTGAATCCGTTTTGCTATTCAATCACTTTTAGGGTGATTGATAAATAATGAGACAAATACTCTCACTTTACTGTGAGTTATTGAAGAAGAAATCACAAAGAAAGGCTCTTACTTATTAAGAAAACTCAGGGTTACTGTCATATTGAAAAGTATAGTGCAATTAGATTTGCCAACTACAGAGATAAATGTAGTGTAATGAACAAAGAGAAGCTGGGGCATTTGGAGAGTGGTTTTGTCAGAAACAATAGATATTATATGACCACTTATATTCATTGCCATTGAAAGCATGGGAAATTGAAGTTTGCAGTATTCTCTGAGTTTCTTTTTATTGAATTTTGAAATGAAATGCTCAAAGACTGCATAATATTGAAACGTATGAGGCATTGATCAAATTCAATTAAATTGAATTCAGTTTCTTGATTTAGTTTCTAACTTTTCAATTTAATTTCAATCTCGATGGTTGATCCAGATCAAAAAATAATATGAATATGTCACCATTTACTGTACATATGCACTTTCTAGTAATATGCACTGCACAGTATTTTTGTAAGGCATTAATGGCTAGTTTGTTAGGATTTAGTTTAATCATCAGCATTTGTATGAATTAAATATTTCATTGCCTGAAAATAACTCTAGTCTAATTGTGTATTAATGTCATGCCATTGAATGAGTCATAAACATAGAAATCAGCTTTGTTAAGGCTGGCACTGGTACATGAACATGTTTCTGATATTAGGACATGTAAGTTGCAAGAAGTTTGTGGTATTGTACTTAAGTATTTTGTAGTGTTATAGGTTATAAAAAATGCAGGGATATTTTTTAGCATAATTTTATAAAACAAAATTGTTACATATGCAGCTTAAGGTCCAATTGATATGTACTTAAAATAGTTTCTGAAGGACTAGATATATTTTTGGTGTATCGTTTAGTTATTTACTTATTATTTTAAGTATTTAACAGGATTATTTTGAATCATACAATTCAAGAAACTATGACACGGGTTGTTAGTATAGGATATAATATAAACATCAGAAATGTTTTGAAATCGTATAACTTATCACATTTATTTGATTTATAATCTACATGTACTACATCCAGGAATCAGATAAAAAAGTCTTTCTACATGTATGCATGTACTTAGCAGAACATTTATATGCAATGTGATGCATGATATTGTGCATGTATTTAGCAGAAAATTTATATGCAATGTGATGCATGATATTGTGCATGTACTTAGCAGAACATTTATATGCAATGTGATGTATGATATTGTGCATGTACTTAGCAGAACTTTTATATGCAATGTGATGTATGATATTGTGCATGTACTTAGCAGAAAATTTATATGCAATGTGATGCATGATATTGTGCATGTATTTAGCAGAAAATGTATATGCTATGTGATGCATGATATTGTGCATGTACTTAGCAGAACATTTATATGCAATGTGATGTATGATATTGTGCATGTACTTAGCAGAACATTTATATGCAATGTGATGTATGATATTGTGCATGTACTTAGCAGAACATTTATATGCAATGTGATTTATAATATTGTGCATGTACTTAGCAGAACATTTATATGCAATGTGATGTATGATATTGTGCATGTACTTAGCAGAACATTTATATGCAATGTGATGTATGATATTGTGCATGTACTTAGCAGAACTTTTATATGCAATGTGATGTATGATATTGTGCATGTACTTAGCAGAACATTTATATGCAATGTGATGTATGATATTGTGCATGTACTTAGCAGAACATTTATATGCAATGTGATGTATGATATTGTGCATGTACTTAGCAGAACATTTATATGCAATGTGATTTATAATATTGTGCATGTACTTAGCAGAACATTTATATGCAATGTGATGTATGATATTGTGCATGTACTTAGCAGAACATTTATATGCAATGTGATGTATGATATTGTGCATGTACTTAGCAGAACATTTATATGCAATGTGATTTATAATATTGTGCATGTACTTAGAAGAACATTTATATCCTAGCACTATGAATAACATTTATAAATTGCCCTGATGTAAATAAAATGAAAAAAGTATTATTTATCAACAGAAATTTAAAATTCACCGTGCGGCTGCCGTGGGAAATGTGACTGCAAAAGTATGAGAGCGCAGAAATTCCACGGCGAGCGTAGAAATGTTACTGGCCGCAGAAATGATAGACTGCAGGGTCGCCATAGGAAATGTGACTGGGGTGTTAGTTGTTAAAAATTGTCAAAATTTCATGCTTTGATGACCATGTCATGCTTATTTTCTAAAAATGTGGCCTGTTTTGGCTTTATTTCGGAATAATCCTTTTCAAGAATATCTGGCAGTACTAAATTAGTTTTGAAAATGGGAAATCTCATTTTAGACTATTTTTCATTTACAACGAATTTTGACATTGTTGCATCTTAAATCTTTGATATTTGATCAGATATCTCAATTCTGTTTTCAGAATATAAGATCAGCCAGGATTATAAGGAAAATTAAAGGCAGAATCAGATCTATAGGGAGTGACAAAATTACAAGCAACGTGCATAATTGACCTACCAATCTATTCCTTACAATATCAAATACAATATCTCCCAAAAGATTCACAATATGTTATAAATTGTTGAAGTTATTAATGATTCAAAGTGCAAAAATGGGTGAAAGATGTTTAAATTCTCCCAAATAATAAGTATGGTAACCATTCTTATAGAAAAATAATACATTATTGTAAAAATCTTTTGTTTTCCTTGAATAAAGTATGCACTTTTGTGATTTTTAGAAAATAGACGTGACAAGGAATGACATGAGCCAAAAATATTCTAAAATTGAAACAATTTTTTGTTTAGCCTGCTCGCTATCTCTGATTCTCTCTTTAACTTTAAGAAAAGATTGCTACCTTCTAACATTTTACTCTCTCTCTCTCTCTCTTATCCCTTGTACATCATTCAAGTGCTGTTATTTGAATAAAATATTATTGTACCAGTATTATTTGAAAAGGTTACTATTCTGACATATACTGGAAAGACATTCCAAAATCACTTCATGATCAACTTAAACATACATGTATATATATGATATAGCAAGATAATGACCTAGTACACCATTCTTAATATAGAAATATATGTTTGGAGATCTCAATGCAATATAAATTGTCAATTACTGTGACTATTATTAGCTTGGGTATTATGAGTATCTCAAAGTGCAGTTAATTTTGTATGCTTTTTATTATTGTATTGTTTATATTTGTATGTAATTTTTGAATTTGAATTGTACATTTATATATTCACCACAATTGAATGAATTTTAACAAAAATCAATGTGAATAATGTATTTTTATTTTAGCCTTACGATGTACATGTTCTTTGCTTTATAAGTTGGTGTATCAACTATAACGGATAGAGGGGATTGTCAATTGATTTGATGTCAAAGCTTTCCTCATTGATTGCATCAATTCAACAAAAATCAACGAAGAATGTAATTATTATTATAGCCTTACAATATACATGTGCTGTAAATATACACGGAAACACCCATCTAATGTGATAAACTTTGCTATAGAACCAACTATAATGGATAGTGGGGGCTGTCAGGATTTTAATGAGTCCCTTACACCATATACAGTTATTATTCATGGGCATCTTCTCTGACATTAGGCCGGCGGACGGGGAAGTATACACACACATAGATCAACAATCTTCTTTCGGTTTCTTTTGCTCTGTGATTTCCTGACTGACCCCACCAAAGTGGATTATTCAATATGTTATTAATGTTGATTCTGCTATAGCATTACAAAATAAAATAAATATAAATACACAAGTTTTGGTGTTGAGTAGTACATTTTCAATGCTCACTTTTCTGATGTTCTCGCCTCTTAAGGGGTTATCTCAAAGCCTTGTCTTAACAATTTAACTGTACCATTATCAATAGTCTTAACTACAGTGAACCTGTGAAGTGGAACACCTCTACAACTGGAACACCTCTGTTGCGGAACATTTTTCAGCGTCCCAAGACCAATATACTCAATGTTAAATGAACCTCTATAAGTGGAACACCTCACAAGTGGAATACTTTTTAGAGGTACCAAAGGTGTTCCACTTAGACAGGTGTTACTGTACTAACCCTCTGACCCTTGTAAATAAACATATTTCAGAATAAGGTATTGATTATGAATGATGTGAGCACATGTACTAAAAGAGTAAAGTATTCAAAATCCCAGAGAAAAAAGGAATACAAATAATTTTAAAGAAACAAACTACCATCATTTAAAACAATTGTCTAATATACACCCAGAGGGCAGTTGTATATTTTAATGACTGTGTTCCAAAGCCTACTTGTTGGTTGATTTTGCCAGAAGTTTGGTTGTTTGATTTATTGTGTTTCACAGCCCAGTTGTTTAGTTGACATGGCCCAAAGGGCAGTTGTTTGTTTGATTGTGACCCACATCTCTGTCATTTGGTTGATTGTGCCCTACGGCCCAGGTGTTCGATTCATTATGCCCCACAGTCCAGTTGTTTGGTTGATTGTGCCCCACATCCCTGTTTGGTTAATTGTGCTGCAATGCCCAGTTGTTTGGTTAATTGACCCCTACAGCCCAGTTGTTTGCTTGATTGTGCCCCACAGCCCAGTTGTTTGGTTAATTGTCCCTTACAGCCCAGTTGTTTGCTTGATTGTGCCCCACATCCCTGATTGTCCCCCAAGGCCCAGTTGTTCGATTCATTTTGCCACACAGCCCAGTTGATTGGTTAATTGTCCCCCACAGCCCAGTCCCACATCCCTGTTGTTTGATTAATTGTCCCCCAAGGCCCAAACGTTCGATTCATTTTGCCACACAGCCTAATTGTTTGGTTGCTTGTGCAATGATTCCATTTATTTGTGATCTGTGAAACCCCATTTTCTGTCAAAAAGCAATACGAATCTTTACCCCGAACTTAGTGTGCATTATATTTACAATGTTTTATTCTTTATTATTTCATTAGTAAAAGCACTCATCCATGGCCGGACTCCGCCCTCGGTGGTAACTACATGTACATACTCTTGCATTTTAATTTCCAATAAAGAATGACATATGATTATTTATTCCTCAAAGAAGCGATAAACATTCTATCTTTGAATAGGACATTTTGAAAAACATAATGAGGATTCATGTCAACATGACATGTTGACATGAATCCTCATTATTTTTTTGTCTTGAATATGTCAATTCAAGTTTATTTTGATACGTTGAAGGTGAATTGAGTGTGAATCACTGAGCCTTGTTTGTTTGTGCATCAAGGCAGCAAACAATCCTTCAGATAACGCTCCAAGTTATCAAAATACTCAATTTACATGTCCTGTTTTAAGCATTGACGATTTCCATTCATTAAAATAAACGGTGGAGCTGCCATTTGCGAACTGTTGGCAGCTGTTAGTTTTCCACAGACCTTTACTGGTCTCAATTCTGTATGTTTTTGTGATGCTTTTTATCAACAATAAATGTTAATCAAAGTCAGAATGATATCTTGCAAATCAAAATTGTTTAAAAATAAAGAGAAATAAAAATAAAGTTTCAATCAAATGACTGAAACAGTGGTGCATGTTATCAATGAGCACGTAGAGGAATCACGGAGATATTTAAATATTAACAGACTTCTATTCTTGAAGTGGTCGATCTACATAGTGTACAACATGCGCCTTTATCATTACTTCTGTCCAAAGATCAACTTTAAAATCTACAAACTACATACATACAAAGAATTCACATAAAATGAATACATATAAGGGATTGATAAACGACAAACATAATCATGCCTAAAAGTTTGTTTTTGCTTGTATTTTGTGTGACATTACCAGGTGAGTATAACATTTTAAGATACAGAAATTAAAATTTAAACTTTAGTACACCTGTTGGATTAATCAACTCATTTCATATCAACATTAAGTTTATAGTAGAGGTCTCATTCCAACAGTTTCTACACGAGCATGGGTTTTAGTTAAAACATTCGCTAGTTTAATATGCATTTAGGGATTTCAGGTAGGCATTATTTCATTAGGTAATATCATCATTGGATAAGCCAGTTTTGATGGTATGGTGATAGAGCGCCTGACATCAAGTAAAAATAATTAAGTATCCAACAGATTAACAAACAAACAAAAATAAACAAACACAAACAAACAAACAACGACATGATGACAATACGTCATTGCAAAAATATATATTTAAATACTTTATTGTAAAAATACTTAGTTGTGAACATATTTCGTTTTTTTGCCAATAAGAAATGTTCATTATTGGTAGGTGTTCACTGCAAAGAAGGCAGTCGGTATAGTTTGTGCGGATGAAGGATTCCGCAAGAGACATGTGTTCACTAGAGAGAGGTGTTCACTAAGACAGGTTTTACTGATATATGATTGGACTGAATAAACTAAGTTTAAGTTGTTCATAATAAAAATAACGTTTGCTTTTATATCTAGGTCAAACACAAATGAATTGTACATGTTTATTTATTTGTTTGCAGTTCTTTTACTACCCCTTTATGGAACTAAAATAACGATACTTTAGGTCTACTGATTAAATGGTGTCACGAAGGAAGAACCGCTCTCAACTTGCTTCCCATAATGCACCATCGAGTTATCGGTTATTTTGTCTAAATTGAAGATTTTTTAAAATGATATCATCATTATAAATGATCGAAGTTATTGTAATATCAACACAGGATTGGTGTGTGTACTTTATATATTGAAACGTTTTTGAAGGAGATCCCAAAGTTGTTTTGAATTACATTTATATCTTATTCATGTACTGTTTGGTTATTTTGTCAGAGCGTAACAACCTTCCTTTGAAATGAAATAGACGTTTAAAATGCATACTTCTTTATCAGTAAAATATTACTAAAATATTGTTGTTTATATGGATACTGGTGACAGTTTTAATTTATTAGAGCCACAATGTTATCAAATTCATTCAATTCATTTTTAGTAATGTCAACGTGAACATGTTTGTTTAATCCGAGGTTTTTATGTTATTTTACATCCTCGTTCAATTTTAGCAGAGCCATTTCATCATTTTAGTAAGCTGTATAAAACACAAAGTTTTTTCATTTTAAATTTTTGTTACTAATATTCAAAACATGAAGTATTCTCTTGTCGGTTACTATTACAACAAAAGATTGACATAGTGACCTAATTAAATTTTCATTTCAGTTGTTGCAGATACTTATAAACCCGCTGTTAGAGGAGTACGATACTTTGAACAATCTCAAGCGCATCAAAATGACAGTGGAATAAATACAAATAAAACTCAAAACACTACACCTATTAAGGGATATCTAAAGTTCAATGGTAGTAAAATGAATAACACATCTTCAGCCTCTGGAATGGCCCCTAACAAGTCATCGACGTCATCATTGCCGACAACAAGCACAGTCTCAAGTAGTTTTTGGAGGAATGGTACTGAACCATGGAACAATACCTCATCCACGATGTCTCCACATGGAGTAGGGCATAAGAATGCTGTAATGACGGGTACGCTTAGTTATCTTCAACGTAGATTTCAACGTTCATCCAACGAACACACGGCTCCAGACTTCATCGACTTGACGATGACTAGAGTCGTGTGTTCGGCGGGTTGTTCGGACGAGTTTTTTGTTTCATTATGCATTAGTACCATCCAGACTATTGGTTTTTGGTTGATATTTGGTTTCCAATCTTCATTTCAGCATCGTGATTACAGTCTCTCTTTGAGGCGCTTACGGAGTTTTGTTCAGACTGTGTTTACATCTAAAAGCATCAACCTTTTCTGAATCATGCGCGTGTAACATGCGTACCTTTTTCATTGCTCAATCTCTGAATAGTGAATATAGTGAAAGATGGAGCGACCCATTTCCTATAGTTCTAGAGCAACCCCCACTTTAATTGTGTGTCACATTCCTTCATAACAAATGGTGGAGCTACCACATCTAAAGTTTAAACCACCTAGGCTTATATTCATATTTTAAACTTAAACCCAATGTTAAAGTGTGATATATGAAATTTTTTGAAGGACTTTTTTGTTCGAAAAATCGTGAACTTATCTAAAAGTAATTTTTAGAGGTCATATGTATCTTTTGATAAGCGAAAATTCACACCAATGCATAGCATTCATCCTCACATGTTTTTGCCCAAAAAATTAAGAAAACCGGTGTAAAAGAAATTATGGTCCCCTGGGGATTATGGTCCCCTTTCTTAAAGGCCCTTACTGGCCCTGATTGTGGATACGATAATAAGGGAAAGAATTGTATTAAGGTCACCATGTAAATCAATGGAAAGTAGGACCATACTTTGATAGGACCTCCTACCCTTTTACACCGGTTCATAAAATAAAATAAGCATGAAAATGGTTCAGAGAAAAATGCATTTCAAAATTTTAGTTCTCATAGATACAATAATATCGAAAACATAATATATTCTTCCTTTTAACCTGGTTAGACAATCATCATTGTTTTTTTAAGTTTAGCATATTTAAAGATTGACATAGAAAAAATTGAATTTTTTTTCAAAAAGTTTTGCCACCTGAGTGATGTCACGTTGACATCACTTAGGTTGCAAACTATTTTTGATATGCTAAAACATGATGTGTTGCACATTAGATATGACATTTTATTATTGAAATAGTGTGTTCTTTGTTCAATCTTTACATTGGTGTTAATAATATAATGTTTTTGAAATGTATGGTGGAATATTTGATGATTAAAAGATTTCAACTTTTTGCGGGAAATTTGAATATTTGAGAGATCAAAATCTGACAACTTATTTTTCAAAATTTATTTTTTTCAAAAATCTCTAAAATAACTTTTTTAGTCATGACAAATAGTAAATTAATGATAAAAACATATTTTCAAACTTCACATGGGGACTTTAAGTATTTTTATTGGATTGTGTGGATTGACAATATCAAGTAATAATAGAACAAATTGACATAGTAGGAAGGTTGCGCTATACTTTTTAAGAGAAATTGTGAACGTATGGAATTATGATCCTCAAGTGAGTTACCCATTCATAGTATCCCCTCGCCCAATTGAGTATAAATGAACGAAGAAAAATAGTTGTCCATGGAAAAATAACTGAGAGGGACATTACAATTTCTTTAAAACATGTTGCTTAACCTTCCCATATTACTAGTTCTTAAAGTAAAATTGCCACTTTTATTCTGTGTGTGTGTTATGTACATCCAGGTTTCATATACCAGTACAATGAACTATAGCATGTTAACTGTGTTCTTTTGATCTTTCACTTCTTTTAGGAGCAATAGTTGGTATAGTTGTGGGCTGTCTCGCACTTATAGGACTTGCAATAGCACTAGGAGTTTATCTTAGAAAGAAATACAGGGTTAGAAAATACAGGTAATTGAATTACAAAAATTAGGAACAGTAGTATAACTTCCCCTATCGCACATCCGATTCGTTTTCGCTCAACCGTAACCGTTTGCACGATGATGCATGCTAACAGTAAGACCCAGCACGATATTCCTTTCAAAATGAAATACTTTTAGTTAATTATCGTTTCTCAATTTCAAAATTCCTTTCATATTTTCAAACATATTCTGTCATTTTCTAACACATCCATTCAATTTCCCAAGCATCTATTCACACTCTCACACACCGATTCACATTTCACGCATCTATTCTAAGTCCTACTTATATATTCAAATTCCCACCCATATATTCAAATTCCCACGCATCTATTAAGATTCCAACTCATTTATTCACATTCCCACTTATCTATCCAGATTCCCACTCATTTATTCACATTCCCACTCATTTATTCACATTCCAACTTATCTATTCACATTCCCACGCATCTATTCACATTCCCATGCATTTTATTACCTTGAGTATCCTTTCACATTATCAGACTCCCATTTACCTTCTCATTCTCATGTCACTTTCTTACTGACCCCTTCAGATTCCCGCGAATCCAACATTAATGTCATTTATGCAGTCTTCAAATTTTCTCCTTTCCCAATTGAAATACATATACAGCATCATTGGAGGCTCAACTACTCTGTCACATGCATATCCCTTCTAACACTCTCGTATCCTTTCACAATCTCAACCATCCTTTCGAAATCTCTAGCATCCCTTCACATTCGAAATATCTTGCATCCCTTCACAATTCCAGTCATCCCTTCGAAATCTCTGCATCCTTTCACAATCTCAGCCATCCCTTCGAAATCGTAAGCATCCCTTCACATTCGAAATGTCTCGCATCCCTTCACAATCTCTCGCATCACTTCACAATCTCAGCCATCCCTTCGAAATCGCTCACATCCTTCCACAATCTCAGCCATCCCTTCGAAATCTTAAGCATCCCTTCACATTCGAAATGTCTCGCATTCCTCCGCAATCTCTCGCATTTTCTTTACAATCTCAGTCATCCCTTGGAAGTCGCTCACATCCTTTCACGATCTCAGCCATCCCTTCGAAATCTCGCATCCCTTCAGAATCTCAGTCATCCCTTCGAAATCTCTTGCATCCCTTCACAATTTCAGTCATCCCTTCACAATCTCCCGCTTCCCTTAATGATCTCAGTCATGGCTTCTAAATCTCTCGCATTCTTTCACAATTTCCTGCATCACTCAACAAACTCACATCCTTATTCTCAAACTGAAGTATCCCTTCAATTTCTCACTTTCTAACACAACTACTCCTGTTGTACCTCTCCCATGCCTGCACTTGTTAACAACAATCCCTATTTCAGCCCACAAGTGAACCTCATAGACAACCCATCCTACAAACACCCTGACCTTGCACCTGTTGAAGCTATAGAGCCAGACCAGGCTGAGATGGAATGGGATGATAGTGCTGATCTTAGTCCCAGCACACTAGCTGACGATGCCAACATGAATAAAATAGTTTTTGATAAATTTGATGAAAACATTCTTAACACAAAGCTGCAGTTTTCAGACAATTGAATGTCTCAATAGAGGTAAGAAGAATACCCCAATTAAGAGAGTCTTTCTGAGGTCCCCTTTTCAGTTCAGTTTTCAACCCTTGCACCTCTTAATATGACTATCCCCAAGGATAACTGCTTCCTTTGTGTCTAAAACTGCTCTTCTGTAATGTGATGATCTACAAAGAAGAATCACATGTCGGGGTATAATCAATGAAGATGTGAAGAATAAACTATGGGGAAGTCATCCCTTCCAACCTGGCATCGAGTAGGGAAATCTTATGCCTTATCAAAGTATGAGAAGTAAAACATACACCTTCTGTTTTGGAAGCCTTAAACCTTACCCCCTGCGTGAATCTTCAACCTCAGTTCCTCTCTTATGATTGATGCTATTACCATATTGCTGAACTGCTAAAATCTGAATGGCAAAGATGTAGGCATGTGTCCATATCTCAAGGTTCCTAAGAATGTCATTCAATGGGAGACAACAAAATTAATGGAGAAAAGTGTTCATATTGGCAGAAGTTCTGATTTGAGAGGTCTTTGAATATACATGTTTTAACTGTACATGTGTTCAGATGTGACCTCTAATTGTAGGATAAATACTTGTGGTTACATTTGCAGGAAAGGAATCCAGAGGGCATTCACAACAGAACCTGATGCAGGAGATGAAATGGAATGGGATGATATGGGGGCTACAACTATATATGATGAATCCAGAGATGACTATGTTGTCGAGTTCTAGACTACTATAGGGGCTTCAACATTTACATTGTGTATAACCTAGAATGACTTTGAAAAGGAGCTCTACTGGAATATATGGGATAAACTGTATATGATGGCCCCAGAATAACTATGTAGAGGGGCTCAAGACTGTATGGGCTAAATCTGTATATGATGACCCAAAAATGACTAGGAGTTCTACATGGGGTGTTACTGTTATGACAACCCCAGAATGTCTATGAAATGGAAGTACTAGACTTAATGGGATAAAACTGTATATGATGAGTCTTGATGACGCCCAAAAAGACTATATAAAGGAGTTCTAGACAGGGAGAAAACTTAATCTCTGACAACCTAAAACACTGCATTAACATGCAAAATGTCACAACCTGCCATTTGTAACTGATGCTGAACAGCAATCACCAAACACTTACTGGCTAACACAAACCACCAAACACCATCCACAAAAAAAAGTTGCAGACTATACAACAATATATCACTACTTCTGGTGGTGACATTAAAACGAAGCAGGAGAAAAATGAGTCCATATTGCCTAATAGACCATTTATTCCACATGAAAGGTGCAGATTATACATATATTACCTACATGTGACAATGAGCCAATATAACTGTGTAAGGTGATAGTGAGCTCTTCTATATCGTACATGAGAATAGGAATAAGGTGTAAAATGAACTCGACCATTGACTGTATCAGTCAACAGTGCACTCTTGCATATTTGCTCAATACTTATATTAAACTTGAAAGAGGCACTAGCTGTATACTTTGATCCACAACCCCCTCTAAATCTTGGGATTCCTGTTATCAAATTAGGTATGCATTTATTTTCTCTAAAAACACATTTATGAAAATAATAATATCCCAGGAAATCATTATAAGTATCATTCCTGAAACAGTGAATGAAACTGCCAGCTTCAAAAAAATTGAGAACATTACAGCATAAATCTAATGATGGAACGTCTTAACTAGTGGACAAACATAGTCTCACTTGTTAGAAGATATGCTCATTTTGCTCAAAGTAGTCAAAGATACAGCCAGTACCACTTTAAATTCTTGTTTCTGGTTACCGGGCTGGATTTCAAAATGTATACCAACCAGCCAGGTCTTTCAAAAAAGAATTGATCATCAATTCATTGTCTTTTAAAAATTTTACAAAATGGTATTTTGAAGTATTTACAGTAAAAATTCATATTTTAATATACAAAGTAAAGGGAACTGAGCCTGGTCTTCGTTCTTAAAAGTTGTAACCAGCTCGGCAACCAGAAACATTGAAACAATATTTTCTCTTGGCCTTACAGGCAAACAAATTTAATACTCAATAATCTAAAATAATATTGTGATGTCCACACATTTGTATAGTTAGGTAAAATGTCCCCTTGTGTAGAGGGAACAAATAGATAATGCGGCAAGATTTGGAGTAGAATCCTTATTCAGGGAATAACTTTTGTTTTGATCATCTGACAATTTGGATCTTATTATTCTTCAGGGGGAATTTTTGATATCATTTACAGTTGTTGAAAAATAACAGCATCTGGATGTTGAGATGCTGAGGACTGAATAAGGAGATGGTTTATGTACAATTATGTATCCTATTGAATTTTGTTCGGTGGGATTACCACTGGTAATTTGGTGGAAATAATTAGGCATCCAAATATATGCCTATGTGTAAAGGACTCAATTCCAACCACACAAAATTCTTTTTATCAAATATGATTCAGTATTATATTATAATTCAATGAACTGTGAATACATTACATGAATGCTACTGCAATGATCATAGAGAATATGAAGATATATTACGCTAAGGGCTTGGTCAAAATATCAATCTTGTTTTCACAAAAGTTATTACATCGAGGCATAAATAAAGCCAAGACAAACCATTAAAGAAAATATAGCAAAAGATGGGAAGATGGTCTTCTGCCTTGTTAAAAAATTGATATTTTGATCAAGCCTCCATGACAAATTATCATAAATCATCATTAATTTTTGTACAACTCTATAAATATGTTATAAATCAATGTCAACATACATTTTCATACTGTACTGTACTACATGTGCTATTAAAATAATATAATATATACCATTTACGGATTATTGTTGTATACAAAACATAATACTTAATCATATTCTAGGGCTCAACTACTCAACTATTAAAGTGGATACCCTCAATCTGTCGCAATGGCAATCAATAATGTCCAAGTCATGAGGAAACTAAAATTCTTAGTAATATAAAATAAATTTCCTATCATGAAATTCAACTTCACTCTAATTTTATCACCCATAGCTCAAAACAACTCTATAATGGAATATTACAAAAAATGATATTGCAAAGAAATCTATGGAAACTTGTCCACAGGTGTTGAGTTGACAGTTAACTGATGATTACTGCAAATTGTTACAAAAAGTGTAACAATTAAAAAGTGTAACAATTGTTACAGTTGCAAATTGTTGATGCAAATGCCAAACACCAGGCACAAACAAGTTGGAGGCTATAACAAATACCAGGCACAAACAAGTTGGAGGCTATAACAAACACAGGCACAAACAAGTTGGAGGCTATAACAAACACCAGGCACAAACAAGTTGGAGGCGATAACAAACACCAGGCACAAACAAGTTGGAGGCTGTAACAATCTGTCACCATTTCTTGGTGATGATGTAACAATAAACAATATATCCAGTAAGCATCGGTTATACATGTTATATTACAACATTTACATTGGATAGCTTTCTAATCATAATGGAATGAATTGATACATACAGCAGAAAAGACAAACATATGGCATATGAAATGTCTCTACTTTGTATGATTTTCTTGTTGTTTGCTTATATATTAAGGATAACAGGAGAGATTCTATCATAACCACATGTAGATGCAATATATATGAGCTCCACTTTCAATGAAGAGTACATTAGCAGCTGTCTAAAAAGATAAATATAAAAATGAAACTGACATTTTCTATAAGAAAATATCTTTTTTACTTAGTTACTGAAGCATTCCAATATGTCTTAGAAAGTGGTTCAATTAATGTCATCATGTACTCATACTTTCTATTGCATCTACAAATTCATATTATGGGCGCAAATGCTATTTTAAATAGAATAAAAATAAAATTGATTTCCAGTCCAAAATGACCTAAAACAGATTATTGTGTATTGATATCTTATAAAATGCAAAACTTCAAACAATGCACAATGTTTGTTTTTTATGAATAAAAAATATTGATGACAACTTTTTTCCTCTCAATAGCACCTTTAATTTTCCCAAACTATTCATAAACTTAAACCGTTTTTGAATGTATAACGTGAAATATGGATTTGAACAATAATTTTCGATTAAATTCACATGAAACTTGGGGGAAGTTGTTGAAATATCAAAAGGTTATCAAAATAGTTAGATAAACATTTTGTTTCAAACCAAAAATACCACTTAAGTTTCATGTCAAACATGATATAGAAAAAGTCTACACTATGTATATAGGGCTTCCAATGAGCATATGTCTGGTCCCACTTTTTAATATTTAAAGATGCATTATGCCATAGGTTTCTCCCCCAGACAATCAATGATGTCCTATTGTTATCGCTCATATAATATCTCACATACCATGGATATATCTTGAGAATAACTTTTGGGTATATTATTGCCGAAATATCTGAAATAATCAACAGAACAACCAAACTCCAGAATTAAACACAATCGATTTCTTGGCTAGCGAGGGGAACCTTGAACCAGACAACCAATCAGGTTTATGATAAACAAATTCAACGATCAATCAGATAACAGGAGGACTTTCCTGGTATATTCAAACTTCAGATTGAATTAATTTCTTCGAAAATAATTAGATCAGCCAGCACAATCGCAAAATTAACACTGAAAGAGGGGGAATTAGATGGGTATATATGTGGTGAAACTCAATATGCGAAAAAGTCCAGAGGGGTCTTGATTGTGCTATCCTATGGCATAGGGCCTCTTTAAAGTTAACAGGTCAAATAAAGTGCTTTTTGAATTATTTCATCGGAATATATTTTTGTAACAGGTCCAGTTTGTCTTGAAACCTTCAGGTTCAGTTTTTGTCAGTTTTTAAACTTCTATTGCCACCTTGTGGTTCCCCCATTGGGTGCCCCCTAATTCATTGAATATTCAATATTGCATAGTCATTTATTAAATGTTTAATCAACATTTTTCTTATTTATTTGGCAACCTTATATGCAGTAAATGGAACAGAATAACATGGGAGTTCAAGGAGGATTGCCTCCCAGAGTGCAACATCGATATTTTTGCCATATACTGTATGGGCATGTTGTGATCACAAAATTCAAACAGCTGCCATTTTGTTCACTTCAACATTTGAATCGTGAATTTTGGTCTCCTAAACAAATAATTCTAAAACTCACAAGAAATGATCGAGATATTGGTTCAAATCTTTTGGACTGTTTATTTTGAATTTTTAGTGGTTATAATTTCAGAAAGTAATGATATTTTGAGGTCTTCATAGTTGGAAAATAGAGTTGCATCCTGGGAGCCAATCCTACTTGATGGGAGTTATGACATAAATTCAACTCCAAACCCAAATTCATTCAAATCATTGTTCCATTTCAACTTCCCTTGACTTTAGATTAATAATTCAGATTCTTTCTGTTTTTCCTGGCAGTTCTGAGTGGTTTTAATGTAGTTCCTCTAGTGTTTCCTTACCATCATAGGGTGGTTGTCATTGTATTTCCAGCAGATCACTATCATAACTCAGAGTGTCTTAACATTTTATCTATTCTTGTACGCAGATCTGTGTGATATTTCTTAACCTGAAAATATATATTTTCAAGGTAGCTTATTGGAGGACATGGGGGATATAATTCAACTATGGTCACATGAACAAAACTTATATAACATATAAAATACAAGGCATTAACATGCAAAATCTGCCTTTTGTTATAGACAACGAGCACCAACCAGTGAATGCCAAACACCATCCCAAAAAAAGTTGAAGACTATAACAAAATGTCACCACTTGTGGTGGTGACATAATAATGTTAAACTGTTTTTTACTGTATAATATTGCATTCAAGTCAATCTTTTATGAATAGGCATAAGCAGGGACGAGGCCATTCTTATACTCAGACTTCTGCCTTGCAAATTCTAGAAGGAAATTGATAGGTTTTAATTCAGACACTTTATTAATCGAAACTGTGATATTCTTTATATTCACTACACCATATAATGTAAAATAAGAAATATAATGAAGTATTTTCCACAGGAGTTCGTATCAGCTGCCAATCTGAGAGGCAAAAGTAGATCAAGATCTATTAAATGTACAACCAAATGGTTCTAGATCTTCAAGTTCATCTGCTTCTCGTATTTGCCGTTGAATAAACTCCTTTACTAAGTAAATTGCCTGTACTGCCCTGCCATCTTTAAATAATTTTTTTTGTACTGTAAAAATATTCTTATCTTACCTTATATTGGTAATCTTTTTCTTTTTTAATAAGATTTTCATGTTTTTCTGGACTGTCACCATCCAACTTTTGGCCACTCTGCCTCAGACTGGCCTCTGACAGCAACACCTCATTCTTTATGTATTCATGCTTTTTCAGCTTGTGTTCAAAATGATGTAGCTCTTTCTAAAAATAGAAAATTAATTCGAGCTGTAAAAGTGTATTGATGTACTATAGATTATGAACAGGAGAGCAAAAGCTTCTTTCTTTGCCATTTGGTACAGACGTCGACCGCAGACACCATTCACAAAAAATTGGAGAAATTAGATAGCAGTATCTCATTACATTTGGTGATGACATAATGAACTGAAGTTCTATTAAATTCCTCAAATTGAGCTTGTGTGACAGTTTAATTTGACTTCTAGATTTTGTGGATGACAACAAAAGAGTTCCTACATAAAGAAAACAAAGAGGTTCTACATATATGTTCCTTCATTGTAACATTAACATAACAATACTTCACTCATACTTACTTTAAGAGATTCTAATTCCTGTACTGAGAAGTTCCCCTTAAGGGCAGTTACCCAAAGATCATACACTTTTGGCTCTGTGAACTCTAACTCATTAGAAGTGCCACTTGCCATCTTCTTAGCCATAAGTTCCAGTCTCTCATAGCCTTCCTTCACACTATGGTGGTCTTCTTTTAGTTTCTTTCTACGTTTTTCTGCATATTTCCAGTCAGTATCAACATCTTTCAGGTCTTCTATAGAATTTGTATCCAACCCTGTAATAGGGCAAACAGTCTAAATAGGCAATTTAATTGCAATTTAAAATTCAACAGTTTAAATTTTATAATTCGAATATTAATTTGTCAATATCTTTTTAACTTAGGAGGGGATTTCAAAAAGACTTGTCCTCAAGATGCATGAAACTGTTCCCAAAATTGCACAAATATCTTCAGAGATATATGCATCACACACCTTAGGGGATCGTATGCAAAAGAACACTAAATGGATAATATTTACAGTGATTTCTACAGTGATTTCAGTTATCTGACAAATATTAGTACCAGATCAATATGTTGACATTTTGGGTGGGGTGTGTACAATACTGTGAAATTGTTTCAAGAAAAAAAACCACACTCATGACATATAATTATAAATTGGACAAGTAATATTTAAATTGTAGCTTAAAATGTCAAACAGAAAAAAGCATTTCAGTCAAAGCAAAATGACAGATGTTTGACAAAAAAGTGACCTATTTGACTTTGGAGACCATTTTGAAAATTCTCTCTTGAACTGAGTGGTTGTAATAAATATGACCAAAGATTCAACATGTCGCAAAAAATGTATTTTTACACAAAATGGCAGTCATTTTGAATTAGAGTTCAATTATAAAAAAGCTATGAGTCAGACTTCATGCATATATAAAGCTACTCTATATCCCTATTCAAACTAAAATAGGTTTGAAACGTTTATCCAGAGAATTTCATTTTTGTCAGCCTTTGACATTTGACATATAAAATAGGTAATGTCAACTTATTATTTTGAGTAAATTGGATAAAAATTGTTCAAATTAGAGCAATTTTATTGAAAAATTTTGTGACAGATTATCTTGACACTCTCGGTCATTTCTAAGGTGGCAAGAAATCTCATCACTCTGGGTAGTCAAGAGGTTAATAGGATAACCAATTCTATCAATTAAAACTGTATTGTATTCTGTTTATACAAACAGAACATTAAATAATGTATGAACTACATCAATCTGTCAATAGGCATGTCTATTTGTAACTGCCTAATGCAATTAAGATATTCAATATTATTCATCTATGAATTAGTACAGGCAAAGTACTAGACTATTGTTTGTTCTTCAATGAAAACTCTTTCCATAATGGATGCTACTGATAAGGCTAATGTACTTGCGAGAAATCAATTTTTATAAACTGGGGAAAGTCCAAATTGTTATCATATTACTACATTTTAGATAGGACTGCAAAGAAAAGTAAAAATCGGTAGATATGGCAAAAAAGACATGAATATGCTCAATAAGAGATCCATGAAGAAGATAAAACAATGTAAACAGTGTGAGACTTTAATAAATATTTTACTAACTAACTCTATGAAGAGATAGAATAAATGAGTGCAATAAATAAATAAAATATAATAAAAATATGTAAAATTACAATGCAACAAACGGATACAATAAGTTCCACATTAAGTTGATAAACTCTATAAGCTAAGTACAATTACTTTAAAAGATCCAGAATGGTTAAGAGGAAATATGATACCTTCACGTGGAGCAAATGAATTCGAAATACTATGAATGATTCATGATTCAGCAGACTCCGAATGTGATGCAGCTTTGCATTTACTGTACAGTGCAATGCAACTGACCTTTACATCATGGATGTTATGTGTCAAAAGTAACACACAAGATACAGTGACAACAGTGCAGTTTTAAGTGATGAAATGAATGCTACCATGCCAACAGAACTCTATACATGACAGAAAAATGAATAACACAAGTTACCACGAAAATATCACACAACTGTACATCCCAGAACCATACATTGCCCATGGGTTACTAAGTTTATTTTTTATGCTAATCATGTGGATGGGAAATGGACTCACAATCTACATCATCTGGAAATTTCCCCGCCTCCAAACTGAAACTGCTTATTTGATTGCAAGCTTATCAATGGCTGATTTAGCTATGGGGGTGACAATGTTCTTTACTGCTGTTGATTACTTCATCCCGGGGGTTTTCTACATCTGCATGGCGAAATATTTGATGTATTCAATATCAGCTATTGCATCTATAGCGAGCCTGATTCTGATTGCGACAGATCGTTTCCTTGGAGTTGTATATCCATTACATTACCCATCACTCGTTACAACAAACCGGATGGTGAAAACAATAATTGTGAAATGGGTGTTGAGTATATTATCCGGATGTATACTACTAGTATGGCACAACCCCTTACGAGAAGAAGAATGCTATTTCGCAAAAATAGTACCATTGTATTATATAACCATAGTAACAGGGGGACCATTTTGTTTAAGTGCGGTACTAATTGTATCATTCTACAGTATCATTTTCTACCATGCCCAGAAACAATACGCTAAAATGAATAATGCAGAATACAATCCTGGAAAGAACTCCAACAATAAAGCAAATATAAAATCAGCTAAAGTTTTAGGGATCGTTGTCTCCATTTTCCTTATATGTTGGACACCGTTTTTTGTCATTGTTGCCATAAAGACAGTTCTGGCCAAGGAGAACAAGGATGTACCTGGAGTATTCTTTGAGATAGCAGGACTACTAGCTTCGACAAATTCTTTTTTAAATCCTTGCATATATGGTTGGAAGAACAGTCAATTTAGACAAGCGTATAAAAAGGTGTTGTGCTCAGGGAGAAAAACAAGGAGAATAACAGTCGCTACAGTGACTGACCTAGATATGTCAGTAACTGCACTTTAACAGGTATGACCAACACACAAAAAAAAAATTGTAAAAATTTGTTGGGAATATACACTTTTTTAAGTGTCACCCACTCATGGATTGTACATTTGTGTGAATTCAAAAAAGGAAATAAACATAAACAGACATAAACATAAACTTAGATAATAAACAGATTATCATAATGTGACATGGATATGAAGTCTCAACACTAACTAACCAAGGTATGTCACTAATTTAGATGATACAAATCATGTGACCTGACATGGATATAAATACATTGTTCTTTATTGATCAGTACTTAGACAGACCAAAAAACTGTTATACAAGTTAGGAACCTCTCAATTTAGTGAAAAGGATTAAAATGTGCTCTTTGGACCAATGTAATTCAATAAGTTTATTTAGACAAAGAGATCCATAAATTATGCATTTGTTGAAACTAGATATTTGACAAGAGCGTTATTATGCATTTGTTGAAACAGGATATCTGAAAAGGGTGTGATGATCTCTTTCAATGTCAATTAGTCAATTAGTGAGAACATGTTCCATTATGTAAAGTGACGTCTGGAAAACCATTTACCTAATACAATACTGTATGGGAGTAAGAATCCATTTTTGATTATAAGTGGTGTTTTGTAACGTGATGTACTGCTTTATAGAATATTACTTATGTAAATATGTTACTTATCTCATTTGAATCAGTCACCTCATAAAATCAAACAGCTAAACAGTATACAATACACGACAGTTCAGACAATAAACGCATTTAATTTAAAACAAATTTTAAAAAACAGGATGCATTGAATCTATTGTCATTTTTTGTATTAACTCATAATCATTTTATAAAAAAGGTAGTGTTTATCTATCAGATATGTCACCAATATTGAAAGTAAGGTCGAATGAGAGTAAAAATGATAAAAACACATATCATCTGGCTAATATAACTGACACTTGACCCATCAACTCTTATTTTTTAGAAATCTGGGATTGTTGCCTTTTCTTGTTATATTGGTAGTATTTTGGCAATTGATGACTTAAAGGCAATACCCATTGTCTTCAAGGTTCTGTTTTTGAAATGTACCTAATTAAATACATGCTTTATACATACCATCCATGATATCAATTTCATTTTTGAGGACGTTGTACTCATCAACGCGAAGCTGGTGGTGATCTAGTTCAGTCTTCAAGTCAGACATTTCCTCATCTGTAAATTTAATTTTGATCAAAATCATATTCTATGTGAAGCTTATATGATGTTTTATTGAGTGAAATGTTATCTCCATCCAGAAATTAATGAACTTAAATTGATAAGTTCTGAAAACAGATAACTACATATTAGGTATGAAGCTAACTTATATAAAAGCCTTTGTGACTCCTTCTTCCACTACCTGACTTCACACCTCACACAGGTGTGCGTGCGAGGTGTGTAGTGGTGGGGGGGGGGTCATAAGGGTGGTGGGTCATAAGGGCTTGTAGCTATGAAGTACTGGCAACTTAAAGATAGCCCTAGATCATTTGAAAAACTATGTTTTAAATTACTGAAGCTAACTAATTGTATGAGGAACAAAATAACAAAATAAATAGAGGATATCCTATAATTTATGAGTGATATGATTTTTATCCACGAATGGATATGATATTTGCACGAGCGAGCGTAGCGAGCATGGCTAAAAAACCGTATGCTATGGTTAAGTGAAAATTTGTCAAAAATATCATATTTTACCACTGATTACAAAAATACCGTTTTCATTTTCACATGTTATCCTATGAATATCATGCTAACTATGGAATAATGTAGAAGACCTTTTAAAAATATATAGTCTTGGTGGCCCATTTTCTCACACATACCGTCTAATCCTGCTAGCTCTGCTTGTTTCATGAGTTTCCTTATCTTAGGGTCCATATTTGCAAGCTTTACATCAATATCTTCATCAGGTTTGTGTATTTCATTCACCTCTCTTGCAACTGGATCAGAATCATCGCCTAGTTCTCGTAAGTTATAACGGTCTAGTATCCCTGAAATATTGTAAGGAATCAACAAAAGTCTGGTCTCTGGATAGCACAATATATTATCACTGTTGAAAGATATATTTTTCAAAACATTCATGAGTTTCAAGATCTGGCATACACATAAAGTAATTTTGAGACTGTATGAATTATGGGGAAACACCAATTTGACACCTCTGACACTTTCAGTAAGAAATTGTGAAATGGCACACCCCTTTGGAACTGTCTGACAGGCCTGCTTAATCAATGCAATTGATGTAATCTTGTGGCACCTTCATGGGGAAAACAGACTGTGATGAACATTCTACACCTTAAATGATTTTATTACCAAAGAATTTTCTGCGAACTGTATTCTCATATGCTCCATCTGGGTCAAGTCCTTCTGCCATCTTTCTCTTGGCATCTAACTCCATGCTGTCTTGGAACTTGAGGTCTGCATACAGGTCAGTCACTCTATTGGCAGCTATTCTCTAAGGAATGTAAAATTTATACCTATGAAGTAATGTGATACCATGTTATGAATTCCTAGTCGAGTAAAGTGATGTGATACCATATTATGAATTCCTAGTCGAGTAAAGGTTTTAGGACCATAAGGTATAACTGACCCTTTAATATTTGGACCGAAACCCATAACTGGTACTTGAAGAATCAGGAAAATCATATTTTTCCTGAGAAATGGCGGTTTTGATTCAGCATTCTGTCTTAGGCAGAGTCCTGTGCTATATAGGCATTAGCATACAAAATCTGAACCAAATCTGACCATTGATACTATTATAAAATTATAATTTTTTTACGAAATAATAAGGCCAATTTAAATTCTTGGCAAGGGATCTTAGCATCAGCATAGAATTAGAAACGTCAACATTTCAACAGAGTAGAGTCTAGTGACAATACCCAGTGAGACATATAAACACTAGAGACTTTCAACAATCAAATGATATACGCTCAATTATACTGGCCTGGTGGTGATGCTGCCATTGGTCAGTTGAACACAGTGAAACACAGGCATCAATGATCCTAACAGATACATGAACTAAATAGAATTTTTCGAAAAGAAAATCAGGCTCCTCCCATTCTCCGAGTCCCATACCAATGGAATTTACTTGCTACACAGATGGCAGGGTCGTAGCCAGCTTTCAGTCAGACAACTCTACATCCGTTCCTGTGCTTGTGCGATGAGCATGCGATTGCGAAGATTGAATAAACAATAAGAGTCGAACTAGTTGAAGATCATGAATTCAAGATTGAAATTAGCTCAGCTACAGGGACTCAATAGTCTAGTCTAAAGATAAAACACTTATTCGATAGATAAGTTCATATGGTTAAAATAACTAAATAATGAAATGTCACCGTGTGTCTACTGAGCAGTTCGTTCTATATCATCCCTCCTGCTAGGTTACATTGTGGACCGCAGCCAAACACAACAACGAAGGCAACAACATGTCGATATTGATCTTTTAGCAGAATTTGGGGAAATTTAGATCGTCCATTTTGCAAGCTCACGTGACTGATCGCGTAACATGTGTCTGATCACGTGTCTGATCACGCGACTAGTTACTATATCGATAATGACGTGTCACCCAACCATGTCTTCAAGGAAAGCGGTAGTAAATATTTTGGAAAATGTTTTGCGAGCATTTGCTACTGATTATAGAAGAGGGCACGCCGAGATAGCAATGTCAAACATTGTAGGGAGGGCTGCTAAAGTCACTGGGTATTCCAAATCAGTTTTTTCATCGAAACTGCTAAATTGTTATTTAAGTCTGCGTATTGATCTATTGATTCATAAAGACCTGAAATGATGCATTCAAATAAGACCGCCTCCTGAAAGAAAACACTACACATAAAGTGGTGAAAAAACAACGAACTAAAGTTGAAAGATCGCAACGTTCGCTACTTTGTTCAATTCCGGAAATCTCCAAGGGGCTGCAAATGGGAAATTTTTAAGATTTAGATTTTATAACCTCAGAATACTGCCTTCAGCGTCGTGTTTGCCTGAGTTCCACAATGTAACCTAGCAGGAGGGATGACATAGAACAAACTGCTAAGTAGACACACGGTAACATTTCATTATATCGTTATTTTAACCATATGAACTTCAGGGGCGTAGCCAGCTTTCAGTCAGGGGGGGTGCAATCGCCGAAAATTTTTCAGTTTTCGGTCAGGGGGGGGTGCGATTTTGCCATAAGCAACACAAAAAATTAAGATTTCTTTTGAATTTTACAAAAATTGATGCAACTTCCTTCAAAATTGAGCTAGAAGCTTCAAATAAAAAGCATTTTAAAGCTCTTTTCTACCTCTATCCAATGGTCATATTTTCAAAGGTTATGGGGGGGGGGGTGCGATCGCACCCATCGCACCCCCCCTGGCTACGCCCATGAACTTATCTATCGAATAAGTGTTTTATCTTTAAAATTATTTCCACATGCTATCTATTGCAAGACTTACGCCTGCCACAACCGTCGCCATGTTAATCAGTGTTTTTTAAGTAGCGCAAGGATGCTGCCATGACCGTGGTAGTGTTATCGTGTAAGCCTGGTATAACCGTGACAGGCTGGTATAACCGTGACAATGCTGTATTCTATTGCAAGGCCTGTCATGACCCTGGAAGTGTTATCGTGGAAGCCTGGCGCGACCGTAGCCTTTATTGTGGTTTATAAACGAATGTGAATATTAATGTATAGTAGTAATTTTGATTTTGACATGATTAAGGTAGTTAAACACCATGATCATAGTATCAAACTGTTTAATTGTAATGGGGATCACTTAAAATTGTTAAGGATATTCCTGGCATTAATATCATACATATTTACTAGTCATTGCAATACATTATAACGGTCATAGTAGAACTAAGCCTAAATCTCTACATTACCACCCTCATACCTGGCCTTGCAATACTATATTACATTGTCACGGTCATACCAGGCTTTGCGATCCCATAATACATTGTCATGGTCATGCCAGGTTTTCAAATACACATTGTCACGGTCAATTATAGCAATCATAAATTTCTACATTACCACTCTCATACCCGAACTTGGAATACTATATCACATTGCCATGCATGGCGGTCATACCAAGCCTTGCAATACTATATTACATTGCCATGGTCATGCCAGGCTTTGCAATACACATTGTCACGGTTATAGCAGTCCTAATCGTAAATTTCTACATTACCACTCTCATACCTGAACTTGCAATACTATATTACATTGTCACGGTCATGCCAGGCCTTGCAGTACTATATTACATTGTTACGGTCACACCAAGCCTTGCAGAACTATATTACATTGTCACGGTCATGGCAGGCATTGCAATATAATACAGCATTGTCGCGGTTATACCAGGCTTTCACGATAACATTACCACGGTCATGGCAGGATCCTTGCGCTACTTAAAAAACACTGAATAACATGGTGACGGTTACGCCAGGCGTTAGTCTTGCAACAGATAGGGTCTCATTATTTCTTTGCAACTTTCAAGACTAGAAATCTAAAGAAACTTACTTTTCTTGCTTTCTGCCACACCAAATTTATCTTGTTCATCCTAAAAGGGGTCTCCATCTTGTATTTATCTTTTGGTTCATTCTTTTCCTTTGAATATTTGCTCTGAGATGAGATAAGTGGTAAAAATATGAGGAAAACTCCCACCAAAACTTTTAATTTTTCAGCATCCATTTTGCAATGTGCCCTCTAGCGTCAAGAATGGGCCAATCAGAGATTATTTTCAATTGAAAACGGGGAATCCCCATTTTGAATTCTTACACTTCTGAAGTGATCACAAATTTCCCTGGTTCAGCTAGAAAATACAATTATTTAGTCTAAAATGGCAACAGAAGAAGATACAGAGACAGAGCAGTTATTCAGGACTATGTTGGTAGAGCTGTCTGGCAGAATTGATGCCCACGATCTCGAAGGACTGCTATTTATGTGTGTTGATATTCCAAGAGGAAAACAAGACACAATAAAAAATCCACATCAACTTTGGAAAATATTGATTGAACTTAACAAAATCAGTGCTTATAATCTTCTGTATTTGAAAGAGTTGATTAATACAGCCGTTGGAGATGATGAGTCGCTGGAGATTATAAATCAGTATGAATGCAATGTACGCAATAAATCACAAAGTCGAACAAACAGACAAGACAAAACAACAGGTGGAATTTCAACAAAACAACCACGGCATAAAACAGGTTAACTCTTAATTATCCCGTCGAACGAAGTTCGGAGGGATATAGGGAAGGCCTCTGTCCGTCCATCCATCCATCCGGGCAATAACTCAAATACCGTTGGTTCAATTTTGTTTATATTTTGTACACATATACCCAATGGGGATAGAAGTTTACGCGTTATTTTTATTAATGACACTTTTGGTAGAAGGTGGCCACTCTGAAAAATGGCCGCCATTTTAACATATTTTACTACAACTCGAAAAGTAGTGGAGTGATTTTGTTCATATTTGGTATGTGAATACTATAAGCATGGCACACTGTCTAATGACATTTAAGGTAGAAGGTGGCCATTTTGAAAAATGGCTGCCATTTTTGCTTTATACTTTGTAAAAATGCCAGCCATGGGTGTTCGATGGGATTTGCTAGGCTTTGGCGTTGCTGTTGTCTAGCTATTTAATTATTTATTCATATTTTCTTGTACAGGTTCTCATGGAATGGAATGAAACATGAGTAGGAGTATGTTTGTTATTGTTTAAAGTACCATACTTACCAAATATATATGAGCTGTTATAAAGGTTTTGGCGGAAAAGGCATTAGGCTAGGCTAACAGTGTCAAGATATAGGGACAGAAAATATTCTAGCGTTATTGATTTTCTCCCTATATCATGACATGTAGACATAAATTCTTTATACTGTAGCGTGGATTTATTCAGTTGTTCCAGAATAATCTTGAGGTTAATTATTCTCAAATTGAGCTACTTGAGATCAATTTCAAAATTCCACTTTCAGGAGTAAGGAGTGAAGACATCGGTTACATAGCAGAAAACATAGGGAGAAATTGGAGGACACTGGCTCGAAGCCTTGAATTACATGAATCAGATTTGGACAGTGCTGAAAATAGGTATCCAAGAGATTTGAGAGAATGTACACGGGAAATGTTGAAAATGTGGCAGATGAAAAATGGTGGAGGTAACCGAGAGGTCTTAATGAAGGCACTGAGAATGTCTGGACACTGTGATATTGCAGATGATCTCAATAAATAGTAAAACAGACCATTAATTAATGTCTTTGTTTCAAGGGACAAACATTTTTAAAGGATTGTTGAAAGCTGGAGGCTATTCAGTAACATGGCACTTAAAATGACAAGTTGGATGGACACCAAAATTAATTTTTATGAAGGAACTGAACCCATTTTTATTTCAACAAAAAGGGGAATCCCCTAAAAAGTAAACGAAAACAATTTTATGCTTATAATCATCAACAATGCCTTTATTCATCTAGCTATACATATGCGCATAGCTTTGTTTTATTCTAGATAAAGTAATATTAACACAAACAGAATGCTATCATTGCACATTCACACTAGTGTCATTGAAAGTTGGTGCACATAAGAGGTTCATAGAATACTGGACTACATATTATGATACAGTTCTTTGTTTAATGGGCAAACCATTTGATCTTGTGGGTTTAACCTTTTACCCCTGATCAGAATATTTAAAGATATATAAAAAAGCACAAGAGTCTGTATTCTATATTCCTATTCCTATATTCTAAGTTTCCATTCTTCATATTCTATTTTTCTCATTACCAATACTATATGCCCCAACTCAGCTTGATCAGGATAATTTTTGTCTCATTTAATTTCAAAATATTTTCCTTCGAATATTACTCTCACATTTTTCTGAAAAGGTTTGGTTTCCCCAAGATCTGATGATTGATTTTTTCCCTATCAGCTTTCTCTAATACATAAAATAATAACATGTGTATAGGAAATCAATCTGATATGGAAATAAAGATGTTCTATATTCATTATCTTATAAAACAATGTTTTGACCATTTCAATTGAAATAAAAAATAACAAGTTTAATAAATAAATAATAATATTTGAGTTGTTTGTGCTTAAAATATAACATAACAATAAATCAATTTTGAGATCATGGAAATCAGATATAATAGAATCATGATATTCTATTATAACTACAGTTGTTTATCAAATGAGTGCCTGAAAATGATCATACTCATATAAAATATAGTGCACCTACTATTTCTATCCATCTTTTCTAAAAATATCATGAATTATGCCTAAAGTGGTATGATGAAGACAGTTGGTTTAAAGAAGAGTACAATATGACCAAAATTCCAATGATCTCCCAAATATTGAGACTACCAGATGTCCATACAGTTGAAAATTTGAAATAGCTTTACACCAAATTGAGAAAGCATTTCTTATTTGAAATATAAAGGGTAAAATAAATTTTGAACCTCTTAAAGAAAATCCTAAGGAGACATGTGGCAGTTCCTGGTGATTCTAGCACGATGAATATCAACATTGTGTCACAATTAAAATTAGTGCAATCGACGTAAATGTTCGTATTTACTTGAGTAAATCTGAAAATGCTATCAAAAAGGTATAAATGTCCACTGCGTTAACTACATGTATTCCCATGTACATAATCCTATAAAAATTAAATTCTATGTATATTCAACAAATCACATTTTCTATATAAATAGGTGACTGGCTTTAAACTTAAAACTACTTTGCTCCAGCCAGTTACCTTAACCACTTAACCAGTCTGGCTAACTGTTACCTAGCTGACTAGTTTTCTAACTATTAGACCAGTGAACTGGTTACACAGAGTTTGAAACTAACAGGTTGAAGCAGAGTGTTTTAAAGGATTAGACCAATCCACAATTACCAAAAACATGTCTAAATATTTTCTTTTGTGTGATCATATATTTAGCATGCACCTTTTAAACATAGCTTAGGCCATTACAAATTTAGAGTCTGTCTAGCGGTCGCCACTGTCAGACTGTTGATCCTAAAACTTCTTTGCCCTGGCTTTCTTCATTTTTTCAAAATTACAGGTTTTATGAAATGTAGTTCATATTTATTAATTTTTTGCAAGGCCTTCTGCAATTTGAGAATAGGAAATAAATGAAAAAAATTTTTTTCTCAAGTATGTTTGCTAAACAGACTATTAATTTGCTGGGCCTATTTATTAGCAGGAAAACCATCTACAATCTACAATAAAAACTATCACATGGTGATTGTCAACAACAATTTGTGACACTTTCAACATTTATGCTCCAAGTACTATACATCTCTATCAATCTACCTTGTAACGTTTATGTACAGATGAGCAGTGGAAATTTCATGTTTCTCAAAATGCATGTGAAGGTATACATGTGCATCAAGTTCTAACAATCATATTTTACTTCAACAAAGTAACGTTTTTAATCATTGGTATAACACATTTTATTTTAAATATACACACACAGACGCTGAATGAGTTACAACATTGCCCTTTTACAAAGGTTTATATTCTAGACAAAGTTGTAATACATTCAGCACTTAACTTTCACAACCCAACCCAGTACAGCCTACAAGGCACTGGAAATTACCTAAAAGAGATAAAACTCTATCAAACATATTTTACTTCTTTACAATACATCGATCTATCTACCGGTTGCACAAGATCTGCACAGAGCGAGCCGTGTTGTGGATCTCAGTTTGTAACCTCTTGATGTATGATCCAGTTAAACCTCACCCTTGCATATTCAAGGCTTGTTTTCCAGGACTTTGCAGACTGCGCTGGGTTTAATATGACACTTATATTATGGAATGATACATTTCATTGACTTGGCAAATAAATAAACTATGATATAGGATTTCATTTGTGAGGATTCAGCATGTATTTATGCAATAGATATCAAAAGGTCCATCAAAATACAAGCACAAATTTCCCACATTTTTATAAATAAATACAAGCGTGATATATCTTCATAATAATTATCATATTATTGTCAATTTTTTAGTATTACAAAAGCCACAAGTGACATCCATGGATACTTTGAAAATAATACATTTACATGCATTTTTATTTTCCAAGCACTGACAGACCTATGGTTTTACACATGCAGACATTCTATTAATTTAAGCGATGCATTATTATCTGACTGTATTCCTCTCAATTGTTCATGTATGTTGTCTCTATAACCTAGTGCACAGCCCATGGAAACATGCAACTGACCCATGTTAATAAATGGTTCATAAACTCAATTTGAGTCAAATTCTGCCACTGTGCGTAGAACTGTACTGCACACAATTTTTTATTCCCGGACATTACTTTTCAAAAAAATCATGATAGTCGATCAAGTCATCCCTCAGTTTCGTTTTCATCTAAAGATGGATTAATAAAGACTCATTAAACTCATATTCAATATAAATTGTTTGCCTGTTGTTAACTTTCAATTGTTTAGTTGCAGTTTTCTAGGTTTTTCCTCTCTATTCTATCTGCAATTCTCTGTTTATAACTCTAACTATGCCATTGATCTTTTAAATATATCTCAGGGAATAATATTGTCTCAAATTGTGCAATGTGCATGATTTATATTTGGATATTCATATTTTCTCAAGAATATCTCAAGCAAACTATTGTTTTACATTGAACTAAAAACACTGTTATTCTTTACAAAGTATATTATACCGAATCACCTTGTTTTTCATTTGTAAATACTACCATATACATTGGGTGCACAAAGTATAGATATGTGTTTTCAGTTTACGAGTGCACATAACCTGGTATATTATTCCTCTAGAATCGGGGATGAAAGTTATTTTAAAATCAACCTTATTTCAGCATATGATAAGGAATGACCAGGTATTCTCTTATACTCAATCCTCATAAACTGCAATTTGTATCTTCATGAACTGGAACAAGTATGCTTTTGAACTGGAACTAGTATTTTCATAAACTGGAACTATTATCCTCATAAACTGGAACTAATATCCTCATGAACTGGAACTAGTATCCCCATAAACTGGAACTAGTTACCTCATAAACTGGAACTAGTATCCCCATAAACTGGAACTAGTTACCTCATAAACTTGAACTAGAATCCCCATAAACTGGAACTAGTTACCTCATAAACTGGAACTAGTATCCCCATAAACTGGAACTAGTTACCTCATAAACTTGAACTAGTATCCCCATAAACTGCAATATGATACTTGATATATTCATGAACTGAAAACTAACATCCTCATTGTATATTCCTATATTCTCTTCAGCATACCAAGATTAAGCTGTTCTGGAATCTGAACAGTTTCTAGACTTATGCTTGAGGGGTTGAATGGGAAGGTTACAGGGAATGTATACTTTGTGTCCATAAGCAACATCTGTGAGGCATCCTTGCGTTGTTTCAACTTCTCCTGGATCTTGCGTATAAACGAAATTGGCACCCGCTCCTCAAATTCATTCACCGGAGTATACAAGTTTAGGATTTTGACAATCTGAAAGAAAAAATCTTGGTTTTAAAATGATTTCATTGGTTGATTCGATCCAGACCAACTGATCCATCTGATATTCTCAATATATATAAGAAAAAAATAATATGGTGACTTCTGCAATTCAACTTTGACCAGTAGGTCAAAAAGTCCATCTGTTACACCATAATATGAAGCATCATTCTTACCTGTGGCACTGTTAAGCTACTACACATCTCACATATACTGTCCACATCAGCGTCAGTTTTACGAGCTTGTAGCAGGTGAGATGCCTGGGTGATGGGGTCAAGTGATGCCATTGCGCCAGATTCTTGTAACTTGTTGTCACGCAACCACTCTTCTAGATGGCTCAAGTTGTACCTTAATAAAAATATACCATTTATGTCATGAATTATATATATGAAGTTATATATATGACATTATTTATATGTCAGATGTTACAGTATGTCATACGTTACAGCATGACACCATTCATGTCAGATGTTAATTCATGGATATGACTGGTAGATGTCTGATTAGATGATTTTATGTAAACATTATAGTCTAACCTAATTTATCTAATAAATAAAGATTGACATCATGTGAAGTCTACATTCTTTAAATAATTTACATGATAAATTAGCAGATATATGCCTATTGCCTACCTAATCTGCATGCCTTTAGACCAGTGGCACATCTCCTTACGTAACAGCAAATTGTTTAGAGCACCACCACAGATAAAGTAGAAGAGCTGCTTGAATATCTGCTTAATCAACTCAGGGTCAACTGCATGGGCAAGTAAGACCTTGTAGTAGCTTGATAGCTGAAATAAACATGGGCAAGTAAGACCTTGTAGTAGCTTGATAGCTGAAATAAACATGGGCAAGTAAGACCTTGTAGTAGCTTGATAGTTTGATAAATACATGGGCAAGTAAGACCTTGTAGTGGCTTGATAGATAAAATAATACATGGGCAAGTAAGATCTTGTGGTAGCTTGATAGCTGAAATAAACATGGGCAAGTAAGACCTTGTAGTAGTTTGATAGTTAAAGTAATACATGGGCAAGTAAGACCTTGTAGTGGCTTGATAGATAAAATAATACATGGGCAAGTAAGATCTTGTGGTAGCTTGATAGCTGAAATAAACATGGGCAAGTAAGACCTTGTAGTAGTTTGATAGTTAAAGTAATACATGGGCAAGTGAGACCTCGTAGTAGCTTGATAGCTGAAATAGTACATGGGCAAGTAAGACCTCGTAGTAGCTTGATAGCTGAAATAATACATGGGCAAGTAAGACCTTGTAGTAGCTTGATAGCTGAAATAATACATGGGCAAGTAAGACCTTGTAGTAGATTGATAGTTGAAATAATACATGGGTAAGTAAAACCTCATAGTAGCTTGATAGCTGAAATAATACATGGGCAAGTAAGCCCTTGTAGTAGCTTGAAATCTGAAATAATACATGAGCAAGTAAGACATTGAAGTAGCTTGATAGCTAAATAATACATGGGCAAGTAAGACTGTAGTAGCTTGATACCTGAAATAACACATGAACAAGGAACAAAAATAATACTTGTGCAAGTACTAAGGAGCACTAAATGTAACTTGATAACCAAATGTTATGCTGACAATTAACAACACATTGATATGACATGACATGATACGCAAGAAGTATAACATATCTACTTACTGATTTTAGCAAGCTGTCTAGATTGTATGATTGCACTTTGTCATCGAGCTCTCTGGCATTACTGGAGGATCTCTGCCTGAGGCCTGATGGTTTAGAACTTGATAGTCCAGCTATAGCTTCATGCTCCAATATTGCTGCCACTAAAACAGACAATTCATTTCACTTATTTTGATCACCAAGTGAGCTATCCTGATGAATATGGGTCTTTGAGACATAGTGAATTAGAGATTGACAGACAATCTTTAGCTACTCATTAACAGAATAGTTAAATCCTGTTCTGACCTTGTGTTCAGCACAACTTTGTTTATGCAGCCATCCTGTCCTTTTACATGTAAAGTCATAAGTTACATGTTACAGCATGTTTGAAGATTTCAAAGGTAGCGATCATAATCTCATTTCATATAGAGGTAATTTGTCAAGGAAATAAACCTACCTATCATTGGTTGTATTTTCTCTTGCATAGTTTTAATAAGGGCCTGATATATCCAGACAGCAATATCACTCATGATCTGGCGGTATTCCGACAGGTCAAAGTTTCGCAGACAATGTTCATTTTGCTTCACTGTATTCTCATTTTGGAAGGACTATAACAGAACAAAAAAATATTATATAATGGTGGTCACTTCTGATACTGAGTGGAGAATTGCATAACTAACAAGGAAGAAAGTTACATTTTAGTTATAACTCATAAATGCAAATAAATATGCTTGAAATTCTGTTCTTTAGATATCACATTTTGATGACATGGAATTATGAAAAATTTTGTCAAATGAAAATTATTTTTTAGCTAATATAAGATATTATAAAAAGATATGATATGATATATTCCAATAATACAATACAAATCAACATTATACATGGATTATTTGTCACCGATTTACTGATACATTGTAGTGATTATAATAATGTATAAGTGTGAAAGAAAGAAATTGCTATTGTTTCAAACTGACCTTTTCTCCACTGTATTGCTTAAGGTTGTGTAGCAGTCTGCAGCCATTTGCTAACCACATAGTCACACGCTCAGGGTCATCATGGTGTTTCTGCAATCACACATTCATACAATACATCACAAAAGTTGTCATCACCTTTTAAGTTGTTAACGTTCACAAAAAAGTTGGAGATGATAACTCTGGTAGTGACATAATAATGTGTAACATTTAAATAATCAGCAATGACATAAAAATAAAACGTTTTCTTTTTCTTTAAAAACTGAACAAAAAGGGGCTAGAGATTGTGAAATATATTGGGACAATTTGCATATAATTTAGCCTGTCTTACCTTGACCACTTTTTTAATACCATTGATGGTGTTGGTGAGGAGAGACCTGACCTTCTCATCATCGTTAATGTAGTCTGTGTGTCTGATACACATGAACATGATGTAGGCAGGAAGACCAGGTAGACAAGAAAGGGCATTCTTAGGCTTCAATTCTGCAAAAGAAATATATATTGGATAGTGTGGAGTCTATTCAATGTGACTGATACGTACACATGAACATGATGTAGATGAGAAGACATGGCTTGTGTTGGATCTTTTCATCACATCTTATATTCAAAAATATGATTCAGGCTAGAAGACCTGCTAGATAACATAGGGCAATCTTCAGCTAAATCCTGCAATTGAAAAATATGCTGGATTGCATTGTGATCTTAATACATGTAAACATGATGTATAGTATATACGAATATATGGTACAAAAATTTGACTTAAGCATTGAGAACACAAATATCACCAAAATGTTATTATTCCATGCATACGTTAGGTCAAATATGTATAGACACAAATGATTTTGTCAAATAAAATAAAAATATTCAACAGATGTTACCTGTGTAACATTGATGAACAATTAGAGTAAATAATATTTTTGGAGGGTTTTAAATAGTATTTTGTACAGTGTAATCAGGATGTTTAATATTGCATAAAGTAAATAAAAAAGTTAAGACCATTTATGTTTACCTAAAATTAGATTTCTGATAAGTAGAGTTTCATCTTCTTTGCGATACTCAAACATGCCAACAAATTCTCTCTCCTTCTTTAGTTTCACAGCGGAGCTGTCGACAGACTCCTGTCTCTCTAGTTGTTCCAGCTCAGCCACGATGTCTGGACCTGCAAAATAGGAAAGCAAATGATAGACCACTATGAACCTATTTCAATGAATGTGATCATTGATAAGGAATATAAGTAATTTTAAAAGCTTTAATATATGAGTTCAACCCCGTAAAACTCAAACCTACTCATGTCTGTTATAATGTTGAGACCATTTATTGTGAGAATCATCAATTTAAATGATCAATAATACGAGAGTGGATGTCATGTCTTATTGTTGGAGTGACAGAAACAAAAATGTAAATGCATAGAAATATATGAGAGTGAAATGCATGAGAGTTTTGCTGCATGAGGTTGATATTTACTGTAAAAGAAAACAAAATACTACTTCAAAAGAAAAAAAAAAAAAAGTAACAATATATTGTAATAGAAAAAAGGTAATTTTCATGATGCACACATCAAAAGTAGCAGGCCTACAGTGCACATGACCTCAAACATGTTGGATATCTCTTCCTGTAACAGATGTTATTAAACTTTGCATAGTAAATTCAAGTTTTCATCTCCATGGCCTTTACAAGCCAATCATTTGCTGAAATGATTTCGCTTGCTATACCACTGCAACTATACATGTATAAGCCACTTGAACTTGTCAAACCAATGTCAGTTTGATAACAATTTTCTAGGAATTTAATTTTTATTCATCATTTCTGATTTGATTTTAATTAAATTAATAAAGGTTTTGACATTTAATTAGACTGAGGTCAATAATTATCAATTAATCATAACGAGGTCTCATGAGTCATAATCATCATTAATTTATTCACTGGTGATCTTGTTTTAAACTAATTAATCAATTTGGAAATAAACATATCTTCGAGTGTTATTCAGAAATCCATATATGTTGATATTTATAAACATCGATGACCTCCTCTTTGCATCGCACAATGCAGATCACCATAACGCAAAAAAAGTAGACCCACTATACTTTTTCTCAAGGTCCGTATCTTTAACACAACACACAAGGCTCCACAAACAACATGAACTGTCTAACTACACAATAATATTACAGAAATCATAAAACATGAAAAAATCACACAGCACATGATAGAATCATAGAATGTAAGTCAAGTATAATTTTAGGCATACTGTTTGCCAAAAGGACAGGGGTTTGAATCCTGCATATGTGGAGTAAATTCAGCACAGCATTTCATTATAAATTCTTTTATTTTCCCCATTCATTCATTTTGGGCCTCTATCCCTTTTTCTAAGGACTGTCCACCAGAGTACATTCATATTCATGTTAGTCTAATACACAGCCCAGAAAATCACTTGAGATGCCCTCTCTATTTATAAGCACGGGACGGGGACTAATATTGATTAAATGGTTGTATTTTTTGAGGCTGTGGACTAGACTGAACATTAATATCCATGGAAAACATTCGTAATTTCTATTCCTAAACATGACATCTTCTAACTATGATACCTCTTACCAATTGGACTGATGGGAGTCCCAAATGAAGCCTGTCTCCAGTATGAAAACTGATATCCTTTGCGAGCAGAAAATTAAGTTTAAATCATACATGTTCTCATTGTTAAGCATTTAATATAAGTTTACTTGTATAACCAAAACTCAAGCAGCCAAAGTCTCTTGAGCCCTGTTGATAATAACAGCATATCAATGAAATAATATGTGTGAAAATAAATAAAGATTTCAACACTTGTACTCACATTTAAATAAACAACATCAGGAGAATGATAGGTTTACTTATGCAGCAGCATCTATCCCATATACATATCCATGTTCATAATCAATACAATGTCAATTGAATACTACACATCGCACATGTTGTTTTCTAAATATTACTCATACTGAAGGTCATGTTGAGAATTTTAATTTTCATTAGAGTAGGTTGGAAGTTAGAATTGAAAAAATTCTATTGAAAATGACTTCTTAAGTACGTGTGTACTTACTTGAATCATGAGTTGTGATGCTCTGTCATTTGATTAGATATGTTTTCATAATATTTGGATAATTATTGTATGTTTAGATTCCCAGGTATAATCAAATATAGGTCAAGTGACCACTTGGAAATGTGATTAGTTCAATATCATTATCATGAGATCATGTCAGCCCCTGGTAATTGATTTAATGCAAGGGGTTACAAAAGTGTAACACTTTGTTACAGACATAAATTAGGTTTAAAGTTTTTTTATTATCATTTAAACAAAACAAATTACAAACACAGCAAGGGCCGAAGCAATGCATTATTGGCCCTGGTAGTCAAGAATTTATATAATGTAAAGTGAAGTTGCAATGAGATTTAAGGATCAACTCGGTAATGCAGAACAGTATATAAAAATAAAAACTTACTCATTTAAAATAGTAACAATTAACTGCAGAAAACCTGCAGTCATTTCAACAATTTTCTGATTTGTCAGATACGATAATGAGCAATCACCGTATAACAAATAATTTACCCTGTCTTGCTGTCTGAGTTGACCAAACACGGTTAAATCAAAGGATGGCAGTTCCCCAAGTTCTTCCAAAAACAAGTTTCGCTGAACAATGAATAGAGGGCAGTGTAATAATAGGTGCATTGTAGACTGTGATCTAAAGCCACAATTACAACTTGGAATATCAATGTTTCTAAAGTTATGTGTGAATAAATGCTGCCTAAAAATAAAGTCACATCGAGTCTTATTCAAAGTTGATTCTTTCTTCCTATCAAGATGCAATTTTGGAGTAGGTAGCTTTATTTTAGAATTTTGAATATGTTTCCTCAGGTTAAACTTAAAACAATTTCTAGATTGGATAGCTTTCAAATCACCAGGGAGTTTCTCCCATGCTGTTATACAAGATATCACTGTACCCTTTCTGATCTTGGCCTTACAGTGAGCTGGTATTCTAAAAGATCTGACTCTGCGTAACCGATTTCCATTATTCATTACATTATGATTTCTATATAAAGAAAAGGCCTGGTTTACATAGGAAGGCATTTTGTTGTTATTTATGACGTCATAAATAAACAATAGTTTCTTTTCATCCCTCCTGGCCCCTAGGGACCTCCAACCTAAGCATGAGGTGACTTTGGTTGCATTTGTACCTTGGGTACATCCACTGACAATCAATGCTGCCCTATACTGGATACTATCCAATTTAGAAAGTAAATTTAAGTTTGCACAATCAAAAATGATATTCCCATATTCTAAGTGAGGTAGTATAAATGCCATATAAATCTTCTCTAGATGTTGTGATCTTAAGTTATGTTTTAGTGCCATAAGTGGGTTCAACATCCTGTTACATTTGACAATTATACTGTTAATGTGTTCTTCAAAGTTTAAAGCCTTGTCTAAAATAAGTCCAAGATGTTTGTGACTATTGGTGAAAGGGATAGAGTCACCATTTAACACAATAGGAATTTGAGCAATTGGAGTTCTAGTTTTGGACTGGAAAAACACTTCCTTACTTTTACTTGTCTTAAATCTTAATTTCCAAGTCTTTGACCAGATCTCTATTCTATTAACATCGCTTTGGAGTTTTAGATAAGTTTCATGAACTGAGTCCTCCTTTTTGACAGGTAGAAAAATTGAGCTATCATCAGCATAAAGGTACAGAGTGCTATTTAAAACTGCATCGGCTAGGTCATTGATATAAAGTAAGAAAAACAGGGGACCTAATATTGACCCTTGAGGAACCCCACAATTTATTACTCCTTTGTCAAGCCCCCCTAAATCCCTTCCTCCTGTCCCTAGAATCCCTTCCATTGTCCCATCAATATTGTCATATAGAGTATCTGAATTTATTGAAGTTGTACCATTCACCCTAACTTTTAATTTTCTGTTATTAAGGTAGGACCCTATCAGATTAATAATGTTCTCACAGATACCGTATGATTTTAGCTTATGGAGAAGTAAGTAGTGGGGGACGCCGTCAAACGCACCCTCAATATCAAGAAAGATCCCTCTAGTAGAAATATTATGGTCAAAATTTGAAGTAATCATATTTACAATAGATACAAGTTGTTTCTGAGTGTCATGCCCAGGTAAAAACCCGGATTGGTTCTGATACAAAAGATTGTTAGATGACACATGTTTGAATATTGAATCATATATGACGCGTTCAAAAATTTTGGAAATATTACTTAAAAGGCAAACTGGCCGATAGTTCCCTGGGTCAACTTTTGAGGATTTATTTTTGAAAATGGGGACAATAATGCCCTGCTTCCAACAATTAGGAAATTTGCCTTTAGTAAGAATGAGTTTAAAAAGTTTATGAAGTTCTGCATCAAGTGAATCTGCCACCAGTTTAAGCATTTTATTTGTTATGTTATCATCACCCCCCTTTTTGTTTGATTTAAGCTCCCTCAAATGTTTATTTATTGACTGCTGTGAAAGATCAATTTCATTTAGCATGTTATCAGTTTTTCTTTGACAAGTTGGTAAAGTTTGATCAACAATGTTGTGATGAAATTTCTGTAAAAATTGATGGAGAAATGCATTAGCTTTAGCATGGTCATCTTCAATGATCGTCCTGTTAATCTCTAAAAAAGGAATTCCTGATGCAAATTTAGAACCTATTAATTTTTTAATGATGGTCCAATAATTTTTCTTACTAGCTGCCTCTTCATCCAGATTACTGCACATCTTGTCCTGATAACTGGTTTTTGCATGAACAATTGCATCTGAGACTAAATCACATTGATGTTTAAATGTTGTGAAGTTAAAATCATTTCTATTTTTAATTAATTTTCTATACAATTTATCTTTCTTGTTTAATGCTGATTTCACTTCATGATTAAACCAGGGCATATCACTTTTCTTTATAAAAGAGCAGGTAAGGTATGGCAAGCCATTTTCAAAGGGCTATATCTTTAGTTCGAAGAATAAGTTAACCACAAAATCAAATGGTTCTGTTAGATCCATGTCTTATCTTCAATAAATGACATAAGGATGATAATCAAGTTGATTGAATTATCTCTTAAGCTGTCCCTAATCCACCCATCCTCACCAATTTTCCCTAATTCAGATGCAATTTTCACCAAAAGTGCAGGCCTTTTTAA